AACAAATTTCTCTCGAAAGAGTGGAGATGCGAAACAATACAAATAAAATCCTAGACCAAAATAGAGACTCGACCAGATTAAAAGCATTGCTCGTACCAACGAATGCGTGAATTGATCCAGTATTGGATAGTATACACGAACTAATGTGTATACATGAAATGGTATTTGTGTGACAATAAACGTACCAACGTTGGCTACCATCATGTAGAATAGCATTCGATCTAAGGCAGTCATCCGCCGAAAAGTTCGTTTCTGTGTTAACAATGCTGGCTGTGCCATTACAGCAGTAACGGTTTCTGCGTGGTGAGCAACCCGTCGGTGTGATTGATGCATGTTGTATAGCATACGTATATTGGCTGCGATCATCACAATTACTGGAATAATACATACAAGAATGAATCGTGCTGGACTTTGAACTTGTGTTAAATAAAAATACAAGACCGGTGATTTATTGTAGATACACTGACCGGTGGTCGGGTTTTGCGTGATTTCGGGACAAAGCCACAGGGACCATATGCATGCGAAAGTGATGAGACAAACAAGCGTATAGATAGCTGCGTTTCGACGCGTACAGATGACCCTTGAACGTAAAGGTAACTCGGAACGAATCAATCGGTCCAATGCAATGCCAGTCGCTAAATACGTACTAATCGCTCGACTTACATTCTGTACAAAGAAATTTAATCGACATTGTAGAAAGGCATCAGGATAAATGTAAATATTGAAAATACCGAGGAATTCCGTGCTTAGCGTCCATAGATGAAAACTATTCGAAATTGTTGTCAGGAGAAAGAAATAGCCCGTGGAAATCCGACGAAATTCGCCCAATGAATAGAAAATAATCAATGAAAGAATATTGCCAAGAAATCCTAGACCGTAACTTTATAAATCAAAGTCAATTAATGAATAAATTCTCTATTTACAAATCAATGGTAATCACTTACAGAAGACATGCAGTGACGATTTCAAACCAAATCAGAATAACAATACTCGAACGAATATAAATTATTGACGTATCAAGAGAATCTGACGGATCCGTAGTTGTCGACATCGTATCTGTCTGTTCAGCAGTCGTCATTTCTTTGTCAAATGAAATAGAGTATGAAAAAGAAGTTGTGGCAGATGTGAGCTTCTATTATATGAAATAATCTTTTTAAAACAGAAAAGAAGAAACGTTTTAAATCATTGGTAGAAATTTAATTAATTTTATACCTCTGACGCTCTCGTGATGAGCTTAAATAAACTATTTTCTCGTCCTATTAAAGATTCCTCGTTAAGAAAAATATGTAGAGAATATTCAGCATATAATAGCCAATGAAGAGAGAGAGAGACAGATTCTTTAATTAAAAACAAATATATGAAGAGCGCAATTGTTTTTTCTAAAGAAATCCGTTTACTAAATGTTTCTCTCTGTGATGTATTACGTTAGTACGAAGCTTTTCTCTCGCGTATATCTTCTTCAAGGTTCAAAAGTGCTTGGTATCTGTCAAATTAGATCAATTATCTATGAGCTCGAAAGTCTGTGCTTAATAAATAATTAATTTTAGATGAGTTCATGGACTGAGTTACTTCGAATAGCTATCAACAGCTAACTTTTCTGTTTTTTATTGAGAACAAACAAATGTCAATGGTGTATTCCTCTTTAAGCAATGTGTTGAATCGTTAGATTATTCCAAATCCATTGAGTAATTGATAGATAAAATTGTTGTTCTATTTTCGAAATAAAGATAATTACATTGAATTGGAAGATTAACGCATAGAAAAAGATATGTGGAATAATCTGTCTTCGAGAAGGGTTCATAGTAGATGAATGCGTTCAGTCGGATAGTCTGTCCCTGGATAAATCCTTTTGCGTCAGGAAATCAAGTGAGAATTTGCGGCTTGTTGGAAACTAGATCGCTTTTATACGAAGTTTTTTTATGAATCATTCGAGCCAATCTTGGATATTAATTTTCACTCAGAGACATATCCCAGGACGACTATACGAGATGAATAAGCTGTTCGAAACGTGAATCAGACTGCTAAACTGATTCATCTATTCTGAATATTTGTCCAGGATTCGTTTTCTAATAGAAATCTCTTTGTATTATTATCACGTCTTGTCCGACGCGCCTATTGGATATGGATTACTTCGATGTTACATGATATTGTAGTAATATGCTTGAATAGCAGTAGTTTTGGGAAATATTTAGATAAGATATGCATTTCTACTAGAATATGAAGTAAAACATGAGATTTAGTTTTATTTTCCGAGGATAACAACGAATAAAATAGTGATAATGATGCGCACGAAGACTAACATGTCCAATAAAATGTTTCGATTGATTAATTTCTCTCCGCATTATTTATTTCAATAACGACCACTTAATTTGTTCTTTTGCATGGTTAAGTACCTAAAACAAAAGTAAGATCAACATCTTCCATCAAACTACCTTTACATTTATCTCAAACGAATGAAAAATTCGAACGACATTATTGTTAGATTTCTAAGCGAAATATACTGCTGACAAAAGCCCGAATGCATTCTCATACCGACCTAGTTATCGCTTATCGGTAAAGAGCTTAGTGATTCTCTGATTGAAGACCTGATAAATATAGGACGTTGATGATATCTCTCGGTCAACTGATTTCAGTAGGTTTTTGACTTACCTGAGTGACAGTCTGTTCGCCTAATGGAATGTCATCCTGGCGTAACTGAACACGTTGTGCAATTAACATTGGATCCGATTCTAAGACAATTCTAAACGTAGATCAAAAGGGTAAAGACAGGTTTTGTTTTCATTCAATCTATTTTACCCATCGTCACAAATTTCGTCGAGTGTCAGCATCACTAGATCCAAATTTTCGTAAAGATATCGTTTCTCCACATTTTTTCGCAACATCGTGCTCAATGAGTCGAATAAGCATGTCAACACGGAGTTTAACATTAACTAAAAACGGATTTGTCTGAGAAAGAAAAACAAGACAGCGGTTAGTTTTGTTTACTTCGTTTTCGTCTGTACTGCCAACAACGTAGAAGAGTAAATCAACATTGTTTCGGTAGACAATCGTCCAATTATCCAAAAGAATGACATCGCCTGAACCTTTGTGTGTTTTATTGAACAAAGATTTCTCGAATTCTTTCTGTTCTTTTATCGTTGTATACGATTGATTATAATACTAAAACCAAGAACACCTTCGATCCATTGACATTCAATTCAACAAACACTTACTTTCGCCAAAAGACGATTTCCATCATTGTCCAAGATAATAATACCCTTGATCACATAGAGAGATGGAACCTATACGAGAAAAGTTCGACGAAATGACATTGCTTAAGATGAAACATACGGAAATACTATCGGAAACCATGTTTGAGGTGTTTGCAGACCTAAAGTGAGGAAATCAACTACGTGTCACCGTCTCAATAATAAAGTGACGTGATGCAGCAGCGAGCAAGATTCAGGATTGACTACTCGCTGTCGACCGCATATAAACAAGTATGAAAAATAGACTGTCATCTAGCGACAACTACTGAATAACGATTCATCGATGTGTGCAGCCATCGAGATTTTCTCAGACGAATTCTCGTACAACTTGTTATCAGAATGAATGAAACATTGGTTTTTATTCGAGAAAAGATGAAACATGTTTAAACTTTCGATCGCAAATGATTAGTGTTTTTGTATTCAACTAAACGCCACAACTGTTCATGTAATGGCATTCCGGTCTCGCTTTTCGATTGTTCGCTTTCGACAATCGGTACCAGTGTTTTGATGATTTCCACAACATCTCTCGCACAGCCCCATGAAAGTGTTACGCCTGAACCGGAATGACCGTAGCAGTGAACAATATCCATTCCATCGCTTGTTTTTTCATGTTCGAGTCGAACGCCATCATCTCGATAAGGTCGAAGTCCGACTTGAACTTTGCCATGATGAATTTGTTCCAACGCTGGCAAACATTTCGAACACATTCGAAGAATTTTCTTTGTATCACTTTTAACTGTTGCTGTATTCCAATCATTCAACTGAAATGTACCGCCTAGCACAACACAGTTCATCTGAGGGATGATATATCCTTCGCCTTCATCCGTATCAAAGTTATAAACGGCTTTTATCCATGGTGCTTGAACACGAATGATCTAAGACAAATGACAAGTGAAATTTTACTAGAGAGATCGTTGGACTTTACTTGTCCGCGTGCCGGTCGAACAGTATGGTCATTGGCAAGCTGTCGCGCACCTAAACCTGTACAATTAACAATCAAGTCAGTTTGATCGGTTAGTTCTTGAAAGCTCGAAATTCGTTTATGAATAAATTTCACTCGTGGATCTTGTCCAAGAAAACGACGCACTTCATGAAGGTAGCATCGAACTTCGACAGCAATCGTGGACATGACAAAGCCAGATGTTGGTTTCAGATGATCAAAGATACTCATTTCGCATTCATCTAACATTCGAAAATGTCGAACTAATGTCGAAAATGTTGGCTTCAACGTATTTTTGCCTTTATTTTGTCCATTGTAACCGTATAAAGTGTATGCAGGTACTTTCATAATGCCCGCACGAGCTGCTTTTGTTGAGAAGAATTCGCTCATAAATACATCATACGTATAACCAGCCCAACGGAGAGTTCGTTCATCGATCGTCTCAAGACCATAGGGTTCCCAATAACCTGCCGACACATCGGCTGTTGTGTCCGGTGAGAAACGTTCACTGATGATTACTAGTTGCAACTGTGGATAGGATGAATAGTCTTTTAGAATAGTACATGCTGTAGTCAAACCGATAATTCCACCACCGACGACTGTAATGCGAAGCGACATGACCTACTAAAGCAAACACAACTATGCGATTAGAAAGAGAACATACACGTGCTGTGATAAGCATTATCTCGAGAGGCGAAATCGCTATTTAAAATAACAATCATTGTTGCATTCTATCATCTGGCTTATTTTCAGTTAATGTTCATGAATAAATAGAATAAATAGAAAATTGACAAAACAACAAACACACAATTTTAGTCTTTCTTTTTCTCATCCTCCAACGATGCTTTAGCCATTTGTTCGGCTAGTCGATCAGCTTTTTCTTCGGTTTCGTTAGGAATTGTCGATAAGTTCTCTTTCACTTTCTCAACTGATGCACCTTCGGATTGGAGTAATTTATTAAATTCATCCTAAAGAAAACAACCAATTTCGAACATATTCATTGCAACGAGCAGTTTTACCTCCCAACCAAGTGATTTCGCTAGTTCGCTAACACCTTCATCACATGTACTTTGATGAAATACGTCACGGCGATTTGCTTTTTTTCCATATAATAGCGCTCCAGATCCCTGAAAGGGTCTCAAAGTAAGAACAAGAAAGTGCAAATTATTTCAGTTTTACCATGTCCTGATTGGAGTTTCCAGCTGGTTCCATATTGATCAAAAGACGAGGACAATCCTTATCCACACTAAATGAAAGTCATCGAGGTTAGATACACCTGTAAGCAGCGCAATCGATTACATACAATGTTAGAAGGCGATTAAATGGTGCGACTTTCAATGATGTACCGATGATAATCAAGAAATCAGCTTTCGAAAAATCCTAATAGAATAGTAATGATCCTCACTCTCAACATTCGTCAGGAGCAGAACTTACACTGTGTACACAATCGTTAAACCGAGCGGGAAGTTTTTCACCAAAAAACACGATGTCTAAATTAGAAAAACAGTTCATAAAGACCGTGGCGAAGGTAAGTCATACCCGGCTTGACAATTCCATCGCATTTCTTACAGTGAGGAATTTCATCTTTGAAGATGATCTCTGAAATAAATGAAAAAAGATCGTAAATGATTAGTTAGTATAGTAGAGAGAAACTCGAGTAATTCGTCGCATGGCCACTCACCTTTGATAAATTCAAGGTCATATTCTTCACGACAATCCAAACAATGTGATGTAAAGAATGTACCGTGTGCTTCGACGATTTTGTCAGTTGATATACCAGCTACCCGTTCCAATGAGTCAATATTCTAGACGTGAAAATGTGGCGTACAACAAAAACTCAACGTGGGCACGTACTTGTGTGAAAACTCTCAGCAACTTCTTCTTTTCTTCTAATAATCGAATGAAGTAATGCGTTGGTGTTGGCTAAAATATTCGTAAGCAATGACCAGTAACCGTTTTTAACATACAACTTACTGTGAACTTCTGTGGATAGAGTTCTTTTGCAAGCAAAAAGAACGGTTTGGGATTAGTCTACAACATGTACGATTACAAATCGTATCTTTCTGTTAATCTTCTTACTCGGAAAAAGTCCAAGTGAAACACTGCTTCCGGAAATGGAAGATTGTATTTTTCCAATTGAGAATAAAGACCTGTTCCAGGTGAACGAAAATCGGGTATACCAGCACTTGTGGATATTCCCGCGCCCGCCATGACAACCACGTTGGAACATTTACTCATGTATTCTGCTGCAGCTTCCAAATTAAACGACTTCAAAACAGGATCTTCGGCAGGCTGGTCCGGTTTCGTCGAACCGAATAGACCCGAAAATCTATTCAGTACTAAATTACATAAAAGAGTTTCGTTTTGGCCCATTGGAGCTAAGTTCGATATCTACATTGTTGAAGTAGAGCCGCTTGACCTTTTTCATCATCGTCATCGTCGTCTGTCGAATTTGCTTTGTCTCTCGGCTGCTCATTTGATTCTAAGTATACAAAATTCCATAAACTCAAAGGAACCAATTGAATAACTTACCCGCCATGGGCAATGGTGTTCGAATATGTTAATCTAGAAAATAGTCTGACTTATTCAAGAAAGAAAAATGAGAAAGATCACGAATTATTTATAAAAAGATTGGAAAAATGACTAGGAAATAAAAGACAAAAGAATTCATTCTTTCTGAGCATGATTCGCAAGTGACCGGGTGAGAAAGGTCGTCGGTGCGCCGAGTTTAAATTTTCTCGTTGGTATCGTTTGAGCCGATGAAACTAGAATAAATCAAAATAATCACTTCGTCTATCATGATCACGATCTCTCACGTGTGTATTTCGATTCGATTGCATCGATATGAGACAATAAATTCTCGTTACTACTAGCTTTAGATTGTTGTGCAATTTGAACTGGCTTTTCTGGTGCTTTCAAATCATTTTTATTGGTTTTCTTCGCGAATGGATTGCTAAGTTTGCTGGTTAAGTTCGATACTTTTTTCGTGATCAATGCTGTCTGTCGTTTAATCAGTGATCTGGATAAAGTCAATCGTTTCAGTCGGTCATTACCAGTGAGAATTTTCTTTTGCAATGCTATTGTATCTAAAAAAATAAAAAACAAATTCTCTTGGTAAACATCGAAAATTCAAGCTACCCGAAAGAGATTTCATCGCTCGTAGACCACGTGTAGACGCCGGTGGTGTACGTTTTTGACATGATTCAAGTAATGTTTGAATTTTGTCATTGCGATCAACTCGTTTTGGCGTTTGCAAATGTTCATGGGAGTGACTTGAATGGATCAGGGTCACATCATCACATGAAGCATCTCAAAAGCAAATATCCATTGAAATGAATGAACTGTCAAAACGTTTGTCTACTTACGATCATTGAATGAGATTCGAGAAAGTAATGCTGGAGATAAACTACATTTCGATTGTGGATTGACAGGTGTTGATTGATTATTTGCAAGCCAATGTTCATGAATATAATTGGAAGCTAAAATTTATCAATAATCCGAATGATTATTTGAAAGTTCTATACCTGCTGAGTGTCTAGTTAATGGTAGGTTTTCCTAGATAAATACAAAATTGTTTGATAGATGATCAAATTTCAATGTTTACTTTATCGTCAAATAGATGTGCTTGTTTGATTAAACAAATTCGATCGTATTGATTTGTTATACCAAGATTGATTAGATCGTTTTCATTGACAGTTAAAAGTTCATCGATTGTCGTAAATCGACTTGATAGTGCTGTGCAATATTGCGAAAGAGTATTTTCGTCCGTTGGTATATCTGACTCATGAAGAAATTTCATCCACATTGACGTTTCTATTCAATTCAAGATAGAAATTTATGATTGTGATCAATCTCCTCACCTGATGACATATTCTTGATTAGAATAATATTAAGACCGACTATAATAAACCAAACGAACAGTGTGAAGAGAAGAATACATGTGTATTGTCGGTAAAATATTGTCTAACCAATTGTGAATAATTCTAAGCAGAGGACGCTATACAGTGAGTTTAGTACATCAATTAACTGGTTTAATGCTCTAGGTCAGCATCGACATAGATGTTGCTTCGACTAAATAACTTGTTTGGATCTTCAAATGGCAGGGTTTTGACCATACACTTCAAATTATAGTGATGCTCGAACCATGAAATTTAATTGATTTATAATCTTGGTTTTAAACATGATTTGGACAGGTATAGCCAGGATTACCCGAAAATGAAATCCAAAGCATAGACTCATTGTTTCGAAATTCTCCAAAGACCGAGCTAAAAGGGAATGTGCACGATATCTTTTTTAAACTGCTGTACTTCCACCTCATTATGTGCTTGACAATGAACATACGGCTCAAACTCGGTATTGTATAGCAGACAGAGTTGAAGGCTTATTTTTAAAACTATTGAAAATGACGATAAAAACGGTTTTCAATAAGAGTAATCGAACCTTCATGAATTCAATCATTGTGAAGTATCATATTTTAGATCATAGACACTACTAAAAACCCCCAAACTAATAAAACGGTTTCTGATTGGTTCTTAACTGATCAATGAATTTTTGATTGTTCGCTGATGTGAGTGATTCTCGTTCTCGTGCTTATTTTTAACTAGAATATATAATTATTTATTTATAAAACAAGTTCGAAGCGACCGCAATCTAGTATTATCACAAACTCCCATTGAACGATTAGGTACTAGTTTGATGAATTTAATTGTCACTTGTCCACTTGAAACTGCTGAACACACCTCTCTCCTAACAAGATGAAACATTTCTTTACTAAAGAAGAATCTCTACTCTACTCTTATCCATCTTCTTTCTTTACAATCTTATCTTCGTATAAGGTATAGAAGGTCATATTAAGTAACCTCTTTTCTCCACACTGTTTCGAACACAAACTCATTACCTTGTTCTTTTCTTTCGCCTCGTTCATTCATAGCATCGTAAATAGATATTATCCAACGCAATCATGGATAACAGGTTCATCAATGTGGTTCTACTCGGCTTAGCTTTTATGATTCTATTCACAGCGTTTCAAGCCACTGGCATGATATCGGTATGAACATTTTTCTCTAAAGATTTATATCAATGATGAATGCTGTTTTTTTCTAAAGCAAAGTGTACTGGAAGGAGTCAAAAATGAAACAGTAAATGGCACAAGCTTTCATGGAAGTGGTTACATCAGGTGAGAGCACAGACGATGACTCGGATTTCTGATTTATACAGTTTCAACTTTTAGTATGGCCATCTTATACTCATTTTTCGCGTTAACGAATGTATTTGCGCCTGCTATCGTTTCCATATTGGGCCCATCCGTTTCGATGTTTCTTGGCGGATCAACATACTTGTAAGCAGTTGGTATATTAGATAAAAATGCATTGTTTATTATCGTACTTAGTCTCTATGTCCTATCATTTATTTATCCGATGACATGGTCATATTATGTTGTATCAATTTTAATTGGCATTGGTGCAGCTGTATTATGGACAGCTCAAGGAGTTTATTTAGCAAATAATTCCGATGATTTAACCATAAGTCGAAATTCCGGAATCTTTTGGGCGCTCTTTCAAGTCAGGTATTTTGAAATTTTCTGTATGGAAAAGTACAGCGATTTATTATTTGGTTTTCATAGTCTGTTGGCCGGAAATATATATGTATTTATAGCTTTGAAAGCTCAAATCATTGATCGCGCTACACGAATACCATTATTCGTCGTTTTCTCCATTGTGTCCGCCGTTGGCTTGCTCATATTCATGTTCGTCATTTGGCGTTCATATGTGGAAAAGCATCGTCACACTCTAAGTCGTATTGTTGAAGAGAAAAAGAGTACATTAGCTGATGTAATACACACGTTAAAAGTAGCTGGAGCATTATTGCGAACACGAAATATGCTTTTATTGCTCATTCCTTTTGCCTATTCAGGTAAATCAAACGAACTGATACATCTCTACTACTTTATTAAATCAATGTGAATCTATTTGTGCAGGTTTATCCAACACACTTTTCCAAGGAGTTTTCGCCACATGTATTGGTCATTACGTTAAATATGGAGGTAAAGATGCAGATCATGCTGGTCGCGAACGCCCCACTCTTTTGTTTAGACACTCGTAAACGATTGATTGGCTTACATGGTATTCTTATCGGTTGTGGAGAAATCCTCGGTAAATTGTCTAAAAACGCCGAACATCACGGAAGCGTCGTTTTTCGTCTGTAGGTGGTGGTTTATTCGGCTTCATTACTAAACCGAAAACTGCATCACAGCGAGCATTGATGATACTTGTTGGTTGTATTCTACAAATGGTTTACTATTATTCCGTATTCGTCAACTTTCCAGTCGACTCAGCTTCGAATGAGACTACAACAAAACCATATTTTGATTTCAAGTAAACGTAAAACTAAAATCGGCATGTGTCATTGAAAAAATTTGGTTGTCTCTAGTTCAACAACAAGTCAAGTTATCACATTTATTGGATCATTCATCGTTGGTTTAGGTGATAGTAGTTTAAATACCCAAGTAAGTTTTCTTCTCTAGTAAAAAAAGTTCAAATCGATCTTGTCTAAAATGTCTTTAGTTAATGAATGTTCTAGCAACACGATATAAACAAACCACGGCTTCAGCTTTTGCAATATTCAAACTTGTTCAAGTAAGTTGGCATGTTCGTTGACGCCACTTTTCGTAACCATTTTTGCCTTTCGCCTAGTCATTAATGGCCGCTATAGCATTTTTCTATGCAGGATCATTACAAATTCAATGGCAAACACTCATCGTAGTGCTCTTTTTATTCTTCGGTACTCTAGCATTCTTTGCGGTTCTGTTCGATGAAACAGATAATGATTTAACAGCACCTTTGATAACGAATACTATTCAAGAAGATGAAGACATTCAAAGTACTGCTCAACAAACTCATGCATCGCCAATCGCATGAGAAAAAATCCATATTAGACTTCGTCTTTAGTCTTGATTTGGCTGATATAATGATTCATGTGTTCTTTTTTTGTATAATAGCAACATATGTGATTGATTGAAAAATGCTTTAAGCATAGCGGATGATCAACGATACTTATGTTAATAAAAAGGTCTAGTTTTTATCAGACAAACTTTCATCTATTCATTCCTTATAACCACGCTTTAGTCTTCGTCATGTGTAAGTAGAAGATAAACGAAAGGAATTAATTTCGTCTTCTTTTGTTTACGTTTTATTCTGTTCTTTCATGAAATATTTTGTTGTTAATAAACATCAAAATGAAGCAAAACAAACAAATTTTGTTTTATGTTTCATCAATGTTAGATTGGTTTTATCTATGCGCTTGTTGTTGCACTGGTGGCTGCTGCACTTTTACCAGAGGTCTTTTTGCCTGTTGTGGCGGCTGGTGTAGCAGTTGTTAAAGCTGATCGTTGACCACGAAGTAATGCTGATGCACGACGAAGAGCAGCCTAAACAATAAAGCATTGTTATTTCGCTGTATCAAAGAAAAAGGCTGTACGAACCATCTTGAGGTCTTTACGATAGCGTTGTTTACGGATGGTTCGTCGGATGCTTGTCAATGTACGACGTGAATCCTTGGCGAGTTTAACTTTACGTAAACGCTTGGCTGGTTTTTGTACGCCTGGGCAAGAGAGAAAGCACGAGGTTGTTTCGTTAATGAAGAGATCATGTCTTACTTTTGGTGCTTCCAGTTGAAAAAACAACACCTTTGCCATCTTTAACAGCTTCAACACCAACTACTTTTGGATGAATGAGACCATTGAAACGGAAGTTATTACGATTTTTCAAGTTGTTTGGTTCCTAGAAGAAAGCAAAGACACTCAAGAATTTAGAAGAAAACGAAGGCTAACGAACAGTTGTCAATGTGCCCAATTTTCGTTTTTGTAAAAAGGATGAGCTGTTACGAATGACCATCCATTGAACGTGTGATGAAGCTTGATCGAAACCTACAAATTTCTCCATATTCACAAGGAATGAACTGAGCATTCGCAAACTTACGTCCGCGTGGCATAATTTGGGCAATGATTTCTCAGAAAAAAACAATCTAATCTAAAACACAAAACGATGAATTCCTTTGCTGTCTGATCTTCAAAAAAAAAGAAAATAAACAATAAAGAAATAGAAATCTTTCCTCCTGACTTATGATTGGTTGTCACCATGAACCATCCTATGAGGTATGTTTGCGTACTTCAATTTATCTACAATGCACTAGTGTGTTGCATCGAATTTGGTAGAAAAAGACGTCGCTAATATCAGTCTGAGTCACAATTACTAAGTATTTATTTTTGTCTTAAGACACGTAACAACCATTGAATGGTTTCGAAATGTGACACGATTATAATCGAAAACAAAATGTTAAGAGACGAATTTAATGGTGAGTTTTTTAACTCATGATTTCTTTCATTCTTTTTTGCAATTCTCTCGACGATTAAACACACCGTTCTCTTTCTCGTTAGTTAGATTTATATCCACGATACTTCATGGCTGTACTCATCTTTCTCATCAGTTTACTTCTATTTGTGATGATATTCGCTTACCATCCAAGCGGTGTGATCGAAGTTAATAATATAAACATAACAAAAATTTCCAATGAACAACGTTATCAGCATTATTTGTATTTTCCTCGATCCGAACGTTTGTTATATCGAGAGAAGGCACGAGAAATGTTTCAGTTTGGTTATGATAATTACATGAAATACGCTTTTCCACAAGATGAACTCGATCCGATTCATTGTCAAGGTCGTGGACCAGATGTCGAACGACCGTAAGGAAGAAAACAGCAAACCCAATGCTTTATTCCTCGAACATCTTTCTTTTTAGAGAAAATTACAATATCAATGATGTACTCGGACAATTCTCTTTGACGTTAATCGATAGTTTGGACACTCTAGCTGTTATGGGTAATGTTTCTGAATTTCAACATGCTGTTCGACTTGTTATTGATCATGTTCGTTTTGATCGAAATTCGACGATTCAAGTATTCGAAGCAACTATTCGGTAAGGAAAAACTCTCGAATAATTCAATCGTTTGGTTACATGACAATTTCGTTTTTTAGAGTACTCGGTGCCTTGCTTTCCGCACATTTGTTAATTGTTGATCCACTACAACCATTCGGGAAATTAGCGATTCCAGATTATGATAATGAATTACTCGATCTTGCTCACGATTTAGCATCGAGATTGTTACCAGCATTTGACAAAACACCCTCTGGTTTGCCTTTCCCTCGAGTATGTTGGATAGCAGCAGAGGACAAAGAAGAATGAAAACGTTCCATACTATGTTTAGGTGAATTTAATGACCGGGATTGTTGATGGTTCGAGAAATGACACATCGACAGCAGGAGCTGGTTCACTTTCACTTGAATTCAGTATTCTAAGCCGTTTGGTTGGCGATCCAGTGTATGAACGTGTCGCTCGGCGTGCAGTGAATTCTTTATGGGATAAGCGTAATAATATCACAGGATTATTAGGTATGTAACAATGAGAAAAGTACAGGAGTCATTCTCATTATTTTGAAATTCTTTTAGGCAATATTATCGATGTGAATAGTGGTGAATGGCTTGGTCAATTATCGGGTCTCGGTGCTGGTATTGATTCTTTCTTTGAATATCTACTCAAAGTAAATTCTGACCAATGAGAACAAAATGGATCGAATGATTTCTTTCGAACATTTAGAATTATATTTTGTTCGGTGATGAGTCTGATCTACGTATGTTTGATGATGCATATCGAAGTGTCACTCAATATCTTCGCAAAGGGTTAATATCATTTGAAATTATCTGTTCGACGTCTTTACTACGATATCTTTTCTCTCTGTATCTAGTCGAGGCAATTGCATGGACGAAGATGGTATACATCCAATGTTTGTCAATGTGAACATGCAAACAGGACAATTAGCAACCACGTGGATTGATGCATTACAAGCATCTTTTCCTGCTGTACAGGTTTTACGTGGCGACATCGACGAAGCGATCTGTCTACATGCATTGTATTATTCGATTTGGAGAAAATTTGGAGTTCTACCTGAACGGTTCAATTGGCAAATCAAGATGCCTGATGTTTTGTTTTATCCATTGAGGCCGGAATTCATCGAGTCCACTTATTTTTTATACCAAGCAACAAAAAATCCCTTTTATTTACATGTCGGTCGAGATATTTTAGATAATTTAAATGCCTATACACGAGTCGAGTAAGTGAAAAATGATTTTTTCGGCAAATCGTGACTGCTTTCTCTAATGAATAGATGTGGTTTTGCAACTGTGCATGATGTTCGTGATAAAACATTGGAGGATCGAATGGAATCTTTTTTTCTCAGTGAAACATGCAAATATCTCTTTTTAGTAAGGTTAATAGGAGCAAAAGAACATCGAATGCAGTATTCTGTCTATATTTAGTTATTTGATGAAGAGAATTATTTGAATCAACACGGCGCTAATCATTACATATTTACAACTGAAGCGCATATAATACCTTTGATGGCAAAATTAAGACGAAAAGTTTGGGATTTTAACGAAATGGCGGCATCGAACGAAAATCAAGAGAATGAAAATGACTATGGACCACCTAAAAGTGAACATGAATTAATCAACGTCAATCGGGAGCTAGTGAAAGTTGAAAAAAGCATCATTTCATTCCGGAAGAAAACAGTTAATGAAACAAGTGTATGTCGAAAATCTTTTGACATTTGCATCGAAATTTATCTCGTAATTTTCTCTTTTAGTGTCGATCTCGGCCGCTATCTGATCGACATCAACTTCCACTTAGTGCTAATCTACTCTATCAAGTCGATGAAATGGTTGGGGTGATCATCCCTCATGCGTAATATTGCTCAATGTTTCTATCTACATCGTCAATATTCTTCTCTTCTGTCTTACTTTGATGTCTTTCAGCGCGTGAAAATTCATTTTGTTGTTTCTTTTTCAGTCAGATATGTTGTCTATTTTCTTCTTCTTTTCATTCACTTGTTTTCTTGGTGTCTTTCAAAATTTATTTATTGTATAATGTATATTTTTTTCGGGTGCCTATGATGAGAATTACGTATCAAAGTTATTTTTCTCATTTGATTTCCTTTCTTTTATAGATTGACAAATTATGATCGTCGAGCAGGTTCTACTAGGCGTCCTAGGCGTTATTGCATCGCTCTATACGTTTTATGTCAAGAAACAACATGAAAAAAATCCAAAGTACAAAGCCATGTGCGACTTGGGACCGAATGCAAGTTGTACGAAAGTCTTAACTAGCAAGTAAGACTAGACTAGTCGAGAGAATCCTGATACACGAATTGCTTCATTTCATACGTTTAGATATGGCACAGGTTTTGGTATTGTGAGTACCTTATTCGGTAAAAATAGTAAATTAAACGCATCAAATGGACACTTGGGTATTATCTTCTACACTTTACAGATCTTCTTTGGTAAGACACTATCAAACAGATGTTGTCGACTATATATCGATTCATTGCATTGTTTTAGGGCTGATACCGATTCCATTATTTACTAAACTGGCTTTATGTTCATCTGTCTTAGCTTGTCTTGGTTCTTTGTATTTAGCTTGTATCTTAGCATTCGTTCTCAAAGATCTATGTCTAGTCTGTATTACCACATATATCATTAACGCTGGACTTCTTTGGTCGAACTACAAAAATGTTTACTAAACACTTTTCCTTGTTATTTCTTCCTATTGAATATTTCTCATACGTTGATTTTCATATTTACATGATAACCTGCTTTTGGACAATTTGTTTAATCTCGAAATACTTCAAGTTAAATATAACTCATTCGATGAGCGTTACATTTTGTATGATTTCTAATCGATATAAAACTCAAGTTAGAATAAAAAAGATGAAAACATATTTCATTCGTTTGTTTTCAACGTATCATCATTCAATTAGAAACATTAACAGTCTTAAATTAATATATTCTAACATCACATGGCCGTCTTTTATATACGTCACGTGTACCATTCGATAGTTATCAGAGACTTCTTGCCGTGCTCACGCCATCGTGCTGTGTGCTGAATGAATTTTGAAGACGGTCGTGAAAAACCGAAGGAGAATTTTATTTATTAGTTGACTTGTATTTGTATTTACTACTATTTCAAAGATCGAGAAAACATCTGATATCGTTTTCGTTCTGGTTACGTGATGTGATGTTTCAACTTGATATGTCGCATATAATGACTCATCTTTTCTTTCCATAAGGGTCAATTAAACACCGTCGAGGTCTTCGCCGCTAGTCAAACGAAAATGCACTTGGCGTCTAACAAACCGTTGGTCACTACAATTTTGAATACATTGTTTTCCTGCGACACAGATTCAAGAAGAAATATATTCTTTTCATTTATGAAAGTAGTCACATTTTCTTCTTTTCTCATCTATTAAAATGGAATTCTTATTCTAATGTGTCACGTAGTGCATAATTTCTAATTATAATCCTTTGGCGAAATCAAGTTTGTAATCAATGCTGCCTTCGCAAGTCCAGTGTGATTGGCTATAAGAGCTCAGATCGGATCGAGTGTCAAAAGCACATTTTCGTTTTTGTCAAAATTCTATTGCAAGAAAAGGAATAAAGAAAGACAATCGTCCATACACGCAAAGAGAAGAAGAAGATCAATCACTTTCTATTGGAAAATTCGATGTCGTGCGATTTGAATTGATACATGGTGATCTCATTTACCGCGTAACCGATCATAATTACTCAGTAATGTGCGAATAGACTTTTCATCGATCAGATAGCGATCCTAACGAATTAAAATCATATTTCTTCAATTGTCTGCTGTATGCCTTATGTTTAGAAGTAATCTCTATCAATGACTACATCGGACGATTCCAATCGAGACAAGAAACGCTCGACTACGACGGATAATGTGTGTCAAGTGTGTGCAGAACAATCTGCGAAAAGAAACTACGGTGGTATATCGTGTTCATCATGTCGAACGTTCTTTCGTCGAAATGCTTTTCCAACAAAAGTTCGCAGCGATAAAGAAAATTTTATGTAATTTTTTGTCTGATTTTGCCTTTTTTTGACAGGAATCGATAAAATGTCGCTTTGATAGTCATTGCGAAGTGAATTTGTTGACTAGAAAAGTTTGTGCTGCATGCCGACTTTCTAAATGTCTTGCTATAGGAATGAATCCTGATTACATTCGAAAAGAAGATCTATCGCAGAAAAAGCGAAAGTTACGACAAATGAAAAATGCAGCATTATCTATCGTGGTACGTACTCTCAGCACGGTTGACAATAAACCGCAAAATTCATTTCTTTAGACAATACCTCAACAATCAGCACTGGATTTGCCCAACGATACCCGCCATCTATGTCTTAATCCTTCTGATCAGATATTAATTTCAAATGTTATACATGCCTTTGATACATTCAATCCAGTTTCTGAAGTGCGTCGAACGCTGTTATCGATCAGTACAACAACACAAGACGCCTTGCAAACAGTTCAATTGATGTCATCATTCTACCAATCTCTGCAGTCATTTATCAGGTCAATACCGGATTTTCGTATCTTGACACCAACTGAACAATGTTCGCTGTTTCAACGTAATATGCTTGGCTTATTATGCATCGGCGGAATGTATTTCATGCGTGAATTAGGTGTTTTCGATCGACCTGAAAATGAAATGTTAGTCTTGCCATTCTACGGGAATGAGGTGTTTCAACAAGCGAGATTGATTTGCCAACAATTGAAATGTGATCCTGTTGTTTTCAAGCTTCTGCTTGTTGCGTTGGCCTTCTCATCCAATTGTTACATGTTGCACAATCGTGCAAATATTGATCGCGATAGTTTATTATTTGGTACATTTAGGCTGTTGGGAAGCCAGAATGTTTATATTGAATTAGTTTGGAAATACTTAGTGTACACGTATGGATATCAATATTCAGTGCAACAATTCTCAGTATTAGTTAAACAATTTCTTGATTCAGTGAAACTCTCGTTCGACATGTATGAAAACAATCAAATTCATCAAGATTTTATCGATCAATTAACTGAACATATCGATACCTCATCTAACACAACTGACACAAGTATTGTACCTCTATGGGGAAAGAAAAAATAATTTTTTTATTAGAGTGCTTTCTCTTTTATGATGTATATTGTTAGACAATTGAACAATAGTATTTGTTTATTTATTTATGTATATATAGCAATCCTAAACAATCAATAAACATATGCAGTTGAATGTCTGTCCATCACACATATTTGCCTGTGATTTTACAGGTTAGATTGTGGATAACCAGTCCAATTCTTTAGTGTCGTTAATTGTGCGAGATGGTGTTCAGCTTATACGCAAATGTAGAGCATACTTCTCGACATACGCAAATTGAATAAGAAATAACATTTTTTGAAATACATTTTAAAAGTATTCGGTCGCTGAACAAGATTGTCTGATGAGTTTTACATGGAAAGGTTATTTTAGAAGAGTGAAAGTTTAATTAAACAGTTAATGAGATGCTTTCTTTTTCAAGTATGCAAAGAAGATTAATCTGCAATGAAATCACTGCGGATATATTTTACATCAATTATTAATCGACCGTCGAAAGTTCTCAAAGAAGAATCGAGGATAAATGAGACACTACTAGAGGCAGATTAGATAAGACGCAATTTCTTGATAATGCTCCTGAAAAACACAAGTCCTTTTGTTTTATTTTATATATCACACATAGTTGGATTTTGTTTTTTTTGGATCATTTTTTTATCTCACGAAAACAGTTCGTTTTCAAACGCTAAAATGAAAAACCTCGAAAACACTAGTTCACAGAGTAGAAACACCCAGCATTAAAATCAAACTGCGACTTATCAAATTAAAGTGCAGCATAAGGTACAGTATCTCCGTACGCAACAGACACATTTTTCTTTGTATTTAGATTCGCAACCAATGAAGTCAAATTCAAATATGGCATCGAAAGTGAATATCTGTCAAGCATGTGGAGGCAAAGCGCATTTTGTGAATTATAGCGCATTAACGTGTTCATCTTGCAAGATGTTTTTCCGACGACATGCTTTTCATCGTTAAGTTCGTGTTCCAACAGTTATGATTATACTTATGTTATTCTTGTTTTCCTCTTACTACAGATTTATCAATGTGAAAATAGAGGAGATTGTCTGATTAGGTGCAAAACCAAAGATTCTGTGCGGCATGCCGTCTGATGAAGTGTTTAACGGTCGGAATCATGTCAGATATGATACAAAAAGAAGATATTCGTGGAAAACAGTCGGTCGCAGTTGCAAGGGAAGAAAATATGATAGTTGAAATTAAGTTCCACACGAAACCATTCACTTATTACCCTCAGTCTTATTCAACATTACCCACGTTAGATCTTCTTCGCAACGACCGATCATCTCTCACTCCATTCGACTGAAACATGCGCTTTCCAATGTGACACACGCTTTTGACATTTCACAAATCTTAATTCTCTTCACTCAGTTCTACACATCCATCGAATCATTTACTTCCTCATCAGCCGACTTTCAAACGCTGACTCTAGCTGAAAAGCATTCCCTGTATCATCGAAATCTTGTGGAAATATATGATGTATCAATATGGTTATGTCAAAGCAGCAGTACGACTACTGAGTTTAGTAAAGAATTTATTGGATCTTCTAGAAATGTCTGGAAGAATGCATCAATCGAGTCAAATACACCAAGATCTTGTCCAAGGAGGTGTCGGATCGGCTAACGAAGAACTGACTATACACGAAAATGATGTAGTCTCATTGTGGAGTAAGTCATAAGCCTACGCAGACTTTTCCTTAAAATGCTCAACTGAGTTTGGATCTCAGAGTTAGCTGTAACGTTGTGATAGAGGTCTAATAAAAAAATGCTAAACTTACTGAGAAGAAAAAAACGATGGTTTTTGCTGTAATTACAGTCATTTGTTTGATGCTAAGCAGAGAATCAAATGTGGGCTTGACACTATCCTTACTTCTAGATCGTTCAAAGATAATCTTCGTCGGGTGTCAACTGCGCAATAATTCCGAGTAACAAGACAAAAGTGCAAGCGCATCTTGTTTTAGTCTCCGTTCTTATGAGAGCGTATCTAAAATGCACATAACCAATTGCACTCGAATTTTACCACGAACTGTATCCGTAGTGTATCTGATTGCATCGTCTTAATTATGATTAAGATAATCCTTCGTGGATCTCCTAGCGAAATTCTCGATGGTGAACTAAGATATAGGAAACCTGTTGGTATCGCATAATCATGAGGGAGTTATAAATAATAGATTGCAGATATTGTTTCAAATGATGAACGTAAGAAAATGCGATTTCGTAATATAACATTTAAGAGCATCATGAAACGTCCACTGTTCCCATAGCGAAATATGAAATGACGATTTTAGTAAATGATTCATTCGAAATATGCACGAATTGGGATAGGCATTTGTATGCAAACAAACCGGTTTCATAGCTATGATAATAATGAAATTTTTCAAAGGAAAAAATGTTCGTTTTTCTCTCGTTTTATCATAGAACAGAAAAGGAGAACTGGTATTTTTGTCTATAAGTACCTCCGCTCACGCATTGTAGAGGACGAAGAGAAAATATTTTAATATAAATGACTCGATATAAGATGAGTGAAAAAGAAGAAAAAAGTAGACTCGCTACTTTTTTACTTGACTCGTAATTTATGAGATAACGCATCCGTCGTAATACACTCAAGTATTATTTTTTATTCTTCTCTATATTAGATTAATTAATATTCGTGATTAACACGCAATAGTTATGTTATTGTCGATAAGAGTTGTCGTAATTCGAAATATAAACAGATAGGATTTGGAGATAAAGATTTATGGAGATGGACGTGAGGGTGAGAGTCGATGAAGAAATCCGTGTTTAGTTTTACAGGTTCCATGTTAAATAAGGATTTTATTTAATCTAGTGGCATGATGACCCGTCTCCGCAGCAGTTCCCAGTCCTATTTTTTAGATTAGTAGTTGTGCTGCGACAGTAAAATGACTTATAAAAGGCCGTTTCCTGTGCAAAAATTCCCACCTAGTGAAACTAAAAGTAATCTATCTCAAAACTATATCTGTCACGTTTGTGGCGACAAAGCACATGTCATCAACTATGGTGCACTCAGTTGTTCGTCGTGTAAAACGTTCTTTCGTCGACATGGTTTCTATTCTCAGGTAGAGATATTTACGTACATTTCGTTTCGTATGTCAACGAGTATATGTACATTTAGCGAAGTTTAGTCTGTCATTTCGATGGAAAATGTTCGGTTACGACAGAAACAAGAAAATTTTGTACGGCATGTCGTTTCGCGAAATGTTTATCAATTGGAATGAATTCGGATTTCATCCGGAAAGAAGATTTGTCATCTAAAAATCGTCAAACACATTTAATGAAATACAATTCAATGATGAAAAAGATCATCGTATGTATTCTCCTGTATTTCAGTTGACTTTCCTACGGCTAGGAGCGTACGTAGAAATAAAATGTTACGATAATTACAGTATAAACTGTACGAAAATGCACGGTTTTCAATTTCTGAAAGATTTATGAATTTGTCAACTAGGTATTTTTCTTTGAAAACATATGAACTGGTTTACAGGTTTTAGGAGAGATGGATGTGCCGATTAATTGCGCGCCTAATTTGTTTTTTAGCATAAGCTGCTGACTTTGGTGTTTAGGTTCAATCGGCTTTTCTCTTTTAGTGCTCAATTTTCCCATACCTGCACTAATTGATGACTCCTCTCCTTGAAATACTTTAGACGCAACTGCCCTTTACTAAGTACAGCTTATTTTAAGAAACACCACCGAAAGGAGAGATCACATTCGCTAGCATTGTCCACTAATCTATTATCTAGCCTACCGTTCGATGCAAACTTTCAAGTACTGTGTAAACTACATTTTCACATATGAGATGCGGGGATCATGTTCTCATGTAGAATAATTTGCATCTAATTGTCACAAGTACGCTGGCCTACGTCAGACAGTTAAGTACAGATCATCATCGCCATATGAAACCACTCGACGAGTATATGTTTTCACAATAGATTTTTTTAAATAGCCTCTGGGTCACTTAGCCACGTTAGATCTTCTTCGCAACGACCGATCATCTCTCACTCCATTCGACTGGAACATGCTTTCCAATGTCACACACGCTTTCGACAAGTTCAGTCCAGCATCTCAAACGCAACGTTTCCTCCAGCGTCTTTGCACTTGGCCTCAACACCTCTCCTTCGACATTTCACAAATCTTGATTCTCTTCACTCAGTTCTACACATCCATCGAATCATTTATTTCCTCATCAGCCGACTTTCAAACGCTGACTCTACCTGAAAAGCATTCCCTGTATCATCGAAATCTGCACGGTGTTCTCAACCTGTATGCGACATTCATTTTGTCAATCTCTGGCATGTTCGACACACTCAGCAATGATAAAATTCTGACAAGTGTATATGGGTATCAAATGCACTGCCGGCTAAAAAACTTAATTATAAAACTTGAAGCCGATGTCACGATTATCAAACTCATGCTTCTCATTCTCGCTTTTTCCACGAACTGTTATATGGTAGATGATCATGGAGATGTCGGTCGGGATAGTTTATTGCTGGGAACGTTTCGTTTACTTGGCAGTCAAAACATGTACATCGAAATCCTGTGGAAATATATGATGCATCGATATGGTTATTATAATGCATCCATGCATTTACTTCTGATTGTTAAAACTATACTTGGCCTGTTAGATTTGTCTGCGAATATACATCAAACGAACAAATTCTATCAAGATTTTGTCGAAGAAGCTGCAGAATTCGCTAATGAAGAACTGACCAGACACGAGAATGAAGTCGTCATCCTATGGGGTCGGGAATAAGGTTTTAATACTTGACATTTATGGCAACAATCATTAAACTGGACGCATTATCGGAGAAACGAAACAAAGTCCAAGTAAAAGTTACTGACAGTAGAAGATATTTTCAGGTTGTGAATAAACATCTTCTTTTTTGGAATCGCATCTCAAATAAATGACGTACTTTCAGATATATCGATAAGCTGTTTATAATTGAAGCCATAGCGCGCTGATTTTATATGCGATCGAAGGAAAGACGAGATCTATCTTTTCATAAGTCTGACAGATCGGTCGCGTGCCACTCGACAATTGAAGCTATAGGAGTGAGAAAGAACATGTTCGTACTACGACTTTAATTTTTAGTTTTATTCTGATCTCGATGTTATCTCGTTTTTCAGCAATAAAAACGCATGTTGGCTCATGTCTTTTTCACGTATTCCATTGCAAGTCCTGTAAAAAACACACTGCAATTATATAAACATATGATAAAAGAAAAAATAAACAAATTACACTGTTTAATATTCTCTTGAGTACATGATGAATGAAAATTTCTTAGAATCTCATTATATGTCAGTCTGAAAGAATATGGTGCTATTTAGAATATTATCATTCATTATTATCTTTTCTGAGAGCAGCTTGAACATTCTTTTCAACTTTTACCGAAGGTAAAATGTTCTCTTAGTTTCTTTAAAAACGGCGCAGATGTTAAGTGAAAACAGACCGTGGAATAACGCGTGTTGCCTGACTGTTTTTCTGCAGAATATCATGTTTTAAAACAAGTTAAAGTCTATTATTCTCTCTGAATTCTTCTATTTATTCAAGATTAGCATTTCGCATCAAATTTTCTAGAATGCCGTTTAAACGACTACCTTCTAATGCCTCGATTCGACAACATCGACTAGCGGAACCCGGCGTTTGTCTAGTTTGCGGTGACCAAGCAAGTGTTGTCAACTATGGCGCACTTTCATGTTGGTCTTGTCGTACATTCTTTCGTCGACACGGCTTTCGTATAAAGGTTTTCTTTAATTAAACATATTTTCACATACGTTTCATAAATAAACTCGCCGTTCATCTTCTATCTTAGAACACTCTCGTATGTTATTATGCAAAAAACTGTTCAATCACGATCGAAACGAGGAAGCTCTGTACAACTTGTCGATTACGAAAATGTCTAGCAGTGGGTATGAGCCCAGATTTTATTCGCAAAGAAGATCTTCATGACAAACTGCGATTATCAAAAAGACGTAAACAAAAACTATTAGCACAAGGTTCTATCGTACGTATATACCATCATCATCTATTTCACAGCAACTATCTACTTTCAATTGCTTTAGACTCTTCCACAGCCATGGTCATTGAACCTCTTATCCAAAGATCAATCAAGTCTTACATCAACAAATTGGCAATTGCTTTCCAATGTTGTTCATGCCTTTGATAGCTACCAATGTATACCAATCGCCAAAGATATTGTCAAAGTGGCCAGTGATACATATCCACCCTCAACAGATAGAGCCTTGGATTTGATGACTATCATTTATACCTCATTACAATCGTTCATTGAATGTATTGCTGATTTTCGCGTGATGACAAGTGAGGAGCAACGTTCATTATTTCATCGTAATATGCAAGGTTTATTAGCCTTCTATTGCGTTCTTTTGTTTCGCGAAGCGGGAATATTTCGTAACCACATGTCTGAGAATACACTCGTACCTCTATACGGTTACAACAATGTTCAACGTACAAAATATATCAGTAACTTACTTGATTACGATCTCACACTGGTTAAATTAGCGCTGACTGCTCTGACGTTTTCATCGAACTGTTATATGACTAGTGTAGAACAAATGGGATCTTACAGAGATTGTTTATTGTATGGCACATTCCGTTTATTTGGCAGTCAAAATGTTTATGCCGAACTCTTATGGCGTTATATGCTTTACAAGTATGATTTTTCTCAAGCGGTACGACGTTTCGATGCTTTGATCAAAGCTTCAGTCGATTCTCTTACTCTTTCATCGAATATCTACGAAAGTAACAGAACTCATCAGGACTTCGCCGATGAACTTGCTCTAAGAACTGAATTTTCATTACAATTAAATGAAACTAAAGACACACCACTATGGGGTAAAAAAACAGAATTCAATATCATCTAGCAAGATAGATATACATATATATGTGAATTCAATAATCTGTTCAAGCGTTTGATTTTGTAAATGTGTTATCAGATTGATGTGTTTTCCTGTATAAGATTTGAAAAAAAAGACAGATAAACTTCAAAACATGTTAGCATTGTTTATCAAATATAATTCCGTTCAATTATCTACTTATGAATGGGAAAAGTGTTTTCGATTTTTCTCGAATATCTCGATGAACAATTTATTCAAGGGCAAGTACACAAACAAACATTGGCCTATCAATTTTTTCCTCTCCATTGATAAACAGATGTTGAGATTCTCTTTTTCTTACGTATGTCGTCTTTTACTATCACTCGACCTAATCATCGATGTGTGTACACATGGTGTTCAAGTGTAAAATAACAATGAGAACAATTAATCATATATATATATATAAGCATTGTGTACGAGACGAGCAAAATGACATCATTCAATAATCATCTCTGACATTTAGTATTGTTTTATAGTCTCTGCTAATATGGAAACCATAAGGTTTAATTAGAATCAAGACGGAAATGTTTCACTATTAACATTCGATTGATGTTCTCCTCTGACGAACCCTTCTGACGTACAGATACGAGAGCAATGAAGTTCTATGAGCATACTCATCTTCTGAGTAATTTTATTATCTATTAAGTACTACCTGCTTAAGTTCGACAATGACCATTGACAATGCCGATTAGCCATACATATCGATGTTCTCGTACAGTCTCTAGTAATTGAATAGCCCATCCGTTCATCATTTATCATATTGTTCTTTTTTCTCTGATCGCATCGTATTTTATCTTTGTCATTTGTTTAGCAGAACATGTACTGGTTACTGTTGATCTTGTTCAACGTAATAGCATCGATCCATGCTCAACGGCCTGCAACACTTTGGATTACCGATGCCGAAGAAGATCTTTGTAAGTTGATTTGACATATCAGTATCAAAGAAANAAAACTGCCACACCCGATAGATATAGATTTTTTTTCAAACATCACTCATCTTTCAATTATCCGACAAGCATCCGTCGTACTAGTCGGTCAATTCATTTTCATTTTCTCTCTGATTCAGCTTGAGGCTGATTTCAATAGGATCAGTGAACATGGAATAACAAAGATAATTAGCAGCAGGCGTTCGTTTGGACATGAACGCATTTCTTTTTTTATTCGAGGCGTATACAAGCGTTCAATGTTTTGGAATAATCGAGTAGAAAAAAAGAAGAGAGAGCGAAGGAAAGAGAGGAGAGAAAAAATGTGAAAGCAAAAGAGAGAGAGAGAGACGGAGAAAGAAAATAAAACTATGTGCATGTCTGTTGTATGTTAAATGAAGAGAACGTTTGTCCATTTTACATGACACCTTGTGTGTGACAGACAGAAAAATCATAGAAGCATTCGTGATCAAATGCTATGCTGTTATTCTTATATATTCTAATGAATTTAGCTGGTTCAAATGTGGCATTCGATACAACAACGGAAAATTATACTGTGTCCGTTAGTGGTAAATGCGTTTTAACCTGCTATGTTTCAGAAATTCGTTCATTCAAGGTAAGTTCAAAAGAGAATATATTGCCTTTTTTTGTATTTAATGAAATTTGGTTTCATATGAGAGAGACGTGAGAAGAAAATCATATTTCGAAAGCAAACATAACCTGTCAATATCTGTATGAGACATGATCAGTCGGTGGAAGAAAGCCATTATTTACATATAAGAGAGAAAGGAAAAGACGATTTGTTTGATTTTATTGTTCGATATGGATAATTTGATATTTGGAACGATTATTTGCATTGGTGCACAGACGCGCAACATATTGCATTGTGAAAAGACATGATCAAGTTGAAAATTTCCATATGCGGATGGCGACGAACCGGAAGACGATGATTGTGTGTCTGTGTCTCATGTGAATAGAATGAATGAACGTGTGTATGTGTGTGTGAAAAAGACATTAGAGTTCGATTACAAGGCTAGATATACACACACATGTTTGGATGAAATTTAAGCATATACCAATCGTAATGAAACTTTCGACAAGTTCGATAATTACTTGTAAATTGCCTTTGAACTCTTTCTTTCGCTTTATACTATATACTTAAACTAATAGAATGAATTTGATGGTAGTCAATCAATGAATGTGTCGATGATTGTTTTCTCCGCCTTGGACATGCTAATAATACGATAATGTTTTTCTTTTTTATTGAACTGTCTATTTTCAGGTACTTTGGCAAAAAATTGATCGAACAAATCTAGGTGGAAATCAGACAAATAATGAACAACTAACGTTGATTGCATTTGATGGAGTTGTCTATTCGAATAAAGACCATTATCGAGTTGAATCTGATTACGTCGGATCCTATAATTTAATTATTGATCGTGTGAATGAAGATGATCAAGGTGAATATCAATGTCAGATCAATACGGAGCCAAGAAAAACCAAACGAATCTTTCTAACCGTTCAAGGTAAGACAAACACGATACAAACACATTGTTCTCATTTCTATGTACACTATTTTATTAGTTCCACCACGCATTATCGATTTTCGTCCTAATCCTTCATTAGTTTCTGTGCAAAGCGGTACATCATTAACTTTATTATGTCGTGCTGAAGGCACACCATTGCCACGTATACGTTGGCGTATTCGTGATACTGATACGAATCGAATTGATCTGTGTAAGTAGACATATTAATGACAGTCTGTATTCAATCAGCTCATGTTTTTCTTCACACGCATTTCTGAAGCTGCAGAGTGAGTAGAACACCTAGAACGATTGTATTATGCAAAGAAAAAAACGAACAATAGAATCGTGTTGGCACCTTTGTTTTAATATGTACATGAAGTTCATATATTTTGTTTGTCGTAGTGCCGCCTGACAATAGCAATGTATGGTTTATACCATCCGTTAGTAATCAATTTCCACGTACCGTTGAATGCATTGCAGATAATGGTGTTTTACCCGCATCGAATCGTGTCTTTACAATCAACGTCGAATGTAAGTTTAGATTTTTCTATCTATAATTAAAAAGACAAAGAATGAATGATTTGATATGTGTATGTAGTTGCCCCTATTGTTATGATTAATAATGATTTAATCCAAAGTCAATTGTATCAAAATATAACACTTGAGTGTGCAGTATCGAGTCGACCACTTGCTCGTATAATATGGGAAAAGAAGGGTAATTTAATGGCGGAAAATCAAATGAGTAATATTCAAATCAATCAAACAATGATAATAAATCGACTGAATATTCAAGTAGATAGATTTCATATATTCTCTATTATTATATTTGAAGAATCTTTTTCCTAGTTAACTAATGAAGATGATTTCGGTCAATATAATTGTATTGCTGAAAATGTACACGGACGAAAAGAAGCGATGGTTTTCCTTTTGAGTAGGTTACTTGTGCCTTTTTACCTAATAAGAAGATGTCAATGCTTTCTTTTCTATTTTCAGAAGAAACGATTGTTTCGTCGACATCAACACCCGTATCAACAACAAGAAAATTTCATCGATACACGAAAAATTCTTCGTTGAGATTGAACTATACTCGAAAACACTTCCGAACGACAACAATCCGCACAACAACAACGACAACAACAACACCAATCAGCACTACTTCCTATATCTATGTCGAACGTGGTATTCATATCAGTTCATTAACCTATCGTTTGCAAACATCGACTCAATTACTTCAATTGATGTTATTCATTATCGCAGTCTTCCGATTTGCAAGATAACATTCATCTGTTGTACATGTTTGTGTGAGTTTTTTTACAGTGATATAATTCTATTTATTGAAAGGAATAAAAAGACAACTAAGGAACGAAAGTTCGTCATGTACATCCGGCTTCTTTAGCCTCTTGGATGGCACGACGACGGTATTGGAAATGAACAGTAAAGACAACGATAAGAACAATAAGTATCGTTAATGTAACAAATGCATACATATAAGCGACGCTAATCAATGCTAAGGAATAGACGTTTTTCGCACACCAATGTTCAGGATCTTCTGTCGTTTGTTCGAATCGAGGCAGACGATGATACCAAATCAAATGATTTCCATAGATAAACCAAATGACGAGGAAAAGTGTTGTAAGAACATCCATAAACGCCTATAAGACAACGTTGATTTCATTCGAAATTCAATTAACACCTAGTGGTCATCAAATGCCAATCGAAAGAGTGCTTGAAAAGCATTAAAATTTTAAATATCTATTTTTAAACAAAAATGTCACTTTGGGTTGACGTAAACGACATATTTTTCTTTCACGACCCGAAAAGTACAAAGTACTTTCATGTGTTGAAAGAAGTGTGAAAAAAACCTTTTTCCAATCGGCATGTTCAATCGAATTGAGCATATTCGACATTTTTTGCTCGATTTAATTAATCAAATCTCCTGAGTCCTCCACAAGTCTCCATTGAGTAGAAATAAACACGAGCTTATTGCTTTCTCTTTTTTGCTTTGTTCTGATAATTGACCTTCTATTAGTCTTAGTTAGCATACCGAGCCATTTTGAGTATCGTTGCCTTCTTCTTCTGTTGGAGCACTGTGGCGATTGTATTGTTTCCAAAGAACTTGTAATAATTTAAGCAGACCTAGAGCACCGCCAACGAGAACAAACACCGGAATATTACGGTTTAATGGACATTCTTCCAGATTTGAGATGCCTACATGAAATAGATGTGAACCATGATTATTTGCAAGCAAATTGACTCTTACCAACACTAATCATAATAATCGGTAGAATAAGAGAAATTGCAAAGAGAAACGACGCTGCTTCTACGAAGAAAAGAGAGTTCAAATGACATATCTATGTTGTTTTAATTTAGATTAGAATTACTTGTTTGGAACAGGATCGAGGTGGTTTTCCTTACAAAGTCAAAGAAATGCTCAGCATCTATGTATTCTTCATTGATTCGTGCGAAGACTGATATGTTCGTTTGACGATCTCTCAGCTCGCTAACCGACCATCGAGATGTGTAACGATTGTTATTATCATCACCGTACTAAACAGATGAAAGAAAAGAGCATGAACAGTGATCAATTTTGTAGAAATTCTTTACAATTTCCATGTAACATGATGTTTTGGATTTGCTTGTAGGATAGATGATTGAAACTCAAGAGGGAGATGAGATGTTCGATGTTTCCTCGAACGTATTTACTTCTTATGAAAAGTTAGTTTTTGATCTGAATATAAAGAATTGAGTGAATGAATGAATATCTATGGAATTAGTCAGAGCAGCTTTTTTTGTCGTCGTCTTCAGTATTTCCGAAGTAAAGAAAAATAATCATAATCTATGTGAGTTGAGAGGCGAGAGAAAGAGAAAATAGCGAGACATTTTCTATGCACATATCGTCACTCAACTAGAAAATAATCGATCGAAAATGAGAGTTTTCTTTCCGGATTACTCAGTCATATTGTATCTTAATCATCTCGCAAGACATGAAAAGTCTGTATCGTTTAAATAAAAGATCTTCATGCACTGCTTTATTCTCTCTGTTCGCTTGAATAAATATCGGAATTAACCGGATTTGATACAAAGAACAAACGTCTCATTTCAAGACGCTCGAATCTTCATCGAACGATCCCTGGTTTATCATAATTCTTTCATTTTCAAACAAACGTTTACCCTTCTCGTGCATGTATATGCTGTTCTGTTGACACGCGTAAATATCTAAATGACTGAGCAATCATTTGGAAAACAAAAATCAACAATATTTCAATTCCTCCCTACTCTCTAGTGAATAATCAATCATCAGCAAAGAATACGTACATTACCTTGACATCAAAGTGTTGTTGTTGCTCGTGATTATCTGTTTTCATAGCTCGACTCATATGATTTATTTTTTTGTTGAAAAAGAAAATGACAAGGGTGAAACAGACAAGAACAACAATAATATGAAATAATGCAAAAAAAAAATGGAAAGGACAAGTCATGTAATTGCTATTTGTCGACAAGAACGTGTTAGTTCTTCTCGCTTCTTTCTTCTTTTCTAGAAGGGAAAATAAAATAGATATTTTTTTACATTAGAATATAAAATAACATTTGAAAATATTCTCACATAATGGATCGGAAATGAAAACCATAACAGGGTAAATCGAACTGATCAGTTGATTTGGTAATGGTATTCTACCTTGACATAAATACATTCCACTTTCGTTCTTTCCGATTCGGTCGATCAGCAACCCATCGGTGGTTTCCGAAAGTTCAAAACGGTGATTATCTGAAAATTAACTTGAAAGTTTTTCGTCAGAGTTTTTTTTTCGATTGATTACCAGTGACGCGAATAAGTTGAGCAATAGGAACCGATGGTGAAGTTATTTTCATTTGGAAGTCAAAGTATTCCGGTCGACAAGCAATGAACAGCGTGGTGTTCGGTCGCACGTGATATTCGGGTAATGTTGATGATTGAAGTGAAATTCCATGTGTTTCGGCAATCACTAGACAAAAATGTTGACTAGATTTTATTTTCTGTTTTCATTCCAACTGACTTTGTGCTGTCAAAGTAATCGATGTTGTTGCTACTGTTACTTCCGTTCGGTTCATCGGAGTTGATAAAGAACGTGAACGGCAAACATACGTGCCGATCGTAACCGGCGCTAACCGGAGATAGAGTGCATGAGTATCACTTAATGTATATGTTGTTATTCTATTAAAATAACAAAATAGATTCAGATTTGAATATGTTTATTTTCTTTTCCAGGGTATTTTACGGTTGATCGAATGATGCATTCGCTTGGATAGTCGTTCCGTTTTCAAAACTCCATTCAGGTTCGATGTGTTCATCGTGTGATTGGCAAAGAAGTGTGTACGTTCGACCCATTTCGACATTGAGATGAGACAGATTCGGTAGGATGTGGAGAATTTGATTTGGATCTATAAAGCAGAGAAAGATTTGTGCTTAAATACGAAAGTATCATTGAATTGTAAGAAAATTTTCTTTTCAAAGGTTTCTTTAGACTATACAACAAGAAACTTTCAGATGAAAATAACTGATATTTTCGTCAACAGCTGAGCGAACAACTACGAAATATTGTTGAAGGAAAACATTTCCATTTCGAGCAATGAAGTTAATAATCATTTAGTCGATTATAGTTGTTTTGTATAGTATAATCAGAAAATGTAATCGTTTGAGATCTTAGTCAAGTAAACACGAAGACATTTTGTCTACCGAAGGAGCACAAGAAACTTTTAGCAAGTTTTCTACATGGTTAGTTTTGTTCTGTTGAAAGGAACAGTTCGAGTGCTGTCAAATTGATGCTTTCAAATGATATACTTCACATAATTCGATACGATTTCTTTTTTTTGAAGAATACCAACGTTTCCGGACATCAAGTCCGCTAATTGTGCTTCGATAGACACTTTTCAATCCAGAGCGTGAAGCGATGAAAGGACAAAGTTCTCTTTCTCACAAAAAAGAATTCTGTAACATACTTGAGGAAGGAACACATTGTGAATACTCGTCATTCCAGATGTCATCGTTTGAACATGTTTGATTTGATATATATCCATCGATATTGCAATATGAAATCGAGTTTCTTGTCACCAGATGTTCGTGAAAACCTGTGCATTTTTTATTTTCAAGGTCGGACGGAGATGTCTCGTCGGTGAATGATGATGACGAATCTTTGAGAAAATAGAACAGGTTGAATTTGGAATGAAAGGTTAAAGTTAGAGGTGGTTTACTTTGCAATTGAACGTAGATGGGATAAAGCTTGCTGAGGAAATTATTTCGTAATGTGATAAAAGCTCGGCAGTAATAAACACCTTGATCGTAGTAGCTAAAGTTTCGTATAACTAAACTGTCAGTACCTAACGTATACTTTTCGGCTATGCGAGAAACGAAAATGCAAATTAAAAAAGATCCGATGGATAGTTTACTGTTATTCTGTATTTGTCGTCGTTCGAAAAACCAGAGGATTTTTGGAAGATATGGTGAATCCATTGCCTATGAGCGTATGGAGAAAAGATATAGTACGCGGTTTTGTATAGTTTTGTTTTATCTACCTTTTCGCTGTAATATTGTGCAAAACAATTCAGTCGTACATGATCTCCCTGGGCAACTATTTGATTGGTAGTTGTACTCATAAAACGAATCTGTTTTGTCATATCGGGTTTACGTTCTAAAGAGAAAATGTCTTCATTTGATCTGTCCATCGAATCATTTCGTTTACTTGTCAGTTGCAGAATGATCGTTGAAATAGTCTCATTAGCTTGACAAAGATACGGTCCTACGAGGGAAGCATCCATTCCACGAATAGCTAAGATCGATTTTCGATTGTATTCAGTTGTTTGTAATGAAATGCTAAAAAGAGATCTATTCATTGATTTCTCGACCAAAGTCATGCTTACCTAGATGTATCCGATGTTAGTCGTTGAGCAATGATCCATTGTGGCTTAGTACCAATGCATTCAGCATAGAAATCAGCTCCTTCCTCGATTGATAGATAACCGCCATGGGGCGAAATAGTCGCAGCTGAGATTGTTGTGATCCCGAACCATAGAAGAATTAAACCTTTTGAGAAAAACTAGTAATCATGAGTGAAACAGCAAGAGTTCTTTTGTTTACCTTGAAAATGTTTCATGGTAGGTCTGACCGATGTGAATGACCCCGTCCTTCTAATGATATTTGATTTCTCTCTATCTATTATTCAAATAAATGTTTATTTGAACATGTCTCTTCATTCTCTCTCTCTTCCTTCCTATCCTCCCTTCTCAATCAACAATTTCGAAATATGTACACATCAGCTTGCGGTCACACTTCAAAGAACAAAAGTATCTTCATATCTTTGCTTCTTATCAGCAATGACGAGAAAAGATACTTTTAAGATTAGACAACAATCGAACATATGTTGAGTCTTGAAGATTCGGATTTGATCTGTTTCATATGAAGTACTCATTTTATTGAATATAATCTATCTTTTCATCACTGGAAATAAGAGTGATCTATCGAGCATCACAGTCAATCAAACTTTTCGTTTGCTTTTTATACAAATTCGATATTCACACTCAGTACCTACGGAAGATTTCAGAAAAGACATCGATTAGAAAAGTTTAAAACGAATGATATCAGTTGATTTTAATTCGGTTCTCTTATGACATTCGTCACAGAACTAAACCGTTATTTTCAATGACATCTGACTAGTTGATGATGATATTGATGTATCATGTATTGAAAATCCTTAAGAAAGAAAATAAAAGAAAAGTCTCTTATCGTTGTTGTTGTTGATGTTACATGTGATGTTTCGTTTTTATTTATTTAGTTTTCTTTTAAAAACAAAGCATAAACAAAGATCTCGATTGTTTTTATTTGTGTGCTTTGCGTTGAGCAAGAATAGCGGCTTGAAGTTCATCACGTTTCTTCTTGGCACGTTGATGGCTTCCTAACTAAAAAATAGAAATCATCCAAGAGAACTTTTACTAACAAATTCATCGTTTTCGAATACATACACGTGCTTTGACGTATTTGAATGCACGTTTATCCCGACCGACCTTCATCAATTCCATTGCTCGTCGTTCATATGGCATAAAACCAACAAGTTCACGAACAAGATCGCGAACGAATTTAACTCGTTTGCTTTTTTTCTAGAAGAAAATGAGAATTCTAAGTGTAAATAGAAGTCGTTCCATTAAACATCCATACTTGTGTACGACGTGTTGGTCGGATATGTTTGCTGACGAATTTTTCTACTTTACGACCCTTGTGGAGACCCGCAGCGATTTCATATTTAGGAACAAACGGTTCCTTAGCGGTTTTTGGTGCTTCACTTGACATGCCGTTATCTAAAATATACGGAATTTTCAATTTCAACGATTGATTTCTGCTATTAAAGAAAAAAAAACTTGATTTGTCTATTCGACTGAATAACGGAGATCAGTTTTTCTTCTATCCATGAAATACTCTATGGAACACGATTGTTTGTGTTTTAGTTTTTCACGGAAATGATAATTTTCCTTATTCCCAAAATCTAATTCCAAACAAATGAATTACATTTTCCACGAAAATTTTTCCTTTTAAAAATCTTTTAAATACGAAGGCTTTGTACGCGTTGTTTATTATTGGTTGAAATGATAGTCGTCAAGACAACCGATGAATCATTCTTGAGATATGTCTGATCATAACGCTGCAACGTTGAAGCCTCATGTTCCAACGGTAAACGAAATTGCTCACAAATCTGATTGATTGATTGTACTTGGCTATCAATTTCTTTCATCTAAGACTTCATTTTTGATAGTATGGACCATGTTCAATTCGAGATTTAAAACCTGGCGAAGTCAAACTATGGTGCACCTGTGGACTGAGTCAAAAGCAGCCATGGTGTGATGGTAGTTCATCTACAGATTGCATTTCAACTACGAATTTGTCACCAATGCTTCATTCTTTCTAGGTTCACACAAAGACACTTCGTTTCGTCCATTGAAATGGACTGTGCCCGAACATGCACAAACCGTGTATTTGATATGCGCATGCAAATATACGAAAAGTCCGCCAATATGCGATGCAACTCATATTGGCCTAACATGTCCCATTCGTGAACAAATTGAAGGTTGTCCGTTGAAACAAGAACATAGCGATCTCGGAGACCGAAAGCTTTGTGAACAATGTGGTTTTGTACCAGATTGGTGAATGGAACTTTGCGCTCGCATTTTTTCCTCATTGCTTTTTGTTCTTTTTCGGTAAACAGTAACAATATGATTTCGCTCATTGTATTCGTCTTTTTTTGCTCTCTCACTTTGACAATACACACACACACGCACACATACATATGTAGAAAAGAAAGCATAAAGACGCTGTATGGTAAGAAAGAGAAGAGAGAGAAAAACAATGCATAAAAGATGCATATACACATGTTGTGTTATAGGTACTTTGAAAAAAAAAGAAGAAAAATATGGTAAGAAAGATCAACAAAGGGACAAAACACATTTTGTTAGTGTATGTGCATTTATATTGGAAAGAACATTAGTTTTGTTGCATGTTAATTTCGAGTCTAGGTATATAAAAAATGGAGAAGAAAAAAAAACGGAATGGTATATATCACAATAACATTCTAATTGGTTCTAATTTCTTAGCTTCAGCTCTGTTCGAATTTGAGTATCACATAAGTACGCACAAAGAAGAAACGAAAATACGAGTAGAAATAAAATAAAATATCACACTGTTGCTAGATACAAAAGAAGAAACCAACGAGAAAGAGATTCGGGAATAGCAAAAAGAAACAAAAAAAGAAAACGAAGAACAAAGTGGACGGATGTTTGAATTAGTGATAAGAAACTTCTATATGTATACATATATACTTGCATGAATATAAATAACCTATTCGTTTATATCACTCATATCATCGAGACTATTATTGTCATCGTGATCGTCTTGATCGGATAAATTATGATTTCCATTACTTGATAGTGGTGTGTCAGATTGAAGTTTTTGTAAAGATAATTCTGTGCGACGTTTTTCGATCGCAATACGTTCATTTTCGCATTCATTCGTTGCTAATTGAATATCAAGATTCTTCTTTTCGAGTAATAGACGTTCTTTGTCGTAAATCAATCGTTGACTCGTCAATTCTAATGTACGCTTTCGTTTCATCAACGATTCATACCGAAGCGAATGTTGCTGTTGTCGTGGCGATTGTGCATATGTTTTTGATAGGTTATTTGCTACTTGCTGATTCAATGATGATTTCAATAGTTTGCGACGTTTGTCCAATGTGCGTTTCGATATTTGACCATTGCTTGATATTACTGCAGCGGATGAATTGATATGCTGAGAAGAAAGATGCGATGCTGATTGATAGTTTGCTAGTGGACTTCGTGAACTGTCATCGTTACCAATCAGGCTAGCACTTTCATCACCTGGAGAATCCAGTTGGCCGCTGACACCATTTGCAAGATCTGATGACGGAGAATCAACTTTATCTGAAGACTGAAAATAAAAGATACACGAGCGAGTCTTTACATGCATGAATGCATCCGATTAGTTCTGACAAGTTATTACTGTCGAAACAGAATGAGTTGTCTACATGAATGACTAACCTGTTCATTAAATGAGGCATCGTTAGGATGATTATTGTTATGCAGATTTGATTGTTGTTGCTGCTGGTGTAATAATTGTTGATGTTGTAAAGCGGCAGCAACTGCAGCATGAGGAAAATGAGATGTAGATGTTGCTGATGGACGACAAATATTCAAAATTCGATTATAGACGGTCAGTTGTTTGTTGGATATGGATGTTGTTGCACCTGCTGCTTGTGCTGCACGATAGGCAGCTGATTCACGTTTGGCTTCACTTTGTAGTTTTTTCCATTTGCGACGAACATCCTCAACCGTTCGTTCGACTTGAGGATATGATGTGTTGAGATTATCGGTTATTTGTTTCCATATTGCTTGTTTTTGTGCAATAACACTTTTCGATGCTTCACGGGAGTGCAATAATTCTTTGTAAGTATCATACTGATCGATTATATACAGAACTTCGTGATCAGTAAAGTTGGGTTTGCGCCGACGACCAACATGAAACGCATCGATTGAAGAATAATCTGTTGCTTGATCGTTCATAACGATTGAAATTATTAAGAAAACAATAACGAAAAAAAATAAGAAACAGAAAGTAAAAAGAGAGAAAGAAAGTGATTCAATCTAAAATGGAAAAAGAAAAAACAACACATGACGAAGAAAGTTTTAGTATAAGATTCTAAACTAAATAAGACACATCGTTGCAAAGGGGGCAGGTAGACACGATGTGTGTTGTTGCCAAGCACCGATGTTCTTTACTTTATGTTCTTTCTGTCTTCACATTGTGCAAAGTGACTGAAAGCGAGAGTATGTGTGAGAGTGAGAACTATACTTTTGGAGTGTCCCACCAACATCATGTAGTCATAGTTTTATTCATATTATTATTTCTCTTCTTCCTTTCTTCTTTTTCTTCTTCTTCTTCTTCTACAACGTCCCTGTTTTATGCTTGCTTCTCCCTAATCCAGATATATATAACTATATACGCAAATGCGTTTTCGTCTTCCTTCGTTTACGCCGTCGTCGACATCGTCATCGTCTTTTTTCAAAAAAAAACTCAGAGAGAGTAAGAGAAAAATCTGTAATAGGTGGTGTCTAGTACCACCTTCACTCTTACCTTCCGTACAACAATAACAAACGAATAAGAAAGAAAAGATGACGAGAAAGACGATGCCGATGACGGGAAAATGGGTATACGCATACGCGCGCACGATGAGAACAGGAAGCGATCATTCACACGCAACAAACTAGAGCCCTGTTAAGGAGGTCGCTCCGGTGAGCCATGTAGTTTGAGCACCAGCGACACGTCTTTCTTCTTTCATACGTTCTCTCTCTCGCTTCCATCTTGAGCTACTTTTGAAGAACAATAAACATATGCATCTAAAATTTCTCTACACTGTATTAAAAGCAAGCGATGTGACAACAAACCCGCAAATCTTTGTATTTATTTTAATCAGTCAGTTTTTGTTCTATACACTCAGAACATATATGTAGTATATTTTTTCACTCCTGCACTAAACCTTTCCTGCTCTTTTCTTTCTTACTATAGTTGCTGCCGATTATATTCAACTAAACCAAAAGAGATTGCTTTAGAAAAAACTTAGAGTGTCTATATCTTCTTGCTTTCTTTCTCCCTTTCTCTCTCTCCCAGTCTACTTTTGAATGTATGTTACGATCACTTTGTTCTTTCTTCGATTTTACTCACTAACAGTTCTGCTTATGTGCATATATTGCATACTTGCACTTGTCTACATTCGAATAGTGATTCCTTGAAAAGCAACGACTATCGCTTGGCATTTCTATGTCTGATACTTTTATAATCATTTACTCGTCGATTCGAGCAGTCGAGTGTGACATTATGCGCCTCATTTCTAGTACTCATAACTGGTATTACCGTAGTAATCGACATGCCTAACAAACTGATGGGACACATACCATACACATATATACAATCATACGTATATATATGCGTATATATGTCTGTACTAACTTCTGTTTTCTTTCTTTCTTTTTCGTTGAATCCTAATCAAAGTCATTATCATTTTCATCATCACAGTCGTTATGTTTTTTGCCTTTCTGCCTTCTCTCTCTCTCTTTCTAAAAATGAAGATAGTGTGTTCGACGTTGGCCTACCTTATTCTTGAGGCAAACTGGCTAGTTTATCGCAATTGACTCAGGTCGACCTACCGTCATCGAAGACACCATATGGAGAGGAGAACGAAGTACACCAAATAGAATGCGCAAAGCGTTCTTCCAATTTATTTCTCTAATTCATTGAAAAAATATCAAGATGCAGAAAAATAAATGAGTAGTTCTGGTCGTTAGAGCGACACGTTAAGGTGTTATTTGCGATGTATGCCTGACTGTTCTAATGTGATATTTTCAAAACAAGGTATATCTAACATGCGTCTATTTGGTAATAGTCGAAAAAACAAACCTGACCTATTGTCAGTGATGTGATTTGTCAAAATTAATATGTTCATCATTGTTAACCTGTAGCCTACTACGCACCATGATTCATTTCCAAGATTTTCAATATTTGTCAAGGCAAAAAGAATTGTCAGGTGTGGTTATGATATTTCCATAAAGAGTACAGTTTTTAAAGTTAAGTGCACATGTAGTTTGCTATGCAATTAGGTACAATTACGATGCAGGTGTTCTTTTTACGAAACAAACTTTTGATTTCGTCTTCCACCAACGCTGTTTTCCCAATTAGTCTGTTTGTTCTTTATGATAGTCCATCAGACGTGTTGTTAAGTTCGTTGTCGATTGCAGATTTCGTAGGTGATGCTGTATTAATTGATAATTATCAATATTTTTATGTTCATTCAAGTATCGAGCAATATCATGCCATTGATGCAATCTGATACATAACAAATAGAAATTGTTTTCTTTCTTTCGCTTGATTTCTACTCACTGTCCTGCGTCAATTTGACTCAAACGATGATATTCAAGATGAGCTTTCCTTTGACGTTGTTTGTAATAAGTATAAATACGAAGAGATAATATGAATGAAAATATAAAGATAAAAAGTGTAATTAGAAAAGCAAAACCACGGTATGTGATTTGCAATTGACGAAGTGGTTCAATTTCAAGTAGAAAAAATGTTTCCATATCGCAATAACTAAAATTAAATTTCTATTCCATTACATTTTCTTACTTACAAAATCCAGACCTATACGGAGTATTGTAAGCAATAATATGGAAAAGAAATTTCGTAGGATTTTGTATTATTTGTCGTAAAGTTTGATTCACATAGAGTGAATTCGATCCGTTGAAAAATAGACAAGATTCATTGGAGATTGAAAGATTTTTTAGTAATACTCGGTACCAACTATGTCGTTCGTATGGAATCTACGAAGAAGTTAACTAATTCTTATTCATTTACGAAAAATATTGAGTTTTCTTACTCGAAGAAGAGACGCTTTTGTCGTTGTGTTCAATACCTGTTGCATCCATAAATGATAAACAGACTGATTCAGAGGGATACAAGCATCAGTTCGATTGATTAAATAATATGTATAATCTTTATGTTCTTTATCGATAGGTATTGCATAGATAATGAAAGATGAAAATTCATGATGATTCATCGATCGACATGTGTTTGTAAAACAACTCGAAGAAATCAGATTATCGAGAAAAAAGAAACAAGTCTTCGACATACTATAGATAGTTTAGTAGAACTGAATCATTTTGCCTGATCTTGATGTAGATTGGAGAAAACTTATGGATGATGTTTTCTGGAAGATTTTCTCGAATCCTAGGGGAATAATATGTGACATTTCATACTGATTTATAAGTAAAGGATACCATTCAGTATCGATTATTGGATTCGATTCATCCCATGGTTTATATTCGTTATCCCTATTGGTAGAACAATAAGTCACTTCGAATCAGAAAGTAGACGAAAAGCATTCTTTACGATGTTATTCGTAATGCGCTGTCTATCGAACATGATGCTTCGACCTGAAATGACTAAAACAAATTGAATAAACACCAAATGAATTGATAAAAAGAGTTAATGCATTTTACAAACGATGGCATTTGAGTACATGAATAACCATGTTGAACAAGACCCAAACGAAATGACATTAAACTCAAGCCATAGAGATCACTAGAAAGATTGGCATAAAAAACCATTCAGAACGAATTCTACTACCACAATGCTCAATATGGGCAGTACCTCGTTTGATTTGTTGTGGAAATGATCATTCTCTACTGTATTTCATGCTGTACTCGTCTTTTCAAACAGTTTTACTTACTCCTTTCACTTGGATGATTCCATTTTCAAGATGACCAATGGTGTAATCAATCGAATAATGAAAAAAGTCGGATTCGATACTCACAATCATTATCGGAATGATTGTATACGCCTCGAGTATGAACTGGAATTCTTCATGGCTGTTCTTCTCCAGAATGTGTATGCGATCGATGTGAAATAAAGGTTCGAAACGTCGATATGAACATGATGATTGAACGAATGATGAACACGCGACGAGTTCTGGAGCAATGTGTGTTAAACATCGACTAATATTCAAACTCATCGTCGGAATGCATTCAATTTCTGATGGAAGCTTCGTCATCGATGGAAAAAACGATTCCTTTCCATATAACCAATGATCTCAAACATATCAACGATGAAATACCATCTATTCAATATTAGAGCCTACTGTCATCGATTCGCACGTAAAATTCGGCATTTAGAATCATCAGATAATCAAAAGTTGTTTGGTTTAAACAAAAGATTTGTTTCGTTATTAAAGATATGTTGTCATAATCGATCTCGAGGTTCTTATAATAGATTTTCAAGTCATTTTCAGTTATGTGATCTAAATAATCGACTTGACAACCATTCAATGTCACTTCTGATAAGGTAAGTCCATTGTTGGGTGTGTAATAGATTGTTTTCGTATCCCAAAGAAAGTATGCATTGGGAAAAGATGTTGGCGTAACGAATAGAATATCATCGGTGAAGTTTACAATCGTAGAGTTTTGAAAAGATGAATGGTAGTCGAAGATCGGTTGATAATAAATCATTGCCTAAGCAAAGTTTTGATGAGAACAAAACAGATTTCGAAATATTGCAATTGATGCTTTACTTTTTTCGTTTCGTATTTGACAACACACATGATCATCGGAATAGCATGAAAAAGTCCAAGATAGAGTATACTGCATTGATTTGATTGACAAATCTACAAGACATGAGATCAAAATTTTGGTAACTCTCGCTCTCTGTGAATATCTACCGATTGAGATTGAAAGATATTTGGAACATTGTATATGACAGACATTGATGGAAAATGAAAAATATTCACGTTTCCTTTCGTATCGGCTAGTATAGCTAGTTCATTGAAGTCTTGACTGGTAAGATGATCAGTGCTGTTTCGAAGGCATGCACAACAAGGTGTAGTGAAGATATGATTGATTTTATCGAACGAAATGGGCACATCTATTTCAATAGATGTTTTAAAGGTGTATCCACTCGATTCAGTCTAAACATCGCTTACTTGGATAACGTAAGACTTGATAAATTAGATCTGTATTTTTTATCGCACTGATGATATTTTGTGTTCGATACAATATACCATCGATCAATAGAATCAAGTCGTTCTTTAGATATACAATCGAGCTTACAGTTGGAATCTACAATGAATTATTTCCAGAAATTTGTTTCTCTTTGTTTACGTGAGTACTTGTTGATCGATGATGTGACGTGCGACGCATAAGCGTTTCCTTTGAGATTGGCCTGGATAAAACACATAGACAGTATGATTTTGAACGAGAACAGATTTAGCTGTATCACATGGATTCGTGATAATCAACGTTTTTTGCATAATGTAATGAAAAGGTACATATTCTTCTGTGATATTATATGGAGAATGCACTAATAACACATTATTACAACGATTATTCGAGGATAAAAGCAAACTAAATTGACTTTGAACCATGCAAAGCATACTAATCATTAAATTCATTATTGTCGTGTAATCTACTACTTCAACGCATCAATTATGTCAGCGCCAGATTTTGAAGTCTTTTGAAAAAGCTATTCAGTCTGTATAATAACATCGATAAAATCGTCATCAGAATGCTTTTAATCTTACAGATGCATTCAAAAAAGAAAGTACTGAGTATTTTGAAGCGCTTAGAGCATCTCTGTGACATCAAATAGATTTTCGTATTTTTAACATTTACATAACACGGACGTCTCGCATTAAATATAGTCTACAGATCAATCAAATTCGTTCATAAATGACAATGACAATATTGGATAATTATGAAAAGTTTCTTCTATTATTATTCAGCAAACTCATCATATAGACGAAGCAGGCATCTGTCATTAAAATTCCAATGTTAACATTAGTTCTTTTCCTTCCGTTTTTTCTATACGATGAATACTGCCATCTCGATGCTAGACAGAAACATTTTTCTCTCATTTATTTGTTTCAGTAATGACGACCAGCAATGAACATGGCTACAGGATATGAACTAGGTAACAAACTGTGAAAATCATCTGACATAATTATAATTATATTGCATGTCTATCGCATTTGCCCTTTGCTGATTATAAACTGTAAGTTGATTGACTTATTCGTCAATCTAACTAGCACGTGCATTTAGCAAGTTTTTCTACTCAAGTAAATGCTCATTCATTGCCAAACAATTCTATGTGACGTTCTTTCTCACTTGTTGCTTGTCGTCTTTATAAACACTTCTGTACTGCAAGCACAAGCATTATCAAGAAATGATCGTGCACATAATCACATAGCTCGCCTTAGACAAGCGGAGGAAAGTAGGTAATCTTCGAAAACTAAGATTCAATCGTTTCACTTGGAAATTTTCGAATAGTCTTTATGACTTCAGTGCCTATTGATGGTATGAAACGTTCGCATGTTTGCGGTGATGGCTATCGTATTGAAGGTGCTCTTCTCAAATCTTATCCGTATTCTCGCGGTCAAACCTATTCACCTTACGAAGATTGCTATATGACATTTCAGGTTTGAACTTTCATTTGATATAGTTGGATATGAGAATTGGAATATTCTAGGCTCGACGATCGAATAATCTTATTCGTATTCGAATTCTTACTATGGATATTAACGATATTCATCGTGGAATCAATTGTTTGGATTCACTTCGGTTCTATAAATCACCTTACATACTTGAAAAAGACAAACTCGTAAGAAAAACGATACTGTCAATATGCGACTAATTTTGTTTCTCTTTTTTCAGAACTCAGTCGAGTGTGGTCAGTTGAATGAATCGCAAAATTTTAGCTTTATTTCACCTACCGGTGTTGTTACTGTACACTTTAGGCTAGTAGAAAGAAAACGTTCAAGAAAATGTCTTCGATTGCTATTTGTTTATTTCAGTACGGATGGTGGAAACGTGAATGGTCTCGGTTTCAAAGTCGTTCTAACCTCCTTTCACTATCGTATGTTTCAAGAGTAATATCAAACCCTTATGAGTTGTTTTATATCATTAGCCAGTCATTTGCATCCATGCGACTCAACTGATGATGAATTTCTTTGTGGCAATGGTGAATGTATTAGTAGCTCGCTTCTTTGCGATGGTAATTTCTTTTACTTTGCTCGTTTTTCCGATTAAGATCGAATGAATTAGGTGTTCCACATTGTCTGGATGGATCGGATGAAGGTTACAATCATTCGTGCTCTGTTCGTTCAACTGATTCTGTCAATCATATGACACCAGACAAATATCCGCCATTACCAAAATATCAGCAATGGCGTGGAATCTTAATAATCGCGTTTTTCCTCATAATCTTATTTGTATTCATTCTGTTTACGATCTATTTTCTTTGTCGTCGTTGTTGTTGTCCAAATGAAATTTCTATCCAACACACAGCGAATATTCGTTCAGGTACTTCGGCAATTCTTTTGTTCGACATGACTTAGTTTGCATATACTTTAGAAGTTAATCATCGTAAACATGGTGCCCGAACTCGAGTGATCACACATAATAATCGCAACTACAAACATTTCCACGACAATCGTAATCTTGTTTAATAATTACAGCGTGATATTTGTATCAATGTATTACAAACAGAAAAAGAATTTGTTTTATTTGAAATAAATTACAATAAGAAAGAAGAATAATCACGGAATCATTGTTAATAAGAAGAAAAATCAATCATCTTTTATTGCTAGAAAAGAAAAGGTTTTATAGCTGTTCTTCCGATTGAATTTATCGCAAATCTTACTTTGTCAAAAAGTCGGTGACCAAGAAATTCAGCAATCACACCGAATTTATCTTGACGAGTCTCGAGTTCTTGATGAAATGTCTCGCAAACGTCTTTGTCTGCTCGCTGACTGTTGATTAGGCCAAGCCACTTACTAAACATTACATCCAATTGTTTCTTTCTCATTCTGTTCGCTCTCATTTCCTATTTGACTACTTACCGATTATCACCGGAACATAACGGACATTCATAAGTTATTTCGGCTGAATTAGCTGATTCCACGGCATAAGCACAACTAAACAAAATTGCTCCGAGTTCTATCGGAGAAAAGAAGCTCACTTACTGTTCGTGAAAAGAATGTTCACAGAAGAAATGAACACACGGAATGTCCAAATCCATTTTGCAGGAGCTGCATTTTGGATCTTGAAAAGTAATCGGACTAGAATTATCCAAGGAAATATAAGAGAAGATATTTTTCATAGGACGACCTACTCGGTTTCTAATTGTTTTACTTTTTGTACATAGTATTCACTTTCTTGACGGAAACGTCGAATTTCTGTTTGATCTTTTTCAATTTGTTCTTGTTCTGAGCGAAGTTTGCGAATCAAATAATCCTTCAAAAGCAAAATACACCCTAAATTCAGACAAACAGAACGCTATAAGTTACCTTAAGCAAATCTAACGTCGTTGATTCGTTGTTACTTAATGTTTGAATAACCAACAATGGTGATAGAAGATCGTTTTCGTCAATATCTATAGAGAATCAAGAGAAAACATGATCGCATGTATTGTTTCCTTAACGAACATTTTAAAATTTGCTGAATCTCTTTTCGACATCCATCACTGCCTTTCAATTTCGAGAAGTAACTCAAAGCTTGGATCCATAATTGAGGATCTTCATCACCATATTTGCGACATGTAGCAACAATCTCATCGTCATCTTTATTTTCCATTTGATATTGCAAAATCTGTTGGTATCTAATAAAAAAATCAAACAACGATTGTTTCTGAACCTGTCAGCTGTGTGATTTCTCTTACAATTTAGCTTTATCATAGAGACAAATCACTCCGGCTTTGAAATTATACTTTTGACAAACAACCATCGCACGTGTTACGTCAATATCAATCTAAATACAAACAAATAGGCTCTCTCATCGTCCATCAATAGAAGTCCAACTTTGGAATTTTTCAATAAAGTTAAAATCTGTTCACTCAATCGATCCCGCTCTTTGGCATCTTTAGTCGTGCTATGTTTTTGTAAGAGTAATTCTAACATTGTGTCATATACACTTGATCCAAGATGTTCATTGGGATATTGCTAGAACAAAGTATCATTTTCCGTTAACGTTTATAAAATCAACAGCCATACTTTGACAGCATATTCCAAGTAATCAAGTAATTCATCAGGGTTATTCATAAAGAGATTGATTAACGATTCGGGTAGTTGTTCTTGTTCGATTTGTTGTGGCGTAGGATTCAATCGTTTCAATAATTCCGTTGTTAATTTTGGTTGTTCACGAATTAACGTCTTACCATAGTTTCGAAATGCTTGTAGTGCATCGTCGAATTTCAATGTTTGAATATATTTCAATGCTTTATCATAATCTTTCTTATTTTCGCATTGAATTTTAATGTACTTATCGTGCCGACGATATTTTGCCGAAAGTGCCAACGCTTCATCCAAATAATCTTAATAGAAAGCAAACGAAAAGCAAAATTCGAGGAGATTCAAGTAAAAAATACGAACTAGCTTGGCGACAAACGTCTATAGCGATGTCGACGTCAAATGTTAAATCTACATCAGCTGTCGACGGTGTCGTTTCATTTAAGCCAATAAACTGAGCGAGACGATTGATCCGATCAGGATGTTTCGTGTAACAATTCAGCAGTAGAGTGGTATGATCAACATTAGCTAGTTTTTCACGATGTAATTCTTCTAAATATCGAGTTAAATGATCGATATGTTGAGAATCCAAAAACTAAAGAAAAATAACTGAAGTCAACATCAAACAAAAACTAAGAATTTACCTTTTTGATGACGTAAGACGGTTCAAGAAATCCAATAGTTTTACAATATTGATCGGTGGCTGTTTCATACTCGTTCTTCCTATCACACAAACAAAAACGATGCTGACATGTATCTCAAGCTCGTTTACCCATATAGATAATCACCGAATTGTTTGAAAATCTCTGCCATACCTTCCTTACTAGTTCGATTCTTTTTAGCTAACCTAAAATGCAGCAAAGAAAGTGCTGATTATCATTAATTTCGAACAAAATCGAGTCACTAACTGAAGTGCTAATTGGTAACAATTCTTTCTAAAGAGTAAACGTAATCTTGAATGTAGATCTTTTTCGATTAATCGATGCAATTCGCCATCACCAGTTAATATATGAATAAAACCCCATTCGTTCAATACACATTGAATACTTGACATGCCGACTGAGTACGCAGTCAATTGCGGATTTGTATCATAAACAGCCAAAGTTTGTAATTCGGTTGTTGTTTGACTAAAATTTTTCGAAAAACAGTAAGTTCGAAGAAGAATGAAAATCGAATTCTACTTTGCTACTAATTGTGAAAGAATATTCGATTGTAGCTTTGTTTTACTGGTCGATGATGATTTCGGATTTTCCTTTGTGACAGTTATTAGATAATTGAACCACCAATGTACTGTAGATTTTTCACCTTCAATTGCTAGGCCAAGACGTTTATCCTCGCCAACATATGAGAAAACTCCTGATGAATTTGCAATGACAAATTGCTGTTCACCATCCAATTCGGATTGAGTTAAAATAGCACAGCCTGGAGTACAACCCATTTGTGTCTCGAGATTTGTCACAGTAAACTGTGCTGATGGCTGTTGATGGGATGTTATATGAAATGGACGACGATCACGTAAGGTCGATGTTAGACTAGATGACACAGAAGTGGCAACAGCAACCGCAGCTGATATTCCAACATTAGTATGTGGTGTTTGGACCAAACGACAGGAAATGACAGTTGATTCGGTCGTTGCGTAGAGAGTCAAGCTACCGAATGGTTTTGTTCCTTCGCTAAATGCTAAGTTGGTTATAGGACTTTCAGCTTGGTAGAATGGTGGAGAAAACTTGTAACGTCTAAGAAAATCAATCAATGTTGTTTTTACAAAATATGCTGCAAAAAATGTACTTTTCTTTGATTAAATCACTGGATGCAAAAAAGTGGATTGCTCCGCTTTGACAACCCAGAGCTATGTGACGATCGGTGATAGCTACCGCACATATCTACGAGAGAAAAGAAGCACATATCTACTTTGTTCCATGGAAAAAAACCGTGCCCTTTACTTTCGAATTGGGATGTTCATTCGGCAAGATAGATATCACTTTTGCGGGTTCGGTATTTTCCTTTTCCACAAGAGTCTATACAATGATCATTTCATCGAGTTTCTCTCAAACACATTTCAACTCACTTTATCTGTTTTCCAAAGTTTGATCGTTTGTTTCGTTTCATTAACATCTACCTATAGAAAAAATCTTTTTCAATATTTCTCCATTCGAAATCTGTCTTCTTACACCAATAACGATCAATGTGTCTCCAGCGGAATGTGCTAATAAGTCTAATGACATATCAAATGAATGAATATGATTCGCTTCGTAATCACGATTTAATACGCATAATGATCCATCGTCACAGCCGAATATCAATTGACCGTCACCTGCACCATTCGTACTCGTTGATGCAATCACTTTTGCTCTCTACAAGTAAACCATATGAATCTTCTGAATTCCATGTGTTGTTTTTACTTTTAAATCTTCTAACGGTTTGCCATCCCTTCCTTTGACTATTTCTTTATCAAAAAACGTAAATCGTCGCCACTAAATAACCGCAAATTGATGAATTCTGTACTGTCTTTTTGTATTCTCACCTGTTGAATACCAGAAGCCATAAAAAAGAATAGATCTGAAAGCAGAAAAAAAACTCGTTCATTTCTTTCGTCTTTCACGTTCATACAAATCAAAAAATTTCTCGGTTTTGCAACGAAGTTCGATTGTTTTCTTTCGATTCTCGAGAAAATTTTTCACAAACACCTCGATTTCATAATCATTATGACGAGTATGTAGAAACATATCGATCAGCTCATCATCGGAATGTTCGTACGAGTGAACAATGGATTGAAGTTGAACTAGAACCAATGTTGGCGAAGAAATCTGCTCTCGTTCGCTTGAGCAAGATTTCAAATATGCTTCACGTAATGATTGCAATTGAACGAAACTATTTGATAGTTTCTCACGCGTCGATATCAACTCCAATTCTCTTCGTAAGTTATTCATTGCTAAATGGCGATTCTGTTCGATAAGTTCGTGCCGCTTTTTTTGTAATACTCGAATTGGTAGTAATGTTTCGATAAAGCTAGACAATTCAGCTGAATTAACGTCAAGTTTTTCCAAATACTCAAGCGGCATGCGTTGAACTTGTGACCAAGCTTCATGATATGCTTGATCTAATATCGATAAAGCTTGTGGTGGTTGATAAAACATAATTCGAAGAAACAAGAGCAAAAAAAAGCGCATTAATCGTCTTCATTACAAAGCAGCCGATTGGAATTTCGCAAAAGTACAAGTAATTAACAGCTGATACAGTTAGCAATATCTTGCTGTTCATCTCATTTCAAAGTATGTCTGTGGTTTAATGGTGGTCATATCTACAAACAACAATGTTCAATTTCCCTGCTATTATATATATGCACATAAACAATAAAAAAAAATGGACGTTTCTTGGCGTTCTGCTTTGATTTTCATAAGGAAAAAAGCAACATGAAATGGTTGTGCGTTCTGTGATTCTTTTTTGGTTACAATTAAGTCGAACAAGAAGAGAAAAGGAAACAAAAAATAAGAATTGATAAGTATGTACGAATTTCATGTTGAATTAACAAGAAAGAAAGAAGAAGAAAACGAGAATGTTTTGTGCTATGATTGAAGAAATATGAAAGAAAATTATAAAAGCTCACAACAAGTAACTAGAGAATATATACAACATAGATGATTGCTGCTAAACTCGAACACCTGAGCATGAGATTAGGAAGAAGCGAACCAAGGAGAATTTGACATATTCATGAGAGAAAACTCGAATGTATCACACATCACCGGTTGTCAAAACAAATTCACAAATATATATGTAGAGAGAGAGAGAAAGAGAAATCACACATAATTTTCACGACCTGTAGAAAACTTTTTCGGATTCGTATGTTCGAACATTTTCGCTTTTTCGCGAACGGACCAAGATATATCACTTGGTCGAAGTTCTGGATTTGTCTCAAATGAAAAAGCTTTCACTGGCTGTTGACCTGCCGAAACACGTCTTTCCATTGATTGATAACGTGGAATAGTTGTCGAAGCATTTTCACTTGAATATATTCGATTATGATGCATGGAAACTGGAATTGATGAACGTGATGGACGATCGGTTTGTGGTTCTTGTTCATTTGTTTTATATCGAACTGCATTCTGTCGATGACATGGACGACAACGTCCATTAGCTGATGATAACAAGACATCATCGACTGGTTTCATTTGAATAGCTGTTCCGAGTTTAAATGGACGTAAATCGGAATGATGAACAAAGGTTCGGTCACGTTCATTTTTGATTTGTGCAATGGAATTTGTTTGACTGGGATGTTCATCTCGAGTCGTTATATAAATTTGATTTGTTGTCGCAATTAATGGGCCATTTGACCGCAAACGACTATCAGCGATGATGGGTGGTGGTTGTCTTTGGTAAGATGAATGATTCATAAAAACAGGTGGTTGAAATGATTGAGTAGTTGAAGGTGAATCGAAATTTTTATTGAGTGCAGCTAATGAAAATGACGCTGAGCGTATTGCTGAAGAATTGATCAAACGTTGATTTATTGTACTTAATGGTTCACTTGTTAAATCTAAATCTTGTTGCTCAAGAGGTGTTGTTCTAAAACAAGAAGACAATCGATAGACAATGATCATGATAATCTATGGAAATATTATGCATTTTTGTCTTAATTCAGCAGTCGTTAGAGATTGTTTGTCTGAGCAACCATCCCTTACCTACCGTATCTGCTTTTAGTACTGAAACTATTTACAATCTGCAAACATAAAAAATTTCATAGATTATTCACCTCATTCACTCGCTCTACAACATCCATTCATTTCAATAGTCAATAATTAGAGAAATGAGTTAATACTAATCATAATAAGTTTGAGGATATATTTACCTTGTAGTCATTGATTCGGGTTCATCATCATCATCATCACCATTCGTTTTAGCTTTTGTTTTAACTAATCTTGGTCGTCGTTCATTGATAAAATTTTTACTACTGACTGCTGCTGTCGAAGGTAAAGTTTGTTCATGTTTCTTGACTAATGCCGATACTTTCTTTTTCATCTGATTGTTCGCTTGTAGAGTTCTATTTTGTTCATAGTCATCATCATCTCCATCATCGGATAAATGATGAAATTGTTTCAAAGACGACGCGCGTTTAACATCACTGGTTGCTAAACGTTTGGATTCTTTCGCGAATGGTTGTTGTTGCTGATGTTGTTGCTGTTGATTATGATGTTCATTGCTGCCGAGAGATGAATGTCGTGAGATTGGTTTTGTTCGTTTACTTTTTCCGATTGTCATATTATGAACAGTGGTTGTTGATGAGCGCACACTTGAATCACCATTGAAAACATCGTGATCTGAATCATCCGTCGTATCATTTGTTAGTTTTTCTCTTTCCATAAAGCGTTTCGATGGTTTATATGCGTTCTTTATATTTCGACATCGTGTGATGGATAATGCTGTGCTTGTTGGAAGAATAATACTGGTTAAAACCGTACCATTGCCACATGCTATCGATGGGATCCAATCAGGGGGAGATACGGGTGTTAAACGTCGAAAATGTTCACTCATTTCTGAACTATCATCATTGAATGGCTGATCAGACGTGGCCAAACCTGAATCACGCGAGCGGTTGACAACAGGTAAATGTGGAGAGGATTCGACTTCGTCGAGACTTTCGATTGAAGAAGCAGCTGGCCGTGCTACAAACAGAAATTCAAGTGAACATGATTATTTTCTCAACTGAATCGACATACTTAAATTTGGTATTTGATGAACGATGATGTGCTTGTCGGGAACACATGTGACAACATCTGCACCGAATAACGATGAACAATTTAGAATTAAAAACTCGACAATCGAGGACATGACATCAGCTTCTTGTTTGCCCGATGTGATTGTAGTTGATTCAGTTTTGAATAGACTATTGGACACACACAAACCCAAATTGAATGGATTCATTCCATTAGTATCAGCATTTTGAGAGATACGATATAGAACGCAGATGAAACCTTTTAATAGTAGATGATTTGATTCGGAAAGTGTAGCGATGATGCTAAACAGTGAATGTCAATGAGTTGGTTTCCTTCTCCTTTCGTGTATACTTTTTCTACCTTCTTCTGGCGAATGTAGCTTTTTCTTGTAGAGATGGTAAACGAAGACATTTCTTCCAATGATCATATTGGATTGTATTGAATACAGGATCGGGCAGATTTCGTAAAAAATGCTAAAATATCAATGATCAAACAGAATTACACACAAAACATCATGCGGGAATGGGGGGATTCGACTCTTTCTCTCTTGCGAGCAGTGTTCTTACCTTCTCTAATCCTAACGGAAAGAAAAATATATGGAGATATACCGACGTTTGTTCAATACAATCTCTTTTATGTTCTCAAAAAGAAAACTTACTTTGAATATACCGGCAACTAAGATTGGATGTAAATCATCGGTTTGTAATGGAATTTGTCGTTCAATTTTCTCGATGCATTCCTTTACTGATCGGGTATTTGCAACTTTACGAAAGATTCCAGTTGTTTCTGGCCCTTTGAAATACAGTATTTCAAGTAGTTGCTAGAAAAAAAAGACAAAATAATAAACATTTCTCCTCCTGAAAATGGCATGTCTTTACTTGTATTATAGCCGGTAATTGATTATGGGACTTTTTGACTAACTCATCGAGCGTTTGGCCAAAAAATTGATACGTTGACTTTCTTCGCAATGTTGTTGGTACCGATGCTGGATGGTACTCATCGGTAGTCTGTTGTATAGGCGGTTTTGGATAGTTTTCTTTCGTTTTTCGCTTGTGAAAGAATCGATGTTTTTTACTTTGATGCTCCGTATCACGTTTACGTAATTCGAAATCATGCGAATGCATGGAAATGTTATTCAAACTGGTTGTTGAACTATTATGATGACTTTGTAAAGATAAATGATCATCACCATCGAATGAGGTGTTATTGGACGTTTTCAAGTGTTTCATTTTGATTGCATATGGATACTCATGACCTAAATTGACAGGAATAGAACATAGTTCTTAGGAAAAAAAAGCAGCTGTTGGTGAATTACTATATGAATAACGATTCAAATTGTATCGTGATGTACTATTGCTCATACGAAACATTATCTACTATCTATTTCGTTTGAATTCATCTTCGTTTGTTCTGTTCTACCGAAGATTTTTCTCTATCTCTCTCCTCCTTTCTCTTTTACCTCGAATGTTTAAAATAGTTGGGAGTTCATACATGGCGTATACGCATCGTCAATGTTTGTCTTAACTATGTACATGAATAACATACTTCTTTCTTTTCGTTGAACGACTTCTTCTTTTCTTTCGTTCTTTTTACATTCGACTCAAAACTAAGATGTATGTATATGATCGACTTCTTTCGTGCTTTCATCTGAACCAATCAATTCAAGCCACTTTTCTTATCAAGAAAAGACAGGATACATGAATGAATGTATGTCACCATTCTCTTTACTGTCTAATGAGAAAGATCAAACTCGTTGTGACATTGATTTCCCGTACGTGTTTAATATAGCTACGTCGCCATGATCGATGTACATATAAATATATATATATATATATATAGGAAGATATTCATCGTTTCGTTTTCTCTTGTTTTGACTAATTCTTAAAAAAATGTCAAGAATACATTTTCAATGTAGGCGTCTAACTACTTCTCCTCCTCTTCTTCCTCCTCTGCATTTTTCTTCTTGTCTGATATATACAAACAAGGTCAATAATGCTCTTACAACTTGATAGTATCAAATATTGCTTTTACCTTTTCTTCGGTGCTTATATTTCGAAACATTTTCGAGACTTTTCGAACGGATAGCTGCTGGACGTAAGAAGGAAAAACGATTCGAAGAATATCGATCGAGTTTGATCGTTCGTTCGTTAATCATGCTCGTGTTCTGACAAAGAATACTTCCAAGCAGTGTTAATCTGTACGATGTTGAATATTCAAGTGAATCAAAAACTACTGGTTACACGCATATACATTTGAAGTGTACTCTTATATTTCTCATAAGGGTAAAAAATAAAGAAGCGAGAAGAAAAAATTGGAGAAGGACAGAGGAGAATTATGTATATGCATCTGTAGAGTGAAGCTACGCATATTATAGATTCCTGTCAACGTATTTGGTATCAAAATACGTCGAAAAAAAACTCGCATTGAGTTTCGTTTTTCGAAACACGTGATAGCCGAACTAAACGTACCAATCAGCGGTATTAATTGTGTTTGATTTGATTGTAAAGATGAATTTACTGCATGGTTGAGATTATGATTTGTTGTTGATGTGAGATTTACATCATTCAGAACGTAAAGTATATAGTTATCCACTGAGGAGTCCTATGTTTTTTTTTTGTCAAAGAAATCAATATGTAAAAAGAAACAAACAGATTTTGTTTAACATACTTGAAGATGGATGGTGTCAATACACTTTTTGATCAGATCTCGAACAGTGTCTTGCGGTCGGATACAGAACACCTTACGCTGCAGAAGACAATATCAGATGATTTTCTCCATTTTGTTTAACTCCACTTACGATTACGAATGAGGGTGTACTATTGTTATTATTTTGATCAAGTTCTTGGTTTTGATCGATGACTACGCGTACACGTTCAGTATTCGAACTATTTAATTTCCACCAACTATCCAAATTTCTAAAATAAGCAGACGTCAAAACATTCCGTGGAAATGAAATATTTGTTCAGTGTAATATATGTCTCATGTCAGTTGTTAATCATCACTATTGACATACGATCGGCAAAAGAAATTCGAATAAAATCTTCGACAGAGTTACTCCGAGTGCATATAGATAAGATGATTCTACCTTAAAGTGATATATATAAATCTCCAAATGATGTTATTAAACGATTATGTAAAGAATTTTACGACATATTCGAAGACATCAGATGACAGTTGATATACTTACGATTGAATGCGTTCATGCCAAGTATCTCGTATATCTTTGGTATCGAATTCGACAAGAAAGTTTTCAGCTAACGGCCATCCAATGATTAATGATCGTTGATGATCAAAATAAGTTAACGACGTGATTTCCGAAACAGTACTATCTTGAACATTGGAATGTAACCATACTCGATTCAAATCAATTTGATGTTTAGTTTTGAATAGCGATTGTTTCGTATTAGATTTGCCAATGATTAGTTGATTTCTGTCGGTTAAAATTAATAAACGTCGACATGTTCGATAATCACGAAATAGTGTCACATTTGTCCAAAGTTCGTAACTATCGAATATACCAGCTGATGTTAAGCACCGTGTGATGTCAATGTCTTGCGTTGTAATGTCAATACTCGAACGTTTTGCTCCGAGAAAGTAACGGCTGATCGAACGAGATTTGCGTGAAGATTGCGACCCTCGATTTTGTTTTTTGAATCGATCCTCATGAGGCGTCGAATCATCGATTTGATCGTTCATTAGAAGAATAGAAGATGTTTAATCAAGATGCCAATGGAAGACAAAAACATCTAAATAAAGAAAAATATTTTTCTTGCATTTTGATATCTATGAATAAGAACATTTTTTGTATCATTTGTTTAGAATGGAAGAAAGAAAAAGACATGTACAAGTTAAACTAATTAGATAGAATGGAAACGAATCATGACGCAGTCTTCATGATGTCTATTGTCTCATTATATAAACCAACCATGAATGATAAGATTATTGACAACTGGCGAAGCCTATAGATGGCGATAACAAAGACACACATATAGGTATATACGTTAATTAAGGTCGACTTGGACATGCTGTGAACACAAGCTTCTTACATAGAAACATTCATATTAACGTCGCTCTTAGATTGAATGAGACGATGCCACCAGTGACAGGTATTATACTAATCACTGCTGAAAATAAAATCTGAGAGAGAGAGAGAGAGAGCGGACGATGAGACAACGAGGTGCGTACTTGTGATGATCGATTTAGAAGCGAAAATCGTCATTTTCAAAGTACAAAAAGTAACATGTACTTTTCTTACCTCAACAGACATTTATATTTCGGATTAAGATAAAGATTGTGCATCCTACGTCTAAATAGGTTTCACACGTTTTTAACAAGGTCTCCTCTTACTTGTCGCGTTAAATTCTGTACTAAATCAATCGTTACTCTACCTTGCCTAACGTCGTTCTTATCACATACACGAATGCTGAAATGAATAGGGAGGATGTCATTGAAAAAAAAAAAGAGAGACGAAGTGTTATTTTGATGTGTCTTTTCTTCTGCTATTTACCCTGGAGGATGATTGATTTTATAATTTTCAAAAAAAACATACACGCAAAAGAAGGATGGCAGTTTTCTCCATTCGAGTCATTGTAACAAAACGTTTGAAAGAAAAACATCACAGCCTTAATTCAAGTGTTCTGTTGTACGTCTCGCGCACTCATCCTTCTTACTTATTGAAATTTCTTTTCAATGAATGATAATACAGTAAAGCTGAATTGATGCAGATTGGAAGGTAAGGACGAAAAGATTTGTTATTCTTTACATAAGATACATTTATATAAGTAGATATATACATATGAAATGCAAGTCACTGTTATTTATATCAACATATACTTTAACAAAAAAAAAAGAAAAATACTCAATGAAATGCTAGTCGATATCTTTGGAGTGATCAATGATATATTTTCATAAATGTATCAAACAACCGAAGGCAATGTGTTACTTATGCGTAGAAACTTTCTCTTGTGATGAGTTGAAAGAGTATATATGCAAATGAACGTATCATTTCATCTGAAGAAAAGTTCAAAAACGATAAAATTTAACTTATTTTTAGAAGTATTAGGCACGTACTCATTTTTCATATAACCTTGACCAGTTTATGGCAAGAACATTATGTTTCAGAGCTTTCTCGTGGAGCACGAACAACTATTGAAACTATTGATATGTGTTTGTAATAATCATGTAGGTTTTTTCGGAATGACAAAGAAATTGATTATTCAGGTAAATGATCAGAATCATTTCATGTTTGGTACAGTAGGTGAGTGGTTGATGAATTCTCTTGCTGGTATCCAATAAGTGGTAGATTCGACATCCTACATATTGAAATTCTACGTGAATACATTGCTTATGTTCACGTATCGGAAGCAAATGTACCATCAGATTATGACATTTTGTTCATGGTTTGACGGTAAAGAATATGAAAATACTGAAGTTGAAAGTGAAGGTTGCACATTCGATATTCATTGCTGGCGAGAGAATTGAATTTCAGTTAGAAATAAATAATCATTGAAGATCGATTCTTATTCCGACAGAAAGAGCTGTTCATAGGAGGACTGTAGCAAGATCGAATATCTAGATCATAGTGTCGAGCAGCTGCGAGCTACACGTAGCAACAGATAGAATGTAGTCTGCCACCAAAAGAAGTTCAGGTGAGAGAAACACGAGAACGGATTAATAAAAACGGATGATTTCAATCAAAATGAAAGACAAGTGTCGATTTTTAAACACATCCATTTATTCTTTATTATTAATATACACAATTCTGTATTTGTACGCATTTCCAACTGAATATGAATGATTGAAATGCCGAGCAAAAGAAAAGTCGTGCGAAACAACCATTGCTTGTTACAGATGATATTTTGCAGCCGTGTTCCTCATCTGCATATTCATACACGCTCTCTAAATGCTTTTTTTGCAATGCTCAACACGTACATCTGAACCAGAATAACGATCTGTAAAGTGGAACGTACTCATGAATAACGGGAAATTCAGGAAAATGTGTTCCTACTCAGTGATATAGTATTTACAGCGCCAGGACGAATCAATGAATTACAATCTCTTTATACATAACGACGCGCCCAATTTTCTTTTTGAAATGTATAATACATTGATATGGTTACAAAGAACGAAGGTCGACGAGATCACTGCTACCAGATGAGAAGATCTACCAAACGAACTCTGACATGAACTTTTCGTCTATTTCACGTCATCAGAACTGAAATTAACATGGGTTTCTTGGAATCTCAATAGCCATGTACAATCGTTATCTCACATAGCAGAGAGCCGAGTGGCTCTATCACTCTCAGCGAGTTTATTTACGACGTACTTTTAGCGCAATCCCTGTTTGGTTTTACCTTTAGACAAGGTTGAACTTGCCACGTTTAAAAACGACATCAGAACTATGATGATTCAACTGTATCATCTTCATTTCCTACTCTACTTAGTTGTTGAAACAATCGTTCAACTGACTGATCTTTATTGATTTTAGTTGGATCATGATGCTGTCAAATACGAAGTAAAACAAGTACTGTTTGTTTACACAGTTCCGTATATATTGAGTAGTGAACGGCGAGTGCACAGTGATGCTTTGTACAACACTCGACGATTAAAAATGACATCGGTCACCTCAAATGGATTATTAATCGTGATCTTTGCTCTATTGACAACACTCTTACACATTTGTAACATGTCGTTTCACTTCATTTGTTCTTTAGTACCACAGTGCGTATTTCAATGAAATCAATGACAGATTGTTGGCGTATAGTACTTCCATTTTTGCGATCTCTTCGAATTACCTTCAACTATAGTCCTATGTGATCAATTATATTTCAAAATCAATTTGCTACACCAAACCTTTACCATCATATTCTTAAGTAGTTTCGCCAGACTGCTCTTCCACTTGAACGTTTGACGTTAGATTGGTTCGACTTCTTTTAGAGCATTCTTCTTCACCCAGACCATCCGTTCGATAACTAAATATTCTCTTGGAAACACACGCACAGATACCATGCGCATCTTTCATGAAACGATTACCAAGGAAGCAAGCATTCCCTTGGCTAGAATATCTTTCATTTAGTGGTCGTCGTTTTACACTCACTCGACTATAATCACTCGCCACTCGGATCTTCTTCTTCAAAATTCACCATTTAACATGTGAATCGACGGTGTGGCTGTTTTTAAACTTTGACTTTAACATATCGTGACATACTCATGATAGTTCTCACGCAAAGTATTCGTTTGAGAGATCATCGCTACTCATCAGAGAAAGTTATGATCGATCTCAATTGAGAGATTATCATATGGTGTTGAAAGAAATTTTTTATCATGTAGTAACAATGTAAAGCGAATGCTTCAGATTTTTCTTACCGAAACTGAAGAGAGGAACGTGAATTGTTTCGAACTTCATTATACAATTTTGTCAATATAATCAATTGAATAATCTCTAATAATCATTTTGTTTCTTAGTTACAAATCACAATATATATTCACTGACTCATGACGATACAAACAGCCACAAATGGGTAATGATGGACAATCGAAAGATATAAAAATATTTGGTATGAATAGAGCACCAAATCGAAATCGACAAAATCAACAACAGTATTTTAATAAACATTTCATAGTATAAAAAAATACTTTATATAGAACTAACGATCAGAAGCAAAAATAAGCTCGCGTGTCAAATGTATATAAGTAAAAGGACCCTGATGATATTTCTCATAAGTAATACTTTTCAAATCCGTTCTTTCAATCGCTGGCTCAATTTGTGTTCCTTCATGCCATTCATTAAACGATGTGATTGAGACAATTCGGTCCTTGCCATCTGGCACGTCTTTGAACATTTGTTTGTAATAATTGCCATTATTTCTCGCTCGACTTGTTTCGCCATTCCATGGTCGAATATTAGTATCGATGTAACCTGGTCCAACACTCGGAATAAACGGTATTGACTTACATATATCGACAATCGATTTCCACCGTTGTGAAGTCGAGGCTTCTGTGAATCCATTGGCAGCAAAGTAAGAATAAGCAGCGTCGAAACCAGATGTTGCTAATTGTGCACAATCGCTCGATTTGAGAATCAAACCAACGAAATAAGCTTGTCGATCACTTACACTTATCGACGTCAGTGCTCGATGCCATTCGTTGGAAGGAATTTGATATGAATCATAAACATAAAAAAATCCTTTATCGTTGTAACGATAAAAAGCAGGATGTGAACCATATTGACGAAGAATATAGCGTGACCAATGGATGATATTATCAGCTGTTCGATTTTTATACGGTTCGATATGAAAACAGAGCTAATGAAAAGTATGCATGTATATGAAATGTCTTTCTATTGCAAATCGTCTACTTTTAATTTATATTTCTCGGCGCCGTCAAGTATACGTGGTATCAAATCATCCCATGAATAACCCGCATCATCAGCCATTCCAGGAGGATACCAGCTGATTGATATTGTGCCTAAAAGCGAAATTATGATTGACTTTTGAGTGAACATTAGTTATTTCCCGTACCGGCACCACTCATACGTATCATTCGCATATGTTTATCAATAATTTCCGGAGAACGGGAGCTGTAAGCGCCAAGTAACGGATAAAAATTACTACCGATATCATCCGGTGGTATGTGTGAATGTTGAGGATAATGTGAAGCTTTTTCACGATTCCAATGCGCTAATCGAGGATGATTCCAATGACGATATTTCTTTGCATCATACTCGGGATTTCCATACCTGAAATGACCTTAGTTTCTAAGTATATTCACATTGTATCAATGACAACTAACCATGGATAATAAAAAATATGGTAATTGTATTTCACTGGTGTGTGCTTTAAAAACACATCCAGATTTTGAATGTCGTACAAAAACGAAGAAATTGTTGTTAATGACGAAGAATGTACATGCAGACTCGGTTGATCATAATTAATGGCTAAACTTTTGTATAATATGTAACACCACACAAGAAGCAGACAAATAAAACCAATGGCAAGCCATCGAATTCGACGACGACGAGTATATACTTGCCACATGAAGTATTACACTACCAACGATGAAAAATTTCCTACCGTCTATAATGTAACATGTGTACAATACCAGAGAGAATCATTAATAATCTACAATATACGCATACATTGAATCCAAAGTAAACAGTTCCATATCATTCTATTTATCATTGTTCTTTCTAATACGGAAATGTACATTCCTTCCTCTGAGAATCGTATCGATGGACATGACTAGTCGAACGAAGAGCGATATTTTCATTAGTTATATTGATGCTATGTGTGCAAATTAGATGAATTCTTTTTTTTTATTAAACAATAATCCTAGAAAAATCGTTTTATTTTTATCTCGTTTATGTTAGTCTTACAAACAGCATATACTGAATAGAAAAAAGGAACAAATCATATATGCTCGTATAGGTACTGCATATGGTAGGCAGAAAACAACAGTGAAAGACTAATTAACGCTTCTTGCGACCAAGATCTTCGGTTGATTGGTCAAAATTCGGATCCGCAACATTGATCATTAATGCTTGAGCATCAAGAAAAGCGCGATTTGTACTCATCGAAAGCTAAAAGAATAGGAAACTACAAGACTCCTCTCATGAAAATTGTCGATTTACCGTCTTAGCAATATTTTGTGCAGCACGTATTTTACGTAATTTCAAATAACCGGGATTTTTACTAATTGCATTACCAATCTAAATGGGCAGGATATCAAATGTAACTGAATAGTTTTTGTTCGCCGTGAAATTTGCATGTCACTTACAAGTTTAGCTGATTCAGCGTCACCTTCAGCAAGTACGATCTTTTGTTGACGTTCCTGTTTCGCTTGTTCAACAGTAAATACTGCTCGTTGTGCCTCTTGCTGAGCAACCTGTTTAGCTTCGACAGCAGCCGAATATTGTGCACCGAAACTAAGCTCGGTGATGGAAACATCATCAAGTAAAATATCGAAATCTTTTGCACGTTCGATTAGATCCAGACGAATTAGATTCGATACTTGTTGACGTTGTGTGATTAACTGGGATGCATTGAATTTAGCAACCACACTTTTCAATACTTCATTACAAATTGACGGAAGGACACGTTCATCCCAATCAACACCTAATGTTTGATATAATTTAGGTAGTTTGGTTTGATCTGGTCGAGCTAAAACTCGAAGAGCTAAACAAAGAAATGTTATTCAACTATCTTGCACTTAGAGATCGAACTTACCGATGGTGACCATCTGTAAATCTGAAACAAACCGTAGAAGAATAATTAATTGCAAAGAAAAAGGCAGAAATGTCAAACCTTTGCTTCCTGTTGGCGATTTAATGATGCGTGGTCGAGCTCGAATATCATACAAGATTGGATACTGAAACCAAGGTACTCTACGATCATACAAATCAATCTCCATAGAAAAGTCCAATCACATTTTGTTCTATTCATACCTAAAGTGTAATCCTTCCGAATGAATGGTATTTTGATCAACACCGCCAATACGATTGAATATGATCGCACGATGACCACCTTCGACTATAAATACATCATTTTTGTTTAATAAAGAAACAAAGCGAAACTCTCTCACCGGTGAACATGGATCTATAGACTCCATATGCAGCTGCTGTTGCGCCGAAAAGTAAAGTGGCACCAATACCTAAGCCTTTTGGCGCACCTTTTGATAATCGACCAGCTAAATCATTCAGTTTTTCAGCCATATTTACTGTTCTTTTTTTCTTTTTAGAATCTAAAATATATACAGTATTATCACATATAATTCTCTTATATGAAGCAATAAAAATTATTCAATGATTGTTAGTTAATAACTGTTGAAAAAGAGAAGAAATTTGCTGATCAATAGACGCAACAATTGTTGAAACATCGCGTTCAATTAAGGTATGATCATCCTAGAATAAACAGAGTTTAGCTTTAGTTTCAGTAGTTTTCTCATCAAACTATACATTCGATATCCATAAGTGTTTCAATCGAACCAATGCATTGTCTAAGGTATCAACAGCAGCGTTGAATTTTTGTTTTTCGGCTTCCAGATATCGATAATCAATTTTATCTGCCAACTGATCATTCTCAACACTTGTACTTGGCTGATCGAGCACACTTTCCTATGAACAGACATTATATTTAATAGAAGAACACACGTGATTGTTTACCATCCATTTCCAAAAGATATTTTCATGTTTATCCCAAAATAGAAATAAACTCAGTTTATGTTGTTCTTCATCAAGTTCATTTATGTACTTGAATGAGAATAGAAATGATTTTTGCAGTGGAAAATGACGATTAGATAAGTTACTTTGGTGATCAGATGAGGATATCGATGAAGTTGTAATTCGAATGATGAAAAACGACGATTGTCAGGATTATCGATGCGATCGAGAGCTTGTAAGCGTGAGCGAATTTTGGAATTGGAATAAAATGTTTGTTTAATTTGTTCGATTAATTCAGCTTTATCAGTTTTCTACAAAACAAACTCTACAACTATTTTCGAATTCATTCAAATGATACACACATCATTATCATCAGAGATCGAAGTTAGCGATTGTCGCATACACTGATCAATCAGGTTCAAATGATAGATAAGCCAACCCACACAAACAAGTAATTGTTGACTCCCTGTTTGCATGTTTGGGTCCAAGGACAAAAAATGTTCATATGTGTAGCCACGATTGAAAAGATCACGTTTGATTTGATCAACAATTACACCTGAATAGAAAGACTCAGTTAACGTGTAATCAAAATTTTCTGACTCTTTATGTTAAATAATAGATGATGCAATGATCGTGGCTTATCGCTTCTGATTGGTCTATGTCTTGACTATGAAGATAGCAACATACCTTTCGGTGTTTGAGTAAATTTGTCATTATCAAAGTTTTGACTAGTCGCAAGATGATCGAAATGTAACATTTCATAGATCAATCTCCACAACGGTAAAGTCTAAAGAAACAAATTCAACTATTCGATTGACAATCTCTTTCAATTTTACCGATTGATTTTGATTAAACTTTGCTAATTGAAACGTTTCGAATGTGATCATTGAAAAGCCGTGTAATGAAAGAATCTGACAAAGACATTCAATCACTGGACGGACTTGTTCGGACGACATTCTAGAGGAACATAGATTTATCATTCTTATATCTATTTGGTTTTTTTTAAACAAAACAAAACGAAAAAAAAACACGTCCGCGTTTTTATTTATATATATATGTATATTTGTATGTATAGAAATTTGTGTTTAATAAACGAAAAAGAAGAAGAGGAAAAGACAGATAGAAAAAGAATAGATTTCTTTTGTTTCATACATCATATATCGCTCGATCTATTATTCACTTCGAAAAAAGTAAGCAAACAAATAAGTAAACATGGAACATCCAGCAACCTAATCTAGGTAGCACAGAGAAGAACACAAAGAAAACGAAAACAGGAACTATACAGAGAAAAAGAAGTGCGCATGCAAAGATTGATTCGACGAATTGATCAAGTTTTGCTCTTGATTTCTGTGGGAATCGTCGGTGTGGTGGTCCATTGTTGTTGATGGCGAGACAGAATGAGACTCATAGAGGAACTGTTCGTCGTTGGTAGATCAGTTGAAGATGAATTCGACGACTGATTGATATTGTTTGATGGAGATAATGGAGTGGAAATGACTGGACGACCACGACGTGATGACACACGGGTAGGAGCACCGTCGGTTTTAGGAGAGTTTATTGTTTGTTGCGGAGACGATAAACGACTAAATTGAAAGAAGATTTTTCTCACATGAGTGTATTTTCTGTAAAGAAAAATAAATGTACCTGCTGCCTGATGGACGACCACGTTTTGGTTTATTAACGGGTGTAGGAGAAGACAATAAATTCGATTGACTTGGAGCATCACAAGCTGAACATTGCCATGAGCCATCAGGAATGGCTTCTAGACCAACACAATATGTATGATAACCACGATCACATCGATCACAAAACATCATATTCGCCTACGACGAAAGAAATTGCAATTCTATTGTTGTTAAATACTTTGTCTTACTTCATCATGAGTTTTGTTACATTTCGCACAACTTTTACAATCAATACATTGCCATGGATATGTCTTAATGATTGCTAACATTTCATTATTCACATCAAGACAAACAGGATGAAATGAATGATGACAACTGGTACATTTGACCAATTCGTCATCACGCTCGTCTTGTGCTATTTTACATATATGACATAGATTCGAATGACTGTTCACAATTATCGGTGTTGATGGTTTATTCAGACGCGACGTCGATGGTGTGCCACTGGTATTGCCTATTCCGTTGACTGTATGAGGTGATTGTGGTGTTAATGGTCGTTGATGATTTGAATGAACACCACGATGGTTCGCAATGCTTTCATCTTCATCATCACTCGAGCCAATCTGAAAATATACAGTTATTTAGATTATTCATCGAATGTAATTCCGCTTACCTGTTGCGAAAAACGATCCTTCTGAACGAGTGAAAGTGGTTTGGGATAGTAGTAAAGTGCCGTATTTATTGGCATATATTTCAGTTCTTCTGATCCGTATTTTATATAGGAATCTTGATATTGGCCAGGTAGAAGCGCTAATGGATAAGAGCCAATCTTCGTCAGGTTTGGTGGTAATCGAAATTGTCTATTTGCGGGATAATGAATTTGCTACAGATGACAAAAACAAACAAAAAGATTGAATGATTAGAACGAGAATCAAGTTTTTAGAACAGACCATAGTCTGTAGATCAAAGCATGCTTTGCGATCCTGAATTCGTTCACGTTGTAATTGTGTATTGAAATCACTTGTCGATCGTAATAGATCTTGCCGCAATTTCTATAACATCCAGTAAATCAAATCAATAAATATGTTTGAAGAAAAATCAGATGCACATACAGTAGCACGGTTTTTGTCTCCATTGTCTATTGAGGCGGTCAGGTGAGAATTAGTTGACGATTGATTTCCTTTCGCTATAGAAGTCGGCGATGATACAATACCATTGTTAGTAGTTGCAACAAGAGCACGACGTTTTTGTTGCCATACATGGTTAAATTGCTGAAATACAAGCAAATATATGTACAATCAAATAATAATTCACGCTTTTATTTACATGACATTTCTCGGGATAATCTGTGGACATGAGTTCCAAGACTTCATCCAGTTTGAGTGCCGTCAAACCAAGATCACATTGCGTTTCTGTGACTACATTTTGAGACTTCAAATATTCTCGTTCATGCAAATCAACGATTCGTCGATAGATATCTAACAAAGTATATATACACAATAGTTCTATCGTGTATTCGCCATAGGAAATTGCTTACCAGGATATTTTCGTTTAAACGATTTCAATGAAAGATAGTCGCATATTTGTTCTTGTAACACATGTAGTTCGGCATGTGGCTCACCAGTTGGCCATCGATAGACATGCAGTTTATCAGCGGATAAATGTTGTCTAGAAAAATGAAAGTGCAGGTAAACTTTTGCAGGAAAATGTCATTGACTACGAACCCTAAACTTTCATCAACATCGGTTGTTGTTCGTTTTTTTCGACTTTTCTTTGTCGGAGTATCCGTGACTGTCGAGGAATGGTTGGTGTCTTCATTATCATCTCCTGTTAAACTTGGTGATCGACTACGTTTAAGAGATTTATTTGGTGATTCGGCGTGCTTATGATTGGTATGATTATTAATTTGAGGTAAAACGGCAACGTCTGCTGACATTGGTACTGATGAATGCAATGTACTATTCATCAGTGAAATGAATCTAAAGTTTAAAAAATCGTTTCTATGCCCTTCAATAAACTCGCTTGCTTGCTAGATAGAAGTGTATTACCATTTGAAACTTCTCTCGACCTCGACGATGATACAATGGCAAAAGATAAAACATCGATTTGTAAGCAGGATTGATTGCAATATTTTTCTCATTTTTTATTTATCTCAAAATCTTTTTCGAAATAGTGCAATTCTATTTTGATTGAAAGGACATCATCAATAGATGGCGCTATCGGTGTTTCATAAATAGATTGTAGTGTTGCTAGATATGAATCATCTCGTATGACAGACGAGCATCTGTGAAGAAAATCGTTTTTCTTATTGATTGATTTCGTTGTAGACAAGCAAGTAAAAAACGATGCTTCGACACCATGGCAGCAGTTTAGCCTATTCACCGAATTTTCAACGATTGTATACGGTTCGGTTTGTACCGTTATTTCTTCATGTCGTATTGTTAATTCTTATTCTTGTTTTTCGCGTAAGTCATCAGCAAGAAGTAAATGTTATCAAATGATATGCTACTAATTCGGTTTCTATAGAACGATTTAATACCGACTTGTGGAGATAGCAGTTCCAACTCGTCAAGAGACAAATGTGTTTGGTGAGTTAGATCTCATAGTCGAAAGTCTTTTTAAAGCAGGAATTTTCCTCAAGGTCGGATGCATGGACTGGCACGTCACTTGGCTTGGTTGCTATTGAAATGATTTTATCGTTGTCTGGCTTATCAATTTTTCGATCCTATGCCGTGTTTTTCTGTAAGAAATCTTCGAGAAGAAAAATCTTGTATACATATTGATGATTATTTATTTGTAGCGATTGTATTCCATTCTGCAGCATCGGTTCTCTTAAGCGCATATTTTATGTCGGATATGAGTATCAATACGGGTTTGCCCTATTTATTATTCTTTTGTACTTTTTTGCCACTGATCGTTGAAATCATCAGTTGGATTGAATTGTTTGCGTTCAACAAGAAAGTGTAACTGTGTTCTGTTCTTTTTTTTTGTCCCATTTTTGATTGATCTGATTCGTAGAATTCCGTCCATTAAATATTAATAATAATATTATTATTAGAATGAGTGTGATTTAACATAGGAACGCTGATGGTTTGTGTCACTTTTTTTAGAGGATGGCCACAGCAGTTCCTTCTTCTCAATCCACATCTCCACCTGCTGATCTTCCAGCACTAAACTCATACGGTTCACTAAGTCATTCAGATGACATCGAAGTGTTACCCACAACAAGTATTATCACTCCAACTATGTTTCAGGCTAAAGATTCGGATTCTACAGTATCTCCACGATATAAACCCGCCAAACCTCCATGTTTAAAACCACACCAATCCGAAACGATTTTCGCCATATGTTTATTTACTCTCGGTCTAAGTTTATTAACTTACGTTATCGTTTCATATTGGTTTACACACAGTCAAATATCTCCCGTAATTATCTTCATCTGTGGTCTACTGTGTTTCATACCTGGTTGTTATTATTTGGTCGAACATTACTGTGCGATTTGCAAATGTTCACGAAATCGCCATCGATCACGTCGAATACTTGAACAAGAAGATGATATTGTTTAATTGACCAGTCGATGAATATTCGTAATCATATCTCAAAAATATTGCTTCTCTTTCTTCTTTCTGTCTCAATAATCATTCTAGTTCATGTCATTCACTGTTTTTTTTTATCAGATATTAACAAGTTCTTTTGTTTTACTCTCATTCTATGTACCTGTATTGATTCTAAACGCTCCTTTTTTTTTGTTCTGAACAAATAATTTACTGCAACGATGAAAAGAAAATAGGTTCAAGCATCTGTATTCGTATTTTTTAGACAATGACAACGAATTTCAACACCGATCTTTTACGAGATCAAACATTCGATCTACTCTCTGGCATTGCCAATGATCCGACTAAATTCGAAGAGTTCAATAGCGCTTATATGACGAAAAATCAAGAACGGACCGATGTAGACATTCTGAGAAAATATACAAGAGACATTTATGACAAGATCATATGTAATTAGTAGAATTGTACTTATTCAATTTGATGAATTTTGATATTTTCTAGCTTTACAAATTGTGCAGATCAACTCCGGAGTTCAATTAAAAGATTGTTTTCATGAAAAACTCGTCATTATTTATTTCTGGGCATTTTCCGATATCCATTCATCGAATATGTTACAAAAACTAATCGGAATTGACAAACGATATTCAACTAGCGGTGTAAGTTCTTGTCAAATAGGAAAACATTTGTTTTCTTTATCATTTATGTGTGATATAGACGGTAAATGTCCAGTACGACTTGAATGTTACGTAACGCATAGGTAATAAGAGCATTGTCAGTTAATTAAACATATGAACTACTGCCACCCACCGTGTGAAGACTTTGTAATGAAAAACTTGATACTAAGACTCGTATTAGAAGATTAGGAGACTTATTCGATGACATTCTCTTTTGGAAATAAAGATCGATTGACGTGCTATCTGGTCGTTTGCTTATGAATAACTTTAATTTAGTTACTAATCATTGCTATGTACAAACATTTGTGATTTTTTTGAATGTTATTGACGTGTTTTCAAAGGTAACGATCATCGGTGTTCATTCTCCAAAGTATGAACATGAGAAAAACAAAGCAAATGTTCGACATGCTGTTGAAGAACAATCGCTTCCATTTACAGTTGTCAATGATAACGGTTTACAAGTATGGAAACATGTTGGTTGTCAAGTATTGCCGACAGTACTTGTTTTTGGACCCGATGCCTTGCCAATATTCATATTCGAAGGGGAGAATCATATTCAACATCTAGAAACTTTTCTTACATCTGCTCTTACTCATTATAAATCAAGCATTCGCGCACTACCGAGTACTTCTTCTGCTGTAAAGACGTCTCCCGAAGATATGGCAATGAATGGTATAAGTAATGAAACTGGATACATGCAAAATAACGATTTTTTTGTAGCTCTGAAACACACGAAATTTACTTATCCAAGCCATTTGTGTGTCACGTCCAATGGTCAATTATGTATCTCATTTGCCGGTTCAAATCAGCTGATTCTGTGTGAAATCGATGGAAAAGTTGTTGTAAGTTTATCCATTAGTGTTATATTCCGTTGTGAAAATAATCCGAATTAGGAAGTGGTCGGAAATGGTCATCCGGGTATGGCTGATGGTGATGTGCAACAATCAGAATTTGATTCCCCTCATGGATTAATAGAATTCAATAGTTGTATCTATATTGCTGATACAAATAACCATGCAATACGTGTGGTAAGTTAGGAGAGAAGATGAATGATGAGAAGAAGAAGTATTTTTATTTAGTTTGATCCAAATTCACGTCGTGTATTAACATTGATTGGCACAGGTCGTCTGGGTAACGATAAAGTTGGTGGTCTGAAACGATCACAACAACCTATCGCTGCACCATGGGATTTGTGCATTACTGAATCTCCATGTAAGTGTTCTACTTGCCATTGAGTACAACTATTTTCTATTGTTTTCTCTAGTTGATCACAAGACAGTATTACTCATATCGATGGCTGGTCAACATCAAATATGGGCGTATGCTTTCGAAGAAACTCAGTGGTGGAATGACGTGTAAATATAGTTAGAGTGAAATACACCATATAAGTTTTGAGAATCGATCATTCTAGTATTCTTCAGAAGAATTCTTGCATGGCAATTATTGGTAGTGGTGTAGAAGAAAATCGAAATGCTTCCGAACCAATGTCTGCTTGTTTAGCAGCACCGCGCGGTATATGCAACGGCCTGATTCATGGCGAACCTGTCCTATTTATCGCTGATAGTAACAGCTCAAGCATTCGTGTTGTCACGCTCAAAAATGGTAATGTTACAAATTTAGTTGGTGGCGACGCTGATCCTACAGTATGGAAACGACATATTTTCTATTTATCAACAAAAGAATCTTTCCTTCTCTCTTCCTAGAACCTTTCTGTATTTGGTGACCTCGATGGAAGCGGTTATAATGCTAAATTACAACATCCATTAGGCGTTGCTTTTCATTATCCCACCTTACAATTGTATCTCACTGATACATTCAACAATAAACTAAAGCGCGTAGATATGAACACTCTTGCTTGTTCGAGTTGTTTTGTAACGGATACTGACACGAAAAAACAACGCGGAGAAAGCAATTCAGCAAAGTTTAGTGAACCGCATGGTTTAGCTATCTTCGATCATTTCATGTATGTGGCCGATAAGAATAACTCACATATCAAACGAGTCGATCTCAACAATGGTACAATCGTGCGAGTAAGTATTCAAATTTCAAACGATGTTTTTAATTCAAATAATTGTTTTCTAGTGTCGATTTAATATGAAAGAAACGTTAAACGAAGAAAGATCATTCGGTTCGAAACAAGCTTATTTAACCATAAATCTTCCTGATGGACTTCAACTACGTGAAAGCAACACTGGAACGTGGAGTATTGAGGATGAAGGTAACTAAATAGAACGAATTGTTATGTAGCAAGATTTTCAATGCTTTTTTCCTAGATGGTTTCAAAATATGCGATGGGGAACTAATGCGGTACGCATCGGATCAAATCCTACTCGATTATATCCCGCGTGATAAAAATGTCGCTCAACTTAAGTACGAATTGGTGGTCTGCGAAGGTGAAAAATGTTCTATGATGAGTGGTGAAGTTCGACCAATAAACGAAACCGATTCAGCCGTTGAATTTCTCATCAAAATTGAACAAACAGATAACGATTCAAGCTAGTCATTTCCTTTCGTTTATAATCGTGTATTTCTATTTAATTTCTCTCCTATTCAAAGCATTTTTTTTTGTTTTTACTTCTTATTATCTAATCTCGCATCGCTTGCATTACAAAAATCCTTGAAAATTTATAGTTCTTGAACAGTAAATGTATATAAACGATCCGAACCGACGGAATTCAGTTTAGTATAACATGAAGTTCCACTTTTTTTTATATGTCGTGTTTTAAAATATATCAGATCGATTCAAATTTGGCTGTATCAAAATATGCTTAAAAACGAATGGAAATCCTTGAATTCACTCATCTTCTAATGTTTATTAATTGAATTATATATTAAGGTTAGAATGTACCTAGATTTACAAATATCTTTATTCGGAAAGTTCATGTTTTAACGATCGTTTTTAATGAGGATTGTTCACTTTGTTCTAAATATAAAGAACGTGAATTTATTTTGTGTAATAATTATACCTACTAGACAGAAGATCATGGCTGACTTCATCATTATGCACGTGCTTCATCGCCCAAGGTTGTATCTCACTCGAGCCAAACAGCAAAAATATAACGGTTCCAAACACATAAATACTTGAACAAATAAAAAACACGATTCGCCAATTGCCTGGATCCTAAACATCCGAATGAAAAGGGCTTTTCGTCAGAAATTCCTTCTCAGATTAATGTTCAAACTAACTTTATCCGTAAGAGCACCAACTACATATGTACTGATGATACCAGGGAGTGTAGCGAATGTGTTGGAAATGCCAAAGACTATTCCAGCATAAGCTGGTGCAATGTCATTTGCAACTAATAGGAAACCTCCACCGAAGGAGAATGCACTAGAACAATAGAAGATCATGTTAGAAGGAAAAGCAACGAAAACGTGGCATACTTCACTGTCATTCCAATAATTAGAAGAAGGACGGCAAAATATTTTGACTGACATGTTAAAAATGCTAAACCAACGAGTATAACTGCTGGAAGAATGCTTCCGAGAAAACTGAACAATTTTCTAGTATGTGTTATAGTCAAAATCCTCTTTCGAATAATCCTATCAGCGATGGCACCTGTGAATAACGTATTCAACCATATACCAAAATAAGGCGACGCTGAAAGTATTCCATTCTATAGTTCAAAAATTATTTCAATCAATGGGAGAAAGGTCAGTTGACTTACAGATTTAACATCGAATTTTAGAACATCACTCATGTAACTCGGAATGGAGGTGAGAAATGTATATGTTCCGTAGTTAGAACATGTATGGATGATGAATAATGCCCAGCATGCACGAGATGTAAAAATAGCTCGCCAAGGTGCGTGAAATTTAGCATTGCCGTCATCATCATTCTTATTCTTTGACAATCGATGTTGAGTATGTTGCAGAATAAAATCTTTTTCCGTGGAACTGATAAAACGATGACTTGTTGGCGAATTTCTATAAAACCAAATCCATACCAAGCTCCATATCAAACCCATGCTTCCTTAACAATAAACATATTTATGATCAGAGTAACTAACTGAATTCTAACAATCAATAGTCAACTTTGTTACCTGTCGTATAAAATATCAAAGGCCAACCGTCAAGGAAATTCCATGAACACATTAAACCACCAGTCGACAGAGCGAATATATTACCTACTGGACTTCCTAAATTAACCAAAATTCATTTAAGAAATAGAACAACTAGTAATATTACCTGTAGTGATAATACTCATCAACATTCCCCGCTCATGAGTAGGTATCCAGTTTGACGCCGTTACTAATAAACATGGCCAAATGGTTCCATGAGCAACTCCGATAATTATTTGAAGAACGGCAAATATAATCCAATCCACTCTCGCACTGATCGGTACAAGCAAAGTGGCTGAACTTGATACAAATATTGCAGCACTAAATATGAATCGAGCACCGAAACGATTAGCTAAATAACCAGCGGGTATCTGTGTTATGATATAACCCCAAAAATAAGCGCCCAGAATCAGACCTTGTGTGTCTTTCGACCAAACAAAAGGGCCATCCTAGAATCAAAATAATCAGCTGTAAGTAAATGAATCGTTTGTTTACACATATGTACGGTATTATGTTGTTTTTTGATTTGTGAACATTCGTTAGAGTTGATGACGTTTGAAGGCGAAGTAGTGTTCACATAACGAGAGTCAATAGCAGAATGATTAACCATACAGACAAGAGCAATACTAACATTACTCTTTTGTGAAAAATGTATGATCATTCCAAAAAATCCAATAAATGCAATAATTAAACGTATGGAACACAAAAGTGGTGCTAAACATATATCCAAAGAATAAATTGGTCGAATTTTACTTATTTTCATATTCACCTGATGTTGTTGATTTCATTGCTTCGGCCGACTGTACTTGGTACGTGTTCGATACTTAACTTTTGTATCTTTTCCTTGTTAAATAACGTATAGAATGAGCGCTCACGTGTCTTAAAATAGTATTCTAAAAAAAGCCGTCATCGCCGTTCTGTTTCTTTCCTTCTATTACACACTTGTTTGTTTTGAAGAGAAAGTACGTCCAATATGCCTTGACGAAGAGAACATTTTTATTCATCGATTCTCTCAAAGACACATTTTTCTTTTTCTATTAAATACTATCACACATCGATGGAGTGTCATGGTACGGGAAGGTTATGAATTTGGTTTAGAGAGTGTATCAAGTTATGTCCTTATATCCGCACTCAAAACCAGACGCGAAGCGTATCAATCCAACATACCGTCAAGAGCATTCAACGATAATCTACCAATGAATACGATATTCTTTCCGAAGCGGAGAAAAGTAGATTTTGATTTGTTGTACATATGGTGCATGAGAAAGATGCCACCGTAATCGCTATGTTTGCTTCAACATTTTGTGCGTGTAGACCTGCGATGAGATGTACAAGTCTAGATTCATTTCAATCATCTGTCAGATTGAAAATGAGTTGTTGTTAACTGTGAGTGAGTCGTAATAGTTTCTAATGTTGACAGCGTAAATCATCATATTGATGAGTTGAGTTTACTTGATGAAGATATAAATTCCCTCCAATTGAGTGACCAATGAAATATTGAATTCACACAAAGAAACGTTCAAAATAGCGTCATCTATCTGGTTTACGATCGATGTAAACGAAGCAATTCGAATGTTTTTTCAATAAAATATCACTTGAAAGAATTTTTTTGAAAACGTTTTCACGTAGCAACATATTTTTGAAAAACAATCAATGATTCATCAAAATAGCAGTCGACGACGTTCTGTTCGATCAATAGACAAAAACTTTCATTTGCTCATTGCTTGAAAAACTGCCAAGCATGAGTTCTTCATCATCATCATCTTATAAAACAGCGATTAAACAGCTTATGGCTCGTGTTCAAACGAATCCTAACGACACAAATTCAATCGTAAGTCTTCCAATTTTCATTTAGAGAAAACGACACGGCTTCTTTCCTCTTTAGAATCAATTAAATACAATAATAGAACAATTTCTTCAAAGTTATCGTTTGAACGGGCTATTTTCTGAATGTTTACAATTTTTAATTCAAATTGTTAAACAATTAATTGAAATCTATCCAAGCATCAACGATTTTCGGCCACTGATCATTCAATGGTTGAAATTCAAACGCGATGTTGAAAAGAAGAATAAAGAATTTTTCGACAGCAAACTAAAATTACGTTCGTTTCTTCATGTCGCTGTTCCTTCGACATTCAATCGAACAATATCGAAAGCAAAAGATTTCTTTCTTTGCGAACTTTATGAATATCGAAACGCAAAGTAAGTCGAATGTGATTTCACTTCTCATACAGATGAACTTCGCTTTTTCTCAAGTATAAAATCAACACAAATGATCGATGAACGTCGTGCGTTAGTTTGTTCACTGCACGAACAATTCTATGGCGATGGTTCCGATCATTTTCTCTGCGCAAGAATCTTACTCGAACGAATCAAACTTGATCTAGCAAATGGAAATGCTCTAGATACGTAAGACAATGTCGCTGAATAAGAATTTTCTGTGAGAAACTTTGTTTTCATTAAGTGATGATTCGAATAACTTAGCTAATCATCTCCGGAAATGTTCACCATCGTCAGACGATATTCATGGAATAGTGCAACGTCTTTGGCTCTATACTGAATATTATTTGATAAAATTTCAAGTTTGTTATTCGAAATTAACGAGTGACGTATGTACGAACGATGGAAATCAACTAGAAAAAGTTGCTTTGTGATTTTAGATGTCGAAAAGAATCAAACAAGATTATGAAGAACAAAAACGACAAGCCGCTGAGAACAATGCGATCAATCAACTTGAGACATTTCATGCCGAATCAATGACAATGGAAGCTCATAAAAGTAAAGATGTCGACTTCGAAATTGAATTTCGCACTCTGCGCTTTAGTCTTAGGAAATTTTTCAGAAAAGTCAATTATGTCTACATTATTCAAAAGTTGGGATATGATCAAATCGAAATCATCATCTGTATATACAATTGAAATCCTCAAACGTGTGGCAACCATCTATCCAAATGAAATCGATATGTTCTATTCAAATCTTCACACAATCGCTGCTCTGTTTGATCTATTTCAATACGTAAACACCTTTCGATTCTCACGTATGTATTCACACAAACATCTGTCTTCCTTTTAGTACACAGAAGCTATGGAAATCTATCGATATTTACTCGATCTTCTTCCATCGTATCATCCGAGCCGATTGACTATTCTCACAGCATGCAATCGTCTAGCGAACAAGTGTTCAATCAGTCTGGAAGACAAATATAGACCTGTACTTAATCTTTCATCCCGTGATTACCCAAAAGCGACAACACAAATTTCCGCATTTGATGTGGATGAAGCACTAAATTTAATCACCATCGCTGAGAATTTCTTACACATAAAGAATGTACGTTTGAATTGATCTCGGCATTCGAATCTGTTTGAAATTGTTTTAGTTTCAATCATGTAAACAAACGCTGGAGATTCTGGAAAAACGACCGATTGTTTCCTGTTCATATGCAGATAGTTTTTTCGTACGTTCACATCTCTATAATCTTCAATCAAAGCTTGTTTTAAATGATGGTATGAAAGAGGATTTATTCCAAAAACAAAATCTGAATTGGAACTTTTCCTAGACGAACAATTGAAAGATTTCAATCGAAATGATTTTCTTGCGCTAATCGAAGAAAGTCGATCGTACTGTGCACAAGATTTGCGAACATCTTTAGATATTGTCGACGTCAATCGATTACCAGAACTATCACGTAAATATTCGTCAGATTGATCTGATTTCTCATGCTGAAAAGTATTTCTTTTGAAGAGTTACAATTGACTCCATTAGTGCTACATGCACTCCAAGCTTATCTATCTCAAGTAGCACACTTGATTCTACTCAATTTTGAAATTGGTCTTTACCGGAACGCGAAAAACTACCTACTAGTCGGTTTGGAACTATCCGTTTATTTACACGCGAAAAGATGGTAAGAAAATACACATGAATGTTGTAACTTTTCTCAAGATCAATCTTAGTATTATGAAGTTTTCCTAAAACGAACAGAGTAAGTAAGCGAGCATGTTCAGTGTCGTCTCATTCCTATCTCTGCTTTTTCGTATTTACTTTTCTATCGGGTAATGATAATCATTCCTCTGCTCTTTGCTTCGCTCATGTTTGATGTATTTTTAAACTTCAGTCTCATCTGTTGTTTTTCAATCGTAGGTTCACATTTTTCCTTGCTCTCAATGCACAATTCTTTATCTTATCTCATCAACCTGATTGTGCACGACGAAAATTAGATCAATTATCTCATCACTTGTCCACCTTAGATGTATGCACCGATCGTCAACAAGATTTATTCATTGATTTCATTCATTCTTGGGCAGACTATGTGAAACTCGAATATGATTATCATACTCATGCATACGATCGAATACGAACAGTGTGTGAAACAAAATTATCTGCTGAATATGAACGACACCATCTCGCATTGGATTGGCACCGATTGCTTTATCATCGAATGCATATTCTCTATCGGTTGACATGTTTTCAACAATTACGTAAAAAGAGTAAATCAAACGAAAATAAAAAACGGTTGATTTGGAAACTTCCGTCGAATTCTGATAAATATACTGAATTCACCTTTTGGACAGAATCATGGTTGGCATTCCTCACACTCATTGAAGATCAACCACATGAAATTCTCGATAAATCATCTCTATGGCTTCATCCAATCATTGTTCCTGATGAATCAAATCTAACTTGTCTACCAGACTGGACACCGGCCAACGACGAACAACATCAGTACCAGTCACAACAAGCAGATAGTAAATGGAATAATATTCTGTCACCACCACAAGTCAATACAGGACACCTATTCGATTTGAATTCTATGTCAACAGAAGATATTCTCGCATTGACTACAGAACCTGTCTTACCGAAAACCAAAACAAAGAAACTTATCGATACACCTCGAGGAAAAACACCATTTCACTCGGAAAGTCAAAAAATGTTATCTGTAAGATAGTTTACAACAAATTAGTCTCAAAATCATACTGTTTTCTATTTTAGACACCGAACAAAACATCATCAGCATCGTCTTCATCTTCAACAGCATCGAATCTCATGAGCACATTTCGAAATAAGATGCCTATCGATACATCTTTAGCATCTCCAATTTGTACGCCTAATCGTACGGGAAAAAAGATTCCACCGTTGACAGTTGCCAATAGTAATACATCATCAAGTCGACCAAGACGTGCAGCAGCTATTAAAGCTGATGAACGTATTCAACAAATCCGTTATGAAGACAACAATGAAAACACGCATCGAATACCGACGAGTCTACATTCGCCACGGTTACGTTCCGTCAATCATGATGAGAATAATGATGAACCCGTGGATGTCTTAGTCGATCAACTGGAAACATTGCATATCGAACGAAAACTCAAATTTGACGACGAAGACGATGAAGACACGAATTCATCCATGAAATTGAACGAAAAGCTTTTACAAAAATGTATTCAGTTGCACGATCAGTTAGCTCATGCTCCCAATGCCAAACTAATGCGTTATTTAGCTGAATATATCATTTTATTATCCGGTGACCAAGATCCTTGGCTTGTTGTTACACTAATTGTAGAAATGCAAGCAATCGGTTTTCGATATAATGCACTTTGTATATACCAAAGAAAAAAACGGTAAACGCACATCTTTATTTGACAAAAAATCAACCAGCATTTTTCATTCATTTAGTCATAACACTGATCGAAGTGGTACACCACTACCATCTGCCACTAATGCTTCTCAAGAACATTTATCTCATTATATAGACGCTTTACATTTTCGTCCATTGACAATATCGTACTTAAAAGATGTTTTAATCAATGATTTTTTACCGGCCAAGCAAGTTTGTGTATGTCTTCATTCATTTACACTTGTTCACGATCAAATACTTGCGGTACAAATTCGCGGTAATTACTATGCGCCTGTTCTACGACGTGTAATCTTTCCAAGATTATTAATAAAGAAATTTCACTTTCTGATCGAATCGAACACGCATACTTTACACGGAATCACCGATCACAAACGCTATTGGGCGATAAGAAGATATTTTGAACAATTGTTCGAACGCTTACTTGAAGATTTGAATCAAGTGTATCTAACATCGCCAATGAGATGGTGGTGGCTGCCAGAAACAACAATTTTCGATGGAAAGAAAGCTATGATCGACGATCTCCTGTCTTCAATGATAGGTATGATCAAGTCCAACAGTTAATTGAGCAAAACACGCTGAAATAATTTCGTTTAGATTCACCACAACAACGTCGTTTTATTGAATTTTTTCTTCATCAAACCATCTTCTATCTATCTTCTCTGGACGAAATACGTCAGGAACTTTCCGTAAATCTTCCTCCAGCGGTTTACACACGTATTTTCGCGAGCCGCTTAATCGAACGTTTGCTCGAATTCAAACAACGTACTTACACCAATACATCACCATCAAATTCTCGTCCGCCGCAAAATCTTCTTCTCTTTCTCGACAATCATTTGCACATATTTCCTTGGGAACAATTGCATTGTATGACATCACTCTTCCGTCGAATTGTTATCTATCGATTGCCATCACTACTCTTACTGGATGGTATGCATAAATACTATTATAATTCATCGTCATCGTCGGAAGCGGACCGAACAGCACATGTCGAGAACAATGATGTGACGATAATTCCGACGGAGAAGACATTTTACCACCATATTGATGTCGATAAAGGTTATTACATAGTTGATCCGGGAAATGATTTACCTCGAACGAAAGAACGTTTTCGTAAGTTTCAAAGTGAAAAACCTGATTTAATTGAAAAATGGAACGGAGTGATCGAACGTTTCCCAACCAATGATGCAATTAAAGACATATTCAAATCCAAAGATGTACTTCTGTAAGTTAAAAGTTCGAAAAAGGTGTTCAGTATTCATTTGTACAAAATTTACTTTTAATAGATATATGGGTCATGGTTCTGGTAGTCAGTTTTATCCGGTTGATGATGTACAAAAGAATTCCTCTCGTTTATGCGTTCTATTGATGGGTTGTTCAAGTGCACGTTTACAATCTTTGGGTGATTTTGAAGTGTTTGGAATGCCATTTGCTTACTTAACATGCGGCGCGTATGTATCGATTGATTGATTTTCTCGAAAATAAGCTGTGAGTTTTCTAGTGCAACGATTCTCGGATGTCTATGGGATGTTACGGATCGAGATATCGATAGTTTGACGTTCTTTTTACTTGAACAACTGAAATCAGGTGCATCACTCGGTGAAGCATTACGATACGGTCGTGAACTTTGTAAATTGAAATGTTTAAATGGTGCTGCGCCGGTGATTTATGGTTTACCTGTACGAGCGCGTTAGAAAACTGACATAAGATATTTTTCCGTATGCATTAGATATAAGATATATATATACATATATATATTCTAGTCAGAGTAACTAAACAAAACAGTTGTAGATTATTCCTTTGCTCATGGTTATTTTTCTAATGTAGATGGATCACGACTATTTGCGTGTCCAGTTCTCCTTTATTTTCCTTATTCTTTATGACATATTCTCTTCTTTTTCTACTACGTTTCTCTTTGACATTATATATTCTATTTTTCGGATCACACAATTTGATGAATAAAATTATACGATGGGATAATAATGATTGAAATTACATATGTTGAAGCGATGAGCATGGATGTGAGGGTACTATTGGTGTCTTCAATTTATTTTCAGTGAACACAAAAATAAGGTCGTATAGTTAAAGGCATCAATAAGGTCTGGTTCCATATGACAAATGGAGATCGTTGTGAGAACAGAGTATTTATTGTTGATGAGGACGTTGGCTTGATTCTAATTGTTGAATACGTTGATTGGCTTCCCGTAGTGCAACATCCAGTGTGATGGTTTGCTCTTGTAAACCAGCTGCTCGTGCTTCGGACTCACTAGTGTAAACATCGAAAGGAATATTTTCAGAAAAAAGACGAAAGACTTTGTGTAATAGCTTACGCTAATTGTTGTTGTAACTGAGCAATCGTACGTAATGCATCAAAGCCAACTTGTGCTGATTTTGAACTTGCTGTTGCTGTTGTTGACGGTGCCGTTGTATCATTATCAAAAACGCGTTCCAATTGGCGTCGTTCAGTTAGACCACCGCGATTAATTGCTTCATAAGAAATAGTGTTATTGTCAGTGGTCTTTACCTCTTTCATTTCTTCTTCCTATGAGTAAATCAATAATCTCATTAAAACTCTGAATTTGTAATGTCATCAAGCCTACTTTAGGTTTCTTCGAGGTAACATCTAAGGAGATTTGTTCGTCTTTTGCTGATGTCTTCGCTACTTCTCGTATTGGCGGTGGGATATCCACTAAACTTTCATCACCCGTTAATTCTGTTAAGATTACTTTCGATGCATAAACCCAATCGTTACATTCATCCTAGATAATAATAAAACACTACATTCAGCAATAGAAAATATACCAAGACAGCATTTACCTGCATACGTTTCAGATCAAGAACTTCGAGTTCCGGACCAATGCGTTGTTCTAATCTTTTATTGATGGTTTCTTCAGCAGTCAAACTTGTACAACATCTGAAAAGTAATCCGAATGGGGCAAAGTTGAACTTTAAGGCAACGCTTTTACTTGATGATATAACCAGTCATGTAGGTTATTTCTTCACACAGATCCTTTTGTATTTTGATCAGGTTAACTGTAGGTATACGATTAGCGTCGAGATGCTCACGAGCTTCAGCTGATAGTGTTGGTTGGTTTGGAGCAAGACCGATCAGAATTTGTATGAGCCAATGAACCATTTTAGCATCGAGTTGAAGTGCCTATAAGGCATGACTAAATGACAATAATCGAAAGAAAGATCCGTGATTTACCCGATCCGAAATACGACTATTATGACTTTCAATGTAATGACGAAGAGAAACTAGACCCTTGTTTGCTTGCTGTAAGACCGATGTAGCATCCACTCTGCAAAATGAAAATCAAATCACACGATTATACAAAAAAAAATCACCTGACAGATTTGAATTTTCGTATTAGAAACACTTACATCCGTTTTCCTTCATCTTTCTTCTTTCCCGAATCAGCCGTTTCCCCGAATCGCATTGATTTTCCAATATACGTCATTGTTTTATTTATTGCATCAAACCATTCTTCCATCTGTCCATAAAATGCATGCCATGCTGCTTCATTCAACTTACCACTTCCATGCGCATAAGTATTCAATTTACTATTCCATGTTTCAAGTACATTAACAAAGAAGATAATCGATTGTGCCAGACCATTTTCGCCTGTCATTCGTATGCGATATTGAGAATGAAGAAGATAAATACACTACAAATACTAAACTATATGAATGGACTAATGAGTCGAATTTCTATTACATCGAAAAGATCTTTTAATGCTTCTTGTTCGCTACTTTCACCTGTAGTCGATGATGGGTGACGATTTAACAATCGTTCTGTCATATCAATCCATCGTTTCAAATTTCTATCAGCTTTTTTCATTCGTTCCTCGTTAACAAGTATTGTATCACCACCAAACTTTTCCACTTCATGAGTACATAATTCTTCCCACACTCGCGTTTGAGTCAAATATTCAATTGTCTTTTTCGAATCGGGAATACTTAACAGTTTTCCATCAGGATCCCTAAAGTAGGAAAACAATCCGGTCGTGTTATTTACTTGGCTGAATGTTTACAAATGATTTTGTCGAAATGTATTTCGAAGCGTTTCAATTGAATGTACTAAACGATTGAGATTTTTCGATGTTTCATATTCTCGTTGTTCTTGTTCACGATCAAATGTTTCAATGATTTCTCGCCATGTATTGGCCGCCTTCTGTACATCCGTCAAATCGACCGTATCTTTGTCCATGAGATAAATAGCAAAATGGTTTGCCAAGGAATACCATGCCTGTTCGGCAAGATTTAAAGTTTTCGCAGTCGTTAATTTATGTTCCATAACGACCTGAACGAAAATAGAATGGGATTTAAGCAATCATGAAGGAATTTCTCTTTTTACTTTCAAAGCGATTGTTTGTGCTGCATCACGCCATAGTTCTCGTTCCTCTGCTATAACATTGGCCTGTTTTTCTAAACGTTTTCGTTGTAAATCGTATAATTCATGATATTCGGTTAGAAGTGATGCATTCTTTTGTGATTCGAGTAATGCTTGTTTCAACTAAGCAAAAACAAATGATACAATTTTTCTATGCAAGATGGTCAATGGTGAAAGCATCAGGTAAGCAGCAACAGCAGCTATGCTTACGCGAATTTTATTAGTGAAAAAAGTTAGACTATGAGAAGTACGGAAATGATAAGAAAATAGAAGAAAAGAAGAGTAGTCTTACATCTCGTTGAGCTATTTCAGCTTCTTCAGTTACTCGTCGATCATGTTCACGCACATCTTCCAATTCACTATAGAAATAATAAACAAAAGACAAGCATTATCATCATCATCATCATCATCTTGATTATGAGATTAATTATGTTTACATGTCACACAACAAGTGTGCTACAATTCAATTGTTTCTATAAGTAATATGCAATAGAAACATATGGACATTGATAAATAAACTATACACATAAGGCAATGATAATTTTTTTCCTTCCTTATCAAGACATTAAAGAATATACGATTGTTATTGTCACATACACACGATTCGATTGATGTCGGCTACATCCTCATCTCATTTAATTGTTAAACCAAAAGCTATCCGATGTAATCCATTACCTTTGCAAGGCAAGTGACTCGAGGAAGTGTTACTCATTCCTTCTTTGTCCAATGTTTTAGTTGATTTAACGTCATGCGACTATGCGACATTACTTCGTGTAGCTAAAATCAGCAATACGACGAAATCCGATCGCTCGTCAATTCAAATCAATTCATCTCATGAGAACCCGTCGGATAAGAAACGTACACGTATTCTGTTCACATCATGGCAAGTAGCTGAGCTAGAACGTTTATTTGCCGAGCAAAAATATGTTTCAGCGCAAGAACGTTTAGCCATATCCGTACGTATTGGTTTATCACCCACACAAATTAAAATTTGGTTTCAAAATCGTCGTTATAAATCAAAAAAAACGTCAACAACATTATATTTACGTACAGCATAAGTGTGCCAACAGTTGTTTTGAATTGAATTAATTGTTCAGCTAGACGACGGTCAAGCGCACGTTGAGCGATTAATTCTTCGTATAAACTAGAACACGAATACATCAGGTGTCGTTTTTCCTTTGGAAAATAAAAATCAAGAATCTCTTTTTCTTCAACCTTTTCACTTGTCGAGGTACACGTGATAACAATGATGAATAACGTTCACGAAGTTTGCCTAACAATTCACCACGTTCTTTACATTCTACACTGACCTAATGAGAATAGGTGGGATTGGACGAAAAACGAAATGGATAAAAACTAACTTGACGAATGATTTCGTGAAAAACAATATTATATATGTTTTGTTCTTCTTTGATCAATTCAAGTAAATTGTGAAGCTAGAAAGAAAACACTTGATTATGAAATGTATGGATTCCATGGATTTTACTTGAGTTTGTCCTTGTAAATCACTATCCTCAATAGTTATTCGTTCTAACAAAGCGTTCATCGTGTGTTTTAGTTTCAATACTTCCGCACGGCTGACTGGCTTTCTGAGAACGAAGAAAAGCCGTTCAAATGAAACCATATGAGAAAACAGATTGATCTTACAGAGAAGGAAAAACAGTAACATGACGAAGATGTTCTTCAGTGATCGTCGTATTTTTACTAGGAACATACGAAACAAACACAAAGTTATTATTTTCTCTTGTTTAACAGAGGAATAATTACTCATCGTAAACTTCTAAAGGAGCGACTCCAACATTTTTAACCAAGCGAAATTCTTGTGGAACGATCGATTCCGGTAAGACAATATTCTAGAAATGAGAAAATGACCAATGAATTATATTATAAAATGTAAAACAAGAAAACCAACCGATTCGTTTGGATCAATCGGAAGTGCTCGTACAGCACTTTTGTCATTAGGTCGTTGTGCAGCAGATGGTTTATTTTGTTGATCGTGTGTCAAACACGGCGTTGCTGCTTCACATAAAAAGGATATATCACTAAATACAATCATGATAATCAGATGCATTTTTCATCGATTGTCATTTACTGTCCAGCGCCACATGTACATGGGTTCTGTTCAAGTAGAAAACGGTACTTTTCTCGTTGTCTTGCGTAATGCCATGCATTGTCCGGGCGACGTGAAAGTCCCTGCAAAGCTCAAAATGCTTGCTTTGGATCAATATCACCCTAGAATATTTACCGGTGGCAATGCTCGCGAACTTTTATGTCCATGAGCTGTAGTTGACGGACCTAAATATTCACTTGGTAAGGCTGATTGTCGTAAAGCAACCATTAATTCTTGTGGTAAAAAGTCATTGTCTGCTCGAGCAACTGGTCTTTGCGCTTGTCCTGAATGTTCAAAAGAAGAAAGTCTTCCATACAAGTGATCGGTTCATAATGAATCGAACTCACCTCGAAGCTGCGGTAAAACACAAGAATTACTCGAGCTGTTTCCATTATTTTCTTGTTGCTGAAGTTCGACAATACTCATCGTTGATTAATATTCAATACACTATGGAAAATCTGAATTACGAATTTCCTTAACCATTACCAACTACACAGTCGTGACAACAGCCTTCACGAAACTTATGGAACCGTTTGTCAAAGTCAAATTTCATTAAATTTATTTGAAACTTGTACACCCAGATAATTTTTCTCAAAAATTTCAAGAGAAAATAAAAACAGGAGACTAGCGCCATCTAATACGATTGGTCAGTTTCTTCTTTGACCTTTATTTGTTTCGTTGATCTATCTCGCGATATTCATCATCATCATCACCATCGGCATCATTCAGTCATCGCATTAATGGAAAACCAAACTGAAAAGGCTTCGACGTCAACTTCCTCAGTTGAGGAACGAGATTTAATCGTGTCAATGCGTAAACTTGATCTGGTCAAGGAATTAGGGTTTGTTGTTGTTTTTTTTCAATCTTAATGAATCAGCTTATCGTTGGTTATTTTTAAAGAGAAAAACAAGCTCAATTACAACGTATTCAATCTCATTTAAACCAAAATACGGAATTAGTTACGCGTGAAAACCAAGTTCTACGCGAATTTCGTAAAGAACTCGATATGCTTGTACAAGAACGTATGTCACACATTGAAGAATTACGATTAATCCACGCTGATATTAACATCGTATGATTTGAACATCAAGAGAGAGATAAAAAATATTGGAAGATTTTGTTTAGATGGAAACAACTATAAAGCAAGCTGAAGAAGAACGAATAAAAGCTCTACAAGAAAGTAAACGTATTCTGAAAGATTATCAACCTATGAAAGATCAAATTAATAAGTTGCGAGAAATGCTCAACTTAGAAAAAATTCAAGATAATGAAGATGATGAAGCCGCATTCATGACAATACAGTACGTAGAATTTCCCTACAAAAAAGAACACCGAAAATTGTTTCATTTACTTGTAGATTAATCTCACAACAATCAATTGATTCTGACGCAACTGCAGCAAATCGAAGTACTCATTTATCTTCCACAGCATCGGATAATATCCATGAACAACACCATTCATTAGTCGCACCATTTCTTCATCAATCACAACAGATGACTAGTTCGATAAATACCGGTCCGGTATCGACTGGAACGTCAACATCTAGTACGAGTCAATCGCAAGCAACAGGTATTAATGTATCAAAAGTACTTGGTACAATGGCATCAACAGTTGATCGATCAGCATTTCGACAACAGCCACCGCCGATGAAGGTAATGGCAAATGTTGATTTTTCACATTGAATCATCGTTGAATTTAGACTTGTCAATCTTGTCAACAACAAATTCATCGCAATGCACCGATATGCCCCATTTGTAAAGCCAAGAGTCGTTCACGCAATCCGAAAAAACCTAAACGTCGTCATACAGATATTCATTCGTAATCTCAACAAACCCATCCTGTATAGATCTCATTCAATGTTTTCTTTTTTTTGTGTACTTTTCGTAATAATTGTTTTTCTTTTTTTCTTTCGAATCTCTTATATACGCAATATCTACTTAATCGTATTTGTCCTTGTACAAAAATAAGTCTTCCATTGTAGATATTCGAAAGTCATGGCTCGTCGATATGATACACGTGCAACAATCTTTTCTCCTGAAGGTCGTTTGTATCAAGTTGAATATGCTTTAGAAGCTATTTCACATGCTGGTGCTTCGTTAGGTATTCTTGCTGAAAACGGGGTTGTACTTGCCGGTGAAAAACGTAACGTTAGTCCATTACTTGACGATGTGAAATATTCCGAAAAAATCTATAAGATTCACGATGATCTTTGTTGCTCAGTTTCTGGTATAACCAGTGATGCAAATGTCCTAATCAATGAATTACGTATGATCGGACAACGGTAACTACGCGAAAGGCACGATTCCCACCATCGATTATCTTTGGTCTTTCTAGATATTTATTAACATATCAAGAACCAGCGCCGATTGAATATATTGTCTCACGTTTATGTAACATTAAACAAGCCTATACACAGTTCGGTGGCAAACGTCCATTCGGTGTTTCATTTCTTTACATGGGCTGGGATAAACATTATGGTTATCAACTGTATCAATCCGATCCAAGTGGAAACTACGGTGGATGGAAAGCGACATGTGTTGGTCATAATTCTCAAACGGCGATATCCATTCTTAAACAGGAGTACAAAATTGGCGAGACGCAATTGAACGATGCCTTGCGTTTAGCTATCCGAGTATTTAGTAAAACACTCGACACAACCAAGTTAACACCAGAGAAAATCGAAATTGCTGTTTTACAGCACGATGATAAAACTAATGAAACAACAATTCGCATGTTAAAAGACGATGAATTAATCACGTTGATTAAACAGTATGAAGATGAACAGAGTAAATTAGAAGCTGATAGACAAAAACAACAGCAAACAACAACAAGTTCGTCAACTGTCGAAAAAGAGAAGAAATAAGATTCAACACATTTCAATCAAAGATATAAACTTTTCAACATTTAGCCATGATTTTTCTTCTTCTTGTTATGTCTCTATCGGTTCTTTTTTTTATTTGGAATATAAACTAAGAAATAAGATTTTCAAAGGATTCCTTTCATCATGAAACAAACTGAATCGAAGAAGAAGAAACTCTTCGAATTTCATTTTAGTCATTGCTCAAAATTCATTGCAATTGCTTTTGTTTATTTTTCAAAAAAAAAATTTATCTTCATCGAACATATTTCATTGTTTGAATATACACAAATGTCTGTTTTTTTCCGTCTCTGTACAATCTTGTACTTATACAGTTGGATAGTAACAACAACAACAACAACAACAATAACAACAGTAATAATAAAGAGAAAGCACGAATAACATACAACAAATATGTGCATATACAAATGTATTTAAGTTTTTTGTCGACTTGTATTGCTTCGCGTATTTGAGTTACTTCCGCGTTTGGACTTTTTTTGTCTCGACGATGATGGCGAGGGTTTATCTATGAACCAATTGATATGTCGTTCATAAAATTCGATTAATAAGTCGGGTACAAGCTCTTTAGCTTTTTCGTTTGAAATGAAAAATAATTTTGTTGGACAACGTGAACATTTCAAAAGAAATTCGAGTTCTTGTGCTGGTAAGCGAGAACGTGTTATGGAAACAATACGTTCAGGTTCCAAAGAAAGGTAATCGATCGTATTGTTCGGGATTTCCATTTGTTCAGGTCTTTGAATATCATTGGCATTTTCATCGACAATAGGTGATTTATTTGCATTGGAATCAGATCGAAGTTTCTTTCGGCGAGTTTGGGATGTGGTTTTTGTTCGTTTTCGACCGCGACCAGTAGTCAGTGGTGACTGAAAACAAGAAAACTGTTTCGAAGCGATGTTTCGCATCATTGCTTACTTCTAAAGTCATATGTGAAACTGTAGTTTCTTCTAAAAGAAAGATGGAGAATAAAAGAAAGTTCAATACGATGAATTTACCATTTTTGTTCACATTGTCCATACTATCACTTCTGGAAATACCATTTTCATGGCCATCTAAAAACAAATATTGAGTCAACCATTGGATTGATTATCAAACATCTTACTAGGAATATCGACAATGGAATTTTGACTAATAGTAGGCAAAGCGGATGCAGCAAGAGTGGGTGATAAGGCCTGTTCGGTAATCGATTCTTCAAGGCTGATATTAATGTCATCAGACGATGTTGAAAAGACTAGAAATAATTCCAGATTGCAAATTATTACTTTCGTCTTCATCACTCACCTGTTTGAACGAGATTTTCAATTTCATCAAGCATTTGATTTAGAGTTATTTGACACTCATCATCCTATCAAATCATGTTGACATCGCAACCCATCGTATTCAAATCTAGCTTACAATATCTTCCGGACAATTGACACTTCTTTCATACAATTTGATTAAATCTTTGCAGAAAACGTTTTCTTCCGGTTCCCAAGTGGCGTCGTCTTCGTCGTAGCCAAACCATTTTAAAAAATATTCAATCTCACCATTTTCAAGAACTCGCTTATTGAGAATTTTTTCGACGACATAAATATCATCGGCCATTGTAAACAAACGAGAGAATGATCTAAAAAATAGACAACAAAAAGAAGGCAAGTTTCCCAAATGCGTATTATTCTACTAAAAAATAGGTTTATATATAATCTGTACATAGAGATTCTCTTTTTTTCGTTCTTAATGTTTGTGTCCCATCGAGAGAATAATGGGAAAACAACAGCCAATAATAAGAATGAGAAGTTCGACAGCGCGAAATTGTCGGTTGTCATAATGAGATTGTACTTCAGGTAAAACATGCACAGTCGCAACGAATAGGAATGTTCCGGCGCTGAATAACATAGCCAAACCTGTCGAGTCAACGGAATAAGTGTCATGCGCTTTCTAGAGACGAAGAAAGATATAGAGTTGGAAATATTTGGACAACTAGATATTTACACTTTTCAACAGAACAAAAGTAAATATAGCCATCAATGGAGCGGCTAAGGAAAAGATCAATAGGTGACGTCGAATACGTTTGCGGTCGACACCATCAGACATTAAAAACGAGACTAGCCCGAAAGCGGCTGGCGCCTATTTGAGAAATTCAAAGCAATGCAAAGATGAACGAACAGATAGATACTACTTTATGTAACATAATTGCCATGAAAACAATCAATTCAACATTGAATCGACTTGTCGCTGATGCTGCACCTAAAAGAGATCGAATTATTTTCAGTTCATACATAATCTTCGCATAATTGTGTTTCGCGATATTTGATAAAAATCGATTAACAAGTAGCGACACTTACCCAGAGCTATGCCATCAGCAGCTGCGTGCACAACTAGACCTAACGTAGCTGTCCATGTCGACTTGGCTTTAGACATACTCATGGCGCTCGGCGAATCATTTACTACAAACCAAAGTAAAATCTTTCATATAAACGATGCAATTGAATTTACTTTGAGTTCCATGATGTCGAATAATTCTCGAACCACAGTTATCAATAACAAGCATAAACACAAAACCAAGTATCAGTGTTACACCTAAAGGTAATCTGCTTATTCCTATATGAGTCAAAGGAGATTCATACCAATAGCTGAATGTGTCGTGTCGCTATGTTTATGATCCAGTTCTGATCCTAATTCTCTTGGTCGATCGGCTGTGTGTTGATGAGCAGGAGGTAGAAAATCGTCTTTAACACCTTTGTTTTCTTCCTTGCCTTCCCGATCCAGCTGATTTAGATGTCGACCGATGATTTTATGATTAGTTTGAAACTCATGTTGTGTCTGCATTTGATTCGTTTCTAATTCACTCATATAAAGTGCGTGAACGCCTTCGGGAACGATAACAGCCAATGCGGTGCCAACCAGAAGGCCAGCGCCGAGTACAGTAACATAACGCATCTTGGTCTAAAGCAATATCAATTCTTTTTTAATTTTTCTTATTTCAGGAAGAGAAACATACTTCAGACAATGTGAACGCCAGTGGAACAAGACCAGAAAGATATGAGCCAAGAAACATGGCTAGACTAAACATACTTAACATGAACGATTCGGACATTTTCTTTTATTCACTACACAAGGAAAAGATGTCAAATGATTTTAATCGATCATTGATTCAATTTGATAAAAGAAAACATATTTTTAACACAAGAAGCATTTGAAATTGATCCATCAGAAAATCACGGTTAACTTAGGAGATTGAGATAAACAGCAAATGAATAGATGGCAGTAATTTTATTTTTCGCTTTGAACAAATCTGTATTAATCTACAATTATATTTTCAATTAAAGCAAAAATTCATTAGTTGAACACAATAATTTATCAGGTAGAATTTGACAGACATAGAAGGACATCTATCGTGTCGGTGGACATTTCTTCAAGAGGATTCAACATGAATAACGATCGTTTTAAGATATCATTCAGTGAATAAAATGAAAAATAACATATAATACGGATGTTATAGAGTCTGAACATTAGAATCCTCACTCGATGACATCGAATTCGTTCGCGATAGATTAGACAATTGCTGCGAGATAAGAAATGAATTTGCATTTACAATTGGTGCTGACCATTCAGTAGGCACGGAGAGAATACCAGGTTTTAAATCAATCTCCTCGACAGGATTCGTCGGTTCATCCGACATCGTTCGTGAAATATACCATAAGCATCTAGGAAACGGTCAGATATAAACAGTTCCTTCAAAGCAACTCTGTACTCACATATTCAAAAGCAGAGGAATGATTGTCAAACCGGCAGCAAGTAAAAATGTAAAATTTTTATAGTGGATTACCGTTCGTGCATAGATCCAGTTGAAAAAACAGTATCCTGTCACTTTCATAATTGTATTGATTTCTGTAGTTAACGTAAATGCACTTGTTCGTTCGTGTGATTCCAACCATTTCGACACCATCGACAGAGTTAAGAAGTTCGGATAACCAGACAATGAACTGAATAATAAACCAATATACATTTGCAAATCATTTTCTGCAAATGCGAACCAAAGTAATGTTAGACAAAGGAAAATATGACTAATAATACAAATGACAATGTCACAAGCACCAAATTTTGTTAACAATTTCATTCCGGCAACGCTGAAGATTCCGAATATGATTAAGGCAGTTGCTGAAAAGTTTCCAACGTGTTTCGATGTCCAACAAAACGGTGCATTGAGCAGATAAAGAAGAAGAACACTAAATGCCGTGCATAGAAATGAAAATAACGCATATACAACCAGTGTCAACAGTAGACTGAAATATTTCTTTCGCGATCGATTTCTCCTGGTCAAAATTTGACAAATATGAAAATAAAACTGACAATTTGTTGGCCGACTCGCTGATTGCAGAAGTAAATCCGACTGATCTGAATTTGCTAAGTATCTATAATGATGTGTGTCCGATTTGAAAAAAAATAAAACAATAAAAATCGAAATCAATTGTAAAAATAGTGCAATCCAGTATAAATTTGTAAAGCCTTGCCATGCTATATAATAACCAATAACAAATGTACCAATGGCTGAGACAACCATAGATATGGCACCAAAAATAACAAAACGAGATGAACGTTCAGTTTCGATCGTATTTTCCGTAATAAATAAATTCAATACAAAATCTAAATCGAACAATTTAATGTCAACTTCACGGAGAAAAATACTTGACTTACTTCGAACATTATCCGAGCCAGATAGACCGACAATAAATGCAGCTATATACCACCAATGTTCAGGTAAATGAAAATAAATAATTGCTAACCAGATAGTGACTTGAATGGCTATGCCTATCATCGGTAGAATGAGGATAAACCGTCGACCTAACTTGGGGGTATACAATCCAAGAATGTATGTCATGATGATAATTGGAAAACAACTCCAGACATTGATCCAAAAGAATAGATCAGCCGATCGTTGCTGTGCCCATGCTTGAGCAACATCATCTTGTGATCGGCCAACTTTCGCACATTTCTCTAACGAATGGTGTTTGTTTAACGATGTTGATGTCGTTATTGCGGTTACATTTCGAAAAGTTGAATGCAATAAAGGCGTATAGATTTGTAAATAGAATGTATAAATATATTGACCAAGAGTGAAAATAATACAAGTCGAAAGAGTTTGAAGACTGAGAACAGTTGCGATAGTATGACTCCTGACTAATTTCATTCGGGAGGATAATATTTCTCAAAATAGGAAAGAAATGTATATAAACAAAGCACTTCTTTGGCCTTATAGAAGAAAAATCAGTCATGCGGAATGATGAATAAACTAGTTGTTACACGTGTATTCAATGTGATTCATTTTGAAGAGAGAACAAAAAAATGCGAGTTGAAGGATATTTGTATTGCATTTCGTCATTTTATTTAATAAATCAACAGATTGTTACAGGAAAAATGTTAGAGAACAATTAGATCATTTGATGGGTCTTCTTTTGAATTTGATCGAGACTGATTTTCATCGGGTAGATGTGTTATTGATGGACAAGGTTGAACGACTGCAACGGAATGTATGACGGCAATATTTGACGGTAGACACGTTTCCGCTTCGGAAGGTTTAGGAAGGGATTCTTTTGATTTTTGTCGAGTTAACACAAATAAACATCTAAAGAGAAGAAAATTAGAATGAAATTTTCCTATGTTGACGTCTTACACGTTCAATAAAAACGAAACAAGACTGAATCCAGCTGCCATGAATAACGTTAAATTTCGAGATTTAGCCACCGTTCGTGCATACACCCAATTGAAAATCGAATCACCAAATGTGGTCACAATTGTATTGACTTCCGCTACTAGCGTGAACACATGATTTCGTTCATGTGGAGCTAACCATGTCGACATAATTGGTAATGTCAATGAACTTTGATAATCCGCGTATGGACTAATCAATAAACCAGCATATAATTGCCAACTGTATTTAGAAAATGCAATCCAAAGTGACGAAGCAGTAAAAAATAAATGACTTAGAGTGCAAACGAGAATATCGTTGGCACCAAAACGTGATAATAATTTCATTCCAAGTACACTGAAAATAGCAGAAGAGATGGAGGATAATGCGGTATAAGTTCCAATGTTTTCGGATGACCAACAGAATGGAGTGTCGAGTAAATACCAAATAAATGCTGCGTATGTCGAGTACGCTAAGAGGTAGAAGATATAAGCGAAGAATGTTAAGTGAAGATTAATTGATTTCTGACGAGAATTGTTTTTGAAACTGAAGATTCGAAAAATAAACACACAATTTTGACATGATGCTTTCAGAGACGAAGAAGGGCAAGCATTTTGAACTTGTATATCAGCATTGTTGTTTAATAGAGGAGTTCTTTCATCGATTGTTGAAGGAGTTGGATTTTTGAAAAAGAGAATCACCACTCCGATAGACACGATTTCCAATCCCAGAGAAATCCAATAGAGATCAGTAAAACCACGCCAATTTATATAATATCCAATACCAAATGTAACAATAGCAGATACGGTTGTAGCCAATGCTTCGAATAGAACAAAATAAGATGATCGATTGGTTTCTGTTGTGTTATCTGTCATAATTAAAGTCAAAACCAGAGCTGAAATCAAAGAAATTTTCGTAAATGAACGTAAATCTACACATTTCCCTTACTAAACACATATGTTGAACCAGATAAGCCAACAATAAAGCTCGCGATATACCACCAATAATCAGCCAGGTGAAAATAAATAATTCCCAGCCAGATCGTTAACTGACAAGCAGCTCCTAACATCGGTAGAATAAGAACAAATCGTCGTCCCAGTTTTGGTATGTATAATCCGAGTACAAATGTCATTAGAACCATCGGACAACTGTTCCATAGATCGATTCGAAAGAACAAGTCAGCTGATTGCTCTTGTGCCCAAACTTCAGCATTACCACTGGAAGAATTCGCACCACATTGTTGCGAAACATCCGTAAGTGTTTTCTGCCATAAATGTAATGACCGAGTCGCAGTCAGAGTCACATTTTGAGTTGTATTCGACGAGTTTGGATATATTTGTAAATATGACGCATAGATATACTGTCCAACAGTTAATATAACACTATGACATATAGTTTGAAGGCAAAGAATCGTTGCTATAGCATAATTACTGATAATGGTCATTGTGAACCGATTTTCATTTCACATTTTATATTAATGAGAGTGTTTTTACGTTTGAACCAAGAGTGTGTATGTTTTGCATTACTCATCAGCGTACGGATGATGTCTCTTTTTAGCTTTTTCTCTTCTCGTTCTTTGAAGAACAGAAGAAAGTGGGTCGAGAAAAGGCAAAATGTCGTACAGACGAAGTAACAGGAAGGCCTGAGAAGAAAAAGAATGTACTTTTTCTTTTTTTCCTACGGGTCATAATAAATTGGAAAGAGAGAGAAGAGTAAAGTCTGATTTTTTCACTTTTCCACTGGAATTCTTCTTCTGATTAGAAATCAAATACATTACTTTCAGTTTCGCACAAAAATTATTATCATTTTTATACTGATGTTTTTTTGATCTCACAAAATCGTGTTGCTAGAGCATATGTGTTATATAATTGAAATATTGTACAATATAATAGAGGTTAGTTAGTCAAGAATATTTATCACAGTATTACAAAATATTCTGATCGCATGCAGTGTTATTAGGTAAATTCTGTGTTTCATTATAACTGATCGAGTTCACACGAGATCTAATCAAAAATGGTGTATTTAGTAAAGTAATGGATGATGATCGAGAACGAATTATGAGACAATTTGTATCATCGACATGTACTATTGCATCTTGTTGGAAGTGAATTGGCATCGGATTTGCATCGTTTGATGTAGATACAGGTGATTCTTCATTGATTATCTTTCTGGAGACAAAAACAAGAATTCTAAACGATAAAATAATGAAGACTTATTGTGCGAGAATGAAACAATCGAAACACATACATATTCAGTACAAGAGCAACGAGGCTGAGGATAGCTGCTATGAAAAATGTCAGATTTGGAAGGCTGATTACTACACGCGCATATATCCAATTGAATAAAGTACTTCCACATGTAAAGATAATCGTATTCGTTAGAGTCAGCAGAGTGAATATGCTATTGCGTTCATGAGGTTCCAACCATTTCGATATCATCGATGTGGTCAGTGAACCTTGATAGCCCGAAAACGCACATGGCAATAATCTCAAGTACAATTGCCAATTATGTTGAGCGAATGCAGTGCATAAGCATGAGGAAAAAAAGAATATATGACTGATGATACAGATAATAGCATCATTCGCTCCTATACAGGTAAACATTTTCATGCCGAGTAAACTCAATACTGCATATGAGATGGCACTCAATGCCGAATAGTTTCCAATATCTTTCGATGTCCAACAGAATGGCGTATTGAGTAGAAACCAAAGAAATGGAGAGAAAGCTGTCGTGGCAAATAGATAGAACATGTTGGCCGAGAGGGTTAACCATATACTAATAGTTTTTTGCTTAGCTCGCTGATTCGAGCGCAGTACTGTACAAATTTGAAAAAACTGATCACAATTCGTTGGTGACAATTCTTGAGTTTGATCATTTAGAGGTGACAAAAGTGGTGTTCGCTCATCAGAATGTGTATCAACAGATTTGAAGCAGACGATCACTATAACTATCGATAATATTTGGAAGGAAAGTGAAGCCCAATACAGATTAAGAAAACCACGCCACTCTATGTAATAACCTACAGCAAATGTGGCCATAGCTGATATAGCTGTTTGCATCGCGCTCAAACGTACAAATTGAGATGAGCGTTGACTTTCTACTGTATTTTCAGTGATCATGATCGTTAAAGTTAAACCTAAAAAACAACTACGATGCATCAAGAATAGTTTTTCGAACTAGAGACATCACACCTAGAACACCACTTGAACCTGATAAACCAACGATGACTGCAGCTACAAACCACCAATATTCAGACAAATGAAAATAAATAATTGCCAACCAAATAACAATTTCCATACCCATACCAAACATAGTGAAAATAAGCACAAAACGTTTTCCTAATTTAGATGTATACAAACCAAGAACATAAGTCATGATTATCACTGGACCACTGCTCATCAAATGTATCCAAAATACTAATTCTGCTGAACGCTGTTGTGCCCATAATTGAGCATCTGTCACATTCTCTGCCACATTCAACCAGTACAACGAACGGTATCTACTCGTAGTTAAAGTAACATTCTCGATATTTGTCGATGTATTTGGATATGTTTGCAAATAGAATGCGTATATATATTGATTAATCGTCGAACTAAAAGAACCGAACAACGTTTGTAAACATATTATTGCCACTATGGCAACATTTTGGACATTAGACATGATAAGTTGACATGGAAGTTATGTTAATAGCAATATAAATTTGGTCGAAGAAGAAGAAGAAATGTAAAAAAAAGGCGTCGTTAGTTTTCTTTTTCTTTCAGTCTGTCACATGTTGCATTTAGAAGACATGCAGCGTTCAAGAAAGAAAAATCTTTCTACCGATCTTTCTCTCATTTTTTTTCTCAGAGAAATGAAAGCAAAAAAACCTGGTACTGTCATATGATCAATAATCGAACGAGAAAATGTATATTTGTATAGATATTTCTATATAGAACAAAAAAGAATAAAAAAATCTATTCAATAAGCAATATTCGGCGTTGGATCTGGATTTCTGGGCACTGTTAAACGCGATTTCTTTGTATAGATACATGTCATTGCGATAGTAATACATATTTGAACGAAAGTAAACGAGAAAAATATAACAAGAATAATCTTTATCAAATAGGACGAATCGTGACATCGGTCAGGACCTAAAAAGATTTTGTAACATGAATCTGACGCCAGATTGATCGAAGAGAGAATTAGTGCTATAACTGCAACAATAAACATTCCCAAATGAAATAACTTTAATCGTTGAAATGAACCTTGATTTTTATGTGGATGACTCATAAATAAAATTAAATAAATGCCTAATACAATACTTAAAGCACCTGACCATAGTCCAGTGAATGAATATGATTCGTTCATAATCGTTAGAATCACATCACAAACAATCGTTCCTAGTCCGACAACCATATGAAGAAGTCCTGATCCTAATAGATATCGTGTAAATCGATTCGGTGGTGTGACCGTAGGCCGTCTGACCGACCTTTCTTGATGGCCCATACCTTGACAAGGTACACTGTAGATCGGCGGCGTATAGGACGGTGGATTTTCATAGTTATTCGTGACAGAATATGCAGGCGGTGGTCCGTATAAGTCATCTTTTGACATCGGCCAATTGCTCACCATCATGTTCGTTTATTTTATACAGTTCAATATAATAAATGAGAGTAATAAAAAAGCGGAAGACGCCGAACGACGAAGAAAAAAAAAGGAGAAGCGAAAGAAAATGATGAAATCAAGATCACAGTAAAAAAATGAGAATGAAGTATGCGAAAAAAATTGGTAGAAGAGCATAGAGAGGGAAAGAAAAAAAATGTAGAACGATGTGAAGGTCAACACGCAATATGTGCGATTTGAGCACGTCGAAAGGATCATTACGATGAAGTATATACATAGTTTAAGGACACAAGTCCGACGACCAATCACATCGATTTATTCGCGAATTGAATTTCGTTGTCAATGGACATTTGAATGGAATAGGATAGTTATTTGAACATATGAAATATCGTTTACAATCAGTTGGATTCGGGAAAACGCCGTTTGTTGTTGGACAAACAAAATCTTCGAAAGAAAACAGACAGAAAATACATACAGAAGAAAGAATCGAATAGATTTTTACCAGGTTTCGATGTTGAAGTTGTTGCTTCAGTTGGCTTGAACTTTGATTCGGAAGAGCAAGACTATTTTGATAAGAAGAAATGAATTAAATTACAGATAAAACAAAATGAATTCTAGAGAAATTTGTCGTTCTTTCGATAACATTCTATGAGAAATGTCTGACTTTTGATTTCTATTCAAAGGACTACGATCATTTCGACAAGACCAAACACATTATACAGTTATTACACCGTGATTATTCATTTATTGTGACCAATTTCCACCGTGCAGTATATGACCAGAACGAATGAACAGAAAAGAGTACCTATAACCTGGTCGTTAACATTTTTCATCTTGATAATTCATCGGATATGGAGTAATTGAGAGATAAAAATCCGCATAGTCTGTCAATATTACTTTTATATGATTACGAAACAGAACGAGAATGAAAGCGATATAAATAATTCAATCAGTTCACTTACCGAACGTTCTTCTGCACAAGCTTTCTGTTCACGTGAGAAATACTTGTTCTTTGCGCATTGAAATCGACCAGCAGGCTCAGTTTGAGTTGGTAAACATACATAATAGAAATGACAATCATCTTCATCGGCTACTACATCTGGACTTGTGACATTTGAGCATACGTTAGACTTCAATATCGAAGAAATCGGTGTTGCTGTACTAGTGTGAATTGGCTGAATAGATCGAGAAGATGATGAGGGTGATTGTAAAAAGATTCGAGAAATAATGGAAGTTATCGGAAATGGACCACGTTGACACGAAAGGCCAGTAAAATCATCTAAATCGATCGAATGAACGAGAACACCAGCTAATTGCGATTTTTTAAGGAAATTTGCTTTCAATTCCACTGTGCCATTTACGACCTGTTTATCTGATATTTGTAATGGATGAGTATCATCAAACATGATTAAATTCTTTCCTCGATGTGCCAAAACTGTAATTCCTTCGTTACTTAAAAATCGTTCGTAACCGTCCGATTCAATTCGTTGACAAATCTAATTTGTTGTATGAACAATAAAGCAAACTCTCATCTAAATACAATAGATCTCACTTCATAAGACGAAAGCATTCCAATGGTATGTGTAAGTCGTCCTGGAAAACCTTGCGCGAGGATTTTATCTCCAACTTGATACTTGTTTTCGTCTTGCAGTACGAATGTTAAGCCATATGTCGGGATGCTCATAACTAATTTCTCTTTTGGAACTCCCGTTGAGAAACTGAAGAGTAACATGGAAAGCTATAACGAGATTTCAAGTATGATTCGGATATTAATCGATTGTATGTCTTACGATGGAAAAGTCGCCAATTCGTTTCTCGATATTGACTGGAGTAAACATAGCAAGACTGTTCCATGATTGGATTTCAGTGAAATTTGAAATCGATTTTTCATCGAATGGAAGAAGAAAAAGATAATCAACGTATGGATGCAAAGCGAGAATGTTGAAAAATGAAACTTGATTTGCTGAGTCTGTCGGAGCTTGAAATGATATGGTTAATAAGTAATTGTTCGGTAACGATGGTCGAATGGTCTAGAGGACAGTTGAATGATGCTAAAGCTTGTTGGTAGAAAGAAAATTTACCTTGATTTGCTTGACGAGTGTCTGCGAATCTGTTTGATTATCGATGTTAATATTAATACCATCAGCATTTTTATTTGTAAGCAAATCTTTCCACTGTTCCACATTGATATCGCTATTTGAACTTACTGTTAGAAGAATCTTCAAATCAGCATTGGTATTTTTCAAATTCTTCGATACTGAATCAGTGATCAATGAACTCGTATGATTAATTAAAAGATGTGTACAGAGTCGTGTATTAATTTTATCGAGTGTAAACTGTATCCGACCAGAATATGTTTCTACTTGCGAACTAATAGAACAGAAGACATTGCTGTTATGGTCGGAACGCTGCTGTGATGGATTAGTGTCTATTCCATCTATGACGAGAAGATAAAGATGCGAAGAAAAGGTGAAGAGTACTTCATACCAATACGTCTGTCAGATTTCAAACCAAATACATCAGCAACAGCGTGCAATAGTGGATAACGACCGTTGCCGCATTGGCCATTGACATCGTCCATTCCTACAGATGATAATGTCACACCACCCAAACCTTGAAGTTTGGCGAAACGAGCCTAGAAAAATAGTTGAGCGTCCAAAGATTTTTACTTTGTGTGATCATTTACTTTCAATGCAACATCGGTAATTGTATCCGAACTGATCCATTGTTTTCGTTTTATATTGATTATATACGTTGAACGACTTGGTTGATAGTAAACTTTGATATAATCAGTATTTTGTATCAATTTACATATCTAAAATCAGTCGAGATAATGAAAAATTCATACTCAAATCCATCGAAATTACATCGGAATATGCAACTGTCATTGATGTGCCAACAGTTTGTGATCCAATCTTATTCTGTTCCCCATCTACTAATCCAAATAAACGTCCGTATGTTGGTAAACCTAGAGATACGATTTCAGGTGCAACGCCAAGTTCCACTAGATAGTCAATTGCCGAATTCTACAAGAGAACAGAGAAGTAGATAAGTATATGTGATTTGGGAATTTGCATTTACAATGTTATCCGATTGATTGTCATCTTGTTTGTTTGGTGCAAAGAGTGGATTGATCAGTGAAGTAACATTCTTTGATGGCCAGTCGAAAGCCATTAATCGAATAAAGTTAACTACACTAGAAACAGATTCATTTCGATATTTAGCTTGAAAAAGAAATGAATATCAATTTCATTTACCTTGATAATGTATCAAAATCATAGCTATTATCGAGTACAACTTTATCTCCACTAATACCAATCGATAATAAGAATTGACCAGAGGTAAAGGTTGCTTTTAATTCCTGAAAACAGAATCCTTAGTTGGAGAAAAAAACCTTATTTTCTCTCATCGAACATACTGAGAGCCATGTTGATAAATGATCTTTATCGTCTAAACTAGCTACATCCTGTGCTCGTAGATTCCAATCGATATCTATGAAAACAACACATTTGAATAAATAGTGAACAATATGTATAATATACCGAGTCCGTCGAGATGGTTATCAATTAAGTATTGTTGGATTTGGTTATTGAATAAGGCTCGTTGTTTTGTATCACGGATTAAACTTAAGTGTTTGACTTTCCATTGACCAAGAATACAATAGAGAATTTTTAGTTTGGGATTCGTATTTCTCATTTTCGTCAATCGGTTAACTAAAAGCACAAATATTTTGCTTTATCATGTTAGATTGTCAGCAACGAATCTTACTGGTATCTGTTGAGAGAGGTGTTTGAAAAATATCGGAATTAGTTGCAAAAGTTTCTTCTCGAATCAGAATTAAATGTGAACATAAATTGACATCAAGACTGTTAAATACGAATGGATTAATTGTAGTCATACAGACAACGGATGGACTTGTGACTGAAATGAAAATAATAAAGTCGGATGATGAAATCAGTACAAATTTGACTGAAAATCTTCGTTAGAACATATATTTACCAACAGATGATGGTGAGGTTGGCTTAGTAGTAGCAGGAAACGATGGAGTTGGGGCAATAGTGGTAGGTCCTGGTAGGGTTTGTGTAATAGTAGTAGATGGTGAAGTTGTTGCTGATGTGTTAGAAGGCGTTGTAATGATGATTGGAACAGTTGTTGTTGTATCTGTAGGATCAGTGGGTTCAACTAATGGCACAATTGTATTCGTTCGAATAATGTTAACAACAGTATTGAGTAATGGATATCGACCACGACCACAGAAATGTCCAGAGAAATCATCAAGATCCGGTGCCCAAAGCATAACACCACCAAGATCTTTCCCGATAATATAATTGGCCTGGAAAAAAGAAAACAAGTTCTTTCTTATTACGCAATAACCACTGACGAAAAATAGTTTCACATACACGAATCGTGAGTGTATCGATATTATCATATCCCACCCAATCGCCGTCACCGTAAGCATACATGGACTTTTGTACTTTGTCATATTTACTTGTCCACTTATTATCTTTTAATTTTTCGCAAATCTACAATAGATTCTGTTGCTCTATCTGCCTTTTCTTCTTCTCTGTTTATCTCACTTCATAATATGAAAGAAATCCCGATTCTCTTGTATATGTGCCAGGTTCACCTGGACCAAACGATGGTGCACCGATACCTGTATCCGAGCTATTGACTAATTTAAATGTTCTGCCGTAGAATGCTAAACCCATGCAGATTTTATCTTTTGGCATTCCGCGTGCAATCCATTGGTTTACTGCCCAATTCTAAACGATAAATAAGATTCACTTCAGAATTACAATTTCACTACGCATGCGTACTTGATTAAGTGTTATCTGACTGCCTTTTTCTTCGGGACGTGCATACAAAGCAGTGTGAAGTCCAGTAGAATTCTCCCAACTACCACCATGAAGATCATAGGTCATCAAATTGATAAAATCAAGGTACGAAGCAATTTCTTCGATATCGTATCCTTTTTCGATTTCTGAAGCACCGGCAGCAACAGCGGCTGTCAATAATAAATTATGGGGTTCAAAAGCAGCTTTTAATTCCTGCAAAAAACAATGAATCTACCTAGATCATATAAAGAGTCCAATAACTAACCTTGACAAGAGTTGTAAAATGGTCTTTATCTTCGGGTCGACTACCATCTCGACTGCTAGGATATTCCTATCAAAAGTAAAAATACACGGGAGATGCATGTGATTATAATGGAACTCTTCGTCATTCGTACCCAGTCGAGATCGAAACCATCAAAACCATGACTGAGAATGAACTCGGTTGCTTGTTGAACAAATGCTTTTCGTAAACTATCATCTCGGACTAAATCGGAAAATCCGGCCGAGCCAAAATTCCATCCACCAACAGCAAGTAATATTTTCACAGCAGAAGTTTTCTTCAATGCTAATATACGGCTGAACATGCCTGAAACAAATAGTTTTCTATACTAAACAGGATTTTCTGAGAATCATGCAAACCCTTGCTCCAGTCATTATCTTCATCGTTCCATTCGAATGAAGCAAGTTTAGAATCCTTGATTACAGCAAATGCGTATATGATATGTGTACATAATGACGGATCAAGATTTTCAGGTTCGAATTTACCACCTCCTGGACGATATTGTGCCCAACTAGAACAAACGAAAATCTCTGAATGAATAGTTTTTGTGTTAGTGCAGATCTTTTTCAATACTTTGTATAATAACAAACGATACGTCTACGTTTGGAATCTGTAGGACTTTCAGTTGTGGTTATGGCTGGTGCTGTTGTTGTTGCTGGTACTGTAACTGGTGGTTTAGTTGATGTGATCAATTCTGTATTACCACGAAGAAGATTGACCGCAGCATTCATTAAAGGATATTTTCCTTCCGAACACAAGCCACCAGTAAAATCATCGAGATCCGGAGCCCAAAACATGATACCAGCTAATCCCATATCTTTAGCGTATTTAACCTACGAAGGAAAAAAGCAAAGAAAGAAAGTATTTATTCGATCCACTATGTCGATATCGAGGTACTTTTAGACTGAGCGAATAAGCATCATCAAATCCAACCCATTCACCACCTTTGTATGCATAATTCGATGCTTGTTCTGGATCGTACACTTTTGTCCAACCCTGTTGTTTTATACGTGTACAGATTTCGTAATAAGCTAAAAATCCCGCTTCGCCTGTGTACAAACCAGCAGCACCTAAACAAGATAGAGCTTCTTCTAGATAACCCACGCATCAATCATTATGCACTAACCTGGTCCGACTGCAGGCGCACCAATTTTATTATTACTTGGAGATGCTAATCGAAATGTTCGTCCATACAATGCTAAACCCATGATAAGCTTAGATTTTGGACAACCACTGTCAAGCCAATAATGAACTGCCCAGTCGGCGGTCAACTGTTTGTTTAATTTCGTATCGTTCGGTCGACTATATAAAGGTGCGTTAATACCAGTTTGAGATTCCCACGAGCTAAAATAGTGTGACAGAAGTAGATAACAAACTAGTACAGTAGACATTGAACTCACCCATGTAAATCATATGACATTAAATTGACCATATCAAGTTGTTCGCAAACTTTAGGGATATCGTAGGCTGCATCGATAGTTGGTTTGCCAGCGCCAACAGCAGCTGTTAACAATAAACCCAACGGTCGAAATGCTTTCTTTAATTCGGTAACTAATTTTGTAAAATTATCTTTATCACTCGGCCGTGAACCTTCGCGTGAACCCGGATATTCCTAGAATGGAATTGAATGAAAAGAACAGTTTGTTTCTTGTCTTACCCAATCAAGATCCAATCCATCGAATCGATTTTTTTGTAAGAAGATAATTGTGGTAGTAACGAATGTTTCTCGTAGTGTATCATTATGAACCATATCCGAAAACTTTCCACTACCGTGATTCCAACCACCAAGTGCAAGTAAGATCTTTGGCTTGGATGCCTTTCGTAAATTCATCATTCGAGCGTACATGCCCGTTGACCATTGAGTGCTTTCATCATTCCATTCATATGCTGCTATAACACCATTTTGTAACTTAGCAAAAGCGTAGACAATATGGGTGCACAGGTTAGGATCGATATTCTCTGGATAGAATCGTCCAGGACCGTTCCGATACTGTGCCCAATTGGTATAATAACAGACAACAGTTTGAGATGCTACAAGAACAAAATAGACTTTTCTTCTACAATTTTTTAATAACAAAACTGACCATCATCGGAGAGTTGTGGCGTTTGATCTGCTAATGGAGGTGTGTTTAGCCATTGTTGCCAGAGTGCTGGTGGTTTATCAACTTCATTTGCATTCGATACTTTAAATGATTCGATAGAGACATTTGTAGACGCTGTGTGGTATTCTTCTGTTGGATGGACATTCAAAGATTTGGTTAGAGGTGCAATATCAAGATCGAATTTCACACAATACGTGTTGCGTAAAAATGTAAATTGAGCGGAACAATCATCGTTACCGTCCTGAGAAATATCATAAACAAAAATTTTTTCGTCTTCAATTTTCTTACTGTTTTAATATTCGAGACAACAGTATTGACAATGACAGGTAAATTGGTCAGGAAGAGTTTCGTAGTAGCATGAATATCTTCGGATGTTTTACCGTCAAATTGCAAATCACTTCGATCAATTTTACTCAAAAGTTCGTTGGTGATATCATCTTTTGAAACAGATGATGTTTCTTCGGACTCAGCACTGGTAGTACGTTGACGAATAAACTCAGCTAGTTCGGGAACGAGATGTTGTAAGAATTCATTGATGGTTACATTTACGTGATCTACCGATATGAAATATCAACATTTCGAATTAATATGTTCTAAATCGTGTTTACCTATGCTTGGTTTCGATGGTTCGATGAAAGGTAAATCAGGTGTATCTAGATGAGGGTAATCACGTTGAATTTGATCTTCTTGAGTAGATGTATCAGTTCCTTCTGTTTCAGTCTCGTACTCTTCAGGAATAACAGGTTCAGGTACGTTTGGTAATGGCCCATTTCCTGGATCAATAACGTTTGTTGCGCTAGAATCAGTAGTTTCCGTTTCGTCAACATAATCTAACAGACAATTGAAAACGTGACTAAGCGTAACATAGTGTTTATATTCTTACCTTCAGGAGTTTCCAATGTTGTTATTGAAGAATCTTGAAGATCGGTAGTAGATAAATTTTGAACATGGGTAAAAATATTCAATAAAAGTAACAACACCAAGCTAAAAAAACCATATTCACAATCACCTTCTTAAAATTACAAAATAAAGACTCGAAGATTAGACTTACACGTATGAGATTCGTCTTAGCATCATTGTTTTCCAGTAGAGTGCTAGTCCAACCGTGCAAAATATCTTTATTCAAGTGAGATCGAAATCTGAAATCTATCAAAATGGCGAGAGTATATATATTTATTCATTCGTCTAACGTAGGATGGGCACGGTGGACCCTAAGTGTGACAGGCAAATGAGATTATCACGACTGACGGACAATCATACCGAATATCAAAAAATATAAAACACATATGTAGTTTTGAGGAACAAATTACATATCGAAGGATATCCTATCATGGACGATAAAATATCTTAAAAGATACCGTAGGAAATGCACGAATGAACAAAAAAAATCAAGAATATAATGTGGAACGACTGGCGTCAACATTGGTTCGCTGCGGCGTTTCCTTAGACGAATATTTCAATTCGAATGAATTCTAGAAGATGATGAAGAAACAGTCGACACGATTATCTATGTGATCTTTTTGGACGAGTAGAATACTTCTTACGTCGTACATGTTCGTCCAGTGAAATCGCTCGCACAAGCGTTTTTTTTGTATCTCGTCAGAACGAACATATTATATATACTGACAATACATATAATGATAACATGACTGAAAACGGTGAATGTTGCATTGTCAGAATCCATTCTCTTATCAAGAAATGGAATGACAAACATTTTGCATGTAGAATTCAAACACATTAATACACGTAACCACATTCGTTGTTATTTCTCTGCGAAATGCTCTTCTTTTTGAGTAAGAAGTGCGATCTTTCATAGGCGATTAACGATCAGATGTGTCATACAGTCAGTTAAATGTTTCCACTTGATTTCATTCACACGAATTCTCGACATATCAAGCTCAGCATGATATCTATGATTTTTCATTCTTCAATTCTCGCGAGAACAATTAACATTAGACTTTGATTTGTTTGATCTGCTCATTCATTTCTTTTATTAAATAAATCTATACAAATAAATGAAGACTCTCTTATTTTCTCGATGTTACACACATAAATATATATATATACAAGACAAGACTAGAATCGTACAGAACGAATGATCCTTAACGAAGACTGTTGCAAACCATTCATAGTTGTATGCACAGCTGGTAACACAAGTGGAACAGGTAGACCTTCTCGTATGACTGTATGATGAATAACAAGTGTACTCAAATTAATGAATATCTTCGACGAATTCTAGAATAAAAAATGAACTTTGTCACTAAAAAAGAAAACAAGAATTTTGTTGTGTTACTTACTTCTATTCGATAACCAGCATTGTTCATTGTTTTTTTAATCGGAAAATGTTCTATTGATGTGTTTTTGCTTTTAATTGATAGAATGAATGGATATTGAGGGTGAACGTAATTACATCGAATGATGAATGACCCTATTGGTTGATCATTTTGATTCAAATATTCTTCACATATCTCAGCAGGCAAACCTTCTTGATACCAAGCAGCAACTGATAATAGATCATGATCACTGAAACAAAAAACAATTGATTAAAACTAGTAATTTGAGACATCGAACTCTTCAAACAGCTATTCAGGAAAAGCAACTCACTAGTGCGTTAATCAAGCGTGGTTAACAATGAAAATTTGATTATCATTCTATTGTCTCTCATACAGAATCATTACAATTATATTCGATGTGTTCAAGTGCATGTATGTATAGACGAAATAAGACAATAATCCCCGGGTCATCTATGTCTGCACACACGTATATATGTTTCTATACATCTCGATGTAATTCAAGACGTCAATATATTCATCACGCGATATGGATGAATGAAAGTGAATATGATTAGAATTCAAGGCTGAACAAGGAATAAAGTAAAGACTTACCCGATATGATGAAGTATCGGTTTTGATGTATCATCGACAGACATCGATACGATCGAATGAGAATCTGACGATAGTTGTTTATTTACAGTTACACGAAGTTTTTCGATTTGTTTCTCCAAATTCCATACATTGTCATAGATATCAGTGCTTGGATTCGATGTTTCAGTTCGCATTGGCGATGGAAAAAGTGATGCTAAACTTTTGTGTCGAGCAAGTTTCTCTTTGAAATATTTACTAATACTAATACGACGATTTGCTGAACCGGATTGATCAGCTTGAGATAAACTTAACCGTGAACCGTATCCCGATGAAGATGATAATGATATTGACGATGATGATGTGTTACGATCAAACCGAAATGAATCGGTCGTTTGAAAACCATCGAGTTTTTGCATTGGTGAATCTAAAATAGCAAAAACAATTGTGAGAAAGAAATATTTTTGATATGCAAAACTAATCATAGTCGTCTCCCTTTATATACTAACGTGTTAATCACTGTTTCAAGGCAATCTATCGATTAGCAATGATTAAAATACAAGAATTGTCGCTTTTATATGTACAAAGCAGCATGTATATCTGTGTAATCAAACTATTGATATGTTGTCACTCTTGTACGAACCGCCCGCAACAGAATGATAATTCAATTGAACTAATATCAGAAGAAGAGAAGAATCGTTTCCATTCTTTTTCCCTTGCTGTCCATCTCTTTCTCTTTCTCCCTCTCTCTTATCAAAAAAATAACACATGTGTTCAAACATGGCAATGAGAAAGAGAGAAAATGAGCTCATCAAAAGGTTCAATTGTCGCTCTCTCCCTCTCTCGATATTGATCAATCGACTGTATGATATACGAGAAAGAAAAAAGAGTTTCTATTCTTTATTCGTGCCTTTTTTTTCGAACAATTATCAATCGATAGACAACCTAGCAGATAAACATCTGTTCGAAATTCGAAAAATACTTGACTGACAAAGATATTCAATAGGAGAAAACATCTAGACAGACGCAGCCCAAAGCAATCATCGATGTATTTTTCCACTTGTCGCGTTCTATTCCATTTCTTCTTTTAATGAGTTCCATTCTAATGCTGACCAACATTGAACACGAACAAGAGAGAGAAAAAAATATAATGACGGAACTGGGTGGACAGATTGTTGTTTAGAAAAAGAAGAGTATGATGAGCATTTGCGTGAATTGATCGGAGATGAAGGACGGAAGCGACAACATACACGCAATGATGTCTATCAAATGACCGTTTGTCTATTAACCTTATTTTCATGAATAGAAAATCCGAACGACAAATAAGTAGAAATATGAGTAATGCAGCATGTGTCAAGTCACGCGTTCAACAACATCTGAACAGGATTTTCTCAACGAGTATAAACTCATTTGAAAACAATGTGATGCCTAGTTTTTGATGTGATAGAATTCGTTTATGTACATCAATATAGATGCTTTTCTTTCGAGGATTAAATTCCAATTTATATATGCGAACAAAGCATAAAATCAGAAGTAATAGGCACGTCTATTTATTGTTAAATAAGTATGTATATATAGACTCTAATATTGTTGCGTCGAGAGGAAGAAAGATATTACACGAAGTTATTATAAAAATTTCTTTTTTTTAAACGTTCACGTTGATTCTATTGGAGTAAATTTTTAGCTCATTATAGTGGAAACTAATGTGGTTCTCAATTCTCAAGACGGGCATATAGCATACCAGGTTATTTTTCTCTCTCTCATTCTTTGAAAAACGTTCTTTTTCTTGACAATGTCGAGCTCGTTAACAAGCGCACAGCGAAAGGAATTGAAAGATGCATTTGATGTCTTCGATACAGGTATGATTGTATCCGTGAATAAGTTTCAAAATAAACAGATTTGTATCTAGATGAATCGGGTAAAATCTCTCAAAATGAATTAGGGAATATCTTGAAAGCATTGAACATCAAGATAAATGACAATCAACTGAAACAACTTGTTGTTGACATGGATTCCGATCAGAGTGGTTTGTTGAAATATTTTATATCGATGTCATAATTCTTTGTTTTTCTGTCAAGGTGAAATCGAGTTTGATGAATTCTGTCGTGTGATGAGTGAGGCGTTCTTTAAAAAGTATACCAACAATGAATTACGTGTTGCTTTTCAACAATTCGATCAGGATGGATCAGGTTATATACAAGCAAATGAATTAGAAAGTATCATGCGAAAAATGGGAAGACGTTTCAGTAAATCCCAGATCGACAATATGGTCAAGTCGTTAGATTCAAGTGGTGATGGAAAGATTTCCTTCGATGAATTCGTTCAATTATTTCAATAAACATTGACCTAAAATGTCTCAGTTCAGTTTTGTGTTTTCTATTCTCTCATTTAATAAATCAATCGAAAATAACAAAAGAAACATGAATTCATTATGAATCACCGGTACGAGTTGGAATAGTTAACGGCAGTTGAACAGCAGAATACGGATATACAGAGAAATTAACTTGATCAGGCGATCTCTCTAGAAAAAAAACGAAATCAAAGAGATTGATCGGATTGAGAAAAACCTTAAAAATTCACCTACGCTTTCGACCGATACGACGATACGCGAAGAACGGAACTAAATGCCGAAAATTGCCATTACGCATGACATAGATCAACGGATTCCATCTGAATAATCAAAATTTATACGAATTTAAAATAGCACAAAAAGAAATCTCATACACAACACTTGTTTTAGCAAATAGAGCTGGTATTGTACCGAAGATAGGTGGAAAAGAGTTCTCCTCGACAAACATCCGAACAACAACAGTGATCGCATATGGAGTCCAAGCCAAAAGGAAACCGCCTGAAGAATGCTACACTCAAGAAAAAGTGTCGAACTATGAAAATGTGTTACCAATGATGAGACCAATCGTATGAGCAACACGACGTTCAATTAACAACTGATGTCGAATGTGAGTGTTACTGAAATTCATAGCCGTATTTCGACGACGTTCACGAATCTAAACATGGACAGTTGATGTTCGTTACTGGAGACGAAATTCTACATACTATTTGAATTACATTAACATTGGCTATTATCATGATAAGAACTGGTATAAGATAAACAAATATCAAAATAGTCATATTGTAACTAATGACATTCAATGATCGATCTTCCCATTTGATACTACACGACGCACCAATGCCCTAAATTAATGATAAAATCAATCAATGTACGATTTATATGTCATACTTCATAGTCGTATGTAGACCAACCAAATAATGGCATCAGTGTCCATAGGAAAGCTACTAAATATGCACAAAAAATAAGAATATAACTTTGTTTAGGAGTAATCGTTGTTGTTGCAAATGATCTTGAGACCACAAAATATCTAATGAAATTCAATAAAACATCTTTGAAGTGAAATATTTCTATTTACCTATCGATAGAAAGTAAACATAGCATATACATATTTGAACATCCAGCAAAGTAAGCTATCATTGCTTCAAATACACAGCCAACATATGCAAAAATCCATCTAAATGAAAGCAGGACATTTGTTATTCTCAATCTCAAACACATCCTTCTTACTTGCAATTAATCAGTGCAATAGCTGGTAAAGGTATTTCAAAACAACCTCCAATAAAATCTACTAATATTAAACCACCAATAAATATGTTTGTTGATGTTTGTCGTATTTTCTTATATCGTATGAATATGTATAATATTGAGCCGTTCAAAAATGTACTCATTATCCAGAGAATGATTAGATAATACCCTAGCGGTCGTAAAATATGACACGACTCGAGTTTGGTTGAAGTCAGATTTTTGGTCGTAGGCATTGATATGTAGAATGTTTTAGTAATATGCACTAATAGTTGAACACCGAAGAGTAAGTGCTGAAAAAAGAAAATGATTGTGTCAGAATGATACATGAGTGAAAAGGTTTGAAGTGGAATACCCACTCCAGGATGAGAAATATCTTACTAGCTATAAAAATTCGCCTTCTACTTTTTAAATAAAGGAATCAATTAAATCCTAATCATTTATTAAAATTTTAATAAAAAAAAATGCCAGTAGATGCTCTTCTTTCTCCTAAAGTAAGCAAACAAATGACTAGTGCTTTCCTTAATGAGAAAGAACTCAGTTATTATTGATATAGAAATTCTCAAGTCAAACGTAACTGCTGAAAGCAAAGCTGGGAACATCGCTTCATTTATAATTTATATACATCAGGTGCTGCTAGTGAATTGATGCGTAATTAACATTCAAACGAGAATAAATTGAGAAGCGGTAGCAAGAGAAAGTATCTGGGTCGCAATATTCTTTGTTTTACTTTTAACTAGGCGAAGAAGGCAATGATGAATGACAGTGGTGTTTCAACAATTAACTAACTCGGCACGTATGACATGACAATCATATTTTTCAAACGAGAGTGAACGTGTTCATGCAGAAATCATGTTTTCAGTCAGGTACATCGATCCTGAAGGAACTGCTAAACTTTCAAGTATTATTTTCTTTTATTGTTTGAAATTCATTTGTATCTGCAATTTTCATATATTAAAATTAAGGAAATGAAATATAAACGAACTTTTATTATCGATTAGTCATAGACATTTTCTTTTATTCATTCTTGACATAAAAACAATTTTTCACTCTTACTTACTTCATGGCTCACCCTCTTCATGAAAGAACAGTCTCTTGAAAACTATTTTCTTATTCTAAACTTATCATCTCGGAACATCGCAATTCATAGATAATGCAAATGACGTTTGGTTCGACATCACGAAAAGTATTTCTTTAACGCAGGATACTCAAAAGGTTCTGACATGTTGACATCTACGAATATGGAAGAAGAGACATCTCAGATCTCTTTCTAGATTATACAAGTAAAATTGTTATGCTGATGTCTCATAGAAAGCCTCCTGGATGTAGTTGGATCAACATCCGTCTCTGCAAAATAATCAACGGATGTAAAAATTGCCTTCCGACTATTACTTCTACTTGAAGGTCTTAGCTGCTGATTACAGAAGTATATCGATACACGAGTTAGTTCATTTTATGAACATTTATTTGGCTTGATAGCATGGAAAACTTGCAGCAAAAAAGTGATCACTTTTGAATCAACGCAGTTCAAAAGAAACGTCCGACTTGCTAAAGTTCGTTTTCAGATTGATGTCTATTTATTATTTCAGACTAACGGCGATGTGTAGATTCTCTTCATTATTTAGAAGTTCGCAAAATGTAACACTATTAAAAGTACAGCGAAGTTATTTTTATTCTAGTCTTTCTCTTCCAAAGAGTATCAACAATAAAATTCTTTCTAATATATTAACAAACCTGACTGCCTCAAGTATATGATGTAAAAAAATAGCCGGAATATTGTTAACATACATAGGTACATGAAAAAGTCACCTTCTTTTTTTTCATCATTCTGTCTAAGACAACTTGCAAATCCACGATGGTTTTAACTCTCTTGAGTACTCTGTGAAACTAAGAATGCACTTGATAACACATTTAAGCATTCATAGGAGAGTTTTCTTATCCGAAGAAGGAAAATGTTGATAGGCACGACAGTGCAAATTTCTTCTGGTATTTACAAAAGTTTGATTAATTACATTTATTCATTGTAGAATAGATGCATTTAATATTTATAATAGTTAGGATTATCCATGCAATCAACCATTGAAAAAATACTAACAACTTCACACTTGTGATATATAACAGATAGAAAGAGTGTTTTCTATTCAATTAGTATTGTTATGAATTATATTTTTATATATTAGCAACAGTACGAATGAAAAATAAGAACTGTTAAGAAAAAGAATCTATTTCAAATAGTGAATTGTTCATTAATGGTAATTCATTATTGTTTCTTCTGAACTACTAGATCAAAGCGAACTGTACAATGATTGGTTGATCGTGGAATCTTGAAGAATTGATGTAAAGCTAAATCTTGCACATAGATCATCTGATCTTCGCAAGCATCCTTTGTGCTATTCGTACGCAATTCGAATTCTCCCAATGACTGAAGAACTTCAACGTAATGTACAACAGTGTTCGTATCTGATGCAGTACGGTGGAACGTGTATTCAACATGATAATCAATTGTTTTGTTGCTTGTATCGACTTGAGACGATGAAACTGTTCGAGTATATGGAAAGCTACTGTCATAACCAAAAGTTACAAAATGGTTGTCGTCCGCTTCGATGTCGGGTAATCTTGCCTGACCAAGAAATCGACCTTCCGAGTAGAATAAGGCGTCACCACTGGGAATAATTTGATCGTGTGCTGTGATGTTGTATGCATACAAAAGATAGCCAGTGATGTTAACAGGTTGAAATTCGTTTAAGTAAAAACGGTGCGGTTCGATTGTGACACTTGGATTCAAAAATTGAACTGATTTTGTTGAACGTGGTCGGAGACTAAATGGAGCTTTGGATGCAGCATAGTAAACATAAGAGCCTGTAAAATCTTCATCGATTGTTATCTCAACGGCGTCCTCAGAACTACCGCGAGGTTCGTCTATCTGTCGAATTAGTTTAACACTATCTAGAAATCAAAATCAAACAGTTCTAAATTAGAATTTGAAACAAAAAGAAATCTTACCAGCAACAAATTCTGATCCTGCAACGATAATTGCATGATTGCCATTGTTATGAATATCCGCATAACTGTGCATTAAGGATTCTTCACGAGATTCTGATGAGTATGCTTCGATGACATATCTTGGTTTCCATGAAAAGCTTTCATCAACATAAGATAAAAGCGGTAATGGTAAGTCAGAATCTCTTCGAGCAGAATTATCACAAATAAAGCTAATTTCATAATAAGGTAATATTGGTTTTTTAGATAAATACTGAATATTGTCGAATGATGTCAAATAGAATGTACGATCTGGTCGGCGAACTTCTCGAAAGAGACGATCTTCAACGTTGACAAGTTCAATTTCAACACCTTCAGAATCGGCTAAATCACGGCGATAAATGAATCGTGAGCCAACTTTTTCGAAATTTGGTGATTCATGGAAAATGATTGATCGATGAGTGACATTCGTATATAAAACTGTTAATGTTTCTTCATTGATATACGCATATTCGTCATTGTTGAAGAAAAATGCCAAGTGTGCATCGTCTTTCAAAGCACCCTCCGATAAATCCAATTTGCTTACAGTTGGATGAAATAATTGAGCATATTTGGGATACAAACGTAAATACACATGTTTGTCATCATTAAGTTCGATTTTCGCTGATGAATACGCAAGAGCGAAAGTAATCACTAAGACGAAAGTGATGATTGTACACGACATTCTTTGATCAGCTATATAGTAAATCTGACTACATCATCGTGCTTATATAGATTCAAAGCAGACGATTCAAAGATATTCTTTTGTTTCCGAACGCGCCGTATTACATATCCATTTCGGACGACCAATTCTTTGTTTTCATTTTATTTTTCGTATGAAATACGACGTTGCTATAACAAATTCATTCGAGCTCTTTGCGGGTCAAGCAAGAAAGTGTGTGCATACTGGAATCGTTTGACGAATAGAAGAGAAAATAAAGAAATATAAGAATAGACTAAACATCTGACAATTCAAGTGTAAATCTCCGAAGAGAATTAGGTCAATAAAAGATTGCAGAGATTTCGCACTTGACATTCATGGAGAGCAAAGTTCTTAATGATCTACTTTTGAAATTTCCTAATTACATATTAATTCATCATTTTCCAGTGTATGGGAGAACGTTAAGACATGAGTAAGTGCCTAGCAAGGCATCATAACCTCTCTGTCGTCCTTATTTTATCATCCCACTGTTTATTAAACAAAAAAAGGCAAGACAGGTCAATGAAAATTTTCTATTTATTTCAAAGATTGTTTCTCATTGAAATAGTTCCATTTTTGATTCAATAATAAACTCGCAAGAAATTGAAATGCGGTCAGAATAACAATCATCGCCATTAATATTACATAACGACTGATACTTTCACCTATTTGTAACCAACTTCCTTCAGTTCTGATGAAGAAGAATAATTCCAATGCTAAAATATCACATAGAATCAACGTGTACAAACGAAATGTTTTGATCATATCTGCATTTTTCATCACGTAAGCTGTTGCACAATTAACAATTAAGATTGGTAAAATGTATTTGACGATGGTCACGAAAGCCATTAGAAACGGATTGAATACCGTTAGGAAACAATAGACAGCCGATGGGTCAAATGAATTTACGGATGCGAAATTTCCGGTACCGAAAAACGCCAAAAGAATGAAAAGAAAGGATTGACATGTGAATAGACGAAGATTGATCTTTTGCTGTTGTTCAGATGTTAAAATCCATGTTAACATTAACAAACATAGGCAAAGAACGAACAACGCTTCGTACTGTGTCGAGAAGAGAATGTATATCGTCATAATTGACGTAAATATACAAATCAGTCGATTCAAACGATGTTGTATCGACGAAAAAAATGGCAGAAAACATGAAGTCAATAAAAGAATCCAACTAAGAATATGAATAAATGGCGAACGTACGGATAAACTATGAACACAATAATTATCAATAATAGCCAATAACAAACAAACACGTTGAATGTAGTTAATCAACGATGAGGATGATTCAGTTTGGAAATATAAGTAATGAAATATAAAGGTTAAAATACCGGAGAGAATTGTGCACCATGATAAAGTTATTTTTATTGTACCAACAGTTGGAAGAAATGGAAAGATAAGAATAATTATCAATAGAATACCATATCCACGCCGATAGCGATCATGGAGAAATGATCTAAACAAAAAAAAAAAGATTGAGAAATTTTTCATCGGATGAAATCAATGGTTAATATTTACCCTTGCCAACGATAAATAGCATCAATAAACAGTAAGAAAACACCGATTGACATCATCCATCGATGAAAAAATGGAACAATGTATGTTTGTAAAAATAATCCGATCAAGAATGTTTTCAACCAAAACGATGCGGATCGGACGTGTTCAAGACCTTGCTGTCGTATCCATCCAATGGCGAAATCTGCTGATAAGAACGTATGTACACAAACCAATGCTGGATACAATAAATGCGTCCATGGTGATTGTTCGACAAGTAGTAAAACGAAAATTAATATTGGAATTAACTTGCACGTTAGTGCGATTGATGAGTTCGTTGGTTGAGTAGGGTTTAATTGATATAAAATGGTGCATAGCGTTGCTAAAAATCCAGTAAGAATTAGCACACTTAATAAAAATCGCCGATAGGTATGATAGTAATGACTGGCTTCAGCTACACGATGCATAAAGTCTAGATGAAAAGAGACACGTTTAATATTAGGTTGAGAAAAGTGGAAGGTTTACGTTTAATATCATCTTTAACTGCATGTAAATTCATATAACCTTTTCCGCTCTTCATCCGTTCGAAAAACTGCTCTTCCTGTAAATCGAATGGATTAAAAAACAGCAAACGTTTCTTTAATATATCGTGTTGTTGATGAACTTGTTCAAGCAGCTGTCGAGCATTTTGTAGATACGCCTGAAGAAGATCTTCATCCACAGGTAGTAAATAATCGATTGGTAGACGACCAGCTGAGTTAATTGCGTAGTCTATTCCAAGAAAGTAAGACATTAGTGGACATAGATCAGCTTGTTCGATATGCACATTTGTATGACGTGATGAGCGAATACCAGAACCCCAAATAAGTAATGGTGTTAATGTTTCTGTATCATCGCCAGCACCATGTGAACCCCAGTCAGTCATACCTAAAACGAAATCTTTCAAAACATTCGAATTCACGTTGAGTTACTTACCGTGATCTGATGTAAAGACATATGTGGTTTTTTCATCATGTTTGTAATAATTTTCTATGAGATTTTCTAAGCGTTGAACAATTCCATCGACGATCTGAATGTTTTTCATATAAGCATCTGACCATGGCTTATGTGAATGACCGTTAGTATCGATTCCGAGTAAATGAAAAAAGAAGACAATCTGATCTTTTTCTAATTCTTTTCCTAATGTATTGTTTAACAAGAATTTACGAAATTCCCTTTCAACCCATAGATCTAATTCATGAGCACGATCATTACCGAATTCTTCATCATTCGAATGATAACAATCAACATAAAAGTGTTCAAACGATTGGCCACGTTTAAACATCGGCACGATATCAGGACTACCAAAGCCAAATGTATATGTACTTCGATTGAACACCGAATCGAACTCAACTAAAACAAATTGCAGTTCATAGTCGAGTGAATATAACATAAACTGATCGATGACATTCATCATCATGCTCATCTGTTTAGTCTATGTCAGTGATACGCAACATTAGAGAAATTCCTACCTGGATTTTCTTTCCATCCACGTGAAACTGCTGAGACATCTTCGTAAAATCCTGATATAATAGCTACATGACCTGGCCGAGATTCTGTCGGTACACGTGTATGTGAAATACCACTAAGACTCGTTCTTTTCTCAATAATTGAATTCAAATAAGGTGTGTTATTCAATGGTTGGAAGAATTTATCAGATCGTAGACCATCGGCAACGAAAAGCACGAGACGTTTTGCTCGCGGTGATCGAGTTGATCGATGTATAGGCATTCCATGGTTAATTGGTGATGTAAAATAAACATCAAAGATGGAATAAAACAACACTAAATGACTCAGAAGAATGAGTAGAATAAACCATTTGATATCCATTGGAAATTTCCTTCTATTATCTACAAACTGGACGGTAACACTGATGAATAGCTATTCGTTTGCTAAATGTGTAAAAATTTATTCATAATTCAAGTATACAAGTCATTTCAAAAAAAAAGGTAAGAAAAGAACAGACACAACACACTGTTAAACAGACACTAGCAAAACAGAACGAGTAGAAAAAACAGAACTACTAATTAACGAACCTGACAAATCAGAAAATGAATATTGCATTAATTAATAGTCAAGAAACAAAGGACGATCAGATCGTGTAGAAAAAAATCAAGTGTATCTGAACAAAATGAGTATAATTAATATAATTACAAAGTTTGAATAGTCGTTCGTTTATATATAACTATCCCGTTGACGAAGATAGCAAAGCAAACCAAGAGCAACAACAATGCAAAATCCCTGAAACATAATGAAAATTGAAAGTATTTTTTAAAAGAAACGTTCGATGTCAGGCGTCAATGTTTTTATTTACACATGTGTTGCCTGCAGACACACCACGAATTCGAAAGACTATCAACAACAAAGAAAGCTGAATTATCATTGCATTCATCCGAGACAAGATTTATCTCATAAATAAATCTGATTTTTGTTCTGATATCGAACATGACAAATGATAGTTGATCGATCGATACAATTGTACACAAATGTTTTCGATTGGTTGAATATATATTTATGTGTCTATTGGCAATTCATCCCCTCATCAAAAGTTGATCTGTCAATCAAAGTAACTCGCTACTATTCATTAGATCTATCGTATCCCACCCATCTCACTCGTCTAATGACAGTCCGTATGCGTCACATTTCGCTTAGCGAATAAAATGAAACCATAAAAATTTCACCTTGTGTTCGATTCTCTTTCCTATGAAGAGATGAAAAGACGAAGCAGACTTACTTCAACAAAAACAAGAACGAACGCGAGAATACCGACAATCATTAAATTTCGATTAATCTCTTTTTGAATCATGCTGAAACAGCCCTATACAGTAGAAGAATCTGTATTGAAAGAAGAAATCGTCATGCTTCGACATACATCTGTGTAAATCAATCCATTCGTTTCATTTCCATTGGTTAGCTTTCCACAACCAACTTTTTCTTCTATACAGCATGAATCTGGAACATGAGATTGATCAGACCAAACATCTCCCTGAGACCAATCACGATAATCATCAATACCGCAGCAGTCAAGCTAAAAAATACATTTGCAAATAAAACACTTTCTTCAAAGAAAAAAACATCCGTACTCTTCGTTGAACAGAATCCATTTTCTTGTAAAACTCGTTTTCCTTAACAGGATATCGACGGATATTATCCAGTAATCTTTGGTGAGCAGATATAGCGGTCTATAGTAAAAATTCAAGTAAAAAAACCTATTGTGCAGTAAAGAAATATTCAACTTACTCGCTCGTTCATAGCAATTATATAGACAACGCCAAATAATAATCCGACAAAGACAACTATCATGATGATAATATACTAATAAAAACGAAGAATATGTACAGAAGATACGTTAGATTTGATAAATACCATGAACAACAAAGCTCGCTTTTCGCACCAAGCACCGAGACATCCGACAATGCCCAACAGCATCGAAAATTTCGCTGAAAAGAAAAACGAAAATATGAATTCATTTTTCAGAACAACGAAAGAATTCGCATGTTCTACCTGAGATAATTAAGATAACAGGCGCTGTAAACCATGGACTGCCCATTAACGAGCCATAATCAGCCGATTTAATATGTAATAACCAACTATATACAACAACTGCGAAACCCAATGCCTAATGGAATTTGTTCTCATTAGAATTTTCAAGTCAAAACATTGTTCTAACTTACGAAAAAACATATGTTTATGATGGAAAACACGCATCGGAACAGCATATAATTCGAGGACATTTTCAATAAATGACTACTACTGTATGTAAATGAATGATCGGTCAATGAAGAAGAATGTATTGGATTATATGAGACATCAATGAAAGAATCGGACGATAGATGTCGGTATTCAGATTTAATTATATTACACTTATCATCAATTGGTTCTCGTTTTCCGTCTAACGTCAACAGACACATGTTTAATGATAAAAATTTGCTTTTTTCTTCGGATATTTTTGCTAGGATCATGATATACCTAAAATAATAAGTGATAGAACTCTCGGATCAACTGGCCTAATCAGTGGAATGGATATCGCGGACTATCAGATCAATTTTAATTATGAAGAGTAAAAAATATGATTGTATGAATGTAAGAAAAAAGGAAGGTTTTGATTTTTGTATCAATGATTAGTCTGTTTATTTATAGAAAATCGAGTTTAGACAAATGAAAATGTAGAAAGCAACGATCCGACAATGGCATAGTCAATCAGAGACCATCCTGATTAGAATTTATAAATATCGTTTAAACAGATCGGTTAGATAATTATCATTTTTCATTATCGATCTGTTGGTGAAGAGAATGTATGTGGAAATCTTGTACGGTGTCTTTTTCTAAGGAATCTCTTTTATCTTCCAGGAATATTGATCGACAGAGTAATCGGCAATATCGATAAAATGTAATCGAGCTTAAGTTTAGCAACTAATTCAGAGTTAGTTTTAGGTGCAAAGAGTCGAACATTTCCACATTCTTTTGTTTTTTTTTTATTATTATTATTTTGTAAATCTTCTTCAAGAACTAGGATTGTTTTAGATTTTGATTGAGAGAAAGTGAGAGTGGGAGAGGAATGGCTAGTCCACGTACTCGATCGGTTTTAAAAGATCTTAAACTAAGAGATGACAACAACGTTTGCTTTGAATGTGGAGCATTGAATCCTCAATGGGTTTCTGTCTCCTACGGTGAGATACAGGTCTTTCTCTCCCATTAATTTATAACTCTCTACGTTTTATCAGGTATTTTTATTTGTTTGGAATGTTCCGGTAAGCACCGTGGTCTTGGTGTTCATCTATCATTTGTCCGCTCGATCACTATGGACAAATGGAAAGATCTCGAACTCGAAAAAATGAAAGTTGGAGGTAACCGTCGAGCCAAGGAATTTCTGGCTAGTCAACCAGATTATAATGCAAGTACAATGAGTTTGCAGCAACGATACAACTCTCGTGCTGCTGCTCTTTACCGAGACAAGATATCGACTCAAGCTCAAGGTAAAACATGGTCAGAAAACAGTTCACCGGCTCAAAACCACAGTTCTCCTTATGTGTCATCTTCATCATCGAGTTTTAGCGAAAAACAATCGAAAGTAAGTACAAGCTTGGTTATAAACGAAGCACAATTGCCATCCTGGATATTCATTAGCCACCTCCACCAGTCGAACGAGCACAGTATCGAGCATCAGAACAGCGTAGTGAAGATTATGGTGGCTATCAAAACAGTGGCTCGGGTGAACAACAGTATGCATCCGGTCTTGGCAGCGGGAATCCGAAATATTGGGGCTTTGGTAATACAAATTATGACGCTTCAAGCGAACGTCAATCATCGAATCCAGATCTATTGACATCATCGATATCGAATATGAGTCTAAATGCTGCAAAATGGGCAGGAGTAGCAAAAGATTCAGTTTTTAAAATTTCCAAAACCGCAGCTGACAAAGCAAGCGAACTAACATCAAAAGTAACTGAACAAGCCAAAGATGGCTCACTATTGACAAATGTTCAAACTGGAGTTACTAGTATCGCATCATCCATGGGTAAAATCGGTAACAAAACATGGTCCGATATGCAATCATTATGGTCAGGAAACTATCATTCAGCTGATCGGGAAGACGAGCGTCTTCGTAATACTCATGGTTATTCCGATACAGTGAGCTGCTCATTAGTCTTTATGATTCTCAATAAGTATCTCTTTGTAGAACGATTGGTCTTCTTCAACATATCAACAACAATCTAGTTCATCATCAACGAACCGTGATTCTGGTTATCAGAATACGTTCAATAGTTTACCAGTCGCTCATCATAATCAACAATCGAGATCCAATGATGATGTTTCCAAACGAGAACGTGACCTTAGCTTCGAATCATGGTTAAATGACGAGCCTGCTCCTAAACCTTCGTCTTCGACAACTCGATCCTCATCGTCGAAAAAGACTAGTAGTGCGAATTCATCTGCTTCATCGAAAACGAAATCAGAATCGAAAGCTAAGCCAACGCCAGCACCGGCACCGGCTCCAGCACCTGCAGCGAATCTAATTAATTTCGATGAGGAAAAGTGGGCCGATGACGATGACGCTGGATGGGAATCGATCGATACCAAATAAAATTTTCAACCGTTTATTTTCTTCGCTCCCCAATTGAAGCAAGAGCAATTTTAGTTTATTTAATATTTATTTATTCTTTTTTTTTCCTTCGGTGGTGATGTTGTTTGTGCGTATCTTAAACAGTTCATTTTCTTTTTACTTCATTTTCATCAGGAGAATGCGACAAATACATAAGAGCACATCGTTCTTCTTTTCCGATTGTAATTTCAGCAATCTTAACTAAATATGTTTTCTTTTTGTTTTTCTTCTTCTTCTTCGAACATCTTTGTGGCAATTCCAAACTCTTTACACTCATTGTTGTTTATGATATATATATATATAAATACATAAATTCTTTAACACATCTATAATCCGTTTTGATCATGATTAATCTCTAACGGCAATCTTTTCACAAGCACGCCTGCGTTTCGCTTCATTGAATTCTCACCTTCAATAGACGCACGAACGTATGTATATCTATATAAACAAGACACATATGATCCAATTGTCATGTGATTATTGTCATTTGACTCTATACACAGGTAGGTTTGATATCGTCTATCTCCTTTGTGCTACATGAAAGAATAGAAGAAAGTGGGTGTGTCGAATGAATAGAATCGCTGTATATCAACGCAAAATATTCGCATTGCATCATGTTACGATGATCATTCCTGAAATTCATTGAAGTCTATCTGAATTTAGCGTTTCATAATTGCTGCATATTCCCATCTCAGCAATCTTGATAGTCACAGCTGCATGTCTTTCTTGTATAGACTTTATTTATACAGTAGGCGAACCGAATAACTATTCAAACGGTTTCAATGAAATAACTCCACATGTCCGTAATGAAGAATAAAAGGGAGAGAGGAAGAAAAGAAAAAAAAAGTTTCGAATAGTCTTAGTTCTAAAGCCTGCCAAACACATTTTTCGATCCGGTATATATATATATTTATTTACTACTTAGGCATATACATATGCTACCATTCTTTTTTTCTGTATAATTTTAAGGCCACTTTTCGCTTTTCAAATGACGTCAGACCTTATTCATATTATTTCGGTTTCTGTAATGAAAATCAGAATCTTTGGAAGTTGGAGGTAGCACCAGATGGTACGAGAAAGAAAAGTGAATTACCTTATGACTCAAATTTCGTAGTTTTTATACTTGCATGCTGCTGTTTAGAAAAGACATTCACTTACCGAGGTTGAATTTCTTTTGTTCAGACTGAATCTTGCATCATCTACTGCACGAGACATCTTTCTTTCTGATGCAATGTTATAGTGAATGAATATTTATGAACATTCGCTCAGCGTTGCCTTCTTTTCTTTTATACACATATTGTTCTTCCTCTTCGGATATCTATTCCGAATAACTCTTATTACATTTGTACGAGAAAGAGTAATATAAAAATCACGCGGTAGCATCAATAAATAATTACATTCGACTATCTTTCTTTCTAAAAGATAAATGGCTTGTCCATATGCACGATTTATCGAACGTGATGATGAAACGTCATCGGCAACAGCGAAATTAACATTGAATGGTTCTGTTAACAACGATGCACTGGCAGAAATTCTTTCCCTTACTGGTTATGGTCAAACAAGTTCTGTCAAGCCGGAACTCAAACGTTTACCTTCCAGTGATGAACTGGTTACTTATGGCAACTATCTTCAATTGAACCGATTACTAGATTCTCAAGTCTTGTTAAGCGCTAAACATGATCAGAATAAACATCCTGTTCATGATGAACACTTATTCATTATTATTCATCAAAGTAAGATGCATTTTCTCGAACACAAAAGAGATTTACTGTATGTAATTCCTCTATTCAAGCTTTTGAACTTTGGTTTAAACAAATTCTTTGGGAAATCGATTCTTTACGAGCGATATTCGGAAATAAATCGATCGATGAAAGTCATATGTTTGTATCGATCAATCGTCTTCAACGCTGTGTTCAAATTTGGCGTTTGTTATGTGATCAAATCATTATTCTCGAAACGATGACACCATTAGATTTCATGGAGTTTCGTTCCTACTTATCGCCTGCAAGCGGTTTTCAAAGTTTGCAATTTCGTTTAGTAGAGAACAAACTAGGTCTCACAGAAAAATCGCGTGTGTTATATAATCAAACGTCGTACAAAAATGCTTTTCCAAGTCTACATGAACAAACAGAGTTGACGAGTTCGTTGGAAGAACCAACGTTATTAATGTTGATTGAAGTAAACAATAACCTACTCGATAAAGATATTCTTATTCTGTATATCTGTTTCTAGCGATGGCTTGAACGAACACCAGGTTTAGAAGATTCAAGTTTTAATTTCTGGGAACGATATAAACGAGCTGTCGCGCAATATATCGAATACCTTCAATCAAATGCCCAAGTATGAGAATTTCATCTTTTTCTGTTTGGAAACTGATGGATGTTTTTCTTTAAAGGACGAACCTAATCCAACAGCACGTGAAGCTGCTTTAGAAGATGTTAAAAAGACCGCTGATTCGTTTCGATCGTTAATTGATGAGAAATTTCATCAACAATTAGTGGCGAGATCCGAACGTCGTATGAGTCATCGAGCTCTTCAGGGTGCATTGATGATAATGCTCTATCGAGAACAACCACGTTTTCAAGTTTGTTTTGCTTTGCATCGAATTAAACAAATTCTACGAACATTTCTTTCAGGGTCCGTATCAAATCCTATCACTATTAATGGATGTCGATGCATTGATTACAAAATGGAGATGTAAGTTTAAAATGATGAAAAGGATTTATCGTAGAAAATCGTTGTAGATAATCATTTAATTTTGGTTCAACGACAGATCGGAAATAAACAAGGTACAGGTGGATCTGCTGGTTACAGTTATCTTCGTTCGACTTGCAGGTTTGTTTTGCGAGATGCTTATCATATAAAAAATATGTCGTTTTTTAGCGATCGTTACAAAGTCTTCATCGATTTATTCAATCTCGCTTCGTTTCTTATTCCACGAGAATTTCTTCCGAAATTAACAACTGAAATGAAAATGCGTTTGGCTGTCGCAAATGTCCAGCCATCATCAGAAGATAATGCAAAAGAAGACGGTGAAGAACTTCATCGAACATCAGGAAAATCTGCAAATGAAAGTGGATTAATCGATAAAGATGCATTTCATCCCGTCAATGATTGATTTTTCTCCAATGAAAACATAAATACAAAGTTCATCTTTTCATTTTTCCTGGGTTAAGTTTTTGTTTTTATTATCAAATATCCTTTAGAATTCAAAGGAATGCGTTTTTTTTTGAAGATTTACACATTATGTTTTCGAAAAACCATTCTTTGTTTCTTATTCAACATTAACATATTTATCTACTAGCCAGACTCCGCGTACATTTTCTCTCATATAAACGACAAATGAATGTTGCACCATCTTTTGTTCGAATTTGTATATTTTCATTGGATCTTAAATAAAATACGCGCATGTAGATTTCGAAAATAAAACACGAGATTTACAAAATAAAGACTTTATTTCACACAAAATTGCTAAGCTCAGGTCATGTGTGTGTCGATGAGGAGGATATTTGAGGTAGTTTGGGTACAGTTGAAGTACTGACATTACTGCGTGAATCAGATTGATTTTCATTAGGGATTGTGCTATCGGTTTGAGTTACAAATATATTTGTTGTACTGTCACCTGGTTGATCTTCGTGAATAGATTGTTCACTAGAAAGCAAACTTAAGAGTGAAGATTAACGATTGAAAAGTGTCTTACGTTTGAGTTCGAGATTCTAGCATCATATGAGGTTTCTTCTCATTCATTCGTTTGAATAGTTCTCGAAGAACTTGTTCTTTTTGTTCCCATGTTAAGTCACTCGCTGACAAATTGGCCGTCAGGTGTTCCCTATTCAATTGAATAGGTTTATTCATTGTTGAAAGAAACATGTCAATATTTACCATCTTGTTTCTTCGTCCAATCCTTGCAAAGCACCATTTGGATTAAACTCGGTTAACGTTCCAGCTCGTGTCGCGTCTCCTTGTCCCTGATAGACAGTTATCATTCGATTTTCACTTGCACTAAGTTCGATTTTTGGAGATTGAAAGCGTTCGAAGACGATCTGTCGTTTCACATACTGCAATGCATCCAAAAACATTATTTCCAATTCCGATCGTTGTTGAAGAATTGTTTTGCCCAATTTCTTCACTTTATTAATTTCATTTCGTTTCAGTTCCAAAGCTCGTTGTAATTTTACAATTTCATTCTGTGAAGACTCGTGTTCAATTTGTGATTGTTCTAAAAGTTGTTGTCGCTCGACATTAAATTCTTCGATGAACTGTGTCAAAGAGATTTCCAATGATTGGATCTTCTCCTTTAGCTAAAACGAAAATCACCGACTATGATTAGTTGATTCATCATCGATGATCTTACTTCTCTGATGATCTTATTTTGCTGTTGAACTTGTTCAACTTTTTCCTTCATTAATGAATTATTGATGTCTTTGTCATCGGTGACTATACTCGCTTGTTTCAGTAATTGTTCGCGTATTTGTCGCAGATCGGCTAACTCTTGTTTGTAAATATGCAAAGATTTGATCAGACCGACGTTTTCTTTGAAAATACTCCGACCGTTTTCATCCAAAGTTCTGTAACAAAGACAAAAGGTGATCAACATGCATTTGTTGTTGTTTTCGTACTTAATGGCTTCGTCTTGTGCATTTTCAGCGATTTCCGCGATTCTTTTGTTACAATCTTGCTGAAGACGTTGTTTTTCATCGGCAAACTTTCGTTCTTGTCTTTCTAACGATTCTTTTTGGTCACGTTCATTCGCAATCATTGCTTGCTTTATCTAAACAAGTCGTGAAATCGAACCAATATTTGAATTGTGTCATTGAATATGTACTTCATCAAGTTCAATTTGCATTTGATCTTTTCGCTTTCGAAAATCTTTTATCTGATTGAGCTCATGTCGAACGATGTCCAGGTCGCTTTCTTTTCGTGCCAATTTCTCGTCTAAATAACGTTTTTGTTGTTTGAAATCGTTTAACTACAAAATAAACTCATGTTCAAGTTGACCGAATGTCAAGAACTACGTATACCAATTCGTCGTTCTCTTTAGCATTGTCCACTTGAAGATCTTGGATCTCTTGTTTCAATCGCTCAATCTGAACACATTACGAATGGTTACAAAATTCTTGCAGAACAAGTTTACCTCCGCATCTTTATCGATATCTTGCTTTTTCAAGAATGAAATAACGTCAAGTGTATCTTTTTCCGTTTGTCGCAATTGGTCACGTAATGTTTCATTTTCTGTGTTCAAATGTCCCACCAAGTCTCTATTAAGTAGATAATCAAGCCATGAATTCAATTTTTAATTTCATACCGATATTCTTTCTGCGATGAATCGGCGACGTTCAATCGGGCTTTCCATAAAAGTGTATTTCGTGCGGCCATTTTGATGGGCGAAGCATCTTTCTTCTTCTTACTTGAAAACAATAAAGTCTTTTCTAGAAATTTGATTAAAAAGTGAATGCAGACTCACCCCTTGCCTTTCTTTCCCTTGCCACCTTTTTTTCCTTTGCCTTTTTTCGGCATAGTTCAATCTAAAACATTCAAAATCTAATGTGTTAAGTGAATTAAGGTTCTTTCTTCACAAAAGAACATCTAGCGCCATTTACAGTCCTTTCCTTTTGAAAAGCGTGAGCAACAACCTCCATGTACTACGACGCCAAAAACAGATGTCATACAATGATGATCATTCAGCAACGTTTCTTTTTCTTTCTGTAATTTTAAATTTGTAATCGCTCATTCATCGGAACCGAACTCCAACAAAGTCACGCGAAATAGGGCAAAAAAATGTATATTTCTATTTATTTTTTGTTATGCTCAACAATCCTACTATTATCAAAAAGCTCTATTGCTCCCTCGATGAAAATTGTTTTATATAATCTGCTTTACGCTCTCTCTCTCTCTTTCTTTCTCTTCTCTGTTTCATTTTGACTGATTCAATAACATCAACAAAACGAGCAAAGGTATTGCCAATGTAAACAACAGTGCCAGTCGTTTCTCTCTCTTCCCTCCTCATTTATTTTCTAACTGTTAAAAGGCTGGAAGTTCTCTATAAGAGACTTGTTTTTCATTCTACGTGTTGATAGAATGAAACCTAAATTAGCAAAACGATCGGTACCTAATAAAAACACTCAACAACGTTCATTCCCAACTCAGACAAAGCTCGTACCTATTCCGCATGTTGAAAATCACATCTCCTCTTCGTCGAATGCAAATGATGTATGTACAGAAACGTATCATTCGGATTCTTCAACCTTATGTTTAAAACCTAATGTACCATTGAGAACTGAAAGATTACTTAAACGTGATTTATTGCGTTGTAGCAATCAGCGTCCATCATTTCTTGGTCTGCAAACTCTACAACCACCGCGCATTCATCCCGGATCACAACCAATCCATTCGATTGTCCCAACACCATTACACCATGCAAATAGCAAACGCTCGAGTTCTCTATCAGATAATCCACAAACTCTTCAAGCAACGATCGATCGTATCGGTCCCTGGCCAGATGTGTCAATAAATTATATTCGTTCTCAAGGAAATGATCCACTTCAACCACTGAAAAACTTTCGCCATGCGAAAAATCCTTATTCACTTTCTACGAAATACTATTCGACATTAAGTGATCATCATACGAAATTTAAATTCCATCCGTCGAAACGATCTTATATTGAAGATTACCGTAAACAAAAAGGTTACTTGTTAAGTTCTCATCCACGTCTTCAGCGAAAGTCTTTATCAACTTCGTCACTCGGACGAATCAAACATCTTGATAATGGTGACGATGAGGATGACGATCAAGTTTCGATTCACGGTACAGTTAGTGGACCGTCTGGTAGTTTCACAGCTCGCGATCACTCAGAGTTCTCTACGACAAATTTATCCATACATTCTCGCGGAATTTCGAAATCTGTCGACGATATTGTTCATCATATTAACAATGATCATTCATCAAGTAATTCACATCTACCGAGTATTCCACTTCGAAATAATCAACAATTTCGAACCCTTCGTCGTGATCAACAACAGCTAGCGTTCTTACCAGCAATAAATCCTCCTGCATATCAATATGTAAATAGTATCAATTCGATTGAACCGTCTTATAATGATCATAGGAAATTACACAATCCATCGAAAGTTTATTTTATCGACGGACGACAACAGAAAAGGTATATAACATTCCTTTTTGTACTCTTTACAATTTGAAGTAAAAAAAAACAAACTTTCTTCTTTTCTTTTCTTCCGTGGAATTAGTGAAAACGAGGTATGAATGAAATGAGTTTGAGAAAACTAAATTAACATATGAATTGAAAGATTATAAATTAACTTCATTGTGTATTCATTTGATGTCTTTTCTAGATTGCGACCCGTGCACAAGGTTACTTTGAACTTCGAACTACCGGTAGCCCGATAATGCCAGAAAAAGACAGAGTGGCAGCTGTGGTAATCTATCAATTAGCTCGTCGAACATAACTACTCGAAGATAACAAATCAATCAATTTATGAAGACGATTTCGATTAGAAATAGTGTTGTTGATATAAGTTGTACATAAACGGGATGTCGCATGACCATGCGTTTTAATTAATAAATATACGATTATAGAAATGTGAAATATAAAAATTATTAGCAGCGAAAAATTTATACAGAGAAGCCTTGTCCGGTTAAAGACGAAGCCAAAGTGTGTGCCTTTCTTCATCATCGATTCTATTTGAATAAAAACACAGGAATCAGAAATTCTCTACAAAAGATCTCAGTAATGCGAAGCTTTTAATAATACGAATCGTAATGTATATGGGCTGTATGTTCGAAAAAACAGTTGAATCATAGAAACACTCTTTTGATTATTCAGTCAATGGTCTTTTAACAATTCATGTTAGCACTCGAAGTGCAAGATTAATGAGTTTATAAGAGTATTTGTTTACATCATATGCATTTCACACGCAGAGATAGTAAACGTCAGAAGAGGGCGGTTCATTAGACTGAACTTCGGATGTTGTGATCTGTATTTTCTATTGGTCATATGATCACAGAAAGAAAAAGAGAGAGAGAGCGCGAGTGTGTGTGTATATGATCGAACAGTATTGATTCGTTCGTTCTTCCTTCCTCGTGTGTGTCTCGTGCGCGTATGTATACATGCTGATCTTTTCTGTTCAATCATCTGATTCGTTAGCAAGTATTTCCTTTGTCCTTGCGATTTGACCAAACGAACAATTAGGAAAATATCTATGGATCCTTCAAAATCTTCTCTGTTAACATCAGGATCTAATAGCAATGGTTCGTAATTCTAAAATACAAAGAAAAAAAAACGCTTCCTTCTGCTTTTCAATCTAATACAGTTATACACGAATCGTCATTGAATAATCAAACGATGGAATATAGTAGTGACAGTAATGCAAATGAACACTCAGGTACATCAATCCACCGTCGTGATGGTCCATTGGCACAGCAACTTGCAAACCAACTCTCAATTGTAACGAATTCGACAATGTACGTGGACATTTTTACTCGAAAATATGCACTTCTTTTTCTGTCTGCTTTAGATCGTCGCCAGGCATTCATACTCTGTATAAAGTTTCACCTAATACAAACCGAAATATTGAAGAACAAGAACAAGTCAGTCCATTGGGTAATATTTTTACAACGTTCACGAATGTTTGACAGTAATTTGAAATTTCATTGATAGGTGCTTGGGGTTTTTTACCATCACCCTCTGAAAATGATCAATCATCAGATTGCCAAACATCTCCTCTGAAATCTCATGATTCGTCACGAGTATCCGAGCATAGTTCACCACTCAAATCCAGCGATGAGACCAAAGTTCGTGAATATCATTTCTGAGATCCTCTTCACAGCACGAATATGAATATTTGTCTAGACTGAAAAGATTCCATTGCACGAATTCACCAGCAGAACTCTCTTATTGATGGTCAATAAGAGTGTCAAGCTTGATGCTTCAAGAAGATCAAGTAGGTTATTCTCAGAAGTTTTTCTACGAAAACTATCCACATTTCATTCGAAATCTCCTATAGCAACTTCAACTGAGAGAGATGAAGGAGAAGAAGTCTATGATCACCCCCGAATTATTCTACAGAAAATTCAATTTGACGACCCAGGTAAGCCTTGTGAACTAATAATCGACATACCAGACAATGCTGTCTCTTCTAGAACTATTTCCTCCAGAATTAACACCTGATCTAGTGCGAAGATTATCACAGGAAAATACACAACGTTCAACTCGTCCCCGTCGTTCCACTCATAGCAGTACAACATCTTTAAACCAATCGCCGAAGAAAAAACGTCAACGAGCGGAATCGAACGATGACTATAGTTGTGACAATGAGAAAGATGAGGACTACGAAGATCAACCTTTAAGAAAACGAATACGTCGATCAGGTGAAGTCAAATTCAATCAAAATACTGCCAATGATGCGATGAGTGCATTTCAAAAGAAGACTCGTGACCGTCTGGCACACAAGGCGTTAGATATCGATGCGAATCCACATGAAAACACATCCTATAAACGTTTCATGAAACTATTGGATAGATTTTATGATGATTACGAACGTCATCATCATCAAATTGACGAAACACCCGATGATCAATACCTCGATTTAATATTATCTGATCAAACATTAGAAGAAATGTCCACTCTCTCGGAAAAATTAAAACTATCAACTTATCTCACACGAGTTGATCCAACTAAACTAAAACGTTTGCTAGAAATTCTCTCATTACGCATTAAACAAGGCATCGAATTAAATCCAATACTTAAACATGATGCCGATGATGAAACCAAAAGCACAGAAGAAGATGAACGTGCTTGGAGAATCTTAGTATTCGAACGTTTAACAATGTGTACAAATGCATGTGAAATTGCTTTGAACATTATAACAACACCTCAGATGTCCAAAGAAATTCTCATCGAAAATGTTATTGAATACACTAGTTTGTTCATCAAGTCTCAATTAGCGAAAACGATCTTTCCCGAATACGATCCGCTCTATCGAAGTGATAATCAAGCGAAAGGTAGAAAAATCGAATAGAAAGAAGACGTTTTCATTTTACTTTGTCATTTTACAGATCCTCTAGTCACCAAACAAAAACGTTCGAAAGTAACCGGGGCAAAATGCAAACAAGTACAATTACTCTACAATAGATTTGTCACCTTATTTCAAAGCATTACAGATCTGATACCATTAGGCAAATTCACTGATACAATTATTCTTGCCGTATGCTATTTTCTCTACTATTCAGCAAAATGCATATCTAATTCGTTGTTTAGATATCTTCATTTACAGTTAGTTGTATTTATGTTGAAAATATCTTTGATTTACAAGCACATTCACTGAACATTCTTCCCGAAATATTCTCTCGTTATGAATATCACCGTGATTCCATTCTCGATGATATTCTTCTATCCATTGTGCGTCTACCGACAAGTAAAAAAAGTCTTCGATGTTACCGTTTGCCATCGGGTGAAACCATTCAAATGTTCACTGCGTTAATCATGCATATCATCCACTCACCTGTATCAACAATCAATAACAATGTAACCGATACAGCCAATGAATTACATCTCTTGAGTACTTATTCAACCGCACAAAATATCGCATACAAATTTCTAACATTATTCTTTCGTTCATGTGGAACGAAACAAGGAGAAGATGATTATCGAATAATTTTCGAAAATTTCTTAGCAGATTTACTTGTAACTGCTAATCGACCAGAATGGCCAGCGTCAGAAATCCTTCTCACACTGTTGTCGAGATTATTAATGAAGAATTTTTCCAATACATCAGTACCGATACAGGTGCGTTTGCAATCATTAGATTATCTTGGTTCTGTTGCTGCTCAATTGAGAAGGGACACGATTGCAATTGATGTTTTGAATTCTCGTGAAAGTCAAGCTCGACTCGATCATATAGTAAAAAAAGTATGACTCAATCATTTTGTGCTAAAATATTCATCACGTGCTTTTTCTTTTCATCAAATAGACTCTAGCAACCATCGAAACAGATGAAGATATTTTAGAAGTATATAAAACTGATCCATTACGTTATCATCGTAGTTTGATCATTTATCTAAATGAATTCAGTCAAAGCGAACCAACCTGTCAAGTAAGTTGACATGAAACGCAATACATCTGCAATTAATACCTCATCTTCTTTTACATAGTTTTCTAAAATGTTTCACGTTGGTCAATGGGTTCACGATGTTAATTTAACTATTGAACGATTGACTCAAACTATAACTCGACGAGCAAAGCCTTCAACAGCACATGCTGAAATCGTTTATGATGACATGGATGAATCAATGAATCGAAAGAATACGGATTCCACAGCGACGATTACCGATGATATTGAATTGAAGAAAGGCGAAAAGATAACGATACTTAAGATGCTCATCTTACCAGTAGTTATTCGTAAACAACAACGATATATCTCTGATATAGATTACGATGATATTTGTCTATTGATGCGCTATCTAACATTGAATCGACCATTTTTGAAAACGTTTGACATTTATTTAAAACAATTAGCTGCTGTTTTTCAATCCGAAGCAGGAACAAATATTCGTAGTAAAGCAATGAAATGTCTATGTACAGTGGTCGAAGCTGATCCAACGATTTTAGCACGAAATGATATCAAATCATGTGTACAAGTTGGGCTGACAGATAAAAGTGTTAGTGTACGAGAAGCAGCGATTGATCTTATTGGAAGATACATCGTTCAAAAACAACAACTAATTTTACAATATTATGACGTACTCTGTGAGCGAAGTATTGATACAGGTAAAGTTTTGCATTGAGAAAATGATCATTGAATGAATGATTGAATGTTTAGGTGTTAGTGTTCGTAAACGTGTCGTAAAAATCTTTCGTGATGTTTGTTTGAATCAATCAGATTTCGTTCGTATACCTGATATATGTTCACGTTTGTTGCGACGTATCAACGATGAAGAAGTAATTCGTAAAATTGTTCTGGAAACCTTTCAACAAGTTTGGTTTACACCAACACGTAGTCAATACGATATTCGGCGACGTGTTCAAATCATCATTGATGTTTTGATTGATGCACAAAAACAAAACCATACTTGGTTAGAGAATTTGGTCAAAGAGCTTCTTCATGTCAATGAAAAACAATCTAGTGAAGAAAAACGTAAATTTCTCGAACAACGAAAAGACACTCTAAAAGCAATACAGGCCATTATCGATGAATTAGTCGAATCGATCCTAAAAATCGAATCAGCCAACGATCAAGTTCGTCTTTCAGCATCTTTTCTCTTCACTAAAATTTCAATCTGTTTAGATTTCATCGAACAAAATGGTAGCAACATTTGTTGCACTATATGCACTTGGAAAAGCGAAACCTGAACATGTCCTACCACACGTCTCGACTATTGTTGAATATTTGAATATCAAATGTACGTCTTACAATGATAATGTCATTGTCCAATATGTAGCGAAAATTCTTGAATTTACAATTCCATTGATGAAGTCAGCTTCGTCGAGCATCATCTACTCGTTAGAAGGAAGTCTAACGAAATTATTACTTGTCAGTGGTCAACTAGTTATTCATTCAAGCATTGCTTGTCTATCCGCTGCTATTCGACTTTCGAAGAATTATCCATTAGTAAAAGAAGTGTTTACGAGATATCATTGTAAGTTTTTCGGGCAATGAGAAATCACAAGATCAAATGTAATGTTGATTTTCTAGCATTTGTCATTCAGTGTCAAGAGAAAATTATGGAGAAACCAGACGAGGAGTTCAAATCGAGTGCACAATTGGCAAGATCAATTTACATTTTGGGCGTTCTTTGTAAATACTTTGATGTTGAAAAAAGTGAATATGATGACTTGCAGGTAACATATGAGTTAATAAATTGAATTGATTGTAGGAGACTAATTTTCTTTCAGTTTTCTGTCGATGATCTTTTTCAATTATTTATGTTTTTCATTCAACGACCTGAATCGATTGTCAAATTAAAAGCTCTGGTTGGTCTTGGCTATTTTCTTCAACGTTATGGTCAATATTTAGTTGAAGATGATGTTCGTCAACTCTACCATTCTTATCTTCTCGATCGTCGTCCATCGGCAGCTCAACTACGATGTCAAGTATTGATTAACTTGGAAGATTACTTTCGTGATTGCATTCGTCGTATGGCAGAACAAGATGTGGATTATCTTCAAACATCTACTACGGTCACAACTGTCGCTAGTGAAGAACATCCAAGTGAAACTCATGCAACAACTGGTGTCAATCTCAAAGATACAACTGATATGCACTCGGAAATGGCGAGTTCGATAGCGCAATGTTATTTACGTGTCGTCTTAGAGACTTATTTAAGTGAAGATGACATCATTCGACAATGTGTTCGAAAAGTAGTCACGTGTATATTGGAACAAGGTCTTGTACATCCAGTGCAATTCATACCTTTTTTGATTGCTATGACCACAGATCGTGATACAAACATTCAACAAAGTGCAGAACAGAACTTACAAGATTTAGACAAAACAAATCCGGGAATAATTCAAACAAAAGTTATGCCAGGATTGAAAATGAGTTACCAATTACAAAAACTACTTATAGGACCAAAGAATAACAACTCGTCATCAGACCCACAAGCAGACATCATTCGAGGTAACTATCGAAATTGAACCTATTTAATCATCATCATTTGCATTAAATAGGCATGACCAAAGTGCCGATAGCTTCAACAAATAATCAGCAGTTACCATTTTGTTCTGTTAATCATTTTCTTTATTCTTTGATTCGTTCTTCTCGTGTGTATCGTCGAGCGTTGATAACTCAACTGTTGAAAATGTTTGATACGGATGTAAATACGTCGTCATTAACACTCGAAGAACAGCTATTCGTTGCAGATAATCTCGCTTATTTTCCTTACCAAGTTCAAGATGAACCATTATTTATCGTCGAACAGATCGATCTTGCTATCAGTGTCAGTGGTTCCACACAATTACAACAATTTCGCGATCTATTAAAACAACATCTGAATTATAACGATGATGATGAAAGTGTCGATATGAATAAAGTTGAGACGAAATTACTTGAAGCACCTGAAACAGTTATCACTGAATTAAATCAATGTTTACTTTCGACAAAATCCTCGTTGTTATTATTATTATTGAAATCTTATTTAAAAGATCTGTATTATTTGAATGATACGAAAATCATTGAATACGATCATACAGAATCGAGTAAAATTACTGATCGACCTATCGCGACACGAAAGATGAATGTAAAATTCGAACCGAAATCTATTCTTGATACAATCAAACCGATGGACACTCAGGATAATCTACAAAAGCGCAAACAAATTATAAAAGATTTCGGCGATTTCAAACGTTATTTACTGGCATCTGATATGGATATTGAAGATAATATTCAATCGATAAATGAGTTATTACCAGCAACAATATCGACACCAAAAGGAAAGAAGAAGACTGGCAGAACAAGTAGACGACGTAAAGTCATGATTGACTCTGATGACGACAGTACCAATGGAGATTCTTAGTACAGGTGAACACAGCAAATGTTGCACAGTGTCTCTTGAATATTTATGTTGTAATCTCATAATGATTGTTGTTTTGCGTGAAGAAAAGATATTTTCTTACCAAAGAAACAATCATCTAGCTTGTCGTGTTTAGCTTCGTGTTCACAAACCTTTTCTAATTGTGTATTTATGTTCTTATTATTCATCATCTCGGTTCTCTTTTTTTGCGTGTTTTTTTCGAAATCTAAATTTATAATTCAATACATCTATCTATCATGACATGAAACGAAATAATCTTATAGAAAACAGATTTTATTTAACGTAACACGTTTATCACAGCAATATATATATATGTATTGTATAGAAACAAGTCCGATCATTGATATTTGGATATGTTATGGTATTTCTTCATATAAATGATAGGTCATTGTTGATGCTGACGAAACAGACGAATCGTATTGAGAAAGAGGAAAGTTGTACAAAGTAGATACAGGTTCGGCTTTCGGTGGTGCGACTGGAACTTCTAGAGATTTATTTCGTTGATCTCTCCGTTTTCTCCAAAGAAAGAATGTGACTAAACCAATGGTAAGAGTTAACAAAACACCACCAAGGACACCTGCGATGATCGCACCAATATTCACATTTGAACTGTTACTGTTATTCGTCGAATTAATCGAAACCGGATCTGAATAAACAACAGAAGGGAAACAATAGTCAAGGACTTTGCATTTCATTCGAACAAAAGACCAATACCTGAACATGTTGGTCCAGCAAACCCTGCAAAACACTGGCACAGTGTGTTGTCTTTTATGCATATACCATGTCCTTGTACACACAGATCACAAGTATCACGAACTACAAAAGAATAAATCATCAGCAAATGTTCGACCAATTCTGATAGATAATATGATTAAGTTGTTGTTGTTGTTTTTTTATAATGAAGAACGTACTTCATCAATTTTTCAAGGAGAAATCTCGTGCTATCTCGATTGCTTAGCGTGGTATGCGAGATTCTCTCTAGATCGATACTTGAATGCATTTATTTTCATAAGCCGTGTGAGGAAAAACACGAATACAAACCTGCCATTAGAAACAAATGTCGAAATTGTGTTAAAAAGAAGCTAATGTAAACAGCATTGTTTCGTTTGTTCGATCGAAAACTTTACTGGCGATGCCTTTTTTCGTACTCGCTTTTTCGTGTATGTCATCAATAAGAAGACCAACGAATTAAAACAACGGGTGAAAATGCAAAAAAAGTCTGATAATGAATTTTTTTTCTTTTCTGTCGAACAAATAATATTTACAGAGAACAAAATTCAGTCTTACGCGGTCTATTCAATTTTCAATAATTACATACAGATGTCTTTCGCAGAATGCGCGTAAAGAAAAGGATTTAAGTGGTACTTTCAATTGAAAAGGAGTTGTACATGTATGTGTATAGTCAAAAACCAAATTATTCGTGAAACAGCTATGGATTTGTATAATACATTTAGTAGCAAAAATGATTCTATTTTTCGAAGTAAAATCTGTTTTTTTCCTGAAAGTTCACAATGAAAGAGCAAGAGAAAAAGCGTTGTATCAAGAGAAAGAAAAAAACTGTGTAGGAATGAGTCACGTCGGGTTTAGTAAAGAAAGAATAGAAGTGAAAAAAAGAAAAGTGCCGTGACCCGGGATCGAACCAGGGACCTTCAGATCTTCAGTCTGACGCTCTCCCAACTGAGCTATCCCGGCGATTTATAATGAAACCGTATCTCGACTACATCTTTACATGATTATCTATTGTTCGACCTTTTCGATTTTAATCAGTCGAAAAGCATCATTTGACGTCTTCTTCTTCTTCTTGGGAACAATCTTTGCACACGAGACGGTCCGAGAATCAGCCTTGGAATTCATCTTTCAAGTAAATGTTCTATTTGAGACGATCTGTTAAAATTAACATTTTTCAAAGAACAACATTGATAAATCTGACAGTAATCAAATACAAACATTTCAATGTAGACGAATTCAATTCCTCCGGTGTTTACCTTACGCGTATGTTCACATGCTGCCTGAATGCAGCGAACAATACTTACTTTTTTAAATTATTTATTCAACGAAATGCATTACACATCCTTGTCTAGCAGACATATATGCGAAAGCAATTGTAGACACAAATACTGTTTGTGTTTGAATCATTCTTGCGAAGTACGATGAGAATTTTACATGTGGAAAATCATTGTTAAACTTTCTTTTTCTGCAACATGTTTATTTCACTTTAACAAACAAAAATCTTGTTTCGATAGACGAGTACACGTTGCAAAACGTTTTAAGAACTTGTCGAATGTATTCAATGACATGTTTTACGCAGATTATGTTTATTTTATCAATAAGAAAAACAAACGTTAAAACATGTCTGTGAAATCGAAAGCTCGTTTTTCCAATCAGACTAGCGCCATCTTGCCGTTTGTTTTAATATTATCGACACAAAGAAAAAACTTTCTTTCTTTATGTATCTCACAAAATCTAATCGGAAAATGTTCGATTTAGTATTAAAGATTTGTCATAATGATTGAAGTTTATTGCTTAGTATCGACGAGCTTAATGGTATCTTATCAGTGAATGATTGGCTTGAACGAACAAAGAACGGCTGTAGGACAAAAGAATGAAAAAAATGTCGACGAATAATTGTTTTTTTAAGGTTCTTTTTCGATTGGAATTACTTCAGATCATAGGAATACATTGTAAATAAATCTCCTGACCTTGGTTTTATTCTGTCCTCAACGAAGAACGATGTTACCAATGTCATCTTCAAATACTCATACACATATTGAACCAAACTGGAAAACGTATTACGATGCAAAAAAGCTACTTCGTCAAACTGAACAACGTTTGAAAGAAACACGAGATTATTATCCTCATGTTCATTTGAACAATCACTATGAGAATAATAGTGACATGTCGAATTTATCTTCGTCATCGTTTTTGCTCCACAATGAACCATCGGCAATTCATGCTGGTAATCGATCTATGCTGAATGACGAGAGAACGACGAATAACAAACACCAATTATTGGATTCAGAAGCTTTACTAACAATTCGTAGGAAGATTAGTAAACAAAAAATTGCAGCAGGTACGTCGAAGACGAGATAAAATCTCTGACTAGTAAAATTTTATGACACATGATTAGATTAGAAGTTTGAGTATGTATTTCCTGATTACATCATTTCGATGAGTACTCGTACAGTATTAGGAAAAGGCCACGAAAATTGAAGTCACATAGAGTTAATGGTGACATTGCATTTGTTCTATTTCGAAACTTGGTAGAACTGTCCTTGATAGGAGCAGAAAGATTTATCAATTCGTCATTGATCCAATCGTATCGAGATTGCTTACATGACCAATGTAATTTTATTTTAAACAAATACTTCACTTGTAAGTATATATCATGATATGATATGTACTTTTCGAATGTTGATTGTGTAATGAAACTTTACTCAATCAAATATTGATGTGGAAACTGATATGTGCAAACAAAACGATACAAAATATTTATAACTAAACAGTTTTTTTTCAATACATTTGATTTTAGAACGTCGTGCTGAACAGTTATTTCATTCACAATCAGATGCTGGTCATATGTTTGAATCCTATCGTCCTCAAAATGGATATTCGACATCAGCTAGTCTGCAGAACCTTCATTATTCTCCACATCGTCAACAACGTTCATCACCTACTAAACCACCACTTGCATATAATTCTCACCTTTCACAATCTCAATCATTCCCGTCGGAACTCGATACGGTTCTTCAACCATCGACAGCAGCCAGACTTGTACACCGAGAAAACGATATCGATCGTTCATCCTATCATCAACCAGCAGCACGCAGAACTACTCGCATCACTCCAAGTAAATGCTACCGAACATTTTTCTACAGGAAATCAACATTTCTATTTATAGAAGAGACATATTCATTAGCGAATGCACGAACAACTCAACCGAGAAGTGCAAGTGCATCGAATAGTCTACCGACAAAATGTAAGTTTTCAACAATGATATAAACGTTTTGTTTATGCGTACAATTAGATCAAGATTTTCCTTCGAGTCATTTCTTAACGTCAAGCGATACTCAGCGATTAAAACATGTTCGTCGCGTTGAATCTGCTCATGTTCCATCAAGTTCCGGAACGAAATCTAGTAAGACTATCTCTTTCTTCTCTCTCATTAATTGTAATAATTATATCTGATAACGACGCTTAGATATGATTACACCGGATTCTTGGCGTACAGATTCAATCGCAGCGAAAAAGTCCTTGGTGACTACTACTACTACTACTCAAGTTGAAAGACAATCAAAGAAGAAGCCAACCAAAGCAGATATGGATGATGCATTTAACCATATTAACTCGAATCTGAGAACAGAAAAAATTATCAAAGCGAAACGAGATACAAGTTCGTGTATTTCTAGGAAAATTCACATATTGTAACTTGTTTTTTGAAGGTGCTTCAAAACCATCGATCATGGTCAGTGAAAGAACACCGTTGAAACCAGGATCATCTAAACGTAAATCTGATTTTTTGTTTCATTTGAATTCGTAATAACAAATCTGACTTTTTCTAGCCAAATCAGATGATGATAAGAGAAAACTTCAAGATTATTTTCAACAAAAACGTCAACATGACGAACTTTTCTCAAATGAAAAACGTTACAAAGATGATCAGGAACGAAGTCGAAGGGACAAACTGAAAAGACTAAACGAACAACTCAAGGAAACTTCTCATCAACATCTACCCTCATCTCAACCAAAGCGATCATCAGCATTTACATCTTTAACTGCTAAAGAATTAACTGAACAAACACGTCAACGTCTACTTCGCGTTCTTGGACCATCAGCGGATTATCATACGAACAGTGCATTAGAGCATCCATCCTATTTTGAACGTTCATTTTCATCATCATCATCGTCGTCGTCATCATCATCATCGTCATCGGCGAATGAATCAGCCATTGATATTGCACCAGCGAAATCGTATGTTCTTCCTTATTTTGAAAGCAAAAGCTTCAATCATCTATTACATAGAAATGATCAACTATCGTTGCGATCGCGTTCAGAACCACCTGCTCAAAATGGTAAGCACTACTGACACGATAAATTTTCTATAGTATGATGAACTTAGGTGCAATCAATAACAATGTACAACGTCATGAAAATTTACTTCGATGGGCTGTTAATTTAACAAAAGACTGTGATATTGTAGAGAATCGATTTAAATACTTTCGACCTGGTAAGAGACTTTCGAATTTGGACTTGTTCTCTATGTTAACCTCGAACATACGCATAGAGATTTGTTATTCTATTGATACCTCACGATGAAATATTGACATTCTTTAGATAATACTCAACCTTTTGACGTCAGTTCTACTACATATCAACATCTGCAGCAGGATGACGGTAATTTACGGTATCATACGTCATATTATGAAACAAATAATGTTCCGGAAACAACTAAATCTTCAAATGTATCACGTTTACCTCGAGGCGTCAACTCCAATCGTTCAACTGATTACTCCTCTCAGCAAATATCTAATGAACTATTATTAGAACGACGAATCTATCGTGATCGTGCTGCTGCGAAGATTCAAGCAGCATATCGCGGGTATTCCGTGAGAAAATCACTACCATGGTTGAATGACAAACAAGAATATTCTACTGATGAACATAAACAACGAGTAATTAAAGTTTTTCCTGTCGAATAACACATGTAAGGCTTGATCTTCGTTCTAGCCGAGCCGTTATGGTGAAAGTGCATCAATTAACATTAATATTCGTTTAACTAATCATCATTTTCCTCTGGATTCGACACTTCTACGTTATCCTGAAAGTATGATTAAAATTTTTCTAATGATTCTTGTTTTGAAAGATTAAAAACAACCAATATATGTTGATTCAAACTTTTATTTGGCTTCGTGTCTTTTAGACCCACCGTTCATTGATCAACAACAACAACAATCAACAAAGAAAATATCAACAGTACCATTATATTCAGATGAATACGATAATGTACCTCATGCAGCCACATCAAATCTGTCAACGCCGGTCAATCATATACGACATCCTAATCATGTATCAAACTCATCATCGTCAACAACGCCCATTCCATCACCAGAACTTCGTGTGCCAACTCAAAATGACCGTCGTAGGTCTTTATCACCACCGTTACCACCACAAATGTCTCCAGATAATGGTCGACCATTGCATCACTCGACTAATCTGAACCAGGAGTCGACAGAATCAGTTTCACATGTACATACAGTAAACCATCGAATATTCTTCTCCTATTAACGATTCATTCCCTTTTTCGTACTATAGAATCTTCCTGTTAGTAATTTATCACAACAGCAAATACGAAAGTAAGGATTACTTTTATAAGTATAAGAAAAATTCCATTTTGTTCGTATTTGAAGATCCCCTGTTCGTCAATCTTCATCATCAACATCGAGTTCTACAAGTCGAAAACGGCGTTCACCATCTCCTCAACCGCAAGCATCGACAAGCACACATGTTCGTCATCGACCAGTGCAAACGTCTAGTCCACCGACATCATCATCAGAATCGTAAGAATATTTCATCATTAACTCACAAGATCAAATGAGAAAAAGAAAGATTTTTCGAATAAGAGCATTTTTATTTGAAATTTCTTTGACGAATACAGAACGAATTAAAGATTGCATGTTATTCATAAGCTATTGCACGAAAAAGACGCAGAGGCAATATCATAAATGAGTAGATTTTGAGTTAATTTGTGAGATAAAAAACGAGTGTTCTTCAATTGCATGATCTTCTTTTTCTTTATTCAAATAATTTCTCAAGCATACAATCAGTTAACACTGCGAAGATATCGTGGTAAATTCAGATTTGTATGGAGGTTCAATTTTGATCGTTTGCTATTTCTTTGATGATTGATCATTTGCCGGATGAGAGCTCCATCATAAATAGATTGAATTGCATTTGGATCGAAAACATCTCGACGCTGATCAAGATGACTGCCAGCATCGTATTCGATCGGCAATAGGCCATTGATATCCATAGAAGCCAAACCATCTTCATCGGACAAATTCGGACGGTGAAGAACTACACGAGCATGTACTATTAAACATAAGGACATGAAGAGAAGTAAACTGATGAGATTGAACCGTTGAGACTGAACCATAGTTGTATACGTTCTGTTTAGTTATTTGAATGAGCTCCGTTCGATGGAGTGTTCCTTTATATAAAGATGACGGTAGAAATTAGTGGGAGAGAAAAAAGTCGTGTAGGTGGAAGTCCAATGATATGGAAGAGAGAGAAAGAGAATCTTTACATACTGGAATTAGTGGAAAGTGTTGGAAACAATCAAATGAATGAAAACTCTTCTTTGTTTTTAGAATTTTAACTGCACGCGAAAAACGTGTTCGACAAAAGTTCAATAGCGATATCGAACTTCAAGCATATGAAAAACGTCTCAAAGATATCGAGAAAAAAATACGTCAACTTGTCAAACGAGGTATGTTTTATCCAGAAAATCTTAATGAATTTTTACAACCTTACAAGTTAAAGTCTTGTCTTCCGCTTCTCTTTCGAACAGTAATTTAACCGTTTAATCACGTAGTCGTGACATGCAAAAAATTGAAAGTATTCGCACACAGTAAATGATTTGCGTATATTTCATTGAAAATGTAAAGTTCTGTTATAGAACCATACATCACCAGATATTTGCGAACATGATCAAGAGTGTATTTCTAGTGCTCGAAAATGTTTATACAATTAGTAGTTATTGAGTATTTTGAAAACTGTTGTAGCGTCATCATTGAATGAAACAAATTATTTTACCGATTGTTCAAACGCAACAATCTGACATAGTGTTCCTAACATATGTCTTGCAGTTTGAACATTCGGTACAAATTTTCGCGCGCATGTCCTTACAGAAGACTTTAATTTTCATAAACAAAGAACTCATACGTGTCTTCAGGACGAACTATCTCATCAGACGTTCGTCATACAAAGAGAAATGAGTTTTTTATTTCGAAGTGCCATGCATTTACCGAAAGGTTCTAACCAATATTTGTCGAATGTTTAGAGAAGCAAATGAATAATTTATCATTTGCCAACAACAATATCTAATTCTAGAAATGGCCCTTCTTGTTTTCATACATTTCATGTGACATTTATCCCGAGAGTTATTTTTAAAAGGTTGAAAGTTAGATGTTTATCGAAGCGCGATGTCGTCATTACTATGAGTAGAACGACAATCGCCTTCCGTTCGTATCCGATTGCTAATTGATTCAATCTTTGCTGCTACCTAGAGAATGATTTATTCAGCCAGAGTATATTTGTGGCATATTGTTTTTAGAAATACAACCTGAGAAAGATTTCTAACATTTTACTTTACGATAATTTAGCATTCGAAATTTTCGATGAAAATCGAACAATATCAAGTCCGTTGGGAAGTGGACGTACAAATAAGACTGAAGTTCGATCAAAGTCATTAAACCATTCACAAGATGATTCAAGTATCAGTGATGGAAGTTCAATCCATCGACGCGATATCGAACCGTAAATATCCTCTTGATTTGTCTGATACTCATCGCAGAACTCGTCTGTTCTTAGAGCAAAGAAAGATAGCGATACATCATCCAGTTCAGCTCAACAGAAACAACCAGGTAGATGGAAGTTATTCGTAGTTCTTTTCAAGTAAATGTTTGTTTGATTAGACATTGTAACATCTGACGCAAGCGATTTGGAATGTCGCGTACGCGCCTATCGCGAACAGTTGAAGGCCAAAAAACTCGAACTGGACAGATTAAAACAGCGTAAAAACAAAGAAATTCTTCGAAGACAAGAAGATGAATTAAAGAAACAAATCGAAGTAAGAGATTTCGATCGAAAAACATGAAATTTAGCATTTGAGATTAATTTCATTCTTTTCAGTCCTATGATCATGAAATTCAAACATTACGCTTGCAACCAATTCAACAAGAACAAACAGTACCTGTTCCATCTTCGTCATCATCGTCTAGTTCTTCGAAAAAGAAAAGTGAATCTCTCGAAAAACCAGTTGTTCAACATCCTGAAAATGAAAACAAAGATTTTGGTGGAGAAACGCTAGAAACACCACGCGATGAACGAGATACTCAACACGATGCCGTATCAATTTCGAATACAAACGATGTACCGTTTGAAAACAAATCGGATCATGACAGTCGACGATCAAGTATCGACAATGATAAGTAAGTCTTTTGGATAATAAACAGAAAGTGTATAAAATTGCAAAAGCTTCAATTGATCTTTGAAACAGAATAAGAAGATGTGAACCTAAGCTATTCATTGAATTCTATTTAGACTAATACAGGACTTCAATACGAATCTTCATATACCATCCAAAGAGAGCGAAGATTCTATATCATCATCGTCTTCGATATCTTCAGCAACTAGTAACAAACCTGTCAAATCTCAATCACCGAAAGCTTCTTCATCTTCGTCGCCAGCACCATCGGAACGAAGTCAATCATCATCAGTATCACAACAAGACCGTGTTGAGTCACCTATCCAACCACTGACATCGGAAGCTATTCGATCTATTTCTTCAACATCACAAAATCGTGTCAAATCGCCTGCAACACCAGCGCGTTCGGAAACAAGTACACCAAGTTATTCATCTGCACATGAACGTATCGAATCACCACCACCCCCAGCAACATTTGAACCAATTGTTCCATCAACACAAGATCGTATCGAATCTCTTTCACCACCGCCGTTATCCGCTTCTGAATCAAGTACATCATCGACGGATAAACGCGTTAAATCACCAATACCACCGTTAGAACCAGTTAAATCTGCTACATCGTCAATATCCGAACAAATCCCAGTAAAGAATTCACTATCCTCTTCATCTTCAAGATCTGAACATATCAAATCACCTTGTCCACCTACCCAGGACAACGTTACATCTGCTGCATCTCTAAAACAAAAACGCAGTTCAGCTTTAACTATCGAACGAACTCAATCACTGAACAATGAATACGATGAAGACTTTTCCGAAGCTACGCATTCTCCGGTTGAAACATCAGCGAAACTTCAAATAGAAGACATCGATGTTGAATCGATTCAAGAAGATATCGAAGACAAACATATTCATCATGATGACAATCGCAGCTCAACATCGAAATCAACCGAAGAAGAACAATCGGAAATACTTGTCTTAGTGAAAAAATCCGCTAATACAACTCCAAGACAAGTTGATGAACATGCCCAAGAAGATCAATTACCTCCATCATCTCCACAGTTACAAAAAACCTTATCGGAAGATACTTCGCATGATCTCAGTGATGTAGATGAGAGTAAACAACAGAAAAAATCAACAACGGAAGTTGATCGTCTCACTGAAACATTGATAAAAACTTTCATTGATGAAGCAATCAGTCAAGGAAAGGAAATTGTCGCTCGAAAAAATCATGATTCATCGGTCAAAGACGAAACCGAAGGTGGATCAGACGAAGACTTATCTGATGAAGCACACAATAAAGAAGAGGATGTCGAGTAAGAGAAAACAATTGATTTTCGTTTCAAACTAACGTTCGTCATCTTTAGTAATGTTATCAAAATATTGGCAATACAACAGGAATTTCTTGAACAACTCGACGCAGCTGCTAATGGAAACAATGAACAAGTAGGAGAATGTCAAATTTTCAAGAAAATCTTCACTATCGAACGTTTCTCTTCTAGGATGATCTTAACCTTGATCTGACGCCACTTGAAGATAAAAATAGTAAGCATTCGATATTTCTTAGACTACTTCTCTATGAATGAGAAAACAACCCTTGCAGCGCTAATTATAACTTCTGCCCGAGTTGATTTTCTCAAAAACACAGTTTTAACATCCAATTCAACCATCAAAAAACGAGGAAATTATCATCCCACAAATGTCATTAGAGTCTAATTCCAAACAGTAAAGAAACCATTCTTCACTTCCTCCTCTCAAAAACAAATTTTTATCCTCAATTACTGGCTAACCAAACTAGCATTCGACAAACTGAATAACTATGTTTTTTCTTCTTAATTTAGCTGATGAACCTCCAATCAGCCCTTCGCCAAGAGTGTCCATCGAAGAGCCGATCAAACCAGTCGTTTCACATACTCGTGAAGAAGTTACACAATTATGTCATCAAGCTTTGATGATCCTTTACGAACAAAATATCGACTTTTCGGACAGATCAACTATTAATCGAACAGTGCCTGACTCGTATTTTGAAAACAATCAATCAGGTAATGACAATATCGATTTGGAAAACGAAGACATTCGTCGAAGTCGTCATGCTTATTGTCAAATGATATTTGATTTATGTGTTGAATTGTTACATGAAATGTATTCGCCAAACATTCGCTTATCGAGATATCCTGAATGGCAAAGAACGAAGTTAGTTTCGAAGCGTTTCTATCGATTCAATCCTCCGAAAAGTCGTACCGAAGCCGAGAATTTCATTCAGAAGAAAGTTTTAGAAATCTTGAATTTAACTCCTCGTCAAATAATTTATTCGAAGTGGCGTTTACCAATCGAACGGCGTCATATGCAGGAACAATTCGAAGTCGTTCTCGACGAAGAATTACGTCGAACGGAAATTGATTGGATTGATTATGAAAGCGATTCAATCAGGATCAAATTCGATGTGGCAGAAAACATCTTCAATCAATTGTTGCAGGAGACTCTAACGGAATGTTTCCATGTTATTCATAAGAAACACTTTTTGAGCAGTAATAGTACACGTCTTTGAATATTTTTCCATCAAAAAAGAAAGACACTTCGAAAAAGCTTTATTTATTCTTGAGAAAAAAACACACTATTTTTTGTAAATTCTTTGTTAGGTATATGTTCGATTTTGTTGGTTTCTTTTTTTCGATGTGACAATTCATATTTTCTTTCCTTTGTTATTTTGTTTGTTTTGATCATTCAATAGTGAATTCTGTTTATGCGTGACTGTGCAAAAATGAAATGTTAACTTCTTCTTTCTTCTCCTCCTCTCGTTTTTTCATGCGTGTAATGATATATTATTTGTTTGCTTAACTCAACTCAATAGGACAATCGGGAAAATAATAAATTTATATAAATAGATTCGAAAGTTCTATTCAGTAATTGCAAATGCACTCGTCATTTCATAGAAAAATTCTTGAATAGTAAGAAAGAAGCTGAATTTGCAATTGGCGCTTGCTGATATTTTTGAGAATAGTTGTATTAATTTGGTGTGTGTTTTTTTCTCTTCTCTTCGTTATGATTTCGCAAACGCCTAGTAGTTTTTGAAATGATCAAATCAGAAACATCAAGTAATTTTTCATTTCATATATCAGAATAAACTCGGTGAGACATCAGCGTGTTTACAATGATTAGAAACTAAATATCAACGAAAGAAACAGACTGTTGAACCCAAATTTGGTCAACGACACGTTCGACCGAGAAAACGTTTACTATCTGACAATTATCTCTGTAAAATTCCATTCAAATTAACATAGATCTTTCGAAATTTACTATCAAAATAGATTGCGACACTTGTCAGGAATACAATACTGGCTTGTGTCCATTAGGATGCCAAGTTTATGAAGCTAATCGACGTGTAAATATATCTGTTTCGATATCCTCTTCGCTTTCTATCTATTCGAGAAACAGGCCAATCATGCTAAAGACACTGTACCTATTGGCATAAAGATTTCCACGTCGAATATTTCACATGCTGGACTCGGCGTATTTGTGTTGAAGAATTTTCCTAAGAATACTTTTTTCGGACCATATACTGGCGATCGCCATCGCTCAGCTGAACGTGCCAATCAATCTGGTTATGTTCGTTTGAAAGCATGCGTAAACAAAGTATTTTGTGCATTTCGTCCGCGATAGGCTTGGACTATTGAAGATGCGGAAGGTAATATTTACAATTACATAGACGCAAGAAATCCAATTCGAAGTAATTGGCTTAGGTAAAAGGAAAAATTCGATTGACGAGTGTTATGTGTGACTTTGTAGATACGTTAATTGTCCGATTCGAAAAGAAGATGAGAATCTTATTGCTGTTCAATTCAATGGTGAACTTTATTATCAGACAAAACGAGATGTCAAAGCAGGTGAAGAAGTAAGACAAGATCAGTGTTTAGTTTTGAATCGATCTCTTGTGATTTCTTTATATAGTTGTTTGTGTATTATGGTGAAGAGTAAGACATTTCGGTTATATCTCTTCTCATCTGATTAATTTCATAAAGGTATGCAAGGGAGCTTGGTATTGATGTTTTTCAACATTCTGGTACTAGATTACATTGATATTCAGGTTCTTTTGTTACTACAAGATATTTTCAGATGAGTCAGAACAAAGGACAATCTATCCACCATCGATATCATTTTCACCGTCCAATTTATAGTTAAACAAGAAACAGGACAACATTTGACATTGGAAAAAAAACAAATCAAATCGACATTTTCAATGAGAAACTTATAGCTTCATAATTATGCATGTGACTTACATAATCGTACTTCCAATAATTATGTTTCTTTAATATAAACGAATCGTTAAGAGATGAATAGAAGAACACATATCTAATGTAAAATTTATATCGTGACACACTCACACCCTCAAATTTAGATATACGGGAACGACTGAACCATAAACTTAAAATTGACACACTGAATATAGAGTGACGTGATTATATAAATGAAGTAGAGCGATATTTCATCTGAAACAAGTCAGAAAACTGAACTATCATGTAGGGAAGTCAGGAAAGGAAATCTTGAGAATTATTATTACTTATCGAAAGTGTTGTAAATGAATGTTTTATGTCTCGCTGTATCTCATTCCGAACCGTAGGATGTCCTCATAGATCGATACCTCAAACAGGTTAATCTAATTAAAACGACTATTCTAAAATTAGAAAACCAGTCATTCATTATATCACACTTCTCGGACAACAAAGTATACTTTTTATTCCAGAGTTTTTCATTTTCACCTTTACTGCTTGCTATATATTTTCTTTAAATTCTTCATATAAGCGGAGAACAAACTTGCGGTGCTTTAGTTTTCTTTCTTGTTTCCGTGATAATCTAAAAGAATATTTGCTTTGGAAATGGACATCAGAGAAGAAAAATGTGTTCTGCAAGTAGTCGACTGCACTTACATTAAAAAAAACAGAGGCAATCAATCAGTTTTCAATTGTGACAAAACAAGTTTCTGGTATACTTCAAAACCAAGGTATTGTTGTTTTATATTTATAATACTCGCATAAGAGGAAACTTGTACTTCACGTTATGACAACAAGAAACATTCTATTCTGTTTCAAATAGATACGAGGTTTGTATTACATTTCCAAATCTCTGATAGCGTTTAGTATGAAGAACTTTTTCTGTGTATGGAACAATTGCGTATATTGGCCTTTTTGTAACGGGTGTCCCAGGAATAATGAACTCCTTCGTATTTTGTTGATATTTCTTTGAGTACTTATCTATTAAGACTTCGTTTTTTTTCACCAAAAGATTCATCTTGAAATACTCTATCAAATGGTATGACTTTTGTGTATTTGAATAACGTATATCATTGTTCACGAGACATGAAAAAGAAGACATTCACGATGAATACTTTTTTAAAACAAAAATTGCCTAAACGTGTGTTCGATACTCGTCGACATTATTTAAGAAAATTGAAATACACAGTTTTGTGAAATACCTTAAGACAGTTCATTTACGAACAGATAAGGTCTGAAGAAACGACTGTTGCAAAAAAGATTAATTATATGCGGTAAGAGCACATTCTATCTGCAACAAACAAATTGTTATTTAAAAAAAAGTATTCATCGTGAATGTCTTCTTTTTCATGTCTCGCGAACAATGATATACGTTATTCAAATACACAAAAGTCATAGCATTTGATAGAGCATTTCAAGATGAATCTTTTGGTGAAAAAAAACGAAGTCTTAATAGATAGATATTCAAAGAAATATCACGAAAATACAAAGTGGTTCATTATTCCTAGGGCACCCGTTATTTTCATTAATCGCGAATTGATTTTGCGAATACAAGTGTTCAATGACACGAGAAAAGAAACGATTACAATACAACTTTTTCTGTCATTCAGAAAAGTTTCGTAATTGACTTTTCCAAATGTACCCGTTGTACAGGCAAAAGCCATTATGTCATTTCGGAACAGATAAATCGTGTTTCTTTCTGTAATAATTGGAATCATTCAACTCTAACGAAACAAGAAACATGAACGATCGTCATGATTTTGGCCTGAGCATATTACTTAGCTTAAAGACAGAATTGACACATAGACAGCTGCTTCCTTTGGTAATTACTTAAAAGAAAGCATTGGGTCGCTGAAAATTGTTTCACTCAAGTAGAAATTATTGTGAGACGGAGTAATCATTTAGTAGAATGAAGGAAGTTCTGTTGATTACAATTTGTTTGATTTCCCAAAGCTTCTTATTTAAGCAGTAGACGATTATTTTGACTTCGTTCGCCAATTAGTGTCGATTCACAGTAGAGTCATACTTTTACATCTGGTTTTCACCGAGAAATTTTGTTCGTTACTTCTAATACATACTTAATTTATTTGAGATACATGAAAATTTACCTTCGTACTTCAGTTCGACAAAAAACGCGCTACGTAATTGACTAATGCAATTAAGACGATGCTTGCTGCCACGTTATAAATATAAAACTAGCGGCACTCTTACGCACACTTTATACAACAAACAAATGATAGAGCAACAGGCTTTTACTCGAACTGTCCAAACAGAGATTAGAATTTGAGGCGAACTTAAATTCTTAAGGGTAATCAGGTAAACTAATCTTTTTTTATGGGCTGAAATCATACAGTACAGATCTAATTATATGTTTATAACTGTAATAAGACTCTCGAGTAGGCTCATTTTTCTATCAAATAAAGTACATAAATGAGTGTTTGTTACTTACGTACACCTATTTACTTTAACATCCGTTCTCACGGAGACTAGTTCCAGATGAAGACAGCTTGATTTAATGGAGTCACGCGAAGGTAATAGTTAGTGTTATATGTTCTCCAAAAAAAATATCGTTTCTATGTTTTTGTAGAAAAATGCTTTGATTGTTTACACTTTTACGAAAAGATTCAATTAGGTAAGTTCGTATCCAATTCGAACAAAGAAAAATCTGCTAAATCATTCATAATTTTCATATTAAGTAGTCATGATGCAATGATGTAATTAAACAGAATAAACAGCTTTTGAGCTGCCATAGGAAGTGTACCTGGCTTGACCTCACAGATATTCATTTTTACTAGGACTAAGCTACCAGAGATAATTAAAACGAAAACTCAGAGGTACATTATTATTAGCTAGTGCTTAGTCTAGCTTTTTATTGTCATCACTAATCACAAATGTATGTTTACAACTGAAGTTCAACGTCGAGTGGTTACTTCACTCACACAAAAGATCTTTTCTATTCCATGTTAATCTATTTTCTACTGTACATCAATTACATTTGTTTTTAGTAAATATGTCAAAAACGTGTACATTCTCTAAAGGTAATTTTCTCAACAAACTATGTTTTCTATTTTCAGAATTCCAAAGCTCATTTACTTGATGTATCTATAAACATAATACAATTAACATTGCACAACAACTATTTTCTCGTTTTATAGACGCAAAAAATCATTCGATCGTTTGTTTTAGATAGAAACTATCAAACCAATGTTTAATACATCGGTGAATATCTCTTCACAAGGAGAAGATTTGAAATTGATAGCAACCATTTTGACAATAATTACAATAGCCTTTGCGTCTCTAAATGTTCTATCTTGTACAGCCATTGTTCTTCGCTTGGTCTATTATGCGAAATGTCAAAAATACAATGCAAAACATTCTGTCCGTCGTGTTGGTATTCTTCACTCAATAAATACTTTCATTCATATCGATGGTCAATGTTTGGTCGTTCTTATTATGGCTAGTAGAACTTTATACAGCGATTTCTACATGGTTGAGAAAGAAATCAATTCACCACCATCATGGCATTGTCGTTTGTTAAATTATTTCGTTAGTATGTTTGCAGCCGGCATTTATGGGACGTGCTTCCTACAAGCACTCTTTCGTTTTTGGCGAATCATGCGACCACATAGACGTATATACTATAAATTTAAATTTCATTGTCAGCTTGTTGTACTTCATTGGATACTGATTATTATTATATCAATTCCTGTTTGGTTTCGTTCGATTTATCTATCATCGGAAAACTATTGTTTAAATCGCTTTAGTGATACATGGGCGTCAATTTATATCTCCATAACATCAGTGGTGACACCCGTGTCGGGTATTATAATTGTTTACTTGAAAATTGTTGTATATATGAACAATGTTTGGCAAACAAGAAAGCGTTGGAGACGGATGAAGCGAGACCGTCTAATGATTAAAAGAATGCTTCTATTAGTCTTTGTTCTTTCCAGTACTAGTAGTGCTGCAGTTCTACTCTGGCTATTGATGTTTATTCAGCAAAGACTTCATCCACTTTCATACCGATTGCTTTGTTTAATTATCCAAATTGGTATGTTGATGTGCATTATCACTTTACTGCTGGTTTCTCCACCGCTTCGACGAGCTCTACTGACAACAAAGACTCGACAGCATCGAAAAAAACAAGATACAAATAGCAGTTCCGATAATTCCAATCCAAAACCTGATTGCCATGGGATTATGGAAACGCATGCTGAATTTTTATCGTCATAAACAAGTTAAATCGGAGAATGATTGCTATTATTCATAGAAAAATAAAGATTGCAAGTGTCTTGTTATCATGTGTAGATAAGAATGTTGAGTAAATATCAAATGTTGGATTAAACGTCGAACTATTAAGTTATTCAGTGATATTTCTATTGATTAGGTGCTTTGTTTTACATGATTATTGTTATTCTAACGTCATTTCTTATCGAATAAGATATGCTACTCAAAAATCTTCTGTATGTCTGGACGTCATTTCTTCTTGGTTTGTTGAATTATATTCTTCGATTTTTCTTTAGAATATTCATAAGTCTACAGAATGCAATAGCGAGTAAGATTGACATGACAGAAATCTTTCCAGATGCAACTAATGCTTTGTTTAGAATCAATTAAACTCAACTCCATTTATGATGATTTAATGAACAGTGTTCCAGATTACTCTCGGTTTTTTACTGTGAATGAACTCTTTAATCATTCACATGCTATTGCAATGAATCACACTGGTCTTGTTCGATATCAAATTATTGGTTATTCTCGAAATGGTGAAGCTATTTCAATGCTGACAATAAGTAATGGAAGTAAATCTTTGTTACTCTATGCATGTCCACATCCCAACGAACCAATCGGATCTCTTCTAATTGATTTTCTTCTCAACGAATTATTCAATTACTCCGAACTACTCACGAAATACACATGGCATTTAATACCCTGCATTGATCCTGATGGTACACGTCTCAATGAAGGCTGGTTCAATGGACCATTTACGATTCGGAATTATGCGCGATATTTCTGTCGACCACGAACAGAAGAGCAAGTCGAATGGACATTTCCAATCACATACAAAAACTATAGTTGGACAACACCATCAAATGAAACTCAGGCATTGATGTATGCTATTCGATTAACTCAACCAGATCTCGTCTACGGTTTACATAATTCTGGCTTTGGCGGCATGTACTATTATATTAGCCAGCCTTTGACGGATGTTTTTCCTCAATTAGAACAGCTGCCGTCAGTGTTGGGTTTATTTCTGGCCAAAGGTGAAGCTGAGGCACCATGGGTTACTGAGTATGCACCTGCTATCTTTAGTCCGTTGAGTTTGCCGAGATTGTATGATTACTACGAGAAATATACGCATAGTGATCCTAAAACAATGATGTCAGGCGGTGGAACGAGTTTTGATTATTTGAATGAACTTGGCTTGAATAAAACTATCTTTCTCATGGCTGAGTTACCATATTTTCAATCGGCTAGTATAACGAATGACACGATCATACCGAATGTTACAAGACGTGATGTTCTTCTTCAAGGATTAGACAAGGACAATCAAAGTAATATCATACTCATGCATTTACTTGAACAAATTAAACCAGCGATGACAATTGATTCATCATTCTATCGAGCATCTCGTTCATTACTAGAAATTTATAATGCTACAGCTGCAAGTCGACGTGAAGCTGTGCTCAACAATAATTCCACACTTGTACCAGCTACTATTGCTAGTCGTGTCGACGCATTATACATTTCAGTCTTTTATAAAATGTTGATTGCGAGTATGCTAGATCGCGCTATTACATGTCAACTGCAACAACCATATTCGGATAGACAATTACTTGAAAGTGTACAGATGGAATTGGAAGCTCATCTGAATCAGTGGATAGATGATATCGAACAGAACTTATCGTACTCAATTATTCGTATTCGCAATCTTGTACAAGCTCAATTAGCAACAATGTTGATAGTTTTACAGAACATTTAACGGAATTCTATCGAATAAAAAATCAAGCGAGTAGCTGAGACAATTGACTGTGCTGATTTCCTATTTTTGTTTATAATAATTATTTGTGCAAGATTTTCTTTTGAATAATTCCTAGGAATTGCATCCGATACTGTTCGTTTGAATCTATGCACGAAACTGAAAACTGCATTGAGCTAATCGATTTATTTAATAAAAATGTCAAGACTTGATCACGAAAAATTTTTATTTTGAAAACATTATTTAGAAAATAAGAGCAAATTCATTGTCCTAAATTATCATTGGAATATTGTTTATTTTTCTTGAGATGGAATGAAAGGCACTCGACCAACATTGTCACGTTTTGCATTGACAATATCCGGATACTTATGCGTAAGTTCTTCAGTGTTAAAAACAATGCGATCGATAACTTCCACACCCAACATCATCGAATGATCTTGGTTCGAAACTTCATATTTCCATGAACCGAATCGGCCACGTGAATAGATTTGATTCGATTCGAATTCATCGAAAAGTGGACCGCATAGTTGATCACGACCGAAGAATGGTGTTGGGTAACCGTATTCTAACCGAATGTGAAAACGCGAAAGAATTTTTGTATTTTCATCGATTAACTTCGTATTTCGTAAGCCTTGTTCAGTAATGGCAATGATATTTGCAATATCAACCGGCTTTTCCGGTGATTCAGCAGCTTCACACATTAATGACCACTGTTCACCTGGTTTAGGCACGTGATAAGGCGAGTAATTCGAGAAGACTGTGGCACGATAAAATGGACAATCATCTTCAGGGAAGTATAACCAACATTTTGTCAATAAATGTTCAGGCGGTTGTCCTTCAAGACCAAAACCTAATATGTGACTTGATGAATAACGGAATTGTTTGGATTTTTCTAATAATTCTGAACGTGGACTTTTGGTCGCGTGCCTTTCNAAGACTTCGGCTAGACGACGCCATATTGCACCTGTACCACCTCGCATCGGAAAACGAAACGTATTATTCGGTCCCCAACCGAGTTCATCTTTTCCTAAAATAACATTGTGTATGATACGTGAAAGATTGACTGTTGCTACACGTTCACCCATCCATTCGACGTTCATTTTGTCTGCTGTATAAGCCCAGACTTTGAAATTATATGGACGCATAAACGTATCACACAAACCACGACCAAAGGATTGTTCCATCCAATCGGCGAATGTTACCGGTTTAGTAAATGAGGAACGGCGACGTTCATTTTCTAACAAACCATCGATACAAGCCACGATTTCATGTTTGGGTAAACGATGCAGATTCTGTTGTAATGGATATGGAATGAATGTTCCACGCATCCATACCCAAGCTTCACGGATTTTGGAATTCCAATCGGCTGGATTTGGTAATAAATAATCGAGTAATCGAGTAAAGTAAGCGTAATGGGAAAATATCACGTGGCCACCCATATCCCATAAGAAACCTTGTTCATCAACGACTGTTCGTGCCAATCCACCAGCATCTGCCGAAGCTTCTACTAGCGTCCAGTCGATAGTCTGGTTACCTATGAAACGAAAAGTGATTTATAAATTTATTTGTCTTAAAAAAGATTGGAAATAATCTAACCTTGACGTCGAATTTCTTCAGCTCGCCAAGCAGCTCCAAGTCCACATGGTCCTCCACCGATAATAACAATCTTCATGACTTAGTCTTTTTTTTCTTAATGTTGAACTCGGGAAGCAAATGGTTTGTTAAAACACAAGTCGAGTATGCGAAGGAAAAAAAAGAAGAAAAAGAAAGTTAATGCTTCGATGCTTACTCGATTCTTCTACCTTTAGTTATATAAAAAAGAAAAAAACCTTAGAAAAAATGTCACATCTCCACGTGAATCCAGCTACTGGTTCAGAACACGTATACACCGTTACGTGTGCAAATATTAAAAAACAGAACAAAAAGAAACAGCCAAACGTAAACTACTCATTTTTTTTCTCATAGCATGTCCTTAGAAAAGTTTTTATTTCATCCGAGCGACATGTCTGTATCCTATTGATATAAATCAAATGTACTCAAAATGGAGACCTGCCTTGTGTGTGATTTTTTGAAAAAATCATGATTGTTTGTTAATTGGCGCTCAATGAATATTCGAATTGGTATTGAAAATATAAGAAAATCATGGGACAAGATATTAGTCAAATTGATTCGACAGATATTCAGAAGATGCTGCATAAATTTGGCAAACTTGATGAAGATAAAAGTGGAGCATTATCGGCCAATGAATTCATGCGAATACCAGAATTAACATCAAATCCACTAGTCGAACGAGTTATCGATATATTCGATAGTGATGGCAATGGCGAGGTTTCCATTTGATTTCAAAAGAGAATTTTTCAACATATGTAAATCTTTCTACAGGTGGATTTCACTGAATTTATACGTGGTGCGTTTGAATATCGAATTGAATTGTTCTCCGAGATAGTTTTTTTTCTTCATTTCGCATCAGGTATGAATAGTTTTGCTTCAAAAGGTGATACTCAACATAAACTACGCTTCGCTTTCGATATTTACGATATCGGTATGAGAGCAAGCATGATACTACTGAATACGCATGTAACTATGATTTTAGATAAGGATGGTTACATAACTAATGCTGAACTTTTTCATGTCTTGAAAATGATGGTTGGAAATAATCTCCTAGATGATCAATTACAACAAGTAGTCGACAAAACGATCATTTATTCGGATAAAGATGGTGATCAACGGATATCATTTAAAGAATTTTGTGATGCAATAGGACCAAGTCTTCGCGAAGATATCGTCAATCATTTGAATAAAATAACTAGTGACGAATAATAAAAGTAGACGAATACAATATATGCGTTGGACAAGTTTTGGATTAATTCGTTTCGTTTAACAGCAGTTGAAGTGCTTTTATGTAATCAACTGCCTTTCGAAGTGTTCGAAGTTTTGATATTCGAGTAGAATGTATATGTTCTTTAGTATGTTCGTGGGACTCGAATGGTAGAAGTGCTTTGAGTAAGAGAAATGCTTGATTGACATCGTGAACACGTCGTCGTTCGCGTGTGTTACGTCTATCGACAATATGTTTTGGTCGTAGATTATGTGGAATATGTTTTGACCGACGGATTGGTTTGCTTTTGCTCTCAGAAGATGTAACAAGAGATTCTTCCATCCCCGTAGAATCGAACATATCATGTTGATGTTCGTAATGTAGTTGAAATGAGGAATAACAACATGTGCAATAGGGTTCGTACATCATTTCAAAAGAAAATAAGGAGATGTTCGATGACGGTAAACGAGTAGTCAAATGAACGATAATGAGTAGAAGATTCTTACACATCGAAGAAGAACGAGGAACACAGGATGTAGATATGACTTCTCAGGCAAAATGTTTTTGATTGATTCTAATCAATTTAAATGAGACTTAGTAACTTTCTCTTTGAACAAACCATCACAATTAATGCTAGTCATTGTGTTCACAATGATCATATTCTCATCTACAGTTCAAATTGATTCATATTTGTAGAACACTATATGAGCAAACATCTTTGCCAGCACATTTTTGTATATTATTTAATAAATGAGAGATATTAATGAAGTCTTTTATCTAAATCTTTCATTTTTGTTAACATAATATATGATAAAATTACTTGAAACTGCTATTCATCGTTGTATCTTCAATGCGTCAAAGCAACAATACAAACACCTCCTTTCTTCTCTACCTCCGCTGAATGTGTCATTTCTACGAGATAATATATGATAAGGAAGATAGTATTACACTATAAAGGTTTTACTTTATAATATAAAATCACTCGTTGTCTACGGTCGAAAATGAATTCATAAGAGAATTTCGATGTCTACCGAAGCCAAAGTCGTGACCCACAAAAGTATTAATAATGCCGATGAACGAGTGCAGGTAAATAACTATTCTTTATCGTTTTAGTTCAATAAATCTACAGTGATCTTTCGTTTTGTCCAAAGTTTCTTTAGCATATATATGTTCATTTGTATATCTATATAAATGGAACGGCCTAAATTTTTCCTCTCTCTCTCTATTCTTTTCTTTAGCGTTGGCGGTCGAGGTCAAAAACACGACAACAATGTTATCGGTTTGTCTATTTGGCAAGCACATACTTTTCTAACATGACTTTTTTTAATCTCGCAACTCCGAAAGAAGATCATATTAATCAGGAGCTTTTTATTATTGATGCATCGGGCAGGTGCAACGATTATTCATTTGAATGACGTCAGATATGAGTAATTCTTACACTCCCAATGCTGTCTTTCCTCTTTTCTGTTCTTTGCTTTTTCATTCGTACAATTACGTAGAACATGCTTTTTACAATGTTTTTTTTATTTGCTTAAGAAGAAATGTAGAATATTTGATGCGTTGTACTTTGACTTGCAAATAATATTATTTCAGATTCTAAATCTAAAAAATTACCCAAAAGAAATGGCAAGTTCATCGACATATAAAGACGAAAGTCATCCATTCGCTGCGGAAAGTACGTTCATATCATCATGAATTTGTAGGAAATTCAACTAAAATCACTTGTACTATCTTTAGCTCGTGTACTTCCCTCAGCCCAAACAACTACCACTTTATCGAGTACGAAACAAAATCTTTCTAGTATTGTGATTGAAATTGATATGTTTTAAAAAGGTGGTGATGCTCGTCGATCTTCTACAGAAGGCATTGGTGTCTGTGGCTGGGTTTTAGTCGTTCTTTCTTACTTCATGGTTGGCATTACATTTCCATTCTCGTTGTGTCTTTGCATCAAGGTTTGTTGGTAATTGGTTCATGATTGTGATTGAAGTTGTTCAATTTCGATAGGTTGTGCAAGAATACGAACGAGCTGTCATTCTTCGTCTTGGTCGTATCATACCAGGTATGAAAATTGGACTGTTCTAATGAAATTCAACGTTTTTCCAAGAGGGACTTGTGTCAATAATAGTTATTCTGAAGAAATTCATTGATTTATTTATACTCTGAATAACATTTTCTCTCCGACAGGCGGTGCAAAGGGTCCGGGTTTATTCTTTATCTTACCATGCGTTGATACAATTATTAAAGTTGATTTACGAACAGCAACTTTCAATGTTCCACCTCAAGAAGTACGGCATGATTGATCCATAAAATTTTCGATAATGAGTAATCTTTGTTATTAGGTATTAACACGTGATTCAGTGACAGTTTCTGTCGACGCTGTTGTTTACAGCCGTGTTTTCAACCCAGTAAGTTGAAAAAGAGATCTTAAAACGGATCGAACTCGTCGATATCTTTTATTTCAGGTCATTAGCGTTACTAATGTTAAAAATACTCAATATGCAACGCAATTACTTGCCCAAACCACCTTACGAAATATTCTCGGCACCAAATCACTTCAAGAAATTCTTACAGATCGTGAAACCATTGCACATAGTATGCAAAGTCATTTAGATGAAGGAACAGACCCATGGGGTGTAAAAGTTGAACGTGTTGAAATGTAAGTTTGAACACGTGAAATCGATTCTTTCCTCAATAACTACTGTATTTGAATATGTAGCAAAGACGTTCGTCTTCCTCAATCGATGCAACGTTCAATGGCTGCTGAAGCTGAAGCAAGTCGTGAGGCACGTGCTAAGGTCATTGCAGCTGAAGGTGAACAAAAAGCATCGCGACAATTGAAAGAAGCAGCCGATGTTATTTCGGAATCACCAATTGCTTTACAATTACGTTATTTACAAACGTTAACACATATCTCTGCAGAGAAAAATTCAACTATCGTTTTTCCAATTCCTGGTTCGTTACGATTTTGTTTTATCTGATTTAGGCGTTCAACTCTGACATTTTCTTTTTCTTCTAGTGGAATTGCTCAGTCTGGTCAAACGATCAACGTAAAAAAGATCCTTTTGGCAATCAAAAACGAAAGACAATCGAAATTATATGTATCACTTTCTTTTTTCAATTTATTTCTTCGATTAATAATAACATGATTGATGATCATTAATTGTATCTTGTTCTAAATGATTTCTAAACGAGATAGACTATTCATTTAAAGAATAGGCGACACGTAAAATACATATCCTCTCGTATTTGACTTCACTGATTAATGATACTTGAATCAAAGAGACACTGATTTCATTAATCTCGAAAGAATCCAACAGAGCATGCCAAAAGAATTTCAGAATTAATTCTGACGATTTTTGTGTATTTATTATAGTCGTTCAAACTTTTCTTTTTGAGACCTCAGGGTTTTGTAACTGATTGAAAACATTCTGACTGGTCTCTCGAGAAAATTAGATGGAGAAAGTCCAGAGCTCAAAGGACAAGTTCTCTGTGTGTTTATCATGTTTTGAAACGTAGGAAATTATTAATAAGTTACATTCTAACTTTTTACATGTGACATATTTACGCAAACTCGAAAAGTATAAGGGTACGCACTGCACTGGTCTTAAAATCCTTGCTTTTCTTTTTTTTCCTTTCCTTTCCTTAAAGAATGCGTTACTAATCAAGCGAAAAACAACTTTCAATCCTCTGATAAACATCACCACTAGCTACAAATTCCTTTAAATATCGACCTTTAAGTTTCTTACCTATTCCAAATTTTCTGACAAATTTCTTTGTTAATCATTTCTACCGATAGCAAAAGGGAAAATGTATTAGGTCATTTTTCCTCTTCAATCTATCTAATCAAAGTTCCCGAACGATCACGTTCGTTCTCTCTATATTTACCAGCTTGTGTAATCATGAATCCGTCGGTAAAGTCTTATATACATAAGCATTCTGGTTTCTAACATCAAAAACAAAGAACTGTGTCCCTCTTCTCGTTTCTAACGTCCTGTTTGAAAAAGACTACGTCAAAGGTGAAACAAATAAAATTTCTCTCTCTCTCTCTATCGGATACGACGTTTGATGTATTCATAATTATCATCGTCACTATCGCTTCTTCTAGTCATTCACGTCAACAGAAAAAGCGCTCTCTTGGAAACCAAGCTCGTCATTTTAATATAAAAAGACGAAGCAAAAAAACATCATTTTCCAAACAGCATTCATATGGCAACATCACCATCGTTCGAAGATAGAATTCACGCATCGCCTACAGGAAGTTAGTATGCTTATAACAGAATACAAAAAAGAAGAAAGAAAAAGAATTAATCTACATTATTTAAAGATCGTGTTCATCCAACAACCATAACAATGCCGGCTAACCGAGAAGCAAATATCCCGAGTATTGTCAATTTGTTTGAATTTAACTGAAAATACGATAAGCGTTTGTTTTAGTTAATGATGATTCAGACAAATCGTCGGAAAGTGGATTTGACGTTTGTGGGTGGATTATCATCGCCTGTTCATACATTTTAATTGTCCTCACGTTTCCGATAACATTATTCTTTTGCATCAATGTTTGTAGCTAAAGTAGATCAGTACAGAAAAGTTGTAAACGATTTGTTTTAGGTTGTTCAAGAGTACCAACGCGCTGTTATCTTTCGACTTGGACGTATTTTAGCAGGTTCGCATAGCGGATTTCACTCGATGTTAAAGGATGTGAAGGTTTGTTTTGTTTCAGGTGGTGCTAAAGGTCCGGGTTTATTTTTTATTTTACCTTGCGTGGATACTATAGTAAAAGTCGATCTACGAACTACTACATTCAATGTTCCACCTCAAGAAGTAATTACTTTTACATTTTAACCATGCAATTTTAACATTCTCTCCTAGGTTTTAACGCGCGATTCAGTGACAGTTTCTGTTGATGCCGTGGTTTATAGTCGTATTATTGATCCAGTATGCTATTGCCTATGTATTCTGAACGTAACAATTATGTCTGTCTAAACCATTTTCAGGTTACATCTGTAACTAAGGTCAACAATGTCTATTCCGCTACCCAATTACTTGCCCAGACAACATTGAGAAACATGCTTGGTACCAAAACTTTGCAAGATATTCTCAGCGATCGAGAAGCTATTGCTAATTTGATGGAAGCTCAATTAGATGAAGGAAGTTCGCCATGGGGTATTAAAGTTGAACGTGTTGAAATGTAAGTTAATGTATTTTTTGCTTGCGATTCTCGCGATTGTAATATATTTGTTCAGTACGGATGTTCGTCTTCCTCAATCGATGCAACGTTCAATGGCTGCTGAAGCTGAAGCAAGTCGTGAGGCACGTGCTAAAGTCATTGCAGCTGAAGGTGAACAAAAAGCATCGCGACAATTGAAAGAAGCAGCTGATGTCATATCATCATCGCCAGTTGCTTTACAATTACGTTATTTACAAACGTTGACACAAATTTCAGCTGAAAAGAATTCGACTATTGTTTTTCCCATACCTGGTAAGTTCATTTCGTCAACTATGGCAATTCTATTTGAAGTGCACTTTTTACTTTTAGTGGAATTACTTAATTTAGTCAGACAGGGACGTTAGATCGTCGACATAATTAATATTCTTTGCTTTTTCATACTTCATATTTAATTTTCACATATTGCTTCATGTCAGTACTATATCAAATTGTTATTTAATGAAAAAATTCTTATTTTATGTCTTGAATTTGAAATCTGAACACTTGGTTTTTCTTTCACTACATTTAACAAACAATTTTATTGTGCATATATATGTAAAAGTTTACAGAAAATCTCGCGATTACTTCTCTAAACCCCACCGGTCACTGATGAGTGGCTTTCGAATTCACGATATTACTTCATTGGGATTCGGTATGAGAAAATATTCGCTTGTTAACGTACCACAATTCGACATATCGTAATTAATCATTGGCGGAGATTCCGAAGACACATTACTGATCAATGTTGGACACAAACTTTCGACACTCAGGGTTGAATGTCGTGTTGGATTCGATTGTTGAGGCGATGAATGATTCTTGCTGGTGAGATTCTCACATGAAGCTGTGAGATTGCGTTTAATATATGCAGCCATGAATGCGCGTTGTTGTTCTTTTGACAAGGACAGACATTTAAATGTCATTCTATTAATCTAGTACGAACAAAGAAAATGAGATGTTAAATCATTTCATTTAGTTGATTTCTTTTTCAATTAGTTCTCACTTGATTCGAATGAGCTTTTGCTTTTCGTGGCGCTGCTGGTTCGGTTTGATGGTGATAGAACAATCGTTCGTAGAGAAATGGACCGATGAATGCATACGCAAAAAACAATGTTCCATAAGCGAGAATATAATTCGAATTCATATAGAATGTGTAGAGAGATTTCGATGGAAGAAACAGATATAGACAAGCCCAAGTTATTGTGACACATAGAGCAAGAAGGCTAGTTAATAAGTAAACAAAATCGAATGATTGATTATGGAAATGATATCGGACACTTGATTGGAGGGAGTAGAGAAAAAGAAGAAAGAAATTGAATAATAAGGAACATAAAAATAGTGGTCGTGGACATTCGTTTGTACATAGATCAACAATCTGTTGATTATTGTTGTTGTTGTTGTAGAACCAGATGAGAAGGATCGCTGTTTGAATTAAAACACCAAGAAAAAAGATCAGGAATGAACTAATGGCAATAAGACAAGATTTTCGCAATGGATTTGTTAGTTTCAATAACCATTCATAAGCAAAATGTACATTCAAGCCGAGTAGTAAACAAAACGGCAGAATTTGCAATGATAATGTTTGAGTAGGACATACAACGTTTACGGATGCTGATGGCCGAAAAAGGAACGTAATTGGAGATATTAATAACAGAAAAAGTGCAAATTGAGCAAAATATATATAAACATTTGATAACGATGTAGGCGAATTTCGTATAAAAGTAAAAATGTAAGCAAAGTAGAGGATCAGGCCAATAATGCTTAAACCAATGAGACCATACGATGGGAGATCAGTTACAAAGATGAGTGAAGAAAGCGAAGGCGATGAACCGTTAATACAAGCCATCGATTGAAAGTTTGAGCAAACCGAATTCTATCTTAAAAAAGAACAAGACTCATCTACTAAATATAATTCATAGAGATGTTCATATATCTTCAATCACTAGATTATGTATGTACATACACATACATTTAGTCAAATACATGTACATCACATCATTGAATATATTGTTCTATGTAGTATTGGTGACGCTCGCTCACTAATGACACTTGAAAATAGTTCAACTGTTGGTATAGGTTTGTATTTGTTCTCTCTCTCTCCCTCTTTTTTTTCTTTCTCTCGTTCGACATTTGTCTCCAAGCTCGTAACGGATCTTTTCTCCTTCGTCTATCTCTCCTATATTACACAGTCGCCCACCGACATGTCACTGTCTACAACAACGACGACGCAACCAGAGAACAATTACAAAATTTGAACTTCTATACATTTTCGTCTTTTTCTTTGCTTGACGTAACACACATCATATCATTTTATTCTTTGTCCATACAGTCGTTTGAAAAGTTTCGTTTGTTCTTTACTTAACAGCATACCGTTATTAAAAAAAAAGAAATCTATTTCAGTGCAAGTTACCTTTTACATTATTCTTCATGCTTGATATTCCTACCGATTTCTTTCTATCTGTCCCTTGTAAAGGGCTTCACATGTATGCCTCATCTTTTCATTATTATTTCTTTTTATATTTGTATATCATTAATCCTGTTATTTCGCACTCACTTTTCTCTCTCTCTCTCTGTCCTATATAGGACAAAGACTTATTTCGTAGATATGTCGATTAACGAGTTGGTGATAAACGAAGGAAAAAGAAAGAAATATGGTCAGGTATTTGACATGTTCATAATGACCTTGCATGTGAAAACAAAGCACAAGATCGATGATGACCGATTGCGGAGGACGATTGAAAGGCGTAACATGATGATCAGGCGATTATACATGTGTTTAGTTCTTTTTGACTTCAATAGAAAATGTTCGAAATGAAAGTTATGTGAGAGATGTGTAGAATTGAAGGTGATTACTTTAATGAAAAAAAAATGTAGGAATTCTTTTGATTTCCCTTGAGAAATAAATTTTAATTATACATCTGTTCCTGTGGATATTTATATAGTTATTGGAGTCCTTTTCTTCTTTTGATCAGACGGAGGACACAAAAAAAAAGGAAATTCATTGAGGTATAAATTTCATTGAAAAAATGTACTTGTATCAGACAAGTAGAATCTTATTTCGACTTTCCTCGTTTTTTTTCAATATAAGAGTTTACTTGCAGGTAAGCGTTTCGTACAAATAAATGCAAATCGGTAAATAATCTTGATTTACCTTTAGTTTCTCTTTATGAAATTATCAAGATCGACTTAGAGATTATTTGAATAGGAAAAAGAACTGATTGTTAACATTTTTCTTCTCGTTCGTCTGCTGCTGTGAACTCCGATCAGTATTCAATTCAACGGCATTTATTTGAAGAAGTATTATATCAATAAAACGCAATAAGATGCACTTAATATGCCCTAAGACATAAATGTTGTGCAAGCCCTTTCAAGCACATCCCATTCTATTGAATAGCAAAACAAATATTTTTCTCGATTGTGTCAGAACTAACTTAATTGTTCGACTAGGAAGGACACCCGAGTGAATATAAGAAAATACGTCATCTCGATAACATCTATTTAAGTGAAAATATGTGAAAACTATAATTAACTATTAGACAAAACGTCGTGTCTCGATCGATCAGACAGTATGACACGTAATTGATGCTTTTGTTCATTGCAATAACAATATACATGAAATGATCGTAAGACATTGCAATGTAGAAATAATATTTGTCTTAATGATGTTTTTGAAAGTGTTTGTGAATATTGAATTTCAAGTTTTTGTTTATATATATCGATTAATTGCTGTTCAGAGTAATTTATTGCCAACGATAGACAGATCAGTTTCAACACACTATGTTATTAAATGAGCGTCTTTTTGGTTAGCTGATGGATTAACTAAAAATCCAAACATGTAAGTATATTTGAAAGAAAAACGGCAACAACTAAGAGACAAAACATGGAATAAGCACCGGGAATGATCAAGTAGTCGTATCACCGACTTTTACTCGTTTCGTTGCATCCTGTTCGTTATCCTTATGAGATGGTAGAGAAATCGTTAGTGAACAAAAAGAAGAATTTTCCACTTACAGTTGTGAGAATGGGTGGAGGTCGTTTTAGTTTGATCGGAGCGGTACCTTGATTCCCTGATTTTTGGATTGTGACTGTATAAATTCCTCGATCTGATTCATGTTTTTCACCATGAACTTGATCCTCCGACTCATCCACCGATGGTGCTGGTCGTTTAACCACATAGACTTTATCTGTACTTCTAAAATACGATTTTTTGTTCATTTTCAGAGAATATGAAGAACACTTGAGACGAACTCGGACTCTACGGCTAATGGTCGTTTTCCGCTGCCGTGTCTTTCCTGAATATTTGTGAGAATCGTACCCAAACGATTTGTACGGAATTTTCTTTGTGGCAAAGGTGCGACATATTTATAAAACAATTGAATCAATTCATATTTACTATCAGGTAGATCAAATCCAACCACCTAATACAAAAAATCGCAATATTTCATATAAAAATCCAATTATCGATTTACTTTTGATAACTGAGTTCGCAACTGTTCGATTGTTAAAATCTCCGGATGTGTCAAATCGATATTCATCTATAAATAAAGTTTTCTTCTCTTATTTGTTTTATCCCAAATAACAAAAAAAACATATGCTCAACAATGAGTTACATGCCTATCACAAAGAAGTAACCGAAAACAATAACCAATAGTCAATCTGATAAATAATAAAAGGAACATTGAAAAAAATTTGAAAATGAAAAATCTCAATGTGATCATCAAGTTTATTCTAAGGTGTCGAAGACGAATTCATTATCGGCCTTGTCTTTGTTCGATTTGATTATAGCGTTGGACAATATTCAAAAATGAATTCGTCGTTTGGAGTTGTTTGTATGAGTCAATCATTCTACAAAACATATTGATGAAGAAATTCAGCTGATTGAATCATTTTGCTCACATAAATTCGGTTAAGCGTGTCTGCCACGGATGTAAACCAAGAGAACTTTTAACAGATCCAACAATTACTGCCAAGTTTATTTCCGGAATACTGGAAAGTTCTATAGCGAAATAAACACGTGTTTAGAATCTGATAAACACGAAGGAATTTGTTTACTTGTATAACACTGATCGACTGTATCGACTTGGATCGAATCAGATTTGATTTCACCTTGTTTTACCTGTTGACACAGAGTTTGAGCAACTTTTGTTAATGTTTGACTGCAGTCTGTCAGTGATAGGAAGTGAAGTGTTGGTAATGGAAGAGATGATTGGTCTGAAAGAGTCGAATGTATTAACAGTTTGCTTTGAAAAGATCCAATAGACTACAAACATTTCTTATCATACGCCTGAATGTAATCCATAATCGATGTTTCTCGAGCTTTGATGTAACCTAAGCGAGGAGATCGGATGAGTTTTCTCTTTTCTCAAAGATGTAATCCTTTGAATTACCTTCATAATCATAGATAATCAAATGTTGGATATTTAGTCTGCGAAAGAACACGATCGAATTGACAATAAATTTCCACAGGTCGACATCTGGTATCCGTTCATTAATGATCAAAGCTAAGACGTCTGTTGGTTTATTAAATTGGATTTTCTCCATTTGAGAAACATTCGTATTGGATGGATCATTTCGGATGACATCAATCTTCACTTTGACGATATAACAATTGCGACTAATATTTTGAACGATATATCGATGAAACCATTGTGTGAAATTTAGAAAACACAGAATTATTGCTATTAAACAACGATATACTATGGATACAGCGATCATCTTAAGAAATATACAGATTTGAAAGAGAGATATAGTGATAAACAGTAATCTTTCGAAATATTAGTTGGCTTTTTTTTTTAAGTTGAATCATATCATACAAAAAAAGGCGAGAAGAAAGCACAGAGAACTATATTTTCAATGTTTACGTCGTCGATCATCGTGTTTTCGTTGATCAGAGTGATGGTGATTAGAAGATTTTTTCTTTCTATGTGAAGATGAAGGTGACGATGATGAAGAAGAAGAAGAGGAATGACGACGATGTTTTTTGTGGTGATTTTTCTTATCTTTGCCTTCACGAGATGTTGAACGACTTCGTTCGCGTGTAGATTTCTTTGTTTTACTTTTAGTCGATTTCGTCTCTTTAGTATTTTCACTAGGTTTGATGGGAGTTTTGCTTGGAGCTAAATCAAAAACACACACGTATGAAAATTGACACGAGACTGAAGTTGTTCCTTAGGGATGATGCAAATCGGATGTGTCTTCCGCTACATTTCAGTAGAAAGCGAAGTTTTGACTTGCTTACCAGGATTCTGTTTTGTAGGTGTGAGATTGGGCGTTTTCGATATCACAGTTGAATTTATAATGGATTGAACATGCTTTTCTTCATCATCTGAATCACTTTCCGAAAAACCTGGAATAAAATGTATTGTCTTCACAATGAAGGAGCGATTGGTCTTTCATTACTTTGTATTAGACTCGTTAATCCAGAAGCTTTGCGGATGACAGGTGTGGAGGATTCCGCTGAAAAACAGAAATGAGTGATATGAGACTCTGAAATCGAAGAAACTTTTCTTTTACCTTTACAATTGATATAGACTTCTTTAGCGAGCAATGCTATTTCCTCATTCGTTACTTCTAGCAATAGATCTGTCAGTACTCGACGCAATTTGATCATCTGAAAGGCTCAAAATAATCATTAGAGATAACGAAAACTATGTATTACGTACGAATTGTTCTTCGCCATCGAGAGGATCATCTTCGATCAAAGTGGCTGTTGCCGTGGATGAAGCTGGTGGTGGAGATGGCAAATGTGTTCGTCTTGGGATTACACTGACATCGAGCTGTTGATCCGTCGATTTGTCATCATCCTTTGAAATGTTAGAAGAAAATAAGATCATAGTGAACACATTGTTCTATTTTTTCAAATGTCCAATCACGATAACCCACAAATCGACTTCGACGAGTGGTAATTGGTGTTGAAGAAACCAGTTCTGAATTCGAATCTTCATCCTCGTTGTCTTCGTATTGATCTTCATCGTTGTCTTGGTCGAAAACTGTTGACGCTTCTTGAGGTAAACGAGCTGTTTGTTCATTGGAATCTTCGTCTTCGTCGTCATCGAATTTCTTCACAAATCAAATTAAATTTAGGAAAAAATTTGTAGTTTAATCCCTTTTTAAAGCGAAACAGTCATACATACCGATGAAATATCATTTGTAGACACACTGTTATTATTATTATTGTTACTACTGCTGCTAAGATTACTTGTATTTTGTATTTTCTTCTCCTTTTCTTTTTCCATTCGACCTAGTGCGTCTCGTAGCCAAGGGGGAATTTTTCGCCGCTTTGCGCTCGCGTTACCATCACTAGGTTTGTCAGGTATGGTTCTCAAAGTCGATTCATCTGCAAATACATCAAATAAGTATGTTATAGAACTTATGCACAAGAAAGAAAGCATCTGTGAACAATTATCACAATTTTCTATTAGTACATACTCGGTAGTATAGATACAGGTGGTACAGGTGCTGGTGGAGGTACACTTTTCGACGCATAAGATGTAGGAAGATCCATTAGAGATGGTATGGATGTATTCAAACTCGTGTTTATATTCCTTTTTTCAACAGGTCGATGTTGAAATGAAGGCATAGGAAATTGTGGTGGCATCGGAGACAAATTAGGTGGCACTGGTGGTGGAATTGGAGGCGGAAGAGGAGGTGGCGGAACTTGCTGACCAGTGTTACCTGGCGGCCAAAACTTTCCACTGCTAAATGACGGTGCTATTTCCTACAAAAATCAATCTTTCATCGTCAATGCAATATAGGAAGCTTCTGTTTACGAACTGTTTGTATGTGAAACATTGGTTGATTGTGATTCGTAGTCGGTCTCCATTGGGGCGCATTTGACGTCACAAATGAAGGTGGTGGTGGCGGCGGTAGGATGAGTGGAGGCATTGGTGATCTCCAATGTTGATCTAAATATGAGATGAAATGTTAATCATGTCAGCAAGAGTGCTATTGAAACTATAGGTGCTTGTATTCTTCTTGTCTGTTTTCTTTCGTCTTCATATCTCTTCTTTTCATATGGTTTGAAAAGTTAAAGTGAAGACTTACTTTCGATGTTTGTCATCGTAAAACTTTCCTGAGTGGTATTTGAACCAACCTGTAGCTGGTGATGGTGTGAAACCATGCCCATCTGTGCTGGTAGTGGTAACGGTGCAAACGGCATTCCGATTGGAGGTGGACCAGGTGGTGGAATCGGTGGCGCGTTAAGTAAGAGCTGAGGAGGGGGAGGCGGAGGTGCAGGTGGAAGTGGTTGTTGCCAATGTGCTTGTTGTTCCCTCTGTTGCAGCCAAGTGTCCGCTAGCGCACTCCAATCGACTAAAAGGAAGAAAAGAGACCAAGATTTGGTGTACAAGGCACTCGAATAGTACCAACCATCGGAGTTCGGTGTATTCTGATGTAAAGGCCAGTTTTTATTGTACATTTTGTCTGATGCAATAATTAAATAAGGAAAGAATTGATGTTGATATGACAAACTTGCTTTATTTCTTTCTTTCTTTCTTTCTTCTACTATCATTCACACATGCTTACACGATGCTATGCTATTCGTCTATTCAATGCAGCCATTGATCGATAACAGATGGCGTTTACTTCTTTTGATAGAAAATTTAATTGCAGAAAGCATAATTCTCTCTCATTTTAATGAAAAAACTCAATTCAGAGCTATCAAAACGACATCATCATCAAAATGATTTCTCTCTATGACTCATCTACAATGCAAATCGGAAAATACTGTAAGCTGTTCGAGCATAACGAATTTTCTATTTTCCCGTCTTCTGCTCATCATTTATCATGTCATCACATGGATATGATGATGGTGAATATCTCACATGTCCATTCAATTCAGCACATAAGGTGATTTCTAATCATTTTAAACATCATATTCTTCGATGTTCTCAAGTCAGCTATAGAAATAACACTGAAGTGAAATATACCCATTTTCTTTATGTTTGCTTAGCATCATCCCGAAATGAAAACAATCAAATGTCTTTTCAACGGTGCACATAAAATTACACCTCTGCATTACCATGATCATCTCTGTGAATGTCCAGATAGTCCCTCGTGTTGATTACATTTCTTTTCCAGATTTAATAAAACCTTTTGCATAGATTTCAATCTTCTCTTCTAGATTTCATCGTTCTAGATAATCATGTCGCTCTACTGTGATCCTGATGACTTTTGGTAAAAAAGAATATTTGTTGTAAACAATGGTGTTTCTAATCGACAACTTTCAACTAGGCTTTGTCCATATCATCCTGATCATAAAGTACTAGCAAAACGGTTTCAATATCATGTTATGCGATGTGCAAAGGTAGGAAGTGAAATGAAATGTAACAAAAATAAACATTCACTGCCGTTTAACAAGGCTTACCCACACATTCGTCGTGTAAAATGTTCCTTCAATGCAACACACTTAACCACACCAAGTGAACTATTCAAACATATGTCAACTTGTCCAGATAATCAAGCTGTGCATGATGCTATCGCCAGAGGAATGGGAGATTTCAGTAAGGATTTTCTTTCCCCATACCGATATTTATCTTCTGCATTTCGTTAGACTGGGAAGATAGCACGACGGATAAATGCGAACGACAAATGGCCACCGCGATGAATGGTGAAGATTGGGATCGTGAAGCACATACAGGAAATATTTTTAATGAAGATGAGTTACGACAATTGAATGGGTAAGATATATTTGCTGGGAGTATGGCTGTCGATGTTCATCGCTCGAATTTGTTCTAGACAAAATGAAATGTGGTCGAATTCTGTAACACCGTAAAGAAAAATTTTGTCTAAAATTGATTGTTCCGAATAATTTTTGTTTCGGATAGTGCGGTACCAAGCGGAGCAGCATCCTCACGTCCCCAATCATCTTACTTGGACCGTGATGGTGCATTTTCATCACGACCAGTAACTGAATCACCCAAAGTGTCACATACTGTCGCTTCATTCGAACCAAAACGAACTAGTGCTCGTAAGAAGATGTTCACCTATTTATTTTCAAATTCTTTTCCTCTTGTTACGATTAGATATGTTCGGTGGAGGACTAAACCAAATGAACAATATGACAGATGCCAGTCTCGAGTATGACTCTTTTGATTTCCATATTAATCTTGACGATTTTTCGTAGTTCACAATTTGAAAATATACGCCGGAATATGTTGGCTACTGGCGTTGGTCGTGGTCGATTACCAACAACTCACAATTCATCTTCATTTAGCAACCGTTCAGTTCTACATGTATGGTGATTCTTTAAACATTTCATAGGCATCTTCGATTGATTATCTGTTCTTTTTAGAGATCATAATTTGCTGTCAATTCAGATTCGATAAGAATCAAGTTCTTTCATTTCTTTGGTGCATCTCAAAATACTTTTGTCTGGTTTTTTTTCTGTATTATTGCGTTAGTTCAGTTCTTTTTCGTATCTATGATGTTGTATTTTTTCCAGTAACAAAAAGCAACTTTCATCTAGTTCACTTCCTTCATTTATCAAAATAAATCTATGTTTTGTAGATGGCAACATTAATGAATGATTTACAACGATATTTGGATGACTTCAATGAAGGTGTGTTTGCAATGAATAGTTCAGCTTTGTGTAGTTTATTAAGTATACGACATAAGAGTCATGTAGACAAATTTTCAGCACCAAACACATGTGATTTGTTTGAAAAATACGGTCGCATTGTTCAAGGTTGGAACGTAGTTCTAACAAATCATATCAAAATTTGTCAAACACTCTTATATAAAAGTCGTTTGAATGATATTATACAATACCAATATCAACTCTGTCGATCGTTACTTGACCTAGTTAAGGAAAGCAAGAATAAAAACTGGCATATTCCAATTCTAATCTTAACTTTGACTGAACTCCGTCTATTAGCCAATTATTTTACCAAATTTATTACGAATGATCATGACAATAGTACAAATACAGCTACTGAACGTATTGCAGACCTATCTATTGATAACGATCGACAAACGTCGGAAGCAAATGTGAACAAAACAATCGAACTATTAACTGAGGCATTTCGTGTGTGTACAAGTGATCGATGTGCTGAGCAGCGTCTGTCGAAAAAATGGGGTGCAATACAAATCTTAAATCAATTGCTTAAATTATGTCATCGGATAAAACGTTATGAACTTGGCGAACAGTTACTTTCCTTCGCCGAACAATCATTAGAATATCGACATTACCTGTTAGAAGATCAGAAAATGACTTATGAGTACTTCTTAGGTAAATTCAAGCGGAAAATGTGTACTACGATATGATTATTCTCTTTAGGGAAATCTTATTTGTTGAAAGATGATTATCGGAAAGCTAGTGAATGTTTTGATACAAATTTCCAACGTTGTCCTCGATTTATGAAGAGAAATAAAGCATCGATTTTAATTCATTTATGTATATCGAAGATGCAGTTTGGTTATACACCATCATTATCCATCGTAGCGAAGTACAAACTAAATGAATTTCATGATTTACTTCTTGCAATCAAACAAGGTCAATTATATACGTTCGATCAGCTATTAAAGACGATTCATCATAAATATTTCTTATCCAAAGGTTTACTACTTCACGTGGAGACGTTATATCTACTTGTCGTGCGCAATCTTTTCCGTCAAGTTTGGTTAGCGTTGAATAAAGAGAACAAAATTTCAATTGAAATATTTACACGAGCAATCGAGTGGAGCAATCATGGCGAAGCATGTGATCCATTACAATGTGCGACTCTATTAGCAACGTTGATTAGTCAAAGTCGTGTTAAAGCTTACATATCTTATAAACATATGACCGTTGTCTTAAGTAAAGAAGATCCATTTCCTAAACTTCAATAAATCACTGAATGTATCTGTACTTTTATAATATCATATATAAAGTTAACAAATCTAACTGAATACACATCGATTTTTTTAAATTAGATAATTGACAAGTATCGATCGATATGAAAACGTGTCAGTTCTTGTTGTATTCGCTAGAGATCAAAGAATGTACAGTGTCAAGTGAACAAACTCCATCGTGTCATTTTATTAGTAAAATAATTCATTTGTCAAGAATGAAAAGAGAAAAATAAACATTAGATCACAAACGTCGCTTTGTTTTCTTTGGTACTTTAATAAGTCCGTGTTTACGCGCTAATTGTAAAGCATCATTGAGTTCCACACATGCTCGATAATCTTCCAAGGCCTCTTTATGTTTACCCTCTTGTTTCGATCTTGCATCGCCTCGCCACTTCAATACAGCCGGATCACACGGTCGAATATATAACGCTTGAGTAAAATGTTCCTCAGCGACAGCGGGTTCGTCCATTGTTAAAAGTAATTGACCAAGATCAACATGAATATGAGCACTCAACGGAGAAATGCTCAAAGCCTGTTCCAAATCTTGTCGAGCACTTGTATACTGTTTAAGAACAATTTTCGCAATGGCACGATTTGTTAGAGCAGCTTCATCCCGTGGGTTGATCTCTAAAACGCGATCAAATAGACCGATTGCTTGAAGGAATTGCCCGTGAAACATAAGTATATTTCCAGCATTGTAATGTGCAAAGGCATTTTGTGGATCAGCAAGCATTGCTGCGCGATAATCACACATTGCACTTCGATTATCACCTAAAAATTGTTGAATTACACCGCGATTTGTTAATAATTGAGCTGATGACGGTTCGAAATGTAAAGCTTGATTCAAATCAATAAATGCTTCTCGTGGATGATTCATTTGTAAGCAAACAATCGCTCGTGCTTCTAACGCACGTACATGCCGAGGATTAATACGAAGGAGTGCTGAGAATTGCAACCATGCTCGTTGATAATACGCACGTTGTCGTAATGAATAACCTAGATTCAATCGTGCATGTTCCTGTAATGGATTTTCGTGAATAACACGTTCGAATAATTTCGTCGCTTTCGCTCTCGATTTCTCATCAGGCATATCCATATAGACATTACCAAGAGCAATCCATACATCGTGCCGATAGGAAGCGTCAGTCGTAAATCGATCGGCAATTTCGGACGAAGTAAATTGTGCGATGGCTTTATCGAATTGTGCCAATCGATGATGACACTGTCCAATAGTGTATATCAATCGATGTTTTAATGTATAAATCTTCTTATCTTCACCTGATTCGAGAACTAGATTCAGTGCATGTTCGAAGTCAACTAGTGCGTTTTGAAAATCTTTATGATCGTAATGTAAGAGACCACGATTGACATACGTTTCTAATTCCAATAACTGAGTTTTACTACTTCTGATCGATGACGCAAGACACAGAACAATAGCGAAATCTTTCAATGCATGCGAAAGATTGCCACGACGAATGTAACATAGAGCACGATTATAGTAACCATGTGAACAGGATGGATCGATTTGCAAAGCTTTGGTTAGATCATTAATCGCATGATCATATAAACGAATGGAATATTTCAAGCAACCACGATAGAGATAAGCACGAACTAGATTCGGACATAGACGAATTGCTTCATTGCAATTTAGTACACCTTTTGAGTAACGTTCACATCGCCCGTACCTAAAATACATTAGAATAGAAAGGATATAGTACATTTTGTCTTAGAGTACTAACCAAGCAGCTCGTGCAAGATAAGCTTCGGCATTGTTCGGTTCAATCACAAGCGCTTTATTGATGTCCAATAATGGTCGACGACTTGATGATAGTTTTGCTAATTCTTGAGGACTGTAATGAGCAAACATGCGCATTTTAGCAATACCACGTTGTAGATAAGCTTCAGCGCTTTGATTTGGATATTGTAGTTTTAGTAGCGCAGTCAACTGGTCAACAGCTTGAGAATAACGTTTTAATTGTATGAGACATTTACTTAAATCCAGATAGACACCATGAAGTTCACCTTTCTGATCGGCGACATTATTCAAACAAGCTTGTATACATTTTTCATAGGCCTCTCGGGCTTCATCGAATCGTTTCGCTTTGACACGTAGTCCACCCAGCATACGCCAGTTAACTGGTGTCGGCGAAAGTGAACATTCATATTCCATAATCGAGAGTGCACGATCATAATGTTCAAGAAATGCGTGAACGATAGCTTGCTGTTGAGGACTTGATGCGTTCATTTTCATCGCTGATGGTAGACTATCTTCTTCTGATCCGGATAATGATTGTAAACTCGCTGCAACTTCAACGCAAAACGACGCTAGATCCAGTTGTCCCATTTGTAAAAGCATATTGCCTCGCAATACCACTGATGAATTCTGATCCGGAAACATGTGATATACTAAAAAGCAAAGATTTGTTGTTTGTTAAAATCAAACATTGATTTAATCGACTTACTTTTCGTGTAATCTGAGTATGCCTGTTGATACTGATTGAGTTGACTGTAGAAGTAAGCACGACAAAAGTAAGCTCGAACATACGTTGGATCAGCTTGGATCGACCGTGTGAACAACTGAATTGCTTTTTGAGCATTTTTCCTCATGTAGATAATCGCCAAATTGCAAAGTGCAGGTGCATGTTCTCGATCGAGCACAATTACTGCTTCATAATCAGCAATCGCTTCTTCAAATTGATTTTCTTTACAATAGAGTAAAGCTCGATGAAGATAAGCACCCACATTATCATACTCAGGATTCAATAGCAATGATATACTGAAATCTCTCAGTGCTTGATGTGGATTACATGCACGAAGCAGTAGACCACGATAATAATAAGCCATCCAATTCGACGGATCATAATGAAGTGTAGCAGAAAAATCATTTAAAGCATATTGGTATTCTTCAAGGTAAAAATTTGATAGAGCACGATGAAGACGCGCAGATACATGATCTGGTTGTCGTTTCAGTAATTCATTGAAATCGCCAATAGCATTGTCATAATTGGCAGAATTATAATAATACATTGCATGTTTATACCTAGGAAAATCAACCGATTTATCCCTTCAAATTTGATATTCAATCATCAGACTTACCAAGCTTCGATGTTCTTTGGATTTAATCGTGTCACCTGTACGTAATCATCCATAGCTAAAAGAATCTCATTTCGTCGTTCATAAGTTTGTGCTCGTCGAAAATATGATTCATGATCTGTTGGATTATATCGAATAGCTTGCGAATAATTTGCATTCGCCAAAGCTAAATCACCCTTGATTGCATGAACATCAGCACGTAGTTTATAAGCGCCAGCATGCGTTTTATTGAATTTAATACACATATTCAACGAGTCTAATGCTTCATCGTAATGTTCGAAAATTATATAGATAAGTGCACGTTGCCAATAAGCATCCATAAATGATGGTTCGATATAGATAGCTAATGAGAGATCGTTGAGAGCATCGTGAAATAAACCGAGTTTACGAAATAGAGCACCTCGTCGACTTAAACTAAATACGTCACGTGGATCACGATTGATTAATGCAGTAAGACGATGGATTTCATTTTCAATCAAACGACGTTCTTCACTGTCAGCTAATTCAAGATTAACAATTGGTTCGCCATGCGTACCTGTCCCTCGTCGAGATGTACCCTCTTCATCGTCATCGTCGTCATATGCTGTTGCTACCAATGATCCATTGGCTGGTGGACTGGTGCTCTGTTTTTTGGTATCAGTTTCTTGCCGTTTGAATTCTTGTTTATCTAGTTCAGCAATGTATTCATCTAACCAAGTGTACCAGAGATCACGTGTCCATTCGAATTCGCTCAACTGACGCTTTCCGGCTGACTTTACGCGCGTTTTACCATAGTCATATTTTGTCTTGATAATGCCATCGAATGTTTGTTTTCCATGCTCGAGACTGGTGTTGCGTTGACGAAATTGCTGTTTGACTACATGTGGATGATTTCGTTCGTAGAAAAATGCTTCGTGAAATGATTCTCGACGTGACAGAATAGGATAGCGTGGTGGAGCAGAAGCGAGAGCTGCAATAGCATCGATGCGTTCCCAATATTGTGCATCTTTTCGAGAACGTCGTGTCGCTCGTAGATGACCACTCGAGATGTAGGGACGACCAGCTGCAAGTGCTTGTTCATAGTGTGCTGAACGATTCGTCTTACGAAAATATTTGAAATCTGTAGATGATGTTTCTGCACTTTGATCAACAGCTGGTTCTATGAACAAAAGAAGAAGAGAAGTGTTGCATTGAGATGATGACTAATCATCATCGTTCTTACCCGGAGTTGCTTTGATATTGGTGATTTCCGCGGGTTCGGGTGTGAGAACCAAAACTTCTTTATTCGGAAGTGGAGCTACTGCAACAGCTTCCGTTTTCACGACTTTTCGAGCTTCCGTCTGATGTTTCGTTTCATTCAAAGTAAATATATAATCAGTATCGAAGCTGACCGAAGGTTCTGCTGTTAAATTTGAACACGAACGTGTTGAACGAATCATTCGCGGAAGCATTTGAAATTCCTCATTGGAATCGATAGTAGATGGTAGACGTTCTAAGGATTTGTATGATCGAATTATCGGAGGAACAATCTGTTCTTCGATGGATGTTTCTCGCTCACTGAATGTCGTTATCATTCTTGCTAATTCACTAGTGTTTGCAGAAGTTTTCTCTTCGACATCGTCGTCATCGTCACTAAGACCTTTCGAATGAGCAGACGATGAATATTGAGGGAAAAGACGTTCTCTAACACGACGTGGATGAATATACATTTTCGGTGGCGCCGGCGCCCATAGACGAATTAAATAAGGATCTTGGGTTATAGCAGATGTACCTTCAACTTTCGGTTGAACTAATTTAGCAGCACGATTTTGCCATACATTAAGATCAGTGTCCAATGATTCGAGATTGTCAAATGGAATCGATGGAACGCCAGATCGAACTCGTTGCAGACTAAAAGAAGACATACATTCGAATCGAAACCTTTGTCGTAATCAATGACGACTTACACTTTAGACTTTTCTTTTCGCTCTTCTTCTTCATTTATTTCTTTGGGAGGATAATTCGGTAATTCGCCATGTTTATGATAGGTTGTACTAAACGGAAGTTGATGTCGAAATCGAGCACGTGTGTGATACAATTGAGTGATTGCGCGTATTTCTTTCGGTAAGACATCAGCTTCATCAACCATTTGAATGCAGAAATGATGAACGTTCGGACCTGTCGATTCCAGTGGTTTCGTTGCTCGTCGTTGATTCTTTTTTACCAATGTCGACGGAACATTTATTTGAGTGCCACGAACATTAAGAATATCTTCGTTTGTAACTTCTAACAGTGTATGATAGTAGAGTGGATCACGTGTAATATCAATTTCTTCATCTTCATCCACAAATTCACTTGTACCAATAGTTCTATCACGCTCATCGATATCTTCGTCCTGTACATCTTCGTCTTCTTCTTGCTCATCTTTGTCCCGTTGATTTTGGTCAAGTTCAACTTGATCGTTGCTTCTAATACCATCAGCTGCTCGACTGACAATGGTAGCATCTTCTTCGTCCATCTCTTCCTCTTCTGCACCAACATCCGTCGATCTACCTATTTCAGAATCTTCTCTAGCTACATCTTGCTGTTCGATTCTTTCATATTCATCTTCATCGTAAACAAGATCAACAGTTCTGCCAAGTACACGATGGATAATATCGACAATTTTTCGATCAGATTGTCGTTGTGCTTCCTGCAATTGTTTTGATTTGATCGATGCTATTAAATTTTCAACCGCCATACGTGTCGGATCTTCACTGACTACTGTTGATGATTGTTGCTGAGTACTTGTACCACTCGTTGTAGTAACAAGTGATCTACACAACATCAAAATTGAATGGAAACGTGAAGATAAAGTCGAACATTTGCCTTTAGAGACTTACTGAGGTTTATCCGATAATCGACTTTGCGATCTAACGCGATCACTTCCAGTAGGTTGAGTTAACAATTGAGCTTCTCTAACCATACGATTAATTACCGATCTTGGAGTATTTCGTTCGTTTACATCACTTTCGACTACAACAACATCAACCTTACGTTTCTTGAGCACTGGTCTATGAATCACTGGTTTTACTAATGGTTGTCTTTCTTGAAGAACAGCCGTATGCGTCGTTCCAACCATGGGTAAAATAGCTGGTAAACGTTCGTATCGTTCACCAGCACTCATAGGATTGGTCTCTGATGTAGGCAATTGCCGTCTAGGTGTAATTGGCGTATTCGCAGCAACGCGATTACTTGTAAATTCATCATCGAACATATCCAATGGCATCACTGACCGACCACGTAAATGAACTAGATTTAATTCTGGTATTGATTCACTTTGCCGCATGGGTAATACTCCCAAAGTGCTTTTAATCGGTCGTGCTTTGAGATCACTAGTAGTTGTCATTATGTAAGATTGTTTAACGGATGGTAAGTCAACCATCTTTTCTGACTAACAACGTTCACAATTTAAATATTCAAAAGAGTATGTATATGTGTGGAGATGGCAACAACAATGTGTGCAACAGGATCATTTACAAAATACAATAGAAGAAAAGAAAAGAAAAGGTGCAGAACAGAACAGAAACGGAAGGTCTCACAACATTTCTTTTTAATTCAAATTTTTCTCCTACCTGTAGCTGCTCCTGCCAACGAGTTGCGAACAGAATTGTAAACAGCAACGGACAGAACATAAGAAGAATAAAATGAAGTGTATGATTGAAATGAAGAAAGAAAGAAAGAAAAACTGAAATATCGACATCGTTTATCAATTAATAATGAATCGATTATTTCTGTTATTTTTCACTCATCGTTTATTAAAGATTTAACAACTCTATCGTGATCGTATTTTGATAATTGCAATGCATAATCATCAATGAATGCCATCGATATTTTTATAACCTTATGTTATTCTTAACTGATTAGATAAAAACTGGGTAAACCAATTTTAAGCATCATTGAATCATGATCTCATCGGACGAACTAATTCGATGTTTTTTTCAAAATAATTCATATGTTTCAACCGTACATCTGATCCTGAACAAACAGTTCATGACTTAACCATTCTCTTTGATCAACCTTGAATCTTACTAGTCCATCTGTACCAAAGAAGTCTCTCGCAATAGTTAAACTATTTACATTTCGATTCCGAATACCTTTTTTTTATGTATTAACAAACACTTGAAATATTTGCGCAAACCAATTAATGATCTTCATGGTACTTGCGATGCCATTCAAGTAACTAAGTCTATATATAAACGGTGCTTTGATGACCTTTTTGTATTGTTTAATAATGATGATGGTGAGGAAATCGTACAATTGATCTTTTGAAGTCTACGGCTTATTTTATGCTCATCAATTCTCGGCAAGATCGTCGTTCGTCGTGCGAGATTCGCAGTTAATTGCCGACAACTTTCTCAAACTTAACGAAAGAACCAGAGAATACGCTACAATAATCATTCAATTATAAGTAGCATGAAATCCGAGGACATATGTACATAAGAAATAACAGAAAACAAGGTCGAAGAGAAGAAAAAAAATCTCTCGTCATCAAGAAAATAAACAATGAAAGTCTTCAGCAGGAGAATATTATTCACAGTAGGAGATAATACGATGTGGCGACTATTTATATACATGAGTAGAGCATTTTTATTTAATGATGTAACAAGTTTGCTAAGGACGAGTCCGTTCTTGTCGGAAGATTCACGCGCTGTACTGGAGCGACATCCATGATCCAGCTTTTTCGATTATTTCAATGATAATTATTTCTAATCGTGTCTTATTCGTAGATTAATTTTTCGTTTCATACTTGTCAATAATATTTCAATCAATTCCGAACAATTAGATTGGCCAATTAAGTGATTCTGCAATTATTCAAAAGGAAATATCGTCGTTTCGATTCGAATGTGAATATATATCTCTCTTTTCCTCTCCTTCGAAGAAACGAATTAGTTAGCTGTTATTAAATATCGAAGAAAGGTAATAATTGCCAATGAGTGATTCTAATCATTAATATTTCTCTGATCAACCGTATTTTCACTATACAGAAACGCGAAGTCGATCCTAATTAAGTAAGTTTCTCGTTAATTATCCCATCAAAACGACGTAATATCGGCAATCTTGTACAAAAACAAATACATCTATTCGTGCGCTTACACTTTTTGTATATTAGATTGACCCATACCAGAAGAGTGCATCATAGGAACAACACTCCCAACGATAGACATATGAATCAATGAAAGAAAGAGAGAGAGAGCAAATCATACTGTCATTTTTTCTTCCTGTTCTCTGTGTCTCTGTTTCCCTTTCTTCTTTTCAGGGTGATAGCACAAAAAAAACCCGAGGCGAAAAGAAGAAAGAAGCAGCCCATAGAGCAACATCATTATCGACGACACCGTCATACGCGAAGCTCTCACCATCTTGCTTCGCGATCAGATCACTTACATACATATATAAATATATCACGTCTGCGTCTTCTTCGTTGTCGTCAAAAATTTTACTTCTTTTAATATTGCTTCTTACTGGACATTTCGTTTGATTTTGTATTTTAATACATTACCGTTATTTACAATTATTAGCTTGTCGATAGTATCCTCCCAATATCTCTTGTCTGGTTAGATTTAAAAAAAACACATTTAGAGAAAGGTAAATTATTGCAATTTTAATCAAGTTATTGCGATTAATCATTGAACTATGATGAAAAGATATCGATTCATTTGTTTTTCTAATCGATTAACAGACGAAAAACGTCTTTCATCCATAGTCTTGTGAATCGAGAGGCACTTTTTTATATAGATAGAAATACTTGTGTATATATACGTACATATATGTATAAATGTCTTATATAGAAGTAGTTGCAAGCAAACAAGTCGACATCGAGAGAAAGAAAGAGAAAGAGAGAACGAAGTGCGTGTGTATATGTACAACTAATCTTCTACTAGCAGTTATCTCATGCACGCCACCATATGTAGTCGAGCTTTGTCGTTATTATATGTATTATCCTATTCTATTATCGTTCGATAGAAGTGAACGAATGAAAGAGGAGAGAGAGAGAGGAAGAAGAAGGTCAAAAATAAATACGAGAGATCTTTAATTGATATATGCATACCAGCAACTGTCATTAAGTGAGACGACGATAAACTTCATCGTTCATCCGTGACCAATTTAAGCTTTTTAACTATAGTTTAGATGTGTGGTCATACATTTCGTATTTTCTTTTCTTTCTATCGGTCTAAACTTTGACAAGACTATGTCGTCTTTATTGTTACAGGAGGAGGAGATGGCTTCAGTGCCGACGACACCTAATACAACTACACCGCCTCCAATATCGACAACAACGACAATGCCGAATTCGGCTTCTGTGGCATCTGCCGAGAAGACGCATGGAATAGCAATCGATGAGCCGTCGGCAAGTTTTTTCTATTTCTTTTTTTTCGTCATTCTCTATTATTCTGGTCTATTTATTTATTTTTCTTTAATCAGGTGGCTCATCAAGCCATTCTATTTATTCTTGATGTGCTCATTCGGAACAATCAAGCCATGCCAATTGTGAAGCTGTACGATAGCTTCGCCGACCGAACATTTACGCCACAAATGTTACGTGCTGTTGGTGGAAACGAGCAAGGATTACAACAATTCTTGCTTCGCTATCCTTCATTATTTACTGTTAACAACGATACTGTCTCAGCAAATAGTGCTACACCAGTTCGTACATTAAATTCATCCTCATCATCGAAATCTCATCAGAATCGATTGAAACCAACAAGTTCACCCGCCTCGAGTAGCGAGGCGAGTGAAAATGATCCGATGACAACATCAATAAGTAACACAACGAACAACAACGAAACAGTGTGGGATGCAAAGACAATGCGCGAAATCGAACAAGAAGCAATCAATTTTTTTAAAAAACAACTAACGAAACGTGAGGAAGAATGGTTACCGATTGTAAGCGTTGCTGGACATGCATCTCAAGCATCAGCCGATGTTCGCAAATATGTTGGTCCACAAAATGAATTCAAGATATTTCTTCTGCGTTATCCAAATATATTTATTGTCCGTGATGAATTTTGTGGCTTGAAAGTAATTTCATTTGAAAATATTTCATTTCAAAAACATTTTTCGTTGTTTTCTTCTCAAAGGGTAAAGCTGATATACCAGGAATACCATTTCCACCTCCATCGCCTCCGCCAAAACGACGTTCCACTTTGACAAATTCTGGCGGTAACAATTCGATGTTAACTCGTTCGGCTTCGTTTAAATCAAGTATACGACCAATGCTTGGCGGTAATTCCATGCCAAGTACACCAACAATCGGAATGAATACATCATCATTACTTTCATCAACATCATCAGCAATACGAAATCCATCTCAGCGCTTAACACCTAACGAAGTCAAAGCTGTGCATTATGTCATGCGTGCACTACATAAAAATGGCCGTGTTTTACTTCAGAGTGTGCCGAATCTAATCGCTCGTGCACCGGAATATTTAACACCGTTGATTGGTTTTACACGCGAGGATTTAATATTATTTTTTAAACGACATAATGCGGTCTTTCAACTACATACTGATGGAACAGTTACTGTGAAATCTGACGCTGCGCGAGCTCTACTGAATAAAAGCGATGCAAACAACAACGGCACTGGCAATAGTTTACAAACATCATTGTCGTCAACACAATTGTCTCAATCAGCAACGAATTCGATTTCAGCGACTGGTGTTGTCATAAGAATCTTTCCAAAATATGGAATACTGAATATGGATAATAATGAACAAGTGTTTTTCGATATACAATCATGTCATTTTGAAACATTCAGTGACCTCACTTGTGTGGTTAATCCCGGCGATACTCTAAATGTCAATGCTATACTCGGTCCAAAAGAAGGTAGACTACGAATGAATGATCATGAAAATAAGATTTGCATTCGGTATATTCTAGGTTCGACCAAATGGAAATCTTTGAAAACTTGGCCACGTCAAAATCCTCGTCCAAATATTGTTCATTCAGCAAGTACTAATAATTTATCATCGATGACATCGACGAATGGTGGTTACGTATCTCCGCCATCATTCGAATCCTACGCAAATTCATCTAATGGATATGCGCCCATTGATCAAGAATTAAATGCTTATCAAATCAGTAATGATTTAAATGGTAGCGGATATGACGAAGTAGTTGATACAAACGGTGGCCAATTGTCGCCCATTGGACTGATTAATTCAACGAATCCTACACGACATAGTCGTCTTGGCTTACCTACACTCGATGAAGAACAATGTCCACTGCCTAAAATGGTCAGTGGCCTTGATGCCGAAGTTCTTCGACGTAATTTACAACAAGTTATTCAACGAACAAATACGATTTCTTTACGTGAACAAATTGATGAAACTGGTCGATATGTCTCTCAAGGATGTCAAACGACGTCGACAGGAGAAATCTTAGCTACAAATATCCACATCGAATAAATATCTTTCATGTTTTCTATTCGTTTTAGTCGGGAATGCATTCTTTTCTAGCTAGCAAATGTGTGCATGTGTGTGTGCATTTCAGTTCATTTTTATTGTTCGATTTACATACATTGGCTACGGTTTTTCATCATTCTCTCTTTTGTTTTCTTTTTACAAACACAGACTGTTTTTTTTTCTCTTGTTTTGGATTTGTCTTCTTCAGTTTTTTCTTTCTTGTTTTATACATAAAAGATGTGTGAGCACAAAATAGGAAAATATCTTTGGATAGTATAGATTATCGACTGACATATGATGTGGATTCTATTATTACTCAATACTTTTGTCGTATGTATCTAACCTATATGATTTATAGTTATATAAATATCCTGCCGTAGTTGAAGACGATGATAGAGATATCGAATAACATTGATAAGTAAAAGTAACCTATTCGAAGGAGTGTTATTTAGGATCCGATTACATGAGTAGAGCCTATCATTTAAGAATTACTGATGATCGAGAGAAATAGTTATCAGGAGAATATGTTATTTCTGTCTATCTGAAAATAAAACCCCCTCTAGACGTACATAGTTAACAGCCGTCTCTCGTTGATTACTATTCTCGAGAGAGAGTTTTGATGATAGCTGTAGATACATTGCAAACAATAGGATTGATGTACATTATCGTATCGTGTTGAGTCTTAGTCGACATATTGTAGAGAGTAATAGGAGACTCTCTAGAATTGTGACAAAGTTCGTGTTTTTTCTCTAGTATTCGAGGTTAATAGATAAGCCATTATTATTGATTTTCATTGATAAAAAGTCGTTTTTTCTATTATTAAATTCAGCGTCAAAAAGATATCACAAGAAAATTGAAATGTTTATTTCTTAACGGGGGGTTATCTTGCTCAATGCTTTAGAAATACCGCTTTTACGTTTGTCAGCGTCCTCTGTAATCGCTGCAGACACAGCTGATGCCACCTGTGGATTGCGAGGTCGTACAGGGTGCTCTTGTAAATATTCATCAAGATATTGAACGGAAAGTGTGACATCACTACTCGCGCTGACAATTTGCACAAATGAGTTATGAGCCATTCCATCTGTTGTTTGTTGATTAATTTTGAGAATAACATCGTTTGCTTGAAGACCAGCTGTATCAGCTGGACTGTTCTCTTCTACGCGATGAACAAGGTAATAAAGCTTGTTGTATTGTAGATGAAATCCGAAGCCTTGAAAATCTGGCTTACGTTGTAAAGCTACTTCGCGGATACCTTCTATACGAACACTTGATTTTGCATTAAGAGCGGCCGCATTTTCTTGCTTTCTTTCAGCATCAGAAACGTTGTAGGCACCCTGATTCGGACTTTCATTGTTGTTAGAGGCTGTCGGTGTGTATGGCGGAGGTGGATTTGATTCTCGTTTGTTTTCAGCAGGTGGATTACGAGAACTCGTAGTACCAGCCTGATCACGAGAATTTGTGGTACTAGCTGCAGGTGGATTACGGGAACTCGTAGCACCAGCCTGATCGCGAGAATTTGTGGTACTCGCTGCAGGTGGATTACGAGAATTCGTGGCATTGGCACCAGGCATATCACGAGCAGTAGATGCTATGAATCGAAAAGAAAATCTTTAGTTAAAGCCACGTAGCGTAAACTTACAATCTTGATTTCGTTTTTCATTTATAACTTGTGTAACTACGTCAGCCATGTGCTGTTTAGTTGGAAGAGATTGTTCTGTTGATTTATCAGTGGTATTATTGAGCAATGGTGAAGATGATCCATTGATGTCTCGTGAATCTCTGTTCGCTAGAAAAATAGAATACTCCTTTCGATTTATAAGATTCTGTGTAATATTTACTTGGAATAGGTTTTGAATCAATTGAATCATTTGTTGAAGGCGATATTTGTGCACGCAATAGAAGGTGAGACGTTCCCATCGATGGATATGACTTCGGTGCTGAAGACGTTTGTAATTGATCCTGGTAAGTTACTTCCTCGTCATCTTCGTTTGCCGAAGTCTGTGTTTCTTTGTCCACACATGTGGGTTGTTTTGGACGATGAGGGCGAGGTTGACGTAGTGGACGTTCTTTTTTATGATCATTGGAAAGAGAATAACGGGAAGGAAATGTATTGGCCGCTAGATTCGATCGAGAGGTTGCGCGTGACGTAATAATGAATTCATGATTATTGTTTGCTGTTTTTGATGGCACAATTTGCACGTCTTCGTCGGCAAAAAGTGATTTCAAGTAACTGTGTTAAATCGTAGGCAAAAATAGGTCAATATAAGTTTCTATGGATTAGAAACTTACTTTTCAAGATCCAGACTACTATGCGCTGATCGCATAGCTGAATTTTGTTGTGGCTCGATATGGTGATTATTCGCATTAGCAGAAGTTTTGTCGTTCAGATCGTTTACTAATGGTAAATGAAACGTATCGAACATACCTGTTGATTGAATAGTCACTGTTAACGTTTTAGCATTTGTTGCCGCTTGAACAACAAATTCTTTCGGATCTCTGGGGATGGCTGATACCAACTGTCCATTAACAGATAAAATACGATCGCCAGGTTGAATATTTGCTTCAGATGCAGGTGAATTACGTTCAACCGTCACTACGTACAGACCTTTAGGGACGTCTTCGCCAAGAAACAATCCAAAACCTTCGTGGTTAGGACCTTTTTGTAAGACAACTGTTCGCGGTGATGATTTTCGACCTGATGAAACCGACGATAGTGCATAGTAGACAGGATTCGACTGGGTCGTGATCGACATTGCTGACGTTTTCTTATCAAGTTCGCTATGTTTTCAAGGATACACAGTTAGTAGCTATTTGTTCTACGGTTCGAAATGGCGATTATTATTTAATGCACGCTTCATTGCGCACCATTCACGTTTTTTCCTCCTCATTCCTAGTTTATGGTTTATTTCGAAGTCATACCAAGTTCGACTTGACTGTCATAAATACAACAACGCAGATGAGTTATAACATTATGAGAAAATAATATTTATTGCTATTATTATTACACGGGTTTAAAAATAGATGACTTTTTTTGTGTAACCGGATTTACAGAGGAGGAAATTGAAAGAAAATAGGCGAAAAATAATGTCATTACTGATTCGTCACTGGCTGTTGTGGTTTACTAAAAATTGTGTACAAACTGTGCTTAATTATGGTTGATTCATGCGTTAAATGTATCGGTGAAGACATCATAAATTGACGATTGAGTGATGGTGGTCCAAGATAAGATGTCGGCGATGTTTGGGGACATTGTTGATCAAGTGAGAATCTTTTATACAACGGTTGTTTAATTAAAAAGGACATTTAATCATCTGAAGTGGATCAAAAAATGATTAGTTAAGTTTGCTTTTTTTGTATAAGATAAAATCAAATGAAATACAAGAGAAAAAGATTATTTAGGAAGCGTCAGTAGCCTGTAAAACGATCATTGTATATTCTTTGTCTAGAAAAATCAAATGGATTCGATAGAAAGAATAAAAACAAAGAGTTTGAGACAAACCAGGTGCAACGAGAATTTCATGTTTTTTTGTTCGCATTCGAAAGAAAACAAGTTCATTGGTTGGATCAATATCACGAATTGCTGACCGAGCTTTATCTGATAAAGATTTTATCAATGCTGCATATTGTTGAGTTAATGTACTATCGAGACTTGATCGAATTGGTATGCCTAAATGACAGAAAAAGAAAAACAAAGCGTTTTATTCAATAGAAATGCTTCGTATCATTTTTTCCATGAAAGAAGAAAATAATTCACAGGATGTGTTTCCATTGTTCGGATCGAACATCAATCATCATTCGAAAGAAATAACAATAAGAGAGAGAAAGACTAGCTTTGACACGAACATCCAATCATGGCTCATGCAAATCTTACCATCATTATTTATAATTAGAAAACCTTGAACACCCTTATGTTCTTGGATACGTTTCAGTGTGTCATCGACTTCAGCCTGAAAATCAAATCAAATTCAAATCCAAATCTTCAGTTTGTCCAATACACACTTGAGACATGTTTCAAATCGATTCCTCAAAGAATCTAAAATAAATTGCACAAATATGTGTATTTCTTTCTTTTTCTGGAAATAAATTTCGATAGGTCGATATGTCAAAGGGATATTTGTAACCAGCTGGCGCTCATATATTCTTCATATGTAAACTTCATCGACTAATGGAAACTATGGATACTCTTCAGGAACGCAATAGTAGTGACATCAATGTGCGAACATCAGCAAGGAGGATTCGGGAGGATAAACATGGTACAATGTCGACCAATCAACATGAACGATCAGTTCACCAGTAATTTAGTCGAGAAATATGTTTGATGATCAGGATGATACGCCGGTTAGTTTAACAATTAATAAAGCTTATGCCAATAAATATCAAAATTGGAGAGAAAAAGAAGAAAAACAGAAATGTATGAATTCATTTGATCGTGTTAGTTTGGTGAATTGTGACGTCTTTTATCGATTTTAGTGATTGCAAGGTATGGAAGTGATGTTGAAGATGATTCAGACGAAGAATCTGAAGATGAAAATGGCGAAGTATGTTTTCGATGATATGTTAGTTGATAAATTGTTCTAGGAAAACGTTTTAGGAATGGACAGAAGACGTGGAAAAGGAGTTTCTCCGTTGTTATTCGATTCTGAAGAAACGTGATCCGAAAATTTATGATTCTAACACGAAGTTTTTCAATACTTCATCATCGTCAGATAAACCCGATGAGAAATCAACCACAAAGCCAAAGAAAGAAAAGAAAATGAACCTCAAGGATGCCGAAATTCAATATGCATTAGCAGAAGCAAAAAAAAATGGAGCAGAAGATGACGATGATATCAGTCATATTCGGTGAGTAACCAAACGATACTTATCTATTCGTTTATGCATTGATTTTTCTTACATATTTAGAACTAATGGGGGAAAATCGATTATAGAAGAGCAAGAAGAAATCAAAAGAAGGTAAATCTCTTTGATTTTGTTTTTTCACAAGTAATAATTGCCATTTAGTATTAAAAAAGCCCTCTCAACGGCGGACGATGACGATGACGATGGATTATTTAGCAAGAAAGTTAAATCTGAAACAGAGAAGGTTAGTGATACGTGTTACTTGTTATTGAAAATGCTTCATTCGGAAACGATTTCTCTAGACAAAAGAAGATGAGGAATATATCGAATGGTTAAAAGGACAGAAGAAAGAATTACCTGATTCAACTATCAAAACCGATCTGGTAAGAAATAGACATTCTGTTCGTTTTATTGATTGAATTGACTATGCAGGAATATTTGCATGAGTATTGGAATGATCCATCATTATCTGAGCGTGATCGGTTCTTACGGGACTTTATTTTGAATAAAAAGCATCTACGTCATGCTGATGATGATGAAGATGATGAAACGAAGTAGGAATTTTTCTTTTGATCGATTACATTGCCTGATTTGTATTTAGTATTCCTTCGTACGATGAAATCGTCAATCAAAATGAAGATGAGGATGAAGAATTCGAAAAAGCTGAAGAGTTCGAACGAAAGTTTAATTTTCGTTATCAAGAGCCCGATGCTGAATTCGTACGTGAAAAGAAACTTTTGGATCGGATGATGTCAAAGATTTGTTTTAGTTGAAACGTTATCCACGAACGATCGATGATAGTGTTCGACGAAAAGATGATCGAAGAAAGTTGAAACGTCAGGAGAAAAAGCAACGAAAGGAACTAGAGCGCAAACAAAAATCAGAAGAAATAAAACGTTTGAAAAACTTGAAGAAAAAGGAAATTTTGGATAAAATGAATCGATTGAAAACCGTCGCCGGCGATGACGGTCTACCTTTGAATATCGATGATCTCAATGCGGATTTCGATCCGAAAGAGTACGATCGGCGAATGCAAGTAAGTCATAAAGATTTTCTTTTTACAGAATGTATTTCTAATTCGAGTGTTTCCAAGGAATTGTTTGATGATAATTATTATGCGAAGGAGGTCAATGAAGATGAACAATCTGAAATATCCGACGAAGAACTTCAAGGTAATGAAACGTTCTAGCTGTGCCGCGAAATTCCATCGTTTCCTTTCAGTGGAGAATTGGGATCGAACAGATGAACTCGTTGCTTCTAAACCTGTGCAATCAAATAATCAAACAGCAGAAGTAGACCAACAAGCACAAACAAAGAAATCGAAGAAAAAATCGAAATTACGCCAAGCAATTTCTCAATCGAAGCCGACATTTGATCCAAGTAAATATCTCAACTTCCATCGAGGGATTATGTTTTTCTCTTGTCTCTTTCTTAGAAGAGAAATCTTTCGAACAGTACTTTGACGAATATTACAAGCTTGATTGCGAGGATTTCATTGGTGATACGCCTGTTCGATTTCAATACCGATCAGTTGAACCGAATGATTTTGGTTTGACTATTGAAGAAGTAAACGGAACGATTGTTGAATGAGATGGAGAGGAACAAAGAGTTTATTTTTAGATTCTCGCGGCTGATGATCGAGAACTGAATGCTTGGTGTTCATTGAAGAAAACTTCACAATATCGAGCAAAAGACGAAGAAATTCGAGATCGACATGTTTATAGGAACAAGGCGAAAAACATCGAAAAGAAGAAAAAGATTTTGAGCAGTGTTTATCAAGAAAAAGATGAAGAAAATGAAAGGTAAGCAAAGCTATCTTTTTTTCCTCACTGTTCGAGAGAAAACAAACGAAAATCAGTGCGATTATTTCCATTTCTAAAATACATATTCATATCATAATGAGACGTTTTACATCCGAGGAAAAAAACAAACAAACGTTAATTAATAAATTATATACATATTACGATTCGCTTCGCTTCCTTAGGAAAGATATCGATTCATTTATACTATGATGGTGCTTTTTTCGCAGTTTATCAAAAAAAAAAAAAACAAAGAAGCGTGCCTTGAGCACTGAAATAATTGTACAAAGTCCAGAAAATTGTTTTTTTTTCTTGTTTCATACGTTGTCTTTGCACTCATTTATCGAGGAATGATGGCGGTGAACTGGCTGATCAGCATATGATTCGTTCGTTGAAGCTTTCGAAGAGCGTGATAGACGCCCAAAGAAACCCGACGATTTGCCGATTGTTGGTGGGCCTTGTTTCGGACTGAGGATTCTCAGAGATCTCTTCTTCTTTCGATGTTCTTCGAGTTTTGTCGCATCGAAGTCAAAACGGTTCTTCATTAGAATGGTGACTCCGGGTTGTCCATGCACTTCAACCATTGTAAAATTACCACTTTTGTCTACGGGAGTTCGTGCTGGGATATTTTCCAACGAGTCTCCTCGGCCGCTATCATCGGTTAGTTCTTGCTTCAGTGAGTTAGGATGAGGATGAAAAAGACTGACTAGCGAATGTGTCGGGCGCATATCAAAGACTGGCAATCGTTGATCATTTGTATGGTTTTGAAAATTAGGAGACGGAGAGCAAAAATACAGGCCAGGACGACGATTATCACGTTGGTTATGTAAAGAACGACACTGCCCGTCAGAATTAACAAATTTATCATCGGAATTATTCAATGAATGAACACTAGTAGGTTGAGATTGTGTCGATGTAATGGTTTTCTTTGACTCTTCGCTATCCGTTTTCAAAACTTGAGGAGTGGTCTCTTCGTCATCAAAAACATCATCTATATCAAAAATCGAAAAGGCATTAATTAAGAGAGAAATCAAACCTATTGAACTCTATTCAATCTACCTGAATCGTATGATGCATCTACATCATCGGATCCCTTGATAATACTCGTATGACGTATTTGGTCGTGTTTGTCCACAGCCATCGTGCACATTTTCGTTGAGAAAATAAATTCTCTGAGAATGACAATAGTTTTACCAGAATTTTTTCGTGGGAAAGAAACTACTCACTAAGTAAATATACCGAGATGCAAATGAAAGAAAATGTCACCGAATAAAAAAATACTTTTTACCTGTATGTCTACCTTTCTTTTCTATTGGCTCATGACTAGACACACAATTTCTCCAACTTACTACAATACGAAAATTGCCTAATATGTATATTTTTTGTGTTTCTCTTTATTTGCTTTTCTTTTTCGTTTAGTCATCGTTTGGAAGAACAGCAAAATAAGTCCGACGTACCGCGCTCTGATGAGAAAACATCTCTGCCATCATCGAGTGAAACGACGGCAACAACGATAACAACAACATCAGAAGTAACATCGACGAAGAAAAAGAAACGAAAAGGAAAACATTTATCGAACGACCAGCGATTGTTAACTGATATGTCCGATGAACGTTTGCAAGTTTATGGTTTGAATCCAAAGCGATTCAAAAATTTTGTTCGTTTCAATAAAGATAAAAAATAAATAAAAATCAACTTTCCGATGAAACAATTAAACCTTATGTTAAATATCTAGTCACTCTTAAGCAACTTGTATTTCTCACACAGAATCTCATCGTTTTGTTGTTAAGAATGTCTTTCTATCAGCTGATGACATCTGCATTCGGAAATTTCTATTTCTATTTATTCAAGTAGATCAACCAATGGGAATATTCCCATCCTGTAGAGGCTAAACCGGCGTTTCTCATTGGTCGAAAATGTCAAGCCAATACATTAAGCACTGTAAGGGCGAGTGCAGCGAAGGAATAAATACAGAACAGAGCAATTCATTTCAGTTGAATTTCGCATAACATCCATATAGTCTAGTCTCTTGTTTGTAGATCAATCATTTATCTTCTCTTGTCTTGAATCATATTGTTTATTGTTTATTATTGCTATTCCTCTCGATCTGTGTGTAATATGTACATATTGGAAAAGAAAAACGAATGAAGGACATCGCTGTATACATATAATTTTTTTGTTTATTATTATTATCATTAATCAAATATGAACGTTCAACACGAATATTCGATTTAATCATCAGTTTTCCCTTTCCTTATACGTTCTGTTCATTTTTCGCAATTTGTTGAAATATTAAAAAAAAATTCGGTTCAATGCAAAGTGATTCGTCGTCGCTTGACACGCTCAAAAACAGTCTGTTGAGCGCCGTCGATGCTGATTATACTGTAAAAACTTATCTCGAACTTTTCATTTTTGTTTCTTCACCACCGATTTCTTTAGGTAACTAATGCAGAAAAAGTATTGGATATTATTTCACAACTAGAGAAAATTGCAATAACAAGGGATCAATTACAAGTTTGTTTCTTTCATCTTACATTGGAATTTGTGATGGACATTTTCTTTCATTTGTTTTTAGGCAACTCGTCTTGGCCGAGAAATCAACACTATCAGACAGAAAATCGATGCACGAAAGAAAAGTGCCCAACAAACGGGAGATAATCCTCAATCGATCATTGAAATTGCTCAACGAGCGAAGAAACTTCTACGGTCTTGGCAAGGTTTACTTAATACAGCACAAACTGATAGTAATCACTCGTCACCATCTGTTCCACCTGCATCAGTCCCTCCGGTAACACCGGTCAATGGTGAAAGTCACGAACCGTCATCACCATCATCGAAGCCACCTCGTTCTCGTATAATATTAAAAGTGAAAATCAATCCATCAATAGCAGCAAATAGTAACAATGATAATAATAATATTACTAAACCAAAACGAAAACATGACGAAGAAATCAATGGTCTATCTGGCAAACGACGCAAGACACAAGTTGAAACACCGATTACACCACCACCCCCTATTTCTCCTGTACCTATTATTGATCCCAGTTTACCAAGACTTAAAACTACTCAGCAACTTCTCATGGAAATGCAACTGAATCAACCTGATGTTCTTTCGACTCAAACACCAACTGTGAACGCTATTCTACAGCATCAAATCGTAGATGAAAGCTTACATGACACGGGAAAAGTTGATTATTCAGCTTTACATCATGGAAGAGACACAGCTACTTCGAATGCCAAGTAATTAGCAAAATACCTATGTAGAACTGTCGGATGACGTTCAGTGTCAGAGACGAATGCTAGAGAGCTGCGTGCAGAAGGATTACAGGACCGTGACTTTCAGCGTTACATGTTTCTATTGAACATTGAGCGTTCATTTCGAGTACGAGTTGTTTAGGAAATACCGGCCGTATTCATTTTCGTTTGTATTGTATGAATTATCCTGTATTCTATAAGTTTACTTGTTTACTGACAATGTGATCGAGAGCTTCGTTTCTATTGAGAGACTGTAATCGATAACTTAAAAATAACTTTTCCTGTTCTGATTTCGGTTGTGCAGAGGAAAATGTCATAATACCCAGGTGCTCGAACTGTACGATATTCTATTGATGTCGTGACGATGAAAATAGCATACTGAGTCCTCTGATACTAAACTTCAAGATCATAGAAATTTCGAACAGATGCAAAAGCAGATTCACTCAAAATTCTTTACTTTAGTACTAATTATCAAAAGCAATTGCCATCGTCCACCCTTCCAAATGTTATATCTCCTACTAACTCCACATTGTCAACCGGTTCATCATCTTCAAAACGTTCTGGCCTTGTGCGCCGTCCATCATCCAATTTACTTACAGCGAATACGAATTGGGAAAATGGAAGTAGTGCTGGTGGTTCTCCAATATCTCCATCTTCATCGTCATCTTCATCTATTGGTAGTGCGACGTCGTGGCCTATTTCTACAAACATTCCAGACCCGCCATCATCTATACCTGTCATTCCAAAAAAGAAACGTCGAAGAAAAGCAGGAGATCAGCAAGAACCACTAGCAACAATAACAGCACAACAACAGCCTCCTCAAAAACAAATCGATTCATCTACTATCGAACAGTCAACCCCATTATCTCCTGATCTAACAACCATATGTTCAGCTTATGATACAGTTGCTGATCTTGTTGAAGCTCATCGTCAACGCATGCTCGAAGAACATGATGCACGAGAATTAGAAGCAAGACCTGATCTACTTCTGGTTCCCGTCGATCAACTTGCTTTTGTTTACGAACGAGAAAGGACTAAAGAATTAATTCTAACATCAGACTCAACGTCAACATCACTGACAAAGGTTGATACATTTAATCAACCAAATGGTCTGGTTGCTTTACCATTTATTGATTGTCCACTTGAATTTGATCTCGTACTGGATGAATTAATCGTACAACAGCCGACGATGGACACGTAGATGTTCTTTTTGTTCTCCCTTTCTCTTTCTTTCCTTCCTTCTTTCTTTTTTTTCATACACACTCTCTGTCTCTGTCTCGTTTCAAAACTTACACAAAAAAAAACAAACAAACAAAAAAAGGTGTTTCAACAACAGTTTCTCTCTTTCTTCTTCTTCTTCTGTTCCTTCTCTTGTACGCGTGTGCGTGTTTGTTTGTTTATTTATTTTTTAAAAAAACAAAGAAGTTAATTTCTTGGAAAAAGCCTCACATTTTTAAACATATTCACACAGAAGAAGTCATTCGAGTAAATTTCCATAACAAAAACACTTGGCTGATTCTTGAGTGGGAATTATTAAAATATTTGCTGGTAAAATTTGCTTTTCATCATCGAAATCAGTAGTCGATGACACATGGAAATGAATCAATCGTTGGGGATGATGATGTTTCTGGAAATATTTAATCACCGATGATAGGGAAAGTTGTTGAGTGATGAAACTAGACAAACCACAATGAAAGACAGGCTACTATGCAATGTTCACTTACAAGAGACACAAAATGCGTAATTTCTGGCAGAATTTGAAAATATTTGTTAATTGATTGACATTGATATCGATCAACTCCAATGAACGTAAAGATGAAGCCAATCGAAAAGAACAGCTTTGAAGAAGTGTACTATTCAGACTACATGTTTTCAGTTTTACCGGGATGCGCAGTGGTTCATCATTCTGGTTCGTTGATTGAAGTACTGAAAATTCAGAAATGAACTTTGTAAGGAAACATTCGACTACGAGCTAATTACTCTGTAATGAAGTTAAGTCTAAATAATGAAGTGTTTCAAGTTGATCAAGAAAGGTCGTTAGAACAGCTCGATCACATGTTGATTGACGTAGTACAATAGTCTAGAATCAAATAGTAAAGTTTCATTCTGTCATCTATTTTAATTGAACACTTACTTTCAAGTTTTGTTTATCGATGGCAGACAGAAGAAAATGAATGTTGACACAATTCTCAAGCCATATTGACCGAAGACGATTAATAGCATAACCTTAAAAGAAAGAAAAAGAGTGATAAACATAAGTCTTTTGCCAACGTTTCGCTTGACATACTATTTTCAGGAAACGATTGAATTAAGTAAAGATTGTGCAGAGTAAATGATTTCAAGCTGAAATGAGAAAAAGCTTTTTTTTTCTATATGATTAACAAAAAGAGTGTCCGTTTCCACAATCGAGTCCATTAGAGAATTATCGGAATATGAACAATCTTATTCTGCTACATTTTATTTTATACAACATGCAAATTTACAGGCGTTGCCCGTACAGGAAAAACAAATATGTATAACAATTTTACTATGACAAGTGCTTGGCACATGAGAGCGATGTAATAGTCAATGGGAACAGTTTGACCGAACGGTGTTAATGTGAGACCACGTCTCTGTGCATCACGCAAATGGTGTGTTGACCAACCGAGGAAGAAAATGATTGAATAATAGAGTCGATGAGGCTTCCAGAAGAGATATTCACAAATGCCAATAATAAAAGTTACTATTAATAGCAAAAGACTATTATGAAGGAAAGGTCGACCACGTGGTTGATCGTATAATGCTCGGTGCAATAAGAACGAACGAACTTCGATAAAATGGTCAACGTCAACGAATGAACCCGCAATAAAAGCAATGATCATTAATGGACGATGAGACCAACCGAACACGAAACATGTTGACACAACACTGATCAAACCATGAGTAAAGTTATCTGTTATGGCACGAGCATAAATATTTGAAATAACATAGAATGACCATGGTCGACCAAAACATAGACAATCACCCAGTAGACTAACGAAACATAGGAGTACTAGTGTCAATCCATCGTTTAAGAGAATACGCTGGGATAGAAACATTTTACTATCTGGAAAGAAAATAGAATTGGTTGCACATGATCGTGCATGTTCATAACTGAATAGAGAGAATGAATTATATGAATTTAAAATTCATCGGAATAGATCAAGATGTTACATATTCCGATAATTCGGAAAAGAAATGCCTTTCTACATTGCAAAAAACGAGTACGTACTTTTTCAACTTGAGCAGTAAGTCTACAATATCGTGAATTGTATTGATTAACATCACAGCGAATGAATCCAATTGGATAATATTATGTACAAAAGATATTTTCAAATGTTTTAAACGTTCTAATTTGAAAAGAAAAATAGGCGATGGTTCCTGTGACAAACATTCGTAGGAGAATTGCAATCGACGTATTCGATTCTTCAATAGATATTCTAGTTGAAGTTGATCAAATGACCGAAGCGTTTCGAAATGAACTGATGCACAACGTAAATACGACTGTTTTTTTAGTTGTTCATCATCATCATCATGAGCTTTCAACAAGTGACGTTTACGTCGTTTATTTGTGGAATTAATAATAGGCTGCGGTTTCAAATAAACCGTACAATGTGAGTAAACATTCGATTTTGTGAACAATTCAATATTTGCTGAACGAACATGCCGAAGAAGATTAGTTGGTATCGAATAATTAGTACATTGATCGATATCAAATATGACCGATGACCAAAAGTATGTATGTTGATTGACACACGAACAAAATAAACGTGAAACAAGACGGACAGAGAGTAAGTCATTGACGTGTAAATATGAGAAAATATGTGCCCAAATTTCCGTGGGCAATTGAGGTAATAGACACCGATTTTTCCATTCGAGATAACGTTCACGAGCGGTTGACATGACTAGATTCAATTGATTAGATTTAGTCTAAAATAGAGAAACGGTCGATGTTTTGCGGTGATAGATGTCATTGAGATAGTCGATCTCGATGGCAACACTTAAAAAGCTGTCACCACGACGATTATCGCTCCTTTCTTTTTTTTATTTCTTTACTCCTCTCCTATGAGTCATTCATATGCTATAATAACAGGTAACAAGAAATACTTATTGTTTGCACAATCAAGGACAAAAACAACAACATAAACATAAAAGAACGGTAGTAGAATCACTTGTATAGACTTTTCGTAGCACAGAGGAGCGAAACTTTTGTGATATATACGATGGCAAGTGCTTTGCATATCGATAAACTAGAACAACCTCAACTAGCAAAACATGATTCAAGTATACTCGGTTAGTAAACGATTTACTTTTAGCTCTCACTCTGATGAAAACAAACGCTAAATCTAGATCTGGCTTTTGCGATGGATTGTACGGGTTCAATGGGTAGCTATATTGAAAGTGCGACACAGAATATTCGCGCCATTGTAGAAGAGATTGTGACTAGCGAAAAAAGTGATGTTCATCTGGCGCTGGTTGAATATCGTGATCACCCTCCACAAGTCCGTTTTCGAAACTTTCGACAATTGGCTTTCGATGTGTCGAATGTTTGCCTTTCTAGGATACAACATTTGTGACGCGTGTACATGATTTTACGAGTAAAGTCAAAGAAATGAAGGGTTGGCTCGAACAATGTGATGCACAGGGTGGTGGCGACACACCAGAGGCAGTGGCAGATGCTCTTCATGACGTTTTAAAGTTATCGTGGCGTCCTGAGGCAACAAAAATTTGTGTACTTATATCAGATGCCCCACCGCATGGACTCGATCCTAAATGTGGCGATGGCTTTCCCGATGGAGATCCTTCTGGTGTTGATCCGGTGAAAACTGTACGAGAAATGGCGGAAAAACAAATTACTCTATATGTTGTTGGAGTTGAACCATCTATCGGTTAGTTGACAGCCTAGAATGGAATTGTTTTCCTCTCTGAACGTTCTTAAATAATTTCTTTTACTAGTGCCTTATCGCGATTTTTTCATGTCTATTGCTTACATCACTGGTGGTCAATATGTTCCTATGGTCAATGCAAAACTACTTGCGCAAGTCATCATCGGTGGTGTACGAGAAGAAATATCCTTAGAAAGGTTAATGCGAGATGCTCAAGAAGATATCAATCGCGAGATGAAACAGGCAGAAGAAGAGGGTGTTGATGAACAGGAAATAACTAAAAGAGTGAATCGCCTCCTATTGACGAGAAATTCGCGTGTTAATCAATTAGACAATTTAGGTGGAGCAACATCAGCAGCTGCCAGAGAAACCTATTCGAAATGTGCTGACATGAGAGAATTACGAAGTCAATATAAGGTAGAAGCGCCACCAGAACCACCGGCCTTCCGTTCACGTCGATCACGAGCAGCTTATGTACGTGAATGTGAAGCCGAAGCTAATGATGAGTTTGGTCATGGTATCATAGCAACATCATCAGCGGCCGCAGTGCCAGGAAGTGCAGCCTCTGCAGATGGAGTACCGCTAGCAATGACCGCACCTGCAAGTTATGATTTACGAGAAAACGAAGAAGTCAGTATGGCACAAACAGAACGTATTGTTCGACGCATGCGTAATAAAAAAGATTATGCATAAACTTTTCTTTTACACAAACGCGCATATGCAGGCGTTTTTTCTGCGATATGACACGAGTAAATACAGTATTTGAACAAAAACGTATATTTGATTTTTCTGGGTTTGATGATAAATTTTAAAACAATTTTAAAGTTCGCTTTTCGCAAGAATACTTAACGAATGTACAGTGCCATTATCAGTAATATATTTAAACCATTTCAATGGTTCACTACCGCGTAATTGATTTTGGGTACTACATTGTACGGTCTGCTCATATGTCAACCACATGGCACCATAACTACATGAAAAGTAAGACTATCATCGGTGAAAGAAAAGTGTCTTTTCGATCTCAGTCAACTGACCTTTCGTAATCCGGTATAGTTTTGGGATCACAGTTTTGTTCATCGGCAGGTTCAGCGAAAAAGATCACGCGAAGACGATTTATATTTGCTCGTGGTGAGAATTCGATTTTCAAGACGCCGGTGATCTTAATTCGCACACCGGCTTCTTCTAATGTTTCACGCTCTGCAGCTTTATCCAACTGTTCTCCGACTTCAACTCGTCCACCCGGTAGCCAAAAACCCATCGATCCGGATTCTTGAACAACAAGGAAACGATTATCGCT